CAGAGTAAGCATCTTTCGACAGTACAGTCTTCAAGTTTCTAAGACTTATCGTTGGTTGCAAAGCCATAGTGTTTCCTAAAAATGCTAGCGGAAGCACTACCATAATGCTTCTTTTTATTTCGTCACTTTCTTTTTCTTGCCTCAAAGATGTGCAAAATGCCCTATAAACAAGAGCTACCAGGCAGAACACATCCCATCTCATCCCCTCCTCTTTCCTCGGTGCTTAATACACTCATCTCCTTTTCCTGTACATCATTCCCTATCACCTAAAATCCTCCATTAATCAGTTCCTTATAATTGGGCTTCCTCCATTTCCACATAAATCACCTATCATCCCTACAACTCTTTAGGAATCCCATTTTGGGTATTGGTAAAGGCTCCCATAATCACACAAACCGTTGCCTACACAATGGAGGAATAAGACACAACACGCTGTAGATATCATGGACAGCATAATCTGCCTATTCATTCCATTACACCTCCTATCTTCGTTGACTCCTACCAAGAAAGAGACCTTCCCCATCCAGCATGCTTTCACTAAGGACTGCTGCATTGGTCCAAAGACGGCGTTTTTATTGATATTTTAACATTATTGTTCTTTATTACATATGGAGCTTCGAGGTAGCAGGGCAGGCATTGTCTGCTGCCTTCGCCACAACTGCCTTGCCAAAATCATTTCAAGAAGATCTTCCCTGCCCACAGTATCTTAGCTAGCGAAAGTAGCAAATTTGACTTCAGAGTAAGTACCCTATCTCTTTATCAAGGGCTTTACTATGTATCCATCCGCATTTACAAAATGGATCGGCCTTACGCTCTCTAATATGTCTTTATATCTATACTTGTTCACCACCTTCAATGGATCGACATTGGATTTGCCCACCTTCTCCATGCTCAGCTTCGTGTAAAGCATATCTATGGTGTCTTGCGACTTCAAAGAAAAGAGGCAAATGTAATGAAGCAAAACATACATTATGTGGTCCTTCATGTTCAAGCAAGACCGCCCTCCCTCTACCCTTATTGGAATATCTTCTGCCTCCTTGTCTACAAACCGTTCTATGTACGACATGTACCGGCCCTCGTTTTTCGTAAGGGCACCTGCAGTATGGTATCTTGTAAGCTTGATTCCTGTAAAGCAGTCAATCGCATCAGAATACGGTGTATAAATACTCTCTAATTCAAAGTCGTCAGAGTACATCACCCCAAGCTTGTAGATGAGTTTCCTAAGATATCCCATATAATGATTAATAAGCCCTATGTGAGATGAAGTAATCTCGGGCATCCCCTGCTCTTTCCCCCCAGAAGATGAATAACTGCATATACCGTCAATCGTCTTCCTCAATAGCCCAAACAGATACTCCCCCATGGAATCCCTATCCTTAACCTCAAACGAAATCAGCCTTGGAGAACGCTTGAATAGCTTGTTTTCAATGGCCTCTGTGTCACAAGGAGGACTGCAAGAATCCTCTTTTTCTGTCCCTCCGTTTTCCTCCCCAACAACCAGCATAAAACTGTTGTATATCCTGCATGTAGCCCCATCTTCCTTTGGCACGCTTTCCGGGTCAGAAAAAGAACTCTCGCCTTCTCTTGCTGCCCTTCCGTCCAGACCCATGCCACATGCCTTCCCAACATCCTTGCTCAACAGGGCCGTGCCACGACAGCCTCGGGCATCCTTCCTCAAGCTTTTCTTATTGATTATAACTGCTGCAGAAAATATAAAAAGTGCCGAAAGGACAAGTACCAGGACTACAATCCTTCTTTTGGCCCTCATCAAAAGGGCTGCATTTTCGAAATATCAAATTAGAAGGAGTCAAGGAAGTCATTTAATTCCACTTTCTCAGTCCTCTAACATACTCTAGGACAATGGAGGCACACTTCTCCACATCAACCCTTATCTGCTGCATAGAGTCTCTTTCCCTTATCGTCACCATGCTATCCTTAAGAAAGTCGGGGTCAAACGTTATAAAGAACGGAATCCCAAGCTCATCGCACGACGCATACTTCCTCCCAATGCTGCACGAGCGCTCGTTCACATGGACAACCAATCCATTATCTGTCAGAAACCTTTTTATCTTCCCAATGTGCTCGTCAAACTCGCTGAGATACATAAGATATCCTATTGCACATTGAATCGGTGCAACCATCGGCCTGAACTTGAACACAGGCCTTGAATCCTCTCTCAAGTAGAACGAGTGCTCAAGTAAGGCATAGAGAATCCTCCCAACCCCAAAAGATGGCTCAATCACATCGGGAATCAAGTTCTCAACAAACACCTTTCTCTTCACCTTCGAACACTCAAACCTAATTGCATGCCCAGAAAACCTCACCTCTAAGTAGTTTCTGTTCTCATCAGAGGTCGACATGTTCTTTTCAATATACTCCTGCGAAAATCCATTGACCATCTCCATCAGCTCAGAAAACCTGTCTCTAAGCCTTCCTCCCCATTCCTTCTTGTCCACCTTCAAAACCCATTCCTCAACCTCCTTTGGTTCAGAAAGCTCCTTCTTACACCTCAGGTCAACCTTCGATGCCTCCTCATGGCACCTCAGATCATAGCACGACCTGTCTGCTATCCCTACACACTCAATCCATCCATAGGATGTGTATATCTCCGCATCCCAGCAATCCTTGGCATAGTGTGCCATCTCTTCCTTCTTGTGCTGCCGAAACCTCAGTAGCTCCTTATCAATCCCCAGCTCAATCAAGAACAGCGCCGTCCTTCCAATGTAATATCCAATCGTCTCGTTGCATATAATTCCTCTCCCAACAGCCTCTCCTAAAGTAATCTCCTCAGCCCCATCCTCACGCACAAGCTTCAGCCTGATCTCCTTGACTGCAGCAAACTTCGGATGGCCCTTTTCAGACGCAAGGACAAAGTGCTCAATCTCCGCCTGGTCAAACTCCCTGACCCTGATAAGCCCAGACCTCGGGCTTATCTCATTCCTGTATGCCTTTCCTATCGATGCAGATGCAAAAGGAAGCTTGCCGTTGTTGTACTCGTAGAGTTTCTTGAAGTTCAGAAATTGCCCCTGCGCAGTCTCCGGCCTTAAGAACATCGTCTGCCCGCCCTTATATCCTATCTGCGTCCCAAACATCAGATTGAACTGTTGCGACTTGCTAAGCCTGTTTCCCAGTGTGCTCTTGATGTTGTACTTCGATATAACGCCGTCGATTTCTTCGCACCCCATACAATCAACCCTCTGGAGATCCTTCATCGTCTCCTCCGTCGGCGCCATCTTTTCCAGCGCATCAGAAACCAGATGGTCCGCCCTGAAGCAGTCTCCAGTCTCCTCGTCAAAAACCAGGATGTCACAGAACTTGTCCACATGCCCGCTCGCCTTCAGGACATCGTAGGGCAGCATCGTCGTCGTCTCCACCTCAAGCATGTCCTCCTCAAGCACAAAGTGTCTTCTCCACAGCGTTAAGATGTTTGTCTTTATGCCCAATCCAGGAGGCCCCAGGTCGTACAGCCCAGAAACTCCCCCGTATATATGAGCAGACTGTGCAATAAAAAACCTCTTCCTGAGAATTTGCTCAATTTGCTGTTGATCAAACTTTTTCATAAGGGACAGCAAATCTTTATCCAAACAAATAGTTAATATTGCCACCCAGGCCCTCATGCCAGATCTGGCAAGCAAAATATCGAAGTTCAACTCCTTCAACCTCGAGTCTTACCTGAACAATGCCTTCCAGAAGTACGAAGGATCCATACTGGAAAACGAAAGGCACAATGTCTCAAAGATAGAGCACGAAATAGACACGGAGCTGCTCAAGACGTTTCTTCTCAACAGCGACTCCCTACTTGCCATTCTTGATGTCTACGAAGAGTCGTACAGAATGGTCACTGCCATGGTCGACCTGTCCAAGGAGCTGGTCAGGTCCAACATGGACAGGGGTACCGAGGAGGAAGTTTTTGTTGACAGGGAGCTTGTGGAAAAGTTCAGGCAGATACTCAACAACTTCGACGACGAGGCTGCAGTCTTTGCAACCGAGGAAAGATACCTGGTTCACTTCGACATCCTCAAGGAGAAGAGCGGCTGGGAGTGCATCCTTGTCCTTACAAACGACATTCTTCTGATTGGCACTGTCCAGAAGGGAGTCAAGAAGTACAGACTTTTGAATGCCTACAGCTACAGCATTGCCCAGATCCAGGTTAAGGACTGCATGCTCGAGGTAAGGGTGAGCCCGAGCGTCTACACGTTTGAGAAAGACAAGGAGAGCGTGGAGTACATACTCAGGGTCTACCAGGAGCTGACATATAGCTACGAGAAGAAGGCTTCAGACAGCTCTCCCAAGCCCGAGGTTGACAAGGACCTAATAGACTACCTTGTCTTTACAGAGCAATACGAGTGCATTGAAGCCGACGGATCGCCCCTCTCCCCCAGAATCGTATTCCACAGCAAGGAAGAGATCACGAGGTATCTTTCTGTTGCCTCAAAGTCTAAGGAGGGAATATCGGCGCACGTCTTCCCGTTTCTTGAGGAGAGGCTCAGAAAGGGCCTTGAGAAGATCAACAAAATCCAGCCTCTCCGAAGCTTTGTCGAGGATGTCTTCAAGTACTTCAACGAGTTTCTAGAAGAGCAGGACAGCCTTATAGAGGATATGAAGAAGATAGGAAGCATCAGGAGGGGCGGCGTGGTTCTTCTCATAGAGAGGCAGCTCGTTAGGTGCATCGAGATCCTCGGGTCCCGGATATTCAGCAAGGGATACGATGCAAAGTACACAGACTCCGTACTCGAGCTCATCAGCCGAAGCCTCAAGTTCGCGAAGTACGATTTCTCGTACTTGATGGAGCATTTCTTCAGGAAGAGAAGCGAGTATAAGAAGAAATATCTGAGTAATGCAATGAAAGACATAGAGAAGATAATCAGCGACATGGTTGCTGACTCACTCCAGTGAAACACCCTCAAAGCTAGGCACCATTACGAGTTCATCATGTTTAATTAGTTATCCCAGATAACCTCTCGATCGTTTCAACCAGCACCGGGACAGAACATCCCGTCATTCCTTCTCCATACACACCCTTGTTGTTGTTGCTTTCCATCACACCTGCAATGTCAAAGTGAACCCACTTGGACTCCTTGTTAATAAATTCGTTCAGGAAAATGGCTGCGCTTGAAGACCCACCGTATCTCCCTGCACCTGTGTTCTTCAGGTCTGCAACATCCGACTTCATTGCCGGCAAATACAACTGGGACAGGGGCATTCTCCATGTGGGATCGTTGGAATCAATCCCGCTCCGGTAGATTATTTCCGAAAGATTGTCGTCCGCAGTGAAGTACCCTATGAATGCATCTCCAAGGGCAACAGACATGGCCCCCGTCAGCGTTGCAACATCAAATATGTAGGTCGGCTTGCTCTCCTGTGCATACACAAGTGCATCGGCAAGAATGAGCCTTCCCTCCGCGTCGGTGTTGTCGATCTCCACGCTTTTCCCGTTCATCCCTACATAGACATCTCCAGGCTTCGTTGCAGTGCCGCTTGGAAGGTTCTCTACCAGTGGAATAACAAGATCTACATTCATTTTTACACCCATGTCAGCTATAACCCCGAAGGCACTCAGAACAGAGGCTCCCCCAAGCATGTCCCCCTTCATGCGGCACATTCGTCCAGACGGCTTCAATGATATTCCGCCAGAGTCAAAGCAAACACCCTTTCCAACAAGCGCAAGGTCCACGCCCTCTCCGCCCTTTCCTCTGTACTTAGCAACAAAAAGCTTCGGCTCCTGCGTCGACCCCTGCGAAACACTCAGAAGAAGGTTCATCGACTTACTCTTCATGAACTCCCTGTCAAACACATCAACAGTCACATTCCTCTTGCCGTCAAGGTACTTCGTGGCATACTCCGTAAACAGCGTTGGGTTCATAAGATTCGCCGGCGTGTCTCCCAGGAACCTGGCAAAGTTCTGTGCATTCCCTACAATCGTTGCCTTCCTGGCCATCTCAAGGTCAGAGTTTATTACTATCTTCTTGGGCTCCTCCCCTTCCTTGTTCAGGAACTGGTACTTGTAGGACGCCAGTATTATCCCAGACACAACCTCTCTTGCCATAAACTCAGACCCTAGAGACACCTCTATATTCCTGAATTGCGACACAGCCTTGTACCCAGATGCACCAGCCTTCCTTGCATTGTTCTTGGCAATCAGTATATTCTCGTCTACCTTCCCTATGCCTACAAACACAGTTATCCGGCCATTCCCCTCCGGAAGCACATGGCTCTCCCCCAAGTTCCCTTTCGCCCCCAGGCTGCTAAGGAACTCCTCGTGTGCAGAGCTTTTCTCGTCCGCTACTATGCTGACACCCTCCTCGGTGTTGCTGCAGAGCACAATCCTGACCTTCGTCGAGTCAGGATCTGCCCCTGACATAACCATAAGCTTTTCATAGTTAATCAATCCCATTTCCATGGGTGCCGGCAAAAATTTGCTGAAAATTTAAGGTTCTTAATATGCCCATTATGAAAGGTCGTAGCACTTTATTATTATTACTTGCTGCTGCAATAAGTGCATTCGAGGCAGGAACGCCATACCTCGACCTGGAATACGTCGTCAATGGCGAGAAAAGGTCCGGAAGAGTCACCTTCGAGCTCTATTGGGACGAGGCACCCAGAACAGCCAGGAATTTCTATGAGCTTGTAAGGGGAACACAGATCAATGGCGAGCTCTACAAGTACGAAAACAGCGAGTTCCACAGAATCATCCCGGGGTTCATGATGCAGGGCGGCGACATCGTCAACGGAGACGGCACAGGCTCCATTTCAATATACGATGGAAAGCTGTTTGAGGATGAGGAATTCATAAGGACCCACAGCAGCATCGGGAAGCTGTCGATGGCCAACCGCGGGCCAAACACCAACGGGTCCCAGTTCTTCATCACATTCGGCCCGCAGCCCCACCTCGACCGCAGGCATGTTGTGTTTGGAAACGTTAGTCAGGAATGCATTCCCCTGATAGAGTCCATACAAAGGGTGGACATCAGCCACACCAAGCCTGTGGCTCCTGTGAGAATAGTGAGGTCTGGAATAGTGGAGGAAGACGAAAAGGAGTATCTTTAGCATAGCCCATAGACCTATGCAGCAACTCTAAGCATATCTGTGGAGGTCATATAACGACGTCCCAATAAAATTATCTCTAGATGTTTCTATTAGCTCCGATAGTTTTCCTTGGATCCTGGAATCCTTAAACAAAGATGATCCTGTTCCTACATCCATTAATGAGTTCTTCATTGAATCAAGCAGAGCCTCGATACACCCTCCGATTTGGCATATACCTATAACCTCGTCTAAAGCCCTTTCTATTCCTAGTCTCAGCCCGTCCAGAGGCATTTCATCAACTGCAGAGAAGAACTTCCATTTTCTTGCTATCACCTCCTCAAAAACAAAATAGCTTATTTTATAAAGTAAGGTTTTGTAGGAAATAACCTTTATCTTGAGCTTCTTTTGCATTTCCATCTTTGAAACTCTTAGAAGAAGATGCTCAACTCTCTTCAGCTTCCAAAGAAACTGAAATATTGTTACAAGCTTAAGGATGCTTTCCTTTGTGACTATTATGCTTGCAGGATAGTCTACTTGACAGAACAGTGCGAAATTTTCATACTTGTTTTCATCGTCCACGATGTATACCCCCAGCTTAGAGGTAAATTCATCAACACCCCCATAGGTGTTTCTAATGGCTAGGTCCAGAATATAGCTGAAGCTTTTTCTACTGAGATCCTTGCTGTCTTTTAGATAGAGAAAAAGCGTTTCAATGAAGTCGCATCTACCAAACAAAAAAGTGTTTTTGATTCCGCCTATCTGGCTAGATATGCTAGGGTTTCTAAGAAAAACACGATCTACCTTCTTATTGATCTTATAGAGCATTATGTCTATACTCTCCTCAAGATCTGGATTCAGGATGTCGATATGCTTGTCACTGCTTTCTTCCTCTTCATCAAGGAGGCTATGGCTCTGAACGACCTTGCCTTGATCCTCGGTGGATACTTGAACTTGAAGGAGATTATCCAATCCGACCATTTTTTCAGCACTGTATCCTCCCAAGAGGGACGAGCACTTTCCTATGTATAATATTTTCTGAGCGACCCTGTTATTGATAAAGTAAGGAACAAGTCCAAAGTCGATACTGAATTCTTCCCAGGGGTCTATGGATGCCTTTCTGGATATAAAAAACTCGCATGTTTCGTCTCTAAAGCATCCTGTGAACAAGAACTCTCTGAGACAGGTGTTGATGTGCAAGCAGCTTGATTCCAAAACCCTTCTGTAGAATGGATGGTTGGAAATAAAGTTGAATCTAAGAAACTCAAAGGGCTTCTTGGGATTATCTCTAAAGCACTCATTTAACTGATGAACTATCTGAATTCGTATATACATGGAATACATACCGGTGTAAAACGAAAGAAGTTCCTCATCTTGCTCGATGACAGACTTTTCGTATCTTTGAAGCTCTTCTCTCACGATTTCGTAGAAGTGCGAATGCGCCTTTGAAGAAAAGAATGTTTCTGATTTAAGCTTCTTGTATATGCATGCATTTTGATATATCTGGAACACGATTGAGTATATATGCGTGCCTGCATTTTCTTTTATAAAGGCAAGACTTGATTCTGTGAAATAGGAAACCTCGATTCCCAGGGCGCCTCTTTTCACATTTCTGTTAAGCTCGTCCATTATAGAGGGAGTAGAGTCGGCTACCTCTGCCAGAACATAGCAAAGCATTTTTGTAATGCTGTTTTTCTTCATTCTTCTATATGCCAAATATGCCTTATATGATTTGGCCTTGATTGCATTCTCTATCTCGTCATCTCCTATGCCGGCAAACCTGGATGGCCTTAGATACCTTGAAGCACTCTCTAGAAACAGTGGGGAAGGAGATCTGCTTTGGTTTCTGAAGAAGGCATGGATAAAGTTTTGGAGCAACTCTCGCATCTAAAAGGGGCAATGTTTTAACTTCTAAGATTTAATACTTTCAGGAATTTCTTAATAAATTCTGGTGTTTTTTTTCACCCATGGAAAGCAGGAAGGAAGAGCTCAAAAGAAACAGTATCAATGTTCATCAGAGGCTAGGTACTGATGTCCATGTGTCATCCGAAGACATGGACAAGGAGAGGAGGAACACCCGGGCCTATGAATACCTGTGCAGGCTGGAAGAGGCAAAGTCCTGGCTGGGGGAGTTTAGTAGTGTACCTGAATCATTTGAGGAATTTGAAGAAGAAATGAGGAAGGGTGTGATTCTCACTGACATATGCAGGATATTTGCACCCAGCTCTGTTAAGAATGTCTTTGTTGATTCCACTTTGCAATATAGGCATACGGATAACATCAACTATTTCTTAGATGGAGTAATGAAAATAGGTTTGCCTGAATATTTCCATTTCGAGGTGATTGATTTGTATGAGAAGAAGAACTTTGTAAAAGTCATATACTGTGTTCACGCACTGGCACATCTTTTGAGTTCGAAGGGAATTTCTGGGAACATCAAAAGTGCTAAAGGAAAGGTTTTTTCGCATGACGACATGGCAAGAGCCGATGTACAGGTTGAGAAGTTACACATGCCTAAGTTTGATAACATTGGCGATGTGCTGAAGGAAAAGATGGCCATGGAGGCGGTAGACTCCGAAGAGAATGAAGCGAAGAAGGAGGTCTTGGACCAAGAAAGCACGGCCGAGCCGCTTGATAAGGAGGGAAGCTTCTTGTCTGAGGATGTGAGTGTTTGTGATGAATCCTTTGACATCCTCAAGTTGACTTTGAGGACGTTTCTGTACAAGAAGTGTTTTGACGACATATACTACAGGAAGGATGTATCCTTGTTTTCTATCAGGAGGTTTGTGTTTATTTTCTTCAGCAACTCATCTGAAATGGTTAAGGAAAAGCTTATTGAGAACCTTCATCACAAAATATCAAGGAAGTTTGATAGCATTTATGCGAAGGAGGCGCAGATAAAGGACATCGAGACGAGGATTAGACTGATAGTTCAAAACAGAATGGAAATTGGGAACATAACAATCAAGAACCCGATTCCAGAAGACGAAGATACTCGGGACTTCGAAAGGGTGCTGCTGTTCCTGCAAAACAATCCCAAGTATCTTTCTGAGCTGCTTAGGAGTGTCAATGACCCGGACAGTCTCATTGTATCTATTGTTATTCCCATTTTCTCGAATGTTTGTTCCAAGAAGGAGGAGTATATGTTCATAAATCTTGTGCTCGAGATATTCAGAAGGGAGCTTCTTGACAACGGACTAGATGTGAGGAAGCTCGTTCCTATTGACATGTCTCTAGGAATTCATTCAAGCACCTTCTTCTCCCTTGAGCTGTTTAAAGAGATTGAGTCACCCATCCATCACACCCTGGCATCAGGGTCTGTTTGCCATAAGCTTATGGTTAACTATTTCAGAGTGTCCCAGGGGAGCTTCAGCCTAAGAGACAAGATTCTTCATGTTGTGAAGAACCTAGAGAACATTGAAGTAGATGCCAATCCTGTCCTTATCTACAAGATGCTGTTCAACCAAAGTGCATCTGCAGATAAGGCACTGGAAAATGAAAGAGTTAGAGAGGCGGTTCAAACAAGGCTTATGGTCATGCGTGGGGTGATTTCGTCTGCCTTGGATCTTTTAGAGTCGAGTGTCGAGTCCATTCCATACATACTCAGGTACTTCCTCAAGCTTTATGGAGCAGGGATGTTTTACACCGAATTTGTGATGCCCTTCATCTTGGCTCCTGATGCATTTATTGAATCGTTTGAGGTCAGCAAGTCCCTCAGAAACAAATGCTTTATAATATCAAAGGTTTTGGAGCACATAGCAGACCGGGCAACAAGCTTTGATGAGTCTGATAATGATGAGGAAGAGAAGAATGACGGAATAGGCGGACCATCCTTCTCCAATGGGGAGAGAAAGAGCTTTGAGCTCAAATTCTATTCGCCTCTCTATTCCTTCTTTAGAAGATGCCGCGAAAGGTACCAGGCAATCCTTTCCAGGCTCACGGATGTCTCTAGTCTTGACCACTATTTCCAGTTTGAGTCAATGAACGAGCTGGGGAAGCTCAAGCGAGCTACAGTGCACCTTCCCAGTAGCACTGCCAACCAATTGATCACGCTTCTTCTAAGCAATGCGAGGCTGCTAGGCCCGGAGATGTGCGAGATTCTTGAGTCTTTGCCTCTGTTCCCGGATGACCATAACAAGACTCTCTCGTTCACTTTCTTCGGCCCTGAATGGATATGCTCTCAGGACCCGGAAAAGATAGCGTTGGACAACTTTGTAAGGGGGCTGAAGAAGAAGCTTATATATGCTATATCGGTGTGCAAGGGAAGGAATCTGGTGGAGATGCTCTTAAGGGAATCTGACGAAGAAGAAAGGTCCTCCTATCTCGAAATGAAGAGGCACAGCTTTTGCAGCAAGAACGAGGAGGACGAGTCATCGATAGCTTCTCCTCCATCGCAGTATGAGTCCATCGACCAACTGAAGGAGTCCATCATTGACGACCTGAACTTCTTGGAGGACAAAAACGTCACTAGCAGGCATAACCTTTACTCGGAACTTCTGTTTATGTTAGCCCAAGACATAGTCATCTTGAGATTCATGTCAGAGGAAAGAAGCAAGGAGCTCAGGATAAATGAGATCAGCTACGACAATCTATGCTACAGAGATGATTACCTATCTGGAAAGATAGAGTTGTACCAAAGCTATCTTAATTCCTTCGTTGCAAAGCTGGCGATTAAGAAGAGGTCCCTGTTTGGGTTCAGTGGTATTGATGATATTGCCAGGGATTCTAAATACGGGACGCACAAGTACAGTGCAGAGAAGCTTATGAGTATGGGCGTGCTGGTCCAGGTGTACGATTCTCCTGACATCTCTGAAATATTCTTCCTATTCCTTTCTGAGGCCCCTCTCCTTTTTAGCGTAGAGGTTTATGTCCAAAACATTCTGGTTTCTCATCCAGTCTCATTTAGGTTTGATGACCTTCTTAAGCTGAGAAAAAATGGAAACAACATTTGTGATATAGCAGGAATATGCTCTTTCAGCGTATGTAGATTCATTGATCTCGTAAATTCTAAGTATATCGGAAGCGAAATATAGTACGCCTTGCTATTAAAAACAATTCCGAAGACTATCTCTATTTACTGGAAGCAAAGGTACTTTGAGGTGAAGGAGACCAAGCGCTTTATTTTTTATTTTGCCCTCTGTGTAGGCGACGACTTCCTGTCGAGCTCTTGTAAATACATTATGGACCCCTCCAAGTCCCCATTGCATGCCATGAGTGCCATGAAGTTCCGCCTAGTATCGTTGAATCCAATCTGCTTGAGCTCTGCTAACTTATCTTTATACTTGAGTAGCTGGCTCTCTCTGCGGCTGCTATTGCCTGGAATCGCTTCGTTAATGGGTTTGTCTATTTTCCTTCCTTCCCTCACCTTGTATCCCCTCCCCATTCCTTCCTTCAGTGCCGAGGACAGGGGATCCTGAACATCTTTGATCATACTGCTTATCATATTAAGTCCTCCGGGGATGTTTTCCAGCTTGGACATCGTTATGTCTAGGTTCTTAAGCTGGGTGTTCATGTATTCGGGATTCATGGAAAACATCTCCAGCTCATCCTGCAAATTTGAGCTGTTCATCATCATCCTGAGGTCGGGGTTGTTATTCATCTCCTCCTTGAGTCCGGGAAACATCTCAACAATACTCTTCATGGCATCAGGATTTTTTAGAAAATTCTTAACTAGAGGGTTCTTCATCATCGAGGCCGTAAAGTCCGGCTTCTTCCCCTCTCTCTTCACCTCCATCTTCTTCTTCAAATGTAGAGTGCAGTCGCTTTCTATTCCTAGTTCTTTCAGTTCCTTGTTATTATCACTAAGGACCCTATCATTGAACAAAAGCACCTGAGAGTCGACAGGCACGCCTGTGATTTCCTGAATCCTTAACTTTAGAGATTCTAGAGTATCCGTCATCATGACACTTGCTTCTATAGAATCTGTTCTATATCTTATCGTCAGCCTAATTGACATCCGAATATGATGGGTCTTTATTTTTATTCTTTTGATACAAGAAAAATCATTGATAGATCAAAAGGAGATCAAAATAAACTATTGGCCATTGGGACTTCAATGCCGTTTGTCTGTCCCGCTGCTTGGACAGCCTCCTCTGTTCAATCTTTCGTGGCTTTCCATTAGGGTGTTATTCGCCAGAGAACCTAGAAGAGACAACTCCCCTCCAAGCACTGCTGCCCCAACGGCTAGCCCCAGGTATCCAGGTCCAGATGACTTGTCTTCATCTTTGTTCGTTATTATATACTCATCACTTCCCTTACTAAACTGCCTTAGAAAGCTCTTTGACGGTTCCAGATGCGTGCCACCCCCAATAATCCCCACTGTGACAGAGGGCATAAACAGGGATACACTCAGAATATCCGCCGCAGACTTCTTCATGCTCAGTATACAGTTGCTGCTTTCAACAACTTGTCCAAGATCTTGCCCTAAGGCTAAAAACATTCCTGCTACGTAGTTAGCTGCCTGGCAATTAAATCCCCCCAGGACGAGAGACCCCCCAACAACAACCTTCGCATGATACACATCAAGAATCTCATCTATCCCGACGCCAAGTATCTCCCTACAGTTCCTATCGTCTATCTTAATATTCATGAATATCCTCCTCCCCCTTCCATTGCAGTAATTTTCTCCAGACCATTTTTTGTCAGTGCATGTATTCGAGCTTATGGACACCAGAGAGGTGTTCGGAAACATTCGCATTATCTCATTGGATATTTGAACACATGCCTTTGTTATCATATTCATTCCCATGGCATCTCCGGAATATCCATACACCTTTACATACACATCTTCTCCAACAACATGCTTGGACTCTATCTTGCTAATCCTTAGGTGTTTACTTCCTTCGTTGCCTACTCTTTTGAGATTTGCAACAGACTCATCCATTTTTATCCACTGGTAGAACTCCATTGCTTCTTTAAAAGTCCTAAATCTCATGATGAATCCTCTTGTAATCCCGACATTCTCTGCATATCCCTCAACACCCCCGCAGGCATTTATAAGCTTGATGCCCCGGCTCATTGACGCAACTAGCGCGCCCTCGGTTGTAGCTATCGGGATAAAGAACTCCTTGTTATTTATCAGAACTCCTCTGTTCGAAACACCCAAAGGTACCTTTTTGTATCCAATAAGATTCTCGCAGCATCTATTGATGACACCAGAATAATCTTCTTCACGCCCCACCCCCTCAATCCTAATGCCAGTGACTTCCTCTATCTTCTTCCTCAACTCCCCTGCTCGCTCATTTGCCTCTTTATTGATATCCATCTTTCCTGCCAGGGACCTCACATCACATGTAAAAATTTAGGCCCTGAATGGAGAATATACTTAAGGAGTTCATCCTAGATCAGAGTCTCTTCAACTCAGAAGGAAATCTGTACATAGGCAGAATTCAAAATCAGAAGGCAATACTTGTATTCCCAAAGCAATCATTCCCAGGGGATGCCTTGGCCCATCTCCTGTCCCTTCCGATGGAGAACACCCAATCAAACGATGTATATCACTCGTACAGAGTCTTGAGTCCCACTCATATCCATTTCAGGGTTGTATATCCGGCAACCGAGGAGCATATCAAGAAGTACTCTTCAAAGCTTGTTTATGTCCGAGAAACCTATGAGGAATACCTGGACTTTGTGAATAACCATAGGCACATAAGTGCTAACTGGATGGATAACATCATCATGCAAGACAAAAGAGACACAAACGAAAAAATCTTATACGAAGACGAAGAAATAATGATTATTCCCGACTATAAATGGAACTGCCATGACATAGACTCTCTTCATCTTCTAGTGATATTCAAAGATTCCAATCTCAGGACGGTCAGAGACATAGGCAGCTACGACCTTCTAATCAAGGCACAGGAAGAAGCATCCAGCATCTTAACATCTATGTTCTCTTTGGATCCAAGCTACACTTTTATGTTCTTTCACTATAGACCGACATACCTCAGGCTGCATCTTCATGTCATAAACATAAAGATTGCACACGAGGGAACTGCCTCATCCATAAGATCGATCCCGCTGCATGACGTTATGCACAACATACGCATAGACCCAGATTACTACAAGAAAGACATGTTTGTGCTTCAGTTCGAGTAAACAAGTTAGTATCTTGGGATATTTAATCTTATTCATAAAGAACATATTATGTCATAAGCCTGCTTCAGGGCTTTCAGCATGGACTCTATCCTGCCTCTTTCCATCCTTACCTCCTCAGACTCAGAGGCTATGGTGTCTATATCATCCCTGTTATATATCTCCAGAAACAGTGTTTCCTGAAGAGAATTCTCGGCTTTCTTGACAAGTTCACACATTATTGCCTTTGGGACCTGGTCAACAACTATTTTCTTAGTTATTTCAAAATAGGATTCAACCATAGACTTAATCATGCTTATTTCTATGGCCTCCTGTTCTGAAAGCCCGTCGCGAATCCTCAATGTATTGGGGATGGAGTCAAGAGTGGCTTTGGTCTCCATCCCCTTGTAGAAGTCTATTCTTTCTGCTTTCCTTTCCGCCGTGGAGTCCTCTAGCTCCTTCGACAGCATTTCGCTCCACTTTATGAAGTCAGGATGCTTGGTGCTGATGTACCCTGTATTCCAGTCAATAAACGATTCAACTAGCCTATGCGTTGCATCACACCGTTCTTTAAGCATTCTAATCGCACTGCTTATGACCTTCTCTCCAAGCACAGGATACCTGTTTATGGTAGATCCATCCACAATGTGCTTGATCATTCTGACCAGCTCAGAAAACACTATGCTTACAAGCTTCAGGCTGTGAGGCTTGAAAGACTCAACAGAGATCCTTGCTAGCTTTTCAAATGCTGCATGGCCAAACAGAAGAACAGATGATGACCCACTGGAGTTGTACAGCAGCGCTCTTATTTGCTCGTCGTGAATGCTGTCCAGGGCCCCAAGCCTGTTTATAAACTTCGAGAAGTGGTGGTTGAATGCATAGTTTAATCTTGCTCCTCCCATCAGCTCGTTTCCCTTCGACTCAATGTTCCCCGACAGAATATCACTGAACCTCTTCGAAACGCCGTTGATGATTCTCATTACATTTTCCTTTGGGCTCAGGCATACATTTCCAAGGTCCCTGAGATTATTCTGTGCATCGATCATTCCGCTGTTGATCCTTTCTTGGAGCTCAGGTAAGCACTGCCTTATGTGCTCATGAAGAATGTTGTGGAGCTTTGATATCAGGTATGCTGTCCCACAATACGCCCTGTTTCTTTTGTAGGACTCGTGGGTCGAGAAAAACAGCTCCTCGTCTTTCAGTGCCTGCTGTATGCCTTTGTTCTTCTCGATGTCCTGCTGGCTTCTGTTCACAACAGGAACAAAGCCCAGCCTTAGGCATATGATCCTTCCTGCTAGAATGTCCACAACATCTGTCCCAGAGTCCATAAGATCCACCTTGGTAAGAACGCCAATCGTTCTTTCGTAGTTATGGTCAACCTCTCTGGCAAGCTGCAGAGCATCAGAGTTTGATATGTCTGTGTTAGCAGAGGAAACCGCAAGAATCAGGGCGTTCTTATTCGACACATACTTCCTGCACATCTCCGTTATTTTCGTGCATATGTCCTTGGGCTGGTCGTTGGTTGGGACTCTTACCAGCCCAGGGAGATCAACCAGTGTGAGCGTCAGGACCTTGGAAGAGTAATACTTGAGTATAATGGGCTGGGGCGAGACGTCGTTCTTCGACTTTAAGACCCGGTTTGTCTCCCTTACAATCTCTTTCTTCACCTCCTCAAAGTCGGTGTATCTCTTCTCCTGAAGATGGTTGAAAACCGCATAGTCTTCAGTCTTGCTGTGGATAAGCTGTAGGATTAGGGGTCTCCGGGTGACAATCCCCGTGCCTCTTGGCAGTATATCCCTACCTATTATGTTTTCAAGCACACTGCTTTTCCCAGAGCTCTGGCTGCCAACAACTACTATCTGCGGAAGCTCGATTTTATTCGATATACCATTCTCTATGCATATGTCCTGGAGGTCGTTTATCTTTTCTATAAGTAGATCCATGACTGCCATGCCAATATAGATGCAACACTTTATATCCAAGTTGTGAAACACGCCTATGTTTCATAACTGATGCATTACAAAACACACCCGGGCTCGTTATCTTCCCTGGGCAACAAAAACCTTTTCGTGCCCGCAGTTGCACAGGGTCTCGAGGCATAGCCCTCTTTCCTTTCTGGCAACCCTTGATGTACAGTTGAGTCCAGGAATCAGAATGGTGCTGCAGCCAGGGCAGGCTGTTCTTTTTATTTCTCTGGACAGCCTTACTTGATATTTGTTTGATATTGTTTTCATCTTCCTCATCTTTCTCTTATGCACGGATGGAATCTCAATCGTTTTGAGTGCCGTGCTATATAGGTACATCAAATGCTTTGCAAAGTCTTTCTTCATTGTCTGTCAAAGGGAGTGAATGGCCGTATTTATACTTACCAGATGCCAAACAAAACCGAGGATGAAGGTCAAAGATGTCTTGCTCGGCATCAAGCCAAGAATGGTGCTTACAAGCAGAGGTTATCCGACAGTCGAGGTCGACCTGGTCACATCCAACGGCGTATACAGGTCCTCTTGCCCATCAGGCGCATCTAGAGGCTCAAAGGAGGCTGTGGTGATCACCGATGGAGGGAGTCTTTACAATGGAAGAGGCGTCAGGACTGTCATAAACAACATAAACAGCATATCAGGAGACCTTCTCGAATTAGAGTGCAGTGTAGATGACCAATCGAGCATAGACAATTGCCTACTGCAGCTGGATGGAACAAGCAACAAGTCAAAGATAGGAGGGAATGGGATAATCGCGCTTTCTACAGCTTTCTGCAAGATGGGTGCCGGATGCTCAAACAGACGGGTGGACACGCTTGTTTCGGGCATGGGAAACTTCAAAAGAAACATCCCCATTCCCCACTTCAATGTTCTAAATGGAGGTGTCCACTCTGGAAACGGGATGTCTGTACAAGAAATCATGGTTGTATATCAGCACGACAGCCTGGAGAAAAACATCGAATCCGGCTGTGTGCTGTATGAAGCCCTTAGGAAGACAATATCTGAGAAGTATGGCTCGCTGTACACGTCTGTGGGAGATGAAGGGGGATTTGCACCTCCCATAAAGAAACTGGAAGACGGGCTGGACCTGGTATTGGAGGCATCCAAAAGATGCCACAGAACAGACATGAAGATTGCCATCGACTTTGCAGCCAACGAATTTGCAAGAGACGATGGAAGATATGAGCTTGACGGTGGAGTTTACACTACAAGAAACCTCGGAGAAAAGTACATAGAAATGCTTAGGAAATATCCCCAGGTATACAGCATTGAAGACCCATTTTCCGAAAGAGACTGCGACGGATGGTGCTGGATAAATGCAGAGGTTGGAGACAAAGTCAATATTGTTGGCGACGATTTAACTGCTACCAATCCACATCTTGTTGAAGATGCAGGTGCAAGGAGAATGTGCAACACGCTTCTGGTAAAGCCTAACCAGATAGGCACAGTTAGCGAAACGATAGAAGCAATAAAGATTGCCCGAAAGTACGGAATGAAGATTATGGTTTCCCACAGGAGCGGGGAGACAGAAGACAATTTCATAAGCGACCTGTCCGTAGGAGTTGGAGCTGAATACATGAAGTCGGGTGCGCCCTGCCGTGGAGAAAGAGTCAGCAAGTACAACCAGCTACTGCGGCTGAGTGAGTATTAGCAACACTAAGAGGTTTTCCAGGATTTGTTTAATAAATAAATCTCTAATCTCTCGAGACTCCAAAGTATTCATATAATGCCGGAATCTTTCTCAATGTGCCCTCAGAATATCTCTTGCTACTGAAGTTAAGGAACTTTTCATATGTCACAAGATACTTTCTGCAGTACTCGTTGAGCTCCTTGCTTGACTTCACAAGTCCCTTTACCATCTTATCGATGCTTCTGATCTGGACCCTCGGGCCCTCTTGGATCTCCTCAGAAATGCTTTCATCTTCCGGCTTTTTGTCCCTGGTCTCCTGGCTCTTAATCCATCCTTTCTTTTGAATGTCTCCAAGAAGCTTCTCCTCTCCATAAACAAGATATACATACGACTCTCCGCCCTCGTTGTTCCTGGCTGTTCTTCCCACACGATGGACATATGTTTCAATGTTACACGGGCAATCGTACTGTATAACCACATCAACCTTCGGAAAGTCAAGCCCCCTGGACCCCAGGTCTGTGCAAAACAGAAGCCCGTTCTTCTCCTTCACAAACCGCTTGAACGTATCCACCCTCTGCTTCTGAGAAATCCCCCCGCTGAGACAGAAGACCCGGTTACGAAGCTTGAGTTTCTCAAACAAGAGATAATGGAACTTGACCTCCTTGCAGGTGCTGAAGAACACAATCCCTTTCATTTCCGGATTGCCTCTGATAAACGTGTGCAAATAGTTGGCCTTGTCTTCTATCCTCATCATATAGAAGTACTGCCTCAGCCTCGACGGAAACCCCTCCTCCTTGTATATGGATATGATCTTCGGATCCTCCATCCTCAGTATTCTAGCTGTCGAGGCCTTTGGCGTTGCTGAAAACAACAGGGTCTGCTTCTTGGAGGGAATGTACTCAAGTATGTCCTCCAGAATCTCCTTAAACCCCATCTCAATCATTTTGTCTGCTTCGTCAAGAACCAGCATCTGGACGTTGTCCGCCTTTATGCAAGGGTTCTCCTGAAGGTGCTGGAGGAGCCTTCCAGGCGTGCACACAAGAATACTCATGTTGCTTACCTTCAGAGACTCATCCTCCGCCTCAACACCGCCCATAATCAGCCCGGTGTTCAGCGCCGTGTATCTTCCAACCCGACTAAGAACACCAAATATCTGCAATGCAAGCTCGCGCGTTGGCGTGATTATCACACATCCAAGGCCGTCCTCCCCCCGCCACTGGAGGTCGGTCAGCTTCTGCAAAACAGGAACAACAAAAGCAAGAGTCTTGCCGCTTCCCGTCTGGGACGACCCAATTATGTTGCTCCCCTCAAGCGCCGCAGGAATAACCCTCTGCTGGATTTCCTTCATTGCAACAAACCCGTTTTCTCTGAGTCCCCTCTCAATCCTTTCGTCAATATTCAAGTCCGAAAACTCCATGGGTCGCGCAATGCACCGCCATGTAAATACAGCATTTTTGAAATCAGTTTATTTACAACCTAGTGGGAAAAAGTCTCTCTAGTCCTGATAGTAATATGAGGATGCTTATGGCCACAAGGTTATTGAGTCCTTATTCCCTGCTGACACCTTAAGTGTCTTGTGGACACTCAGACTCACATATTAGGAAACTGAATTATTATTCCTTTTCTTCATATGCTGTCTTTGCTTCTTCAATGAATTCTTTTACTATCTTGTCTACCTCTGTTTCCCCTTCTGTCTTCACCTCGTTCATGATTTCAGTCACTGTCTCAGCTTTCTTTCCATCTGCCTCTGTCTTCACCTTGTCCATGATTTCAGTCACTGTCTCAGTTTTCTTTGTATCTACTTCGTCTTTTACTTTATTCAGTATATCCTCCACAGTTTCTGTCTTCTTTGTATCTGCTTCGTTCTTTACTGCATCCATCATTTCTTGTACTGCCTCGGCTCCCTGTGTTGTTCCTTGTTCCTTTATCGCAGTCATCACCTCTTCCATTGCAGCCTTTCCGAGCTTCTCACCCTCTTCCTTTATTGTATTCAATAGAGCGGTTAGAATAGCTTTTGGCGATTCACGGTCAGGATAGACAGGCAGGGTTTGTCGCTTATTTCGGAGCCCTTTTTTTGGTTTTTGTATGCTCCTTTGTTTCCTTGACTCTTCCTCCTCTTCTGGAGATTCTTCTTCCTCTCCGCCATCTCCTTCATCTCCGGTGTCATCTCCTCCCGTTGACCCACTGTTGTTGTCGCCAGACGCAGTCGTGGCTGGGAAAATCCTGGCCGCAAGCGCAGCAATCTCAGAGTTTGCAAATGTGGTGAACTCTGTTGATGTGCTGTTCGTCAGAGTTGTCAGGGCAGTTGTCAGGGCCGTGAGGATGTTCTGGACATTTGTCTGCAGAGTGGTTGCCTGGGTTGTGAAGAACGTGGCAAAGTTGTTCCTGTTTGTCTGGAGAGCATTGGTGATGGCAGTGACTGCAGCTGCCGGCAGAGTCCCCGGGATTCTCTGGAACACAGCCATCTGCTTGGCATACAGATCGTTTGATGCAATCGTGATCACTGGCTGGGTGTTGCTGAATGCGCTTGAAATCTGGCTGGCGAAGAGCCCGCTGTTGATGAGGCTCGTGATATCTGAGTAGCACATTGACCCAACTCTAGCAAACAGGTCACTGATTATCTTCTGTGCATTACCCTGGATGATCCTGGAGAGGGCAGCAGACTCAGAAGAGTCTATTGATGCAAGCTCGGCAGCGGTGTTGGCTGGGACATTTACGCCAAGTGTTTCCAGCTGCTCGACAAGGGCTGCATAGTCTGCACCTGCAAAGATGGGGTTGAATCCCGAGACCTGGGAGAGGATGTTGTTCAGTGCAAGAGTAACGGCACTCTCGTACTGGTCCTCGTAGTTCTTGAGGAACTCGTATATCCTTTCACCCATATTGATTATAGGGACTCTGAGCTCGGCATCGCATCTCAGAGGTGTAGGTGTGGTGCATGGGGTAGAGTCGGTGCATTCATCCCATGACGAGCTGCAGCATGCGTCCCAAGAGCTGTACTCGCAGTCATCTCTGATTCCAGGGAATCTCCTTCGGCCGCACTCCTCAGAGCATGAAGAAGAGCATGAGGAAGATTCAGACGGATGAGGTCCTTCGGGCCTTTCTCCACAAAGCCTCTTTACATCATCTTTGTACTTAATTCCAAGAAGGTTTTGTTCTCGGAAATACCTGGAGCCATTAGCACTACATTGCAGCAGTCCGCTTCTCCTTCTCTCTCCACCTGCAAGGATTGCAGTGAAATTTGCTAGACCTAGGAGCAACGAGAGCTTCAACATCTTTAATTTTCCTCTCGGCGCTTGCTTATTTATATGTTTTTGCCCCGAGGAATGTGTTCCATGGATGTGTTCTTTTCCTTATTTTGGAAATATTTGCAATTAATCTGGATGCTGACAGGCCTGTTTAGGCAGTGTTTAGGCTAGGCATATTAAATCTGTGATGAATAAGAATATTTCTTGATGGACAAAAATCAATAGCATTTATCATATAGTAGATTAATGGGATTAATCGCAGCCGTGCGACGAGTCCGCCAACGGAAGGTGCAGAAGATGTGGTTTTGAATCTGGTGCCACTGCAGGATTGGAAATATGTGCTGTTTTTTAACCCCACTGAGATGGAGGGGAGTAGAATCAAGGAGGCTGTGGACACGAATTTCCGAGATTTTTCTTCGAGAATAGACAGACTGGACATGGGCAATCCTGAGCATGTTGTGTGGGCCTACAAGAACATCCGGCAGGCGTACAGCCACTCTGCCACGGATTTTTCGAGGATGGTCAAGATGATGGCTGAGCACAGGCCACTGGATTTCAACACAAGCCTAATAGTGCTGGAGGAGATCGGGGGTATTCTGCACAAGCACTTTGGGGAGGAGGAGGACGATGAGGAAATAAGCTTTGTTGCCAGCAAGTGTGGGCTTTCCATAACCAGCGGGGAATCTGACACCTGCATGCGGTATGTGGACTATCTTTACAGGCTTGTCCTTCCGTTTGCCAAGGTATGCACAAAGCAGGTGGTTGATATTGTGGCCTTTCTGTTTACCAGAACGAGCACGGCAGAGTTTGACGAGCTGTTTGAAATATTTGGCAAGAAAAAGGACTTTCTTGTTGAGCTGTATCTTCTGAAGGTCAAGCTGATGAGGGAAAGAAGTGCCAAATATAAGTGCGAAAGATGTAGAAATGCTGATAAGAAGGCCAGTCTGGACATGGAGGAATGCATCAAGAACATGAAGATATCGCCCAGTGGGGGAGAAATGGAGAAGGATCCGGAGAAAAAAACGGACTTTTACTCGATAGAAGATGTCGACAGCATCAGAAAGGAGAGTAACGAGAAGTTTCCAGAGGACCTGAGTTTTAGCCAAGGGAAGCCATTTTTTGAATCTGGTGTTGAGTCGCATTCACTTGAAGGTGGCAAAAGTCTAAATGGGAGTGAGGATCGCAGTGCAGATGGAGGTGTCCTGGAGGGCAAGCCCCACCTGACTTCTGACGGCGGTTCTCGCAACACATCGTGTGAGTGCGGAACAGATGGGAGGCCAAATGAAACCTGCCTGTGCGCTTCTTATAAGCCAAGTGATGAGGCCTATTGCCTAAGCGAGGCCAAAAAGCACCTGTTGGACATTGAATCCATCTCACCGAGGTTCTTTCTTGAAAATGTCGCTCTATATCTCAGCCTTTCGTTTGACAAAGAGCTCCTGGACCTGTTTAGGAAGTATGTGAACACCGAGTACGGTACTGTTTGTGCCTTCCATGTATTTAAGCTGAAGACCATAGACCGCGAAACCTCTGAAGCTCTGATAGGGGAGATGAAGGATGCGAAGAGGGAGATACTGAAGTCTGAGAACTTGGCTGTTACGAGCACGACATTCAATCTTTACGTCGAGTGGTGTATGGACACCTTTGGGTCTATCTCAATTTCGTCCATCAACGACTACTCGGATATAAGCAGGCTGTATGTAAAGTTTCTCAGAGCCTTTCCTCACAAGAAGATGTTTCTTATCCTTGAAGGCATGTGTGAAAGCAGGATAGACAGGGTTTCCAATGTGGTTTATGGGCGCATTGCTTGCGACCTAGAGGAGATAGTCAGTATCATCCTGGGGCTATTTGGCGATACAAACGAAGACGACAGGAGGAAGGCATCTAACACGCTGATGGATGACGAAAAGATATTCAGGAACTCGAGCCGCCTTGATGCACCTAACTTCTGTATAAAGCAAGAGCTGGAAAAGATTGTTTTTGAGGTGTGCAAGCGCTACAGAAAGGCTTTTCTTTCGCAGATCAAAGTCTTGCTGCATTTTCCAGATGACTTCAGGCTGAAGATTGTTAGCATCCTGTGTGGAGACTATGATAACGATTGGAGGTATCGAAGGGCATTGCTCCATTCATATAGAGAGCACCCCCACTTTTTCGAGGGGATTTTCAATCTTGACATCTTTACTAGGGATCCGGTGTTTATAGTTAGAAGGACTGCACTGGACATAAGAGAGGAGCTTGGCATCGAAAGTACAAAGCCATCTTCGGGGCAGTCCCTGTAAAATTCATCCCCAGAGTATAAAGAAAGACATAAAAATAATTCAAGGACTTTATCTCTCAAAATCTGCTTTATCTTGATTAGTGACAAGTTGGCTGTCATATTTGGTTCATAAGAGCTCTGCTCATCTCTTTGAAGTCGAAAAGTTTAGGGGGCTTTATGATTACCCTTCTCAGGTTATGTAAGGGGCCTTCCATTACAAGGCCTTTTCTGTCATAGAACGACAGGAGATTACTCCATATGTCGTGCTTCATTAGGGTCGTTGGGTTTCCTATTATTACTAGCCCGTGCTTCGCCCTTGTTAATGTAACGTTCATTCTTCTTTTGTCTCCAACGAACCCTATCCCCTGGTACAGGTTGCTTCGGACGAGGCTGACTATTATGAAGTCTTTCTCTCTTCCCTGAAATCCGTCTACATTACTTATTTCGAGGTTTCCAGGCTCGGCACCAAATATTCTATTTAGAATGTAAGACCTTTGTCCTTCGTAGGGCGTTATCACGCCTATCTGGCTTTCTGTGACGCCACACTTGAACAAGTGTCTTATTATGCTTTCACAATACAGAGCTTCGGCCTGGTTAATGAACGAGGTTCCGCTTGCACTCACCTCCTCTCTTCCATAGCATACATAGAAAAAATTCGTCGGTATTCCGAGGTCAAATCTGCAGAAGCCTTTTCCTCCCGTGAGAAGCTCTCCATTGTAGAACATCTCTGAAGGCCATTCGCAGAGATCTGTGTCCATCCTGTATTGGACTGACAGCACATATGGAACCACTCCGATCGAAATCAGTCTTTCAAACAGGCTTTGCTTGAATCCAGCCTGCGCAACCTTTTTGCACAGAATCGTGGGGCCCAGCTGCTTGTGATCACCAACAAGAACAAGCTTTTTGCATCCGTACACCAAGGGGATGAGACTCAAAGGCTCTGTGGACTGGACGGCCTCGTCAATCAATACATAGTGGAATCTGAACTTGTTAAACATCTTCTGCCCTGATGTTACGCATGTGCATGTAATAACCTCTGCCTGGTTTAGAAGCTGCTTCCTCAACGATTCACTGGCCTCGTCGTTGTAGATGCTGCTGTATCTTCCATTGTCCCTGCATGCTTCATCCTTCTTCTTCCTTCCCTCCTGCAGCTCCTTCAAGTTCTCGTGAAGAGACAGAAAGCTTACGTCAGACTGCCCACACTCTCTTCTTCTGCTCATCACTCGTAGAACCTTCAGGCCTGTCTTATGGATCTTCAATGTGAGCTGGTCCACTGCAGTGTTGCTTGGCGCAACAACCAAAACCTTTCCTCCATAGTGCTTCACGAAATTGTAAACAATAGCAGACGATACCAAGGTTTTTCCTGTCCCAGGAGGCCCCTGTATCAGCGTCACTTTTCTCCCAAGGGCTGCCCTAACTGCAGTTTCCTGGGAGGCATTGAGCCTTGGAAGATTAGGAGACATAAAAATGTGTTCGACATTACCAATGCTTTCCTTGTGTCCTTTGAGGATGTATTCAAATATCGATGGCCCTTCATTTGCGCTTTTCTTTGCCGCTCTTTTCCCGTCTATCTCGCCCCTGTCCTCAGTGCATCCCATAGGATTTCTTTTGCCCAAGCATTTGCTAGCGTCTGCTTCCTCGTCATTGCTGCATCTGCTTCTCTTGCTCTTGCTAATCTCTTTCCTATATGTGCTGTATAGTTTTCGCAGAGCCCACTCCATTCTTTCGTAGCATACTCCTCTCCAAAGATATTCAACAGTATACCCACTTCTTGGATAGTCTCCAGGCGTCTCGACCTCCACCTTCAGCTCCTCGCTGAATGTCTCTCCACTGACAAATCCATGCAGGACAAACCCGCTCTTGTGCGTCAGCCTAATCTCGTCTCCAACATTGATCTTCAGCTCACTGTCCCCATTTTGGAAGTAGAAGTAGCAGTACCTCATTCTTTCCCATCGGACAAACACATTCTCCTGCCTCATGGACTCTTTTATCTCTCTTTCCTTCCGGCACTCGGCCTCAATTAGTGAAGAAAACACCTCGACATATTCCTTGGCCTCAAACCTTGGCTTGACCTGGGGGAGTGACGACACACCCTTCTCCTCCATCTCGGCCATCTGCTGCTTGGTAAGTCTTCTTCCTCGAACCTCCGGACTCTTGATTATGGTGAGGCATCTCTCCTCAACCAGGGTTCTGCCGGTGCTACATCCATTGCAGAAGATTTTCCCATTGTTGTCGAGAAGCTTGAACAAGTTGTCCTCTCCGCATTTCCTGCACTTGACATCTCCCTCAATCCGAATTGACTTGTGCCTCGCCTTCACAAGATGAAACACTATATGCGATATGGACGAAGCACTACGTGAATTGCAGAAATACTTTCCACATGTTATGCACTCTATTAAGAATTCTGTTGCTTCGCAGTATTGGCATTTCATTTCCTGGGGTCTCCTCATGTCTGCCAAATCCTGTGCAAAATATCAAATATATTGCATAATAAGCCTATGGCTTCTAGATGGAGAGCTAGCATCTCCGTTCATTTCGCTGCTCCGTAGGACACCCATGATAATTTTTCCTGGAGGAAAGCCGCGCAAGCGCTTTAACAGCACGTTTACACTCAAGATGCTTGGCCCGCCCAGGTACGACGGAGAGTTTGACTTCAGCAGAAAGAAGATAGATATCCCCCTGATATTTCCGTTCAGGAAATCTGCTGTTAGATCCAGAAATCCTAGGCAGGTGGTTTTCATAGAGAAGATAGATGATAGTACTGTGATATATTCAAAGGATGGCCACAAGTTCAACGTTGTTGGGACGTATAAATACAGGTTCGAAATAAAGGACTTATGTGTAAGACTAGTGACTGGGCACCAAAAGGCCTTTATCCTTACGGACAGCCACATGTATGTCTACAAGCAGAAGAAGGTAAGCATGTTTAACATCCATGCAATTGACCTGTGCACCTCTCCCTTTGGAGAGATATTTATACTGACTGGCAAGGAAATTCTAATACTTGACGAGACAGGTGTCAGGAAGGCACTTCCATACACCGGCAGCCCTGTTTTTATATGTTTTTATCTTTACAGGGAGGTTATAGTTGCGACAAAGTATCATGTATTCCACCTGGACCTTATAAGCCTTAAACTAAGCACCATATACTCCACGCCCTTGAAAATCCGATCTGCCGTCCTGAAGGACCGGCTTTACATTCAGGAGGGCTGCAAAAAGCATGTCCGCGTCACTTCCTTGAACATAGAAGACAGGACTGCAGAGTCTATCTATATAGAGAATCCCATGAATATCTCGGTCGGAGAGACAACGCTGGTGCTGTACAAGACCGAGGGGGAGTTTATATTTTGCGATAGATTTGATCTCATCAACGCAAAGGGCGTTGCATATGAGGTCGAGAACCTCTTGGGGTTTTTCTTCAGTGGAGACAAAAGCTGCTTTTTCTTTGAGGAGAGGTTTGTGCTATGGGACAACGGAAATGTGGAGGTTGTAGACATAGACCTAAGGAAAAAGGAGGACTATCTTATGGAATTTCCTGAAAACCTTGAGATGCTCGAGAAGGTCCACAAGGAAAGAAAGGTTTCCAAGGGCATCCTCATGCCTGGTAAAGTGATCTCCACTCTCAACGAAATCATCGAGGAGCTCACACAAAAGGAAAAGAAGGCTTCTAAGCCAGCACCCAGGAAGAAGGTCAAGTACACTGAGAAGAACCGGGGAGGGTTCTGACATAGACCCCTGCTAATGCTATTACAGGCAAACGATAAAAAACCAATTCGATGACCCTCCATGGACGAGTTTGTTTCTCTTCTGAAGATCCTCAAGAAGAACGACAAGATTGCACAAAACGTTCTTCTTATGATTTCGGAAAGTTTCAGGTATAATGAAGAGGTGGTGGGCGATGCGCTTATTAAACACCACAGGAATCTTCTCTTGAGAGAGCCGGTTTTGGACTTTCTTTTTCTACTCTGCAGCAAGGACGCAAGATATCTAGATCTCTTTAGAAAATACAGGGGAGAGTTCGATGTGGACCACAAGATTTCCAGGCTGCTGTCTGAAGAGAACTTGGAGGGGAAGCCCAAAAGGCCAAAGATAGACACAAAGGGAAGCACCGAGCCAGCAGATGCCAGGAGATCCAATGATGCGAAGTGTGCGCCTGTGGACCCTACGGTGGGGGGCGATCCCAAGAATAAGGACGTATCCAATAAAAAAATAGGAAAAAACGTGCTTGAGGAGGCGAGATCAAAAAACTCGTGGGACAAAAAAGAACATGGGTTTGAGATCTTGAATAACGAATGTTTGAAGGCCGAGGCGGATCCATCCATCCTGTACCCGCCCAGCCAATGCAAGCTGTGTGGTCTAAGATACGAGGATACGCCCGAGGGCGATGAGCAGATGGGAATTCACATCGACGAGCACAGGAGAAAGGCAAGGGTCCTGGGAGAGAAGGACTGCATAAGCAGGGAGTTCTTCCCGACCCTCGAGGCGTGGACCAAGAATATCGAAAAAATTAAGCTTAGGCTAGAAGTCGAGAAGGTCGAGAAAATTGCCCACTCTGGGGGCCCTGCATTTTGTGATGTCTGCCGCAACAGAATAGAGGTTGAGTGGGACGACCAGGAGGACAGATGGATTCTCAGGGATGCCGTCTCCCTTGAGAAGGGAGGAAGGACGAGCTTTTGCCACAGAAAATGTGTTTTGTAGGTATTTCGAACATCAACAGTAAAGTATAAACCAATAAATAGAATTAAGCCTGTTTTTAATTATCATGGCGTTCTTCTGATCTTTTTTGTTTCTTGGGGCGCTCCTCACCTTTCAAGGCCACAATCCTTGAGCTTATGGCGTCCTTCATTTGCTTTATTCCTCTCAGCCTAATATCCCTAATCTTCGAATGCAAGTCTTCGAGGACGTCGACATTTGTCTCGTTCTTAATCATGTTCTTGGCCACAGTCAGATATCTTTTTGGATTTTCGGTAAGCGTTATAAACTCGTAGAAAAAATGCTCCGGAATGCAGGTTCTATCAATCATGTCCAAATCGGCCTCTTCGTTTCTATCCACACTCTCGAGGAACTCGGGCCATAGAAAATGGTCTCCGCAGCTGTCTACAACAAGCATCGTCATTCTTATCATCTCTGGGTTTTGCTCCAGCAGGATGCAGAACATCTCAAACAGCCTTTCCTTGTCTTTGTAGTCTATCTTCCTTAGTACTGTTTTCAAGGCCGCCAACGACCGCTTGAAGATTACTTGGTCTATCTTTGAAATATACATGAGGGCAGGAACAATGTCTACACGCCCGGGGTAGTTGTTTTCTAGTATTATGTTCATGATGCTTAGTGCCCTGGCACATGTTGCAAGAGACAGCGGCGACAGTTTCTTTTTTCTTCCCTCAAACAGTAAGGAGATGGATGCATCGATTCTCCTGATTTCCTCGGAATCATCTAGGGAGACCAACGACACTGCTGTGCTTGATGATTCATCGTCAACGGCCTCGTTGGCGAGTTTCTCAGGGCCACCTGTGTCCAGATCCTTTGCTACTTCTTCGCAGGACGATACAGACTTCAAGTCCTCTGAGGGCCCAATGTCGGCCATAAACTCCTCAAAGTCCTTCTTGAGACCAGACTCGCAGAGTATTAGCTCCATGATTTCGTTCAAGATCTCATCCGTTTTTTCGGTTCCAAGATCCGAACCAGAGTAGAAGTAAGTCAGAAACACCTTTGAGAAGGTGCTTGGGTCCTTGAAAAGAGTCATCATGTTCTTCATGAAGCTCCCCTCGTTGATGTTCTTAATGGCAAAAACATTCATTGCTATCTGCTCCATAATGTCTGATTCCAGATCTATTTTCTTTGCAGCTTTCGACTTGATGCTGAGGACTTTGATTCTACTGAGAAGCTCGGTTTTTTCCGGAAAGCTCTTGAACATGAAGCTCATTACATAGTTCACGTTTTTATCGAACATCTTCTTGTCCTTCACCAACTCGAGAGAGACTGCGTTGATGTTCTCCTTGGTCAGCTCCAGCGACATCATGGGGTGTTCTTTCTCGACGATGAAGTAGGCAGCCTATTAAATACGGCATTCTGGAGCCCTGGAGCTATGGCAACAGTCAAGATGAAGGCCGATCAGAAGAAGACCATCCTGCTTGACATAATAAGGGGAAGCAAGTCGTTCTTTAAACTGCAGGAGCTAGAAAGCCTGGGGTCGAAGAAAGGAATAGTAGTAAACACCATCAAGGATATCCTGCAGCAGCTTGTCGACGACGGGCTTGTCACTGTTGAAAAGGTTGGGTCCTCGAACCTGTACTGGTCATTTGCATCTGACGGAGTCCAGAAGAAGAAGCTGAGATGCAAGAGCCTTGCCGAGGAGTGCAAAAGCATGTCTGAGGAGGTTCTAAGGAAGAGGGAGTATCTGGAGAGTGAGAGGGTGGCCAAGAACTACACCGAGGAAAGAAGGGAGCTGGAGAGCAAACTAAATGCGCTTTCAAAGATAGAAGAGGAGCAAAGGGAGGAGCTGAGCAAGTTTGAGGAAACAGACCCCACGGTTTACGACAAGCTTATTGCCGACAGAAGGGAGGTGGTTGATGAATACAATAAGATTATTGATAACATCTTTATCATACAGGATTACATATGCAACAAGTTTTCGATGGAGAAGTCTGAGTTTAACAGCAGCTTCGGGATCCCTCAGGACTTGGATTATATTCAATGAATTGACATGATGGCTTTGACGGAGAACCTTAAAATATTAAAGAATTTGTTTGACTTTATTTTCTCCTATGCATGCCGAGCCCATGGAAAAGGAGGATAGTGTAGAGGAGTACAAGATTATGGCGCCTACATACCCAGACAGAAATGCATTTGAGTACGAGGAGATGACTTCCGATGTTGGCATGTATAAGATACCGGTCAACAGGCCTGTTCGAATATACTGCGATGGGGTGTACGATCTGTTCCATTATGGGCATGCCAGGAGCCTGAAGCAGGCAAAGAACCTCTTTCCGAATGTTTACCTGCTGGTTGGTGTTACCGACGACGACATAACAACAAGGCTCAAGGGAAACCTTGTTATGAATGAAAAAGAAAGGGCAGAGGGGCTTATACACTGCAGATATGTTGACGAGGTTATAACAAGTGCGCCGTGGGAGCTAACATCAGAATTCCTTCAAAAGCATAGGATAGACTTTGTTGCGCATGACGACATACCGTATAAGGGAGAGGGCAAGGAAGACATCTACAAGTTTGTGAAGGACATGGGGATGTTCATACCGATCAGAAGAACAAAAGGAATCAGCACAAGCGGGATAATAACGAACATCGTTCGGAACTACGACATGTATGTCAGGAGGAATCTTGAAAGGGGGGTTTCTGCAAAGGACCTGAACATATCGTTTCTTCACATGAAGAGAATAAAGGTGAGCAAGAAGATGAACGAGATGATCAAGAACGTCGATATTCAGAGGGAGATTGACGATATAAGGAGAGAGATACGGATTGCAATGAAGTACTGGGAGAGGGTGTCCAACGAGATTATTTCTGGCTTTATAGAGAATTTTTATCACGGAAATGCTTCCGGCAAGTTCATTGATCGCCTGGTGGAGTTTGTGAAGCTCAAGAGAAAGGCCGAGTAGCTTTGAGATATGTGAATAAATCTTTGTTATTTTAATGTTTAGGGAGGCCCATGGATGTTTCTCCCGAAGAATCTAGAGAGCCCTAACGAGAAGGAGGCAATGGAGATGAAAGGGCCTCTTTCGCTTGTCCATAGGGCTATGGTGAAGATGATGCCTGTGCTGGTTTCTCTGCGCAACAACAGGAAGGTTGTGGGCAAGGTGATAGCATATGACCGCCACTACAACTTGCTGATGGAGGATGCCAAGGAGCTTGGAACCATGCGCGGAAAGAACAGGGGAAAGAAGAAGAGGCAGGGCTGCGGCTTCTCCAGGCGGCTTGGCAATGTCTTTATCAGAGGGGACACAGTTATACTTGTTGCGGGGGGTGCCGGGGGGCTTCAGGAGGAGGGCCTGAAGAGCACCGAAGATCAAAAAAGAGCAGAAGACGGGGAAGACGTCTAGATTAAAATGTATGCCTGGCGCTTTCTAAGCCTGCATTCTTTGTTGCTACCTTTTGACATTCTTGATAGAAATCAAGAAAGCTTCGAAGGCAGCAAGGGCATCTCATTAAAGTATTTTTAAGCAGAAATGTTATGGCAATGAAGGCTAAGATTTTATTTATCTTTCATGACTGAGGATTCAGCTTCATCTTTCCAGCTACCTCGAAATAGCCCATATCGTTCCTTTTCTCAAACTTCAAGCGCTGTCTGCAACGGCCACACTTCTTCCTTTCCTTCTCGACAACGGGATCCTTTGGTGTCTGGTTCCTAACCTTACCTGCCTTGTTGATTGTAATAGTTGCCTAAAGTTAGAACGAGTCTCCAAGACTCTGCAAGACTTCACTTACCATTTCAAAGGGCCTTTCCAACGAGGAAAATATTTTCGGGTCTAGGCTCAAAGCCTGAAGCAGATATTTCCGAAAATTTTATCCCTCACGAAATGGTAAGTGTGAGACTGAGGCTAACTTATAGAGTTTGGAACTGGAGATTTCTAGCATGAGGGATAACAAACTTCTCTCTAGGAGGGAGCTGGAAGTGGTTGCATATCATCCGGGGATGCCAACGCCCAGCCAGGAGGAGATAAGGAGCAAGATATCTGAGCTCTACCAAACAAACAAGAGGAACGTTGTGGTTGCCGGCTTGAGGAACAGATATGGTACACACAGAACCACCCTCAAGGCAAAGATTTATTCAAGTGCCGAGGCCCTGTCAAACGTCGAGAAGAAGCACATCGTTGCAAAACTTACTGGGAAAGAATTCCAGGTGACGCCTAGAAGAGTCAGAAAGGACGAGAGGAAGAAGCGCTACAAGATCTTTGGTACCCTCAAGAGAGCAATGAAGAAAGCTGAGAAGAAGAATAAATAACCGTCATTCTTATTTTATATAGAACCTCTATGCCTCAGTTCTGGACATTCTCTATATGCTTGAAGTACTGCTTAATTTTCTCTACCTTTGCAAGTGTTTCCTTGCTTACAGATCCGCGTAGCCTCTGTTTGCATATTTCCAAGGATGTATGCAGGTATAGCTTGTGAAGCTCATTTTCCAAGGCTTTTTTCAGATTATCCGGCTTTTCTTCTCTCTCCACTTGGCTCTGAATCTCGTCAAGGATATTGAATAGGCTGCTCATTGCAGGGCGGGCCATACGATGGATAGAAAAATTCTTCAACATGAATCCTCAAGATGGAAGAGTCCATAAATAACTGGAGAAGCTCTTCCCTAAAGGGAACCCCATGCAGGGTGTTTAGAGAGGAGATACATGGCCCCTTAAGGATACTAACTTCTCCGAACAATATCGGGGTTGTCCTACTTGAGCCCGGATCTTCATACCAATTTATCGAGAAGAACTTGAACAGGAGAATCAGGAAGAAGACAGACTTTATTGTGGTTAATGGACATGCAGCATCTCTGCCATTTGACTTTACCTTGAAAGAGATAGCCGAGGACGGAGGGGAAGAGTATGCTGCAATAATATACAAGCAATAGGCCCTGTAAAGGCCTCATGCTTCTTCCTGGCCCTTTGCGATCCTTACAAATCTCTCATAATCTTCCCTGAACATGTCTCCTGCTAAGGCATTCAGTGCATCTTCTCCGGTAATCTCAATAAATATGACATAAAGGTTGATGAGTATGCTTTCTAGCCCATGGCTCGGTCTCCATCCCAGCCTCAGGATCTCCATGCAGACATTTCCATCACCATCAATGTTTGGATGGAACACTTTGTCGAGGCACAAGAGCTTGGGAGGCTTGAACGGATATGCGTGTGGAATCTTCAGCTTGAATCTTAGGACTCTTCCCTCATAGATGCCCTCTGCTATTGGCATTGTATATTCAACTTCCATGGCATACCTCTCCTCCGAGGACTTACCTACAGACAGTGATGCTCCCGGAAGCAGCTCAATAGACTTGATCTCTGTCCTCAAGCGGAAGGACGCAAAGGAAAATGCATCCGATGGGTTCATGGGCCATTCACACCCCATTTCTTATCTCGCATTCCGAGTAGTGGCCAAGGGCATCTGCAAATACCTTCGAAGAAAACATTCTTCTACTAAACCAAATCTCGCACTCGGCCAGGGTCAACGGATTGGTTAGGTTAAACCTCAAGACTGTGTTACAGAGTATCACAAGGGAGTAGTGTGTTGTTCTTTCTTCGAAGTCTATGTCCATCTCGGCCGCAGAATCTTTTATCTTCCTCTTCTCTTCCTCAGATATTGTGCCATACCCGTCAACTATCAGTATGGACTTCGGAATCTTCCTGAGTCTGCTGACGCGCCTTCCATCCCAGAGAACTAGAAATTCCATCCGAGGGAGAAGGCCCGATGTTAAAAGTGTGGAGGCAGAATTTTATTTTGTAGATAGCTTAAGCCGCAGGTGCGGTGAAAATCTACACATAAGAGCAAAGTTACTCGCCAGAACAACAATGACGAAAGAGATGGCTCCAAGGAGTAGCAGGAAATGTCTAGAGTACTCACAGTTTACCAAGAACTTCGTCTGAGGACTGAAGAGCTTCAGTTTGTTCTCTTCGTCATTAAGCCTTGGATCGTAAAGCCATGAGTCCGCGAGAAGGCCCATAATTGTTCTGTATGGAGGCGTAAATTTCTTGTTCGGCTCTGAGGGGAACAGCACTCTTTCAAAGAAGGATAGCCTCATAAAGCCTTGGAAGAAGACGTGAGGCCAAAAAGGTAGGAACAAGTACTTCAGGAATCTAAGGTATCCAAGCTTTCCAATCGATGGTGAAGAAAGAAAATTAGAAGTCGCGTATAGGTTATTTGGGTCTAGAAGAGGTATAAGTGCAAGAGTGAAGATGGATAAGATCTTTTTGAGAACACTCGAAGACGTGGCGCTTCTTGTCATCATATTAAATACCAACACCAGAATATTTCCTATAATCATGTAGGTAATTAGTCCAACTGTATTCCCGCTGCGGATCCCAAAGAGCGATGTGATCCAAAGAAACATACAGCATTTCAAGATGATCAGTGGAACCTCGACAATCCATGCCGAGAAATACAATGTTGATGGCCCGTATGTTGCCTTGGACATCTCTCTGTGGATATAGTCCAGCCCGTCTAACAAATCTGTTAGGGCCAGAGGTGAAAGCAAAAACAATAGGAATGGGCACATCTCCCACTTGATGCCTTCGTCTATATTGGATCTTACCGACTCGTCGATATTGGTTTTCAGGGAGCGAAGGAGCCAATGGAAGATGGATTCTGTGCCATCCTTGCCACTTAAATCCAACTGCAGATCGTTGATATAGTTTGAGAACTTTACGGTAAAAGATACAGGATACCAGAAGCATACATAGAATCCAAGTATAAATATCTCCACAGCCCGGCTCTTCAGCATTTTCCAAGACCTCCATTCAATGGCAAACTGCCTTCTGGCTATCATAAGTGCTTTTGTGAGGCTAAACGGCACGCTGGTTGGGGAGTTTCCGCCATGCTTCATGATCTTGTCTTCGCTCTTTGAACTTCCCTCCTTCACAGAAGACTCTATTATTTCATCAATCTTTTGCCTGTACTCTTCTATCCCAGGAATGTAGGACTTATCGGAGAAAAGCTCAAATATGAATTCGCTTGTAGACAGCTTTCCGGTCCTGTGGATCCCTTTGGAATCGAAAAACTCCTCACACCTATTGGCTGGCCCAGAGTATACCACGGTCCCCCTATAAAGAAATAGGAGGTCGTCAAACATGTCAAACAGTCCTGGCCCAGGCTGATGAACGGTTGTAATCACAATGCTATTGCTTTCAGCTGCATATTGCTTAATCATTTGAATCAATTCGAATGCAAGGTGCGAGTCGAGCCCGCTTGTTGGCTCGTCGAGGATCAGCACATCAGGAAAAACAGCGAACTCGATGGCTATCATCACCCTCTTCCGCTCTCCCCCAGAAATCGCCGTCATCATCATGTCTTTAAGATCTTGAATGTGAAGTCTCTTCATCACACTGCTTACAATTTCCCCAACACTTCTTCCACCCCTCTGCTTTTTTACTGTTCTGCAGCTAACACAGAAGTATATGTACTCATATACCGTTGTGTAGGGGACTACGCAGTCATCCTGATTCAGATATGCTGTGTGGGACAGCCATGTGTTCGGGTCCCTATCCTCCCCCCGAAACAGTACCCTTCCGTAGGTCAGCGAGTCCTTCTGGATTGCGCCCATGATCAAGTTCATCAATGTTGTCTTGCTACTTCCGCTAGGCCCCATGACAACCGACAACTTCCCTGATTCAAAGGTGGCAGATACTCCGTTCAGCAACCTAACATACTTACCGCCCGAGGATAGGTTTTCACTGGAGACCTCAAGAACAACGTCTTTCAGCTCAAGCTTATATGCCTCTGCAATCCTATGGTCCTCCTTCGGCGTATGGACTTCCATGGGCTTGGTAGATTCACGAAATAAAACCCTGTGTCTCCTCAATTAGCCATAATTGGCACAAGATATTCCCTTATATAGGAATTGTAACAGTTTAATCAATGAATCAGATGCATTTATATTAAATGAATTCCCTTGTAAGACACCTCAGTCACAAATGTAAAGGTAAAGGCCTCTTTCCAATATCTGTGTACATCTCTGTAATCATCAGATAGAGCCCATACACAATCATCTCCCCCTGCTCCAGAAATCCCGCATCCCCAAACATCATATTCGTTAGTCTTAATCAATATTTCGTACTGCCTCCTAGGAACTATATCCATGCCTATGTCCTTCATGGCACCCAAATACTCCATGTACAAGCTTCTTGGGCAGCCTCTTTCTTCGTTGATCTTGAGGTTAATGGCCTTAAGAGACACCCATCTAGGATCTTCAAGGTCGACCTTTTTGAGCATTTCTTTTGTTGAGGTGCTTTTTCCAAATGACCCAAGAACAACATGTCGGGGAATCTTCTCCATCGGGACGCATGTCTTCCTGTTGAAGTATATAGACCCTAGAAGGCAGCACATTGCATCCCCTCCAGAACCTTCCTGATTAACCTTCTGATGCACCAGATATGTTATGGGCAAGATGTACTCCACAACATCCTCATCCAAGGAAAGATGTCTTAGCCACGATTTCAGGTCGCCTTGAAAGCTAGGGGACTTTTCCTGCCCGTTGAAGCCGTTTTTCGAGACGATCTCCCTGAAGTCATCCTGGTGGAATCTCAGAAGGGCATACACTATGGACACAAGGATGCAGGCCGAAGACCCAATCCCGGTCTTTTCTCCCGCAGCTTTGCCGGCAAAGAAGCCTTCCTCGGCCCTCATTCTAATGTGTATAGTGCTTTTAGGCGAAACCCCGGTGACCTTGAAAAAGCAGTCGGCAGTCCTAAGTAAATAGCAGGAATCACCTATGGCATCGTACCCACGGCCATCATGATAATATGTGCTTTTCTCTTTTCCATTTATCTCCATCGTTATCTTTGGCTCGCCTGGCATTGTCCTGGTTGCTTCGCACACAATGTATGTTTTGAGTGCTACTGCTCTACATGTTTCTCCGCTCAGTACTATGTACGATCCATTTATAATCACCTTCCCAGGCACCTTGAACTCTATCCTTTCATTCATTGATGGGGCTCTGGCATAGCTATCCTTCTTCCAGTAAAAAAAGCTATTTTGCCAAGCCCATACCAAAATGCTTCCGAAACTAAATGTTCCCACTCGTCTTAATAAGAACTATCTGTTGGAGTACAGGACGCATAAAGCCGCCCCAAGGCCTGTTCAAAAGCCACAGGAACATGAAAGGCCGGCATCCAACAACTATCGTACGATCTTATGTAAGTTTTTCCTAATGAACTCGTGCAAGCATGGAGACAACTGCACGTATTCGCACAATACGAGTAAGTTTCCATGTAAAGCATTCCATATAAGAAAAAACTGCATCAGAAAAGATTGCCCCTTTTCCCACGAGCCTTTATCCGACGAAGCAATGGAGGAGATCATCAATGAAAAGCAGGAGACGCCCACCTCCTTTTTTAAGTCTACATTGCTCTAGAAGGCATCCCCTCACAACCTTGGCTGACGTCAAAAGAAATTAATCAATCGGTAAACAATTTTAAGTTTAATGCCCTAATCTTTTTCTTTATTTTTTTCTTCCAAGTCCTCGAAGAACTTGACCAGCTGGCCAACCCTATTGTTCCTTGTAAGCATGTTGTTCTTCTTTTTGTGAACATCTTCGGCCTCGACGAAGATTATCATTTCATCGTCTTTATCTCCTTCTCTAGTCTTTCTTTTCTCATCCGGACAGGCAGGATTGCTTGCTGCAACCCCAAGACTCAGGATGGCCCTGAACCTCTCCATCTCCTCTGCAGAGTCTAGCTTTTCATTAACGTTCCGAGTAATGCTAGTTTCTACAAAGGACATTTCCGATGTGTCAGATGCCTCTTCTGCCATTGGTGGCACCGGGGGCTCCATAGAGGGAATAAACGCTGCAAGCAAAGCATTCTTCAACTCCTTCGAAAGGTTTTCAGAGTTCTCCGCGACTTCGCACGGACATTTCACCTCAGGACCTTCGCAAGGGCTGTTTAGTCCTATCTTCCGGCTTATTGTGAACCTTTCCGAGGGTTCCTGTGCTTGAATTGCCTTTATGATGTCTCCAATGCTTCCACACTTAGCCTCTTCGTCCTCAGATTCTTTTGGCTTAATAGCCTTGCAGCTACTAGACAGTGTTATGGCTTCCGACTCACTACCTGCAGACGTGCTTCCCTTACTCTCCAAGGACGTAGCTTCTGAAGTTTCAGAAACAGCCTTAACCTCATCCAGAGGTACTACCGAACTCTCCTCCTTAGAGGGCTCCCTAGACGCAGAGCCTTCACTGCTAGGCGGGAGGAGAGACTCTTGTCTAGAAGAGTCGTTTAAGACGACGAGTGGACCCAATGACTCCTTGCTGTGCTGTAAGGAGCCCGTGCTCAATACAGTGTCCTGGCCAGATGCGACATTATCTTGGCCCTCGTCCACACCATCAGCATTGTATGTGTCAGAGATCTCGGATATCTCGAGAATTATTGGCTCGCACTTTTCCTTAGATCCACAGCTATTATTTCCATCGCGGCTTCTTGGAAGCTCAGAAGATTTTCTTCTACGGTAGAACTCCTGGGGTGGGACGCCCTTGCTTTTACGATCAAAACGGAAAGATCTCATCATTTCGTTTACTGAGGAGTCTCTCTGAGGATCTGCAATCTTAGACTCATCAATGGGAGTGATGTGCTTGAGCTCGTATCCATTCACCTTTCCGTCTTCATTGACTATGTATATATCGAATGTAGAAACCTTTTCGTCGCTGTTGTTCTCAGCTATATCTTCTGATGAGGACTTGTGGCTCAGCATGCATGCTGCCCCAATCACATGCTTCATAACACCGGGATCAGGGGACTCACAGCACGCTGCACTGCGCTCTTCGCTTGGTGTTGGCATCCCGCCTTCTTCTAGTTTCTCGCTGGGCATGTCTTCTCTATCCTTGTTTTTATCAGAACTCCCATCCATTCCCAACGGCTTTTGTGCCCAGATATATGTACTCAAGCCATGCACAGCATGAAACCAATCACTTCAGCCTACAGCCGTTCCATTGGTTCACTCTGCAGCACTGGTGCAAGTATGGCCAATCATAGAGGGAAAAAGTGCGATTAGACGTACAACCTTAGGTTTTCCTTTTTGATAAATAATGTTTTTTCTAAGACAGCCCATCCATGGAGAGAGAATATGATTTTATCATTTACGGCGCATCCGGATATGCAGCAAGGTACATAATAGAAGCCTTCAAATCGGAAAATGTCAGGCTAGCACTGGCCGCAAGGAACATAAGCAAGATCAAGGACAAGGCATTTCCCGTTTATGAGTGCGAGATAGATGGCATTGATGAGATTGCATCTATGACAAAGATATTGATAAACTGCGTTGGGCCCTACTCCCGCTATGGGGAGAGCATTGTCAAATCGTGTATAAGGAATGGTACGCACTACATGGACATATCTGGAGAGGTGTATTTCTTCGAGTTCATCATCAACAAGTATCATGACGAGGCCGCCCGAAAGGGTGTCTACATCATCAACTGCTGCGGGTTTGAGTCCGTTCCTTCCGACGTTGGAGTTATGTATCTACGAAACATGTTTGAAGATGCAGAGATCGAAAGTGTTCTCAAGGTCAGCAATGTTGTTGTGAACGAGACCACCTGGGTATCACTTCTTTCATCCATTGCAAATTTCAAAGAGCTGAAGATGCTTAGAGAAAAAAGATATGGGCAGGGGAAGAAGAGGCGATCCCACCGGATTGTAAGAGAAAACTCCTATCAGGTAATTTTTAGAGGAATAGACTACTCCATTGTAAGAAGAAGTCAAGAGCTAATGGAGTCTGTAGGGATGTATGGTGCAAAGTATTCTGCATATCTAGATGTCGGCGGGCGAATTGGGATGATAAGGTACTGGATTTTCATTTATCTTGTATGGTTCTTCTCTGGATTTTCAGCTGGAAAGTGGATCATAATGAACCTGTGCAAGTTCTTTACCTTTGGATTTGGATTTGTCAAGAATAAGCCGAGCTTCGAGGAAATCAGAAAGGCAAGCTTCACGATTGAGATAAGAGCTCGGGGAGAAAGAAAAAACGAGATAGTTGGGAGGAGCCTGACCATAACTGGCCCGGATCCTTCTTACATAATGACTTCTATATGCCTGACACAGACTGCAGTTGTGTTTTTGAAGTCCCTTAACCAGAGGGTGAGGGGAACCGGCGTGACTCTTTTTAGAGGAGGCGTCATTACGCCTGCCTGTGTGCTGTATAACACAGATATTGTTCAGAGGCTATCGTCGAAGGGAATAAAGTTTGAGGTCAAGGAGAACTGAATGGAAAACCTACTCTGAGCCTGCGCCAATGGTAGTCCGTAAAATAAATGGTTACAGATAATTGATTAAAAGTATAGGATAGCCCGTGTCTTCTGGGTTTCCCCGCTCAGCTATTCTCGACATCACGGGCTGCTTTTGCCCACTGAAGCCTGGCTGGCACACGCCGCCTACCTGAGGAATAAGGATTTACGGTCTCATGTCTCTGCTTTAGACGAATGGCCTGGCCTGGCCTGGTGTGCCTTTTCTTGTGATTTGTTGGCCTTGAAGTTTCAATTACATACCGTTAACAAAAAAGCGATTCCACCATGCATCCATTTAAATTTATTTGCTGAAATTGGTACACTTTCCTTTCATGAACGGCAGAATTCTTCTCCTGGCATTTATGAACCAGTTGTTGATTTGTGCCGGCCCAAGCCCGGTTTTCTGGCAAAGATAGGCTTTTTCTGCATCTGACGGGTATGGATTATCCATGTTCTCCTTGAGCCAGGATCTCAGAAGTTGGGATGTATCCATCGGGAAGTTGGCTCTGGTCTTTGGCTTAGAGCACTTGTGCTCCGCCTCCTGCTGAACGTATTTGGTAGCCTCTACAGGGCCGATCCTTATAGGCTCAGAGATTATGCTTTTCACACATCCTTTAATGAAAGTCATCTCGGAGTCTATAACCTCCATAAGTCTGTCCTCAAACAGAATCTTATGTTTTACCTTCCCAAGAACAAACAATAGTGCCATTTTGAACTTTATTCCCTCTCTTCCGGCATTACTGGGCATTGAAGCCTTGTATTCTTTGCGAAGCTGCTTCATGTCCTCCAACAATTTTTCTCTGCCAGCTCCGTCGGTGAAGTAGCTTTCCTCCGCACGCACGACTCTGTTTAAAATGTCCATTATTGTGTTCATGGCCTCCATCCCATTCGTTCTGTTTTATCTAATTGTCTTATGGTGGCTTAATTAATCTTGTTTGATAGAGGTTTTATAATTTAATATTTCAATTGTGTCAATATGACAGAAGTAAATAAGCCAGAGCAGTCCGAGCCCAAGGCAAGGTCTTTCCAGCTACTTGGGAGATGCCTATGCATTTCCTGGCATTATGCATCAGGGCAGGCTTTCCCGTGTGTCTGTAGTGGTACATATTACACCAAACAACTAATTGTTTAAATTAGCAATTAAAATCTTATACCTTTCTCTGTACACATTAGCAACGGGCTCATTTTTGTTCTTGCATCCGGAGGCTCAGGCGACATGTATGTCCTCCTCAAGGTCTAACAATCTAAGCTAACCACCCATTTTGAAACCATAGGTTTTGGGTCAATCAAGCCATACCGGTATGGGATTGGATTTGGCCGGCGGCTTATTGGCCTCTTATGAAAAGATAAGTTAATTTGTCCCCTTACTTTACTTCAAAGAAATACATACATAGATTATATTAAAATCATACACAGCTCTTCCTTACAAGCTAATACTGCCTACTCCCGTCATGGCCTTTGCTTCTATTCCTTTTGTTCGTAAACCAGTTATTTATTTGCTTGGTCGAGAGCTTACACACTCTTGCAAGCCTCGCCTTTTCCGCCTCAGATGGATATTGGTCAACTTCGAAACTTCTTTCCAGTGCCTCGGTTATGAACTTCGGGAATCTTCTTGACTTTGCATTCTCGCTTCCATTGGGATTGTACAAGGTCTTGAACTCGCTTATAGAGAACCCTATGCTGTCAACAACGAACTCACGGATGCGCCTAATCCTCTCTTCTAGATATGCACTGACTTCCGGAGAAATATCCGGGATGCCTCCAGTACTCTTCACAAACTTGTCCACCATTGAGTCCATCTCATCAACAATCCTGTTGTTTGCTTCCACATAAATCCTCCTTATTTCATTGATCCGCGAAGATACAAGACCAGGCAACTTTGACATAACAGAGTCGGGGTCATTGCCAAATTATATTCCATACCTTAAACCAACCATAAGCGCAATGGAAGATTCCATTCTTCTTCATAAATGTCATTTCCATAAAGGGAACCCTATATATCATTGACGAATTTATCATATAATGCTTATGGATATGCCTGGCACATATTGCTCGATTCGCCAATATACAGTATATGGATTTCTGGACAGGTGATTTACTACTATAAGATAATTAATTTAGTTTTGATCTAGATGTGCAAAATATTAAGATAAATGTCAGACTAGGATTGGTTTGACGGGTCGGCATCTGGTTGATGTCTTGAAAGTCAGGCCATGTATTGTCTGGCATCCATCCACGGCACAAAAGAAGAAACGGCCGCAGGGATCCCTATAGTATGTGCGACAACGCCAAGAAAATCAGAGGAATAGCAGAAAACGTGAATATTCTTCTGAAAAAGGCTGAGAAAAGAAGAAAATCGATAATCGATGAAATAAGAGCGGTAGACGAATACTTGAAGGAGCTGGAGCAGAAGAAAAAGAGGCGCGGCAGACGGGACCAGGATGTTTAGAGGATATTAATAAAATTTTGTTTTACCCTATATGTTGAATCTTGAAGAGGTCTTTGAGAAGCTAGAAATTTCCTCTGAAAAGCGATGCCAGATAATGAAAAAGGAGCAGGTTGTGAGGAACATGGAGAGGATATTCCCTGGAAGAAACATGTCGAACAGGCTACTGTATACATTGGCCTGCACGGCGCCGAGGGGTGCAGATATCGAGTTATTGGCAGGCCTAGTTGACAGCGGGGTTATTAAGCACGAAAGCATGCTGAAGGAATGCTTGAAGCGCATGGAGAAAAGGAGCTTCTCGGCAGAGGATATGGTTGCCTTTGTAAAGGAGAACGAGGTTAGTTTGGAGGATATACAAAAGCATGTAAACAAGATGAGGGGCGAGGGACTATCTAAGAAAGACATGATCAGTAAGGCACGAAGGATCATGCCTTGTGCAGACTTCAAGATGGTGATCGAGGAAATAAACAAAGTCCCCGAAGGCACCGACGGACATGTAGAAAGCCTGGAGGGGGGAGATTGGCTCGAGGAGGGAGAGATCAGAAAACTCCCAAGGCCTGGAGAGACCCCGCAGGTGAGTGAAGAGATAAGACAGGCGCATCTGAGGAGGACTGGAGGAAGGGTGGTTACAAGGTTTCCCCCCGAGCCAAATGGGATTCTTCACATTGGACATGTGAAGGCGATAAATCTAAACTTTGAGTATGCCAAGAAGTTTGGAGGGTATACCTACCTGAGATATGACGACACAAACCCGAGGAATGAGGAGCCAGAGTACTTTGATTCGATTTATGAAGATGTCCTGTGGCTTGGGTTTGAGCCCTATAAGGTTACGGCCTCGAGCGATTACTTTGACAAGATGACTGAGTTTGGATTCCAGCTGATAAGGAAAGGGAAAGCATACATCTGCCATCTTTCACAGGAGGAGATATGCGAAAGAAGGAGAGAATTTGCATCAAACAACATGAAAGACAGATCGTATTTGAGCCAGTACAGAAACAGGTCTGTCGAAGAAAATCTAAGGATCTTCCAAGAGATGATTGATGGCAAATGGGGGGAGGGAAAGGCATGCCTCAGATTTAAGATGGACACACAGACAAAGAATCCTCTAATGCTTGACCTGGTGGGCATCCGAGTTCTTGATGCAGTGCATCCTACAAAGAAGGTGAAGTATCCTGTGTACCCGACATATGAGTTCGCTCTCTGTGTTTCCGATAGTTTGGAGGATGTGACGCACTCTTTCTGCACAAGAGAGTTTTTTACAAGACAGGAAAGCTACAACTGGCTGCTTGAGCAGCTCGAGATATACAAGCCCATCCAGTGGGAATTCAGCAGGCTGAACATAAGTAACACTGTTCTGAGCAAAAGGAAGCTAGTGCCACTGGTAAAATACGGGATAAAGCTAGATGACCCCAGGCTCTTTACAATAAAGGGTATGAGGAGAAGAGGCTTCCCTCCAAATGCCATCAACCAATTCTGTAGAAGCCTTGGGCTAACCTTTTCGGAAACAACGGTCGACGTGAAAAAGCTTGAGAATTTTGTGAGGGCTGAGCTTAACAAAACCGCCAGGAGGGTTATGTGTGTGAAGGATCCATTGAAGGTGACCATAGTGAATGCTGAGCCCTTCAGCATATCCATTCCAGACTTTCCCGGATCGGATGTGACGAGGGATGTTTCTTTCACTCCTGTTATATACATAGAGAAGTCTGACTTTATGGAGAAGGGAGGCGAAGACTTCTTAAGGCTTACTCCTGAGCAGCCTGTTGGCCTGTATATGGCCTATCCTATAAGGGTTGTAAAGGTGACTGATGACGGGATACTTGCGGAGAGATGGGACGGAGTTCCAAAGAAGTTCATACACTGGGTTAGCTCTGATGCTGTCAAAGTGGAAATGCGAATGTACTCTCCTCTCTGGACATCGTTCAGCCCAAAGGACTCCACCTACCTTGAGGAAATGAACAAAGACAGCCTCGAGATCTTCCATGGACTTTGTGACAGGAGAATTGCCGGGGCAAAGGTAGAGGATAAATTCCAGTTCCAGCGAATAGGGTATTTCTGTGTGGATAAGGACACGACGGAAGAAAGCATTGTTGTAAACCTTACTATTCCCCTTAAGAATATTGTTTGAGGGCTATCTTTTGCCATAAGTGTTTTTTTTGATACCTTTGATAACAAAAGGGGGGAAGGCTTGCCCTTGGAAGATGTTTAACGAGAGAGAGATGACAGGCACGACCATTATCGCAATAAAGTACGACGATGGGGTGCTAATTGGAGCGGACTCGAGAACATCGATGGGAACGTATATTCCAAGCAGAGTGACAGACAAGCTTACACAAATCACAGGCAAGATATTTGTTTGCAGGTCGGGAAGTGCAGCCGACACCCAGACGATTTCCGAATACCTGAAGATGTATCTTAAAATGTACTCACAACTCGAGAACGCCGCTCCTCTTGTTCACAGGGCGGCAACTCTAGCAAGCAAGATCATATATGAAAACCCAAGCCTCCTGGCAGGCCTTATAGTTGCTGGCTATGACGAGAAGCCAAGGATATTCAATATATCTCTTGGAGGAACGCTTATGGAGTGTGATTGGACTATCGGGGGATCTGGATCTGCATTTATATACAGCTATTGCGACATGAACTGGAGAAGCGGGATGAGTCTTGAGGAGGGGATTCGATTTATCAAGGATGCCGTTACATGTGCAATAAGCAGGGATAATGCCTCTGGGGGGTGCATAAGGATGTCTGCGATCACTAGAGATGGCGTCCAAAGGTACTTCTATCCAGGGGACAAGGTGCTTCAGTAAACTCTGTTTGTGTTGATTTCTCTATGTTTTCTTTATTTAGAACTCTTGAAGACAAATAAACGAGGGTATCTGATTATGATGATGAGGGAAATGGCTGTTGTCACGATTGTATCAATAGGGCTCTTGTTCTTTTCAATGTCTGCAGATCCATATGAACGGCCGTTCGTTATAGGCGACAGATCAATATCCAAGCCTTATGTGCGCCACGAAACAATAACCTTTACAGAGATCACAGTTGTATCGGTTGTTATTCCTCTCATATTCATGTTTGGGACACTTCGTATAAATGCCATAGAAAACACTTGTGAGGCATACTTCTATCTGTCATTTATAATAGCCTGCCTTGCCACGTCTGCTATTGTTGAGAACATGAAGAACATGGTTGGGCGGCTCCGGCCTGATTTCCTAAGCAGGTGCAGTCCTGTTGGTGGAAAGTGTACGGGGAGTCCGAAGCTTATTCTCGAGGGGAGGAGGAGCTTTCCGTCCGGTCACACCTCTATTGCGGCATGCAGCTTTATCTTTCTGGTTCTCTTTGCCTCCAAGGAGTCCAAGCTTCCTAGGATTAGAGCAAAGCTGAATCAAGTATTTGTATTTTTGCTTTACTTTACACTTCTGGTGGTACCTGTTGCTGTAGGAGCGAGTCGAGTAATGGACAACAAGCATTTCGTCTCCGATGTGATAGGAGGAGGGATCATTGGTGCACTTGTTGGGATTGCTAGGTTCAAGCGCCTTGAGGCGACTGCTGTACAAGAAAGGTACAAGAGCATTGAGCCGTGAATGATATAAATGGAGAAGAAAACTAGGCTCGGAAGGGATGGATGATACCAGGATGAATCTTTTTGGATTGGGGAGCAATCATACTCAAAAGGATGGAAATGAGATGTGCCAGAAATTCAGAGACGGCGATCTAAGGGCAGCCATAGTGTCTTCTTCAGATCCACAGGCAGACAGGATGCTTCTCCTTGGACTTAAATGTCTGTTCCAGAGGCAGCTGTCGAGGATGCCCAGGGAGTACATTCTTAGGCAAGTGTTTGACTCCAAGCATGCCAGCATGGCGCTGATAAACTCTGCAAAGGAGGTTGTGGGGGGAATATGCTACAGGCCGTTCTTTGAGCAGGGCTTTGTAGAGATTGTGTTTCTGGCTGTTGACTACGACTTCCAAGTGAAGGGAGTTGGCGGGTTTATGATGGATCTTTTCAAGGAGGTTATCAAGGAAGAAGTGAAAAGCTGCAGGTGGAAGTTGGCGGACGACGTTCTCGGAATCTACGAGCACAAGTACAGGACCATTGAAGACCTCGGCCCGCTTCTAGCCAAAGCACCCGAGTGCGGTGCAAGGCCTCTTTATTTGGTAACGTATGCAGACAACTTTGCAATAGGATACTTCAGGAAGCAAGGTTTTTCTACCGAAATAAGGTTTGGAGGATGGATTGGGTTCATTAAGGATTACGAGGGAGGCACCATAGTTGAGTGCCATGTCTTTTGGGAGATCAATTATCTGAGGAAGCAGGAGATTATTAGGGACATGAAGAGAAAGCTGCTGGAAGAAATGAAGAAAATCAACACCTATCATGTAGTTCACAAGATAGACGACTACTCGAATATTAAGAGCATTGGAGACATCCCGGGCGTCCTGGATGCTAAGGGTTCTGATGAGGAAGATAGTGACATGAGGCGGCAAGCCAGGTTTATTTCGTATCTTATATCTGATCTCCGGATGAATGCGCATGCCTGGCCATTTCTGAAGCCTGTGGATCCTACAGAGGTTCCTGACTACTACAAGCGTATATCCAATCCTATGGATCTGTCCACCATGGCGTCCAAACTAAAAGGCAACGAGTACAAATACATAGAGGCATTTATCGATGATGTGAACTTGATGGTAAATAACTGTCTTACGTACAATGGCAGAGATACACAGTACTACAAGTGTGCACAGATGCTCCTGGCGCACTTCAACAAAAGGCTTGAGTTTTACAAACATGTCATTGATAGACTCCCAAAGAGAAGAGAGGCCAAGTGAATTGTTTTGGGCGGAAGCCTTGTTTTATTGTTTTGAAGATGAAAAATTAAGCAGGGGCAAGGCCCTAGGATGTCATTGGAGGAACTTGAGATGATGGACCAAAGCAATCCTGAGGAGTTTCTTGAGAAGGTGCGGGAGAAGATCCGGATGCTGAACTCTGAGACTAGGATTCTTCAGAGCCGTGTCAGTACTATAAAGCATGATATTTCTACGAAGAACGCCTCGATTGCGGAAAACATGGAGAGGATAAGGCTTAATAAACAGCTTCCTTACCTGGTTGGAAATGTTGTTGAAGTTCTCGATGAGCAGAGTGCTGTTGTGAATGCGTCCACAAGAATGTCGTCGTACCTCCCGATAACAGGGCTTATACCTAACTCTGAGCTTCGACCTGGAGACCTTGTAGCACTGCATAAAGACACAAATATAGTATTTGAGAAGCTTCCACCTGACTATGATATGAAGGTGGGGGGAATGGTGCTGAAATCTGATGCAAAGCCTGACGAGACCTACGAGGACATTGGGGGGCTAGAGAGGCAGATAGAAGAGCTGAATGAGGCAATAGTTCTTTCCCTCACACATCCCGAAAGATTTGAGAAGCTAAACATAAAGCCTCCGAAGGGGGTTCTGATGTATGGCCCGCCTGGGACGGGAAAGACTCTCATGGCAAGGGCCTGTGCAAGCAAGACCAACGCAACGTTCCTCAAGCTTGCAGGGCCTCAGCTGGTGCAGATGTACATTGGAGATGGCGCCAGATTGGTTAGGGATGCATTTGCCCTTGCAAAGGAAAAGAAGCCGACAATTATCTTTATAGATGAAATCGATGCAATAGGGGCAAAGAGGTCCGACTCCGACCAGACGGGAGATAGAGAGGTCCAAAGGACGATGCTGGAGCTTCTCAACCAGCTCGATGGGTTTTCCTCTTCTGAAGAGGTGAAGATAATTGCAGCGACCAACCGAGTAGACATTTTGGACCCTGCTCTGCTGAGAAGCGGGAGGCTCGACAGAAAGATTGAGTTTCCGTTGCCGAATGCGCTCGGCAGGAAAAGGATCTTGCAAATCCACGCAAGAAAGATGAGTGTTAGAGATGATGTAAACTTCGACGAGCTAGCGAGAAGCACCGAGGGATTCAACGGGGCACAATGCAAGGCAGTCTGCGTAGAGGCAGGGATGGCGGCCCTAAGGAAGGAGAAGACTGAAATTTCCCAAAACGACTTCATGGATGGGATCCAAGAGGTTCTGAGCAGGAAGAAGTCGAAGCTCCTCTACTTTACATGATTAAAGCTGTTCCATTGGATTTCATGGCCTTTCAACTATGCCAAGGCCTTTTTACTCTTTATATTATTTGATTTGGCAGTTTTGAAACAGGATCAGAAATAAAAGATACGGATATTCATTGACAACAATGAAGGAGAGGCACAGAGTGCTGCTGTTGTCCGGGCTGATACTGTTCTCCTTTTACTTTGTGTACGACATCCCGTCTGCACTCAGCCACCATTTAAGCTTCGGCTCAGACTCAGGAATAGAATACAAGATAACTCTGCTTTACTCTGTATACTCACTTCCAAACATAATCGTTCCCATATTCTTTGGGTGGATTACGCATGTAAAAAAGTCTACATTGGCCAAGCTTCTGTGCACCTTTGTCTTCCTTGGGCATCTGATCTTCACTGCAGGTGTGTGGAGCCGGAGCTTTAAGATCATGCTTATTGGGAGGTTTCTGTTTGGAGTCGGAGGAGAGAGCTTTGCCGTTATCCAGAACAAGTTAATATCTTATGAGTTCAAGGGGAAGGAGCTGGGGTTTGCGATGGGGATTTTCTCATGCATTGCTAGGCTGGGCACGGTTGCAAACTTCCTCTTCACGCCGTTTCTTGCGGACACGGTTGGCAGAATGTTTCCATGCGTGATCGGGATATTTTTAACGCTCTTGGGACTTTGGGTATGCTTCAGGATAAACAGCTCAGAAAGATCGCACAAGATACTGAAGCAAAAGCTTATTGACCTACAGAAGGAGGGATTTGGAGGCGAGGCTCAAGACAGAAGAGCGAATCCTGGGGAGGGTTTTCTTAACGACCCGGGATCTGCAGCCTTCTCAGAAGCCATAGGCCCCACACCCAAAAGCACTTCCAATGCCTTAAACATCCCTGAAAGCCCGTTCTTCCACGACTACAGCGAATCTAAGCCTAAGGAGCTTCCCCAGGAAGATCCGATTCTTTTCGACAGCCCCTTTTCTCCTTGGAAGGGTGATAGCAAAGAAAGCACAACGGTAAAGAGCAGGCTTGAAAAGGCAAAGCCCAAGGTTCTCTTCGAGGAATCCGGGATGCTGTTTTACGAGCCCAGGCTCGAGGGGAAGAATACACACCATTCTGCATTCTACATACTTGTTGGTATGTCCTTTTTATTTGCCCTGATATGGTCGCCGTTTTACACAGTAGCCCCGATGCTATTCCAAAAAAGGTATGGCCTGTCCGCTGTCTCATCGGGAAATATCCTGGCAACTATCGAGGGCACGTCTCTGGTGCTGATTACATTTACAAGTGCAATCGCCGATGCGTATGGATTCAAGCTGTGGCTGATTATGGCCGGATGCATTCTCTTTCTCATAGGCCACTCCGGTATATTTTTCAACTTCCTGTCTCCCTATGCATCGGCCACCCTCCTAGGATTCTCCGGTCCACTCATAGCCTGCTATTGGCCATGCATCCCATCCCTAGTATCCGAGGAGTCCTTGGGAACAGGCTTTGCCACCATATACTGCATACTGAACCTGGCGTTTACGTTTTCTCCTGTCGTTGTTGCATTTCTTGCAACCGGGGACGACTCATACGACAATGTTGAGGCTTACATATTAGTTATAGGAACGCTGGCTCTTATTCTGGTTGGATTTCTTTTCTACCTGAACAAAAAGCAGTCCCTGGGGCTGAATAGAAAAACACTGATGGAGGCAGACTAATGATGGAAATTCCAGTACAATTAATAAAGGCTTTTGATTTAATGTCCTCATCACTGCAACGTAGAGAATAACGGATGGAGCTTGTCCATATTCTTCGCCCTGATTATCCTTCTCCTGTCTCTATATTGGAGTAAGAGTATGAATGCAAGATTTACACCCGCAACTATAAGTAGCGTGCCAATGATGGTTTTGAAGTGCTCTCCGACAATAAAATGTGCTTCTACAGTGTATTTTTCATTTTCCCCCAGATATACAACTAAATCTGTGTTTGGAATGGCTATTGAATCAATCACATAGGGGCCGGCATATGGACTCCCGTTCCTTCCTGGTGTCCCTATCATCAAGCTGTCGACTATAAGGTTCATCGTCCCCAGCCCGATGTATGCAACGTGGTGCTTTAGATGCACAAATGTGCTGTAGGGCACTTGGTTTGAAATTATGATTCTCTCTCCGTCTCCGTAGGACACCAAGTAAGACACCCCCGGAACAACAGATCCATACTTCTGCTGCCCTGGGTGGATTGTTGACAGGCTGAGCTTCAGATTCTCCTTAGACAAATCGTTTTTGTAGGCCTCTACAACCGCGCTATTATCCACAACTCTATTCAGGAACACCGCCTCCCGTCCCTTGTTATTATAATCACAGCAGCTTATCGAGATGACATTCTTGATGCTGAGCAGGTCATCGCTATACGCTGCCTTCTCAAACTGGATGTCATCAGGAGTGGAGTTGTTTTCAAGAACCCCGACCTTCGTGCTATTGTCTATATCTTTCATTATGATGAAGAAGTCCTGCCTTCCCTTTGCCCTGAGATCTGCGTTGAATATTCCGTATGGCAGGCCTTCAAAATGGTCCTCTGACTTCAGTAAGGGGGTGCAGTTTGGAAACATCTCACCCAGATCTATCACCTTCATGTTTCCTTCTGAAAACACTGTGCTGTCGACCTGATGCGGAAGGAATCCCCCAAGAAGCCTTTTGCCACCACTATCAACCCTGGAGGTCATGTTGAAATATATCTTCAGAAGATACTTTTCTCCGCTCTTTTGAACAAACCCCATGTCATTCATCCCATTCCCATTGAAGTCTGCGAAGACTATGGGGCCTATTTCATTGGGAAGCCTCATCTCGAAATAGCTCACAAACTCCCCGTTTCTGTTGCTCAGAACCCTCAAAAGCTTCCCTCCCCTTCCGTCTTCAACAACAAGGCAAAGACAGGCCTTCATGGTCCCATCAAGCTCAACAAATGCAGATGTGTGGTCGCGGTGGAGCCTTCCATACTCGTCGGCAGAGTCTTTGATTATGTTCCTATCCTCGTCAATTCTGACTTTCTTCAGCCCATCACCGTACTGGATGAGTAGCTGTGGACGTAGGTCATTGGGACAGGCATAAAGAAACGGTGCTGCGACCGATTCTCCAAGATGCTTTGCCTCATCCTCGTCCAGGAAGTACATGTAGGTGTCAAACTTTCCCGGCCCCTTCTTTGTGACAAGAGCATAGCTCACATTGCCGGTCCCTGTAAAGTCGCCTGGAATAACCAGATGAATTTTCTCTTTGTGCTTATAGCTGAACACCTCGTCATACATGTCTTTCTCAGAATTGTAGTGATAGCCCTTGAAAGTTGTGTATCCCTGGTCCACTCCAACAAGGTCGTATGTTCGGTTGTTAAGGATGTCCGAGTATGCCAGCAGTATGAATCCCGAGAGCAGTGTCTTTCTGGAAGTGCTGAAGTCCACCATTACCGATAGGGGATCGAATCTTGAAGGCAATAATAAAGGAAGTGCGTGATGATTGGTGTTTTGTTTGGCCTTTACCAATGATACCGAAAGGAAGTCTCCCGAATTTATTGCACTAATAGCCCATAGGAATGCCTGAAAGTCCAAATATTCTGCACAAGCTTAAGAAGTGTGCTGAGATTTCGAGGGAAATAGAGACGCAGGCCAACACGCTGAGTTCACTGATTGAAAGACTCCAGCTAAATGCTATTGATGGATTCAGGCCCTACATAAATCCAAAGAGAAACATCAGCAAGCTCCTGGCATTCTACAACACATTTATATCGACGAAGGAAGTAATAGAGGAAGAGAAGTCGAAGATAAACGAAGTATTTGGAGAGTCTGAAAAAAGGTTTCTTCCTCGGGACCTGAAAATGCTCCTTGAGAAGAAAACAATGGAATCTGCTAGGACGCTTGTTGACATGGGAAATGTACTCAAGGAGTATGAGGGTGTCAGGATTGTAGGTGTCGAGATCAATTCCCTGAACGAGTTTGTTGAAAAGACGATGGATGGGATTTCCGAGTCATTCTTTGTGTCGCTGAGAAGGTCTGGCGAATACAAGCCTGAGTTCCGAGAGTTTGCAACCTTCCTTCTTTCGAGCTGCAACAAAAGAAGATTTATTAGCAAGTACACGGACACAGTTTACTCCATGCTAGGGTTTGACGACATTGGAACAAACGTGAAGACGCTGCTGGAGAGAACAACCAACCTAGACAAGTTTCTGCTGGATATTATCAAAATGAACAACAGCATACTTGGGGAAGAGAACTCCGAGGTTACGAATATCGGGCTGCTAAAAATGTTTATGATTGGACTGAAGAGAGTGATAGCGGACAACCTTATGAAGATGGAGAAGGAGGAGGACATCTTCAATGTGCAATTTCTGATAATGCTGAACAATCAGCTCAACTACTCTGGTGACAAGAGAATCCAGGTAGTGGAGGAGCTTTATGTGTTTAAGGACAGCATACACAAGATTATGTGCAACAGCATTCTTAGGTACTTCGAGGACCTAGACATGCTGATGGAGCCCGACAAAAACCAGGGCACAGAAAAGCTGTGCTTAAAGATGAAGGAGGCTCTGGATGCCTTCTATGACCACAGGGATGTCTCTGAGGTTTTTGCATCGGAGTATGGAAGGGACTTTGGGCTGGAGACTTCCCAAGACATCTTTGAGAAGTTCAGTGCCAGGACAGTTGAAAAGATATTGGTTTTGGCAGAGACTCTGAGGGGAATTTCAAAGTCTGTCTATACCATAAACAATGTCTATGTGTTTCGTAATTATCTGAAGAGCATTGAAGGGATTCCAATAGAGAAGATGATTGAGGTGAATCTCGAAGACATTCTGGGTGTATGGAAAAAGGAGATTTCGAGGAGAAAGGAAGAGGACATCACTCTGTTTCTCGACAAGAACATCGAAAGCCAGGGGAGGTATCGCCTTCCCAAGGAGCTTGGTGAAAGACTTGCCGGCGATATCGAGAATGCTGTCGAAGATGCTCTAAGGAACAAGAAGTACACGGGGGATGACGAAAGCCTGAGAAATAACATCCTGAAGCTTTACCAGGGGGCCTAAATAAATTCACATCAGCTCTTTTTTATTTCTAGATGAAGCCGAAGCCTGTAGAGCATTCGTTGATAGCCAATGTCAGGTACCTCAGGAGGTTCTCGTACGAGGTGTATTCGGGGAGCACAAGCTGATTAAAGCATGTGTGGGCAGTAGGGAGGCTGTCCGTCCTATCGGAAACCCTGTGGATAGAAAACTTCTGCACCTCATTGTTCCCCTGTAGATGTGAAAACCCCTCGAAGGGCAGGGTGGATGTTCCCGTTACAAACTGCAGAAGCTTTGCACGGTTCACAGAATCAAAGCTCTTCACAGCCTTCCAGAACCAGATGATGGTCTTTGAGCTTTCTGTATATCCATAATACAGGGTGTTGGACTTCCAGTCGTCAACGTCTATGTCTGGGACTCCGCATATTAGGAGCTCAAGCTCGTTCTCGTCAAACATCTCAAGAGCCTTATTTCCTAATATCTCGAACAGCCCTGACTTCAATGCAGATAGCTGGAGCTCGATCCCGTTGAAAAGCCTGTACTGCGTTGCCAGACTTATGTATTCAGCCTTATTTGTGTCGTTGACAAAGACGTTGGCGCCATCCTTTATCAGCTCGGCAGTCCTGTGAATCCCAAAGCTTACATCGTCAAAAGAGAATGTTAGTCCTAGAGACTCGTCCACATGGTTGTCTCTTATCCAGGCAAGCGACTTGTAAAACTCTGGATCCGCAGATTCCAGATCCTGCAGGTCGCAACTCTTTCCAAGAATATGCTTGTAAATGAACTTGGACAGATGAAGGTTTATGAAGTTCCCATCCATTATAGCCTTTGCAACTATCCTCCCGACAAACTTGAAGTATGATAAATGCTCGGGATTGACATAGCTATTCTTGCAAGGAACGGCTACCGTTTTGTCTTCAGTAGAAAATTCAAACAGAGCAAAGTTTGGATCAAGTAGGTCCTTTGCCAGTAAAACAAGCCATTCTCTTGTCAGTCCTCCATAGTCTAATCCCTCTTCTCCCGTGAGCTTTATCTCCAGTCTTCTCGTTCTGAACTCCTCAGGGCTTTTTGCCATCACCTGGAAGTAGGAGCTCCTCAGCACATCACTTCTGTCCACATACACCCTGTAGGTGGACGAGGACTTGTCTATCCCCTCTACAGAAAGTATTCTCGACAGGTACTTCTTTTTGTTGCTAAACGTTAGTATTGAGTGGCTTATGAGACCGTTGAAGTTCCTGAAAAGCTTTTCCGGCTTCTCGTCAACAAGCAGGTTGATCTGGCTCGCCTGGGCCTCAATGGTGTCCCTATAGAACGTTTTAAACGCACTACATGCCTCTGCATCTCCAGATGCCCCAGACTCACCTTCAAATCGGCTTTCAAACACCCTTCCAATAACAAAGAAAGATTCGTAGACGTCAGACACACTAATCAGGTCTTCAATCGAGTCCTTGCCTTCTTGCTTCCCAAAGAAAGTGCCCCAGAAGGAGTCCATCATCAGGCCTATAAGAACATCGTCTGTCTTTCTGTCGGCCTTGCTGCCTCTTCCCACAATCTTTGCCAGCATCTTCCAAAGCCTTAGAAGTATCTTCTGATTCTCCAAAAACCTATCAGAAGGAAGGCCCGAAATTATATCTTGTGAGAGTGCATGAATCTGCTTTTTCACTTCCACCAGAATGACATCCAGGAACCTTGCATAAAAGTGGTCTGCAGTGTTGTCTATGAATTCTTCGAGAAGGTTGAAGCATTCCGAGTCGATCATTCTTCCAAAACACTCGAGAATGCTCTTCAGATCGGCATTTCTGTCAAAGACAAGATCGCTATCCTTCCTGAAGACGACACTGAAGTCTGTTACCAACCTTAGGAGGTCGTTCGTCAGCTTGACCTTTCCAAGGAGTTTAAATATCTTGCTTATAACCTCTGGGCTGTCCCTGAAATAGTCGTAGTATCTTAATGAGCTTTTGACAACACTGAGAAGCAAGCACAGGATTCTTCTGAACTTCACCGCATCGTGGCTGCCAAGGCCGTCTTCCTGAGAATCTGCAATTGACAGAATCATCGCCTTGGATACCTCAAAGACAACCCTCTTCATCTTCAGATCCTTCGAGAGCGCATCAACCAGCTTCCAGCTTTTAGCAAATGGAAATTCCTTCTCAACAATAGATTTCCTAATAAACTTCTCAAATGTTAGGAGGTCCATCTCAAGAAGGCTGCCCTTGGCCTCAGTCGCATCCTCATCACTCTCTTTTGTAGACTCCATCTGGATATCATAAAAAAAGCTTTCCCTGTACACTCTCTCCATCTCCTCGAAAACAGGCCTTACATTGGAAGAGAGCCTGTCATAGAAGCTTATGTTCAGAGGCACATATGTGAGAGACTGGGCCCTTCGCTCGTCAAAGTAAGCCTTCAGCACCTCCTCCAGCTCATACCGCTCCATCGTGTTGAGGACCTCAGGATCAAGCGGTGGAATCTCTCCGTTTTGTGATCCGACGTCAGATTCAGACGACCCCACGTCCTCATTCTCCTCAATCTCCCTACCATTCAATGTGTCTCGGACATCCACCCCTCCGTCCAAGTCCTCTTCACTGTTCTCTTCCGAATTCAATCCAAAGTCCCATATTCTTCTTTTCATGCCGTCTGCGTAATCTCCCTCAGACTCCTCGGACATGTAGCTTTCTGGATCTCTGCATAGAACAGTTGGGTTGTCCAGCTCACAGGCCATGTTTTTCTTCATGTCACCGCCTTTCCGATCATAGCAGTTTGTATCTTTATCAATCAGGTCGGAATAGAGTCTTCTGCTTATCATGGCCTCAATCTCATCCCTGCACTCTGCAGAAATAGTGTAATACTCAGAGCTGAGCAAGTACATCGTCGTCGGCATCTCATGGTCATTCTCAATGCTCTTAATGAACACAGCGTTCTCAGATTCAGAGGAACTCTCAGCCTCATCGGATATTGTGTTTCCGTCCTCTTCCAGATCATGAAATGGCGAGTCGTCAAAATGGCTCTCGTCAGAGTCAAAGCCACTTTCGTCGAACATCTGGTCCTCCGAAGCAAGGCTGTAGTATTCAATGTGGGACTCGTCGTCTCCATAGTCATCTAGATCTTGCAGTATGTCTCCGTAGCAGTACCTGAAAACCCTGCCAAGATAATCTAGCGAGTGCTGGATGCACATGCTATACATGGCATCGTTCTCATCAATCGTTATTATTCTTTCTATCATCTTTTCAAAAATCCCTGCAGACCCCATGAAGATAGAGCCTTCCCTGAACTTTTCCATGGTTGTGTCTTCCTCATTATCATGTCTTAAAATAAATAATGGTGTCAGGCTTCTAATGAGAATAAACGATGTGTTCAGAAAGTCCTCGTTGGATCCGTCTCTGATCTTCTCGAGGAGAAAATCACACACAGACGGGAGTCCTTCGTCCCCGTCTCCCCGCTTCTCCGGGGTACTGCTCGACTTCGACAGAAGAACCTCGGAATGGAGCCCAATCACAAACAGCATCAAGCCCCAGTGCGAATCCCCGACGATTTTGTGCTTGGTGGTCAAGTCTATCTTCTTGATGCATCTCTTGTATATAGTGTCCAAGACTTGATATCTACATATGTCATATAGCAGAGATGGGTTGTTAAACATTATCTCGCAAAGCAGTTGAATTGCCAGCACAAAGCATTCCTGAGTGTCTAGCAGAAGAACAAGCTCCCTGATGAAACTCTTGGCACTTTCTATCTCACCGTCCTTACAAATCCTATCTTTCGTCTCTTCGAGGCAGATCCTGCGGCACCCGTGGTCAAGGCAGACTAAGTCCTTAGGCACAAGGCCAGACCTCCTCAAGCATCTCTCAATAAAAAGATCGTAGTTCCGGTATATTAGAAAGTCATATGACTTTAGGAAATCTCTGTCTTTCGATTTGATCCTTCTGGGAGGAAAATTGACGTTGTCCAGAATGTCTCCAATGTTGGGGCTCACAACATAGGTGAGGAGAATTCTCATCAGCATCATCTCGTCACATGTTTTTATCCGCGAAATCAACTTCTCAAATCCAAGAGGACACAGCTTAGACATCCCCATCTGGAAAACTAGTCTAAGGTACATGATTAGGAAAAACAGTGTCCGAGACAAAGAGACGTCAGATGCAATGAGCCCGGGGATCCTTCTTCCAACTTCCTTGATGTCTATCTTGTGAGGACACCGCCCCACAGTTGCAAACAGAAGAACACAGCTAGCCATTCCAATAAACTCGTCCGAGTATTCAAAGAGTTTGTTTATGATGAGGCATCCGTGGTCATATACCTTCTCATCTATCATCAAGAAGTATTGGAATGATGAAAACGCCCTGATCTTGACCAGTCTCATAGTAAATCTCGGAGATCTTATTATTCTTCTGACCATCAGCCTCTCACACAAAGGTGATGTATGGAACTTTTCGTAAATATCGAGGATCATGTCCATCTCAATGTCAGATAATGGCTCCAAATGCTCGTTGGAATCTCCGAACATTTTCCCAACCCCTTCAATAATCATGTTGCTGAGCTCAACATCACGGGCATCTGCAGATTCCTTGATATTCACTCCCTTCAGGTACTCCAAGAAGATGCGCCTTAGCCCCATATCAGTGCTCATCTTCGGCAATAGCTGGGATACAAAGAAATTCATAACAGCCTTCAGCCTTTCACTGCTCGGATGGGGTGCAAGCAGGCATCTTATAAACTCCTCTCCCGATATCGCATCATAGTGCATCTCTTTGAAGCTCGCACTCAATCTCTCTATGATTCTAAGCCCCAAGACAATCGAGTCGTTTCCTTCTAGAGCCATTATCCCTACCAGCCTCTCAACGAACTCAACAGTCATACTAAACGATTCCTCAACCATCCCAGGATACATCTTCTGGAGTAAAAACACATTACAGAGGTATATGGATTGCAACACATAAAGCCTGCTGTCTTTCTTTGCTGTGCTTTCCTCAAGCCTAGCCCTTACTGATCTGTAGGTGGATAGAAACTTATGCTCTTCAAGATTGTACAACGAGAGAAAGGCTCCATTCAATCTGATGGCTACAAGATAAAATTCCCCCATCATCCTAAACAACCTTTCCTTTACCCCGCTACTCGCTATCTCCATGAAGTCCTCGCACAAAATGCATCCTAGAGCAATCTGGCTGTCATAAGAAAGTACCAAGTCATCAACTTCCCCTTTTTCCTCAATGCAGCCATCCCTTCTCCAGTATCCAGCAACCTCCCCGTTGTCAGGCTCGCACAGCGCTACAATCCTCTCCGTGTCGAGAATAAGATGCTCAAGAGGCTTGTCCAGAGAAGGCCTTGCCTCCTTGTAGACCATCCGATAGACCTCCCCAAAAGACCCCTTGAAGAGATTCTGCATGCCGCAAGAATACCTCAAACTAGCAGCAAGGTCAAACATTTCATCGAAGAATCTAGCAGAATCCTCTCTTGATGGATAAATCTCCATCTTCTCAACAAGGCTAAAGAAGTTGTTGAAAATCTCAGTGCAGTACTCCCTTTCCATAAGCTGGTAACTTGGCTTCGCCCCAAAAAGAGCCTTAAGATAGTTAATCCCATGTCTGTAGAACTTCAGAATATCCTGCTTGAATATGGGGTGGTGCATTATGAGAACATTCAGCAGAGACGCCATCTTATTTGTACTGTTCACGGATCCAAGAAAGTCTGCCTCCCTGCATACCACCAGTAGCTTGAAAAGATACTCTCCATCCGCTATCTCCTCCTGGAACTTAAGATTCAGCGAAAATGCATCAATATAGGAAATAAATGCAGAGATGTACTCGAAGGCAGGCTCAACAGATAGCTGTGTCTTCAGCACAATATCAGCCCCCTTCTCCATGTATGTCGGGAAATTCAGTGGCTCGTCAAACATGAAAGAAGACAGTATCCCTATGCAAACAGACACAAGGCGGGCATCAGAGAGACAAAGCTTTTTGATCGTTGCAACAGTGACGTCCAGAAAGGCACTGTCTTCAAAGCTCCCAACCTCCGCTCTATTTCTTTCGCCCATGTAGATCTCGCCCAGTATCTTGAATGCATACCTGAGGTTTATGTTTTCTTCGATATCGTATTTCTCTGCATGCTCAAGATATTCTGTCAGAACCTTCACTCCGTTTTTAGAAATAAACTCGGAAATACCTCTTGAATTCGTCTCCTTACAATGCATCTTTATTGTACGAAGAAAATGATACCGGACATCTGGCGAGCACTCATAGAACCTTGGCAATGCCTCCATGAGTATATTCATCTTGAGATACCTCGACTTCTGGCTGCCCACAAGGGTGTTGTAAACAAGAAACACCATGTGCCTCTCAAAGCTCCACTCGTTAAATCCATTTGCAAACCTCTCGTAAAAGAATCCGCGGCTGTTACTCAATTCAAGAATTCTGGAGATCTTGATGAAATCAAACTCATCGTAGATAAGTATGTCCAGAAGATTCATAATCGCAAACTCCATGTTCTCAGACAGCTCTCCACTGGCAAACTTCCAAATCTCCAGGGAGTCAACTCTCCCAACCACCTCGTCAAAAACCCCCTCCCCCTTTGCAAGTATCAGAAACACGCATGTTCCAAGAGCATTCAGCACATTCAGCCCGTCTGCATTCGTGGAATTCATCCTCCTCCGAAGCTCAAACACAAGGTTTCCTTTTCCATATTCATTCGAGTGCTGCTTGAGGACACCGAATATGTCTCCATCTTCAAGACCTCCGGGTATGCTTGTAAAGGCTTTGTCAGAAAGGCCAAAAACCTTCTCTGCATCTAATTCGCTGAGATCAATCCCCAGACACTTGAAGAGAATGTCGTGGTCATCAGAAAACTCGTCTAATCCTATGGAATAATTGAGGCAAAACGTAAGCACCTTGTATGCCTCAATCACAATGTCGAGGTCCATTGCATATATGAACTTCATGATCTGCGTGGAAACATCAAGAGGGTGCCTTTGTTTTGAATATCCAAATATTCTTTGAAAGAGCTTGAAAATCGCAACCACCAGCCCTTTGTCTTCTTCGGATATCTCCATCAGCTGTATCCCTTCAGAAAAGTATTTCTTCTCCTCCATAGAGAGAATGCCAAGAAGCTTGTCGCTAAGCCCCCTCCAATATCTGAGAGAAAAGTCTTTGAACGGCCATACATCAAAGTATGCAGAAATCTTCTTGGAAATGCAAGCAAGGTCTTCCTCCTCAACTATGCCTTGAATGTATTCCTGTAGCTTCTCTTCAAGAGGTGACCCCATGCACCTCCATTCAAACCTTTCCTCCATCAAGGGGCTTTTGCAGGACTATAAATACAAAAAAACAATCTTTATCAACAATCTAATCTGTTGAGGTGCCGAGCCCTCTAAATAGACTACTGAACCTCGGAATAGTCTTGCATCTTGCAAGCACTAGATAAACCACTAGCACCAGAAGGCATACCAAGGCAGTGTTGCAGTGCTCATGGACACCGCAGTAGAACCTTGTAAGGGCCCGAATAATCTGATGCCCGTTGTATCCAACCATCGGGATAGCTACTCTGTCTGCCCTTCTGCCACTTGTCTCAAATATGCAGATAATGGGCTTATGGTCGCTTATCTTCACTTCGTGGGCCGATCTGTACACATTGAACTTACTTGTGTAGCATGAAGACACAATCACTCTATCACACCACGATGGCTGCCTCTTACTGCACAGCTCGTCCGTGGATGCAATATATTTGTATGTTGGCTCAAAGTCTATTGTCCCCTCCACAAATGACGGGTATGCATTCTTAAACTCATTGCATTGGTCATCCTTCTTTGCCCTGAGGTAGCTAAGAACTCTTGCCCCTTTGGCAATCCTGAAGTTCATATCCCCGGCCAGAATAACAGTGTCTGTACTCTTCAGGGACTCTTCGTCACAAATGCACTCAAATATCCTTCTGATCTCATTCAGTCTTTTTTTGTTGTTTTCCTGGTGTGCAGACAAGTGGCAGCTTATGAATATGATCCCGTTCGATATCCTGGTCATGCAGACCCCCTTATTGATGAACCCCAATGGCCCAAGCCCCATCCTCATGGCACTTGCAGTGTGTCTTTCTTTCGACAGCACAATCGACCACACCCCGAATACTCGGTCAACAGAAACCACCCTGTAGGACGGGCACATCTTCACAACAGACTTCGCCACGCCACTATAAAGGTCGAAGTGCTCCTGTAGCGATATCAATATCATGTCAGACTTGCAGTCCCTCAAGATCTTTGGAATGGCATCTGCAACCCCCTCCCTGTTATTTACATTCCACGACAAAACAGTCAAGAGCATGCCCTCAAAAAGACCCTTAAATAAATACTGGGAGAATTTATTGTCACATGCTCGGGACTCACTTTGCCCCAATGTTCATGCTTGTGATTAGCGATCTCAGGAATGCAGTCATCTCAACCCTGAGGACGAACTTCTTGGACTTGTTCTTGTAGTTCTTGCACTTCAGAACCATCGTGCAGCTCAGAACATTAATGCTTGCAAAGCTTTCTGTCTTCGCCTGAATGGAGAACGATCCATCGTAGTCGAAAGGCCTTTTCTTGATAAACTCGCGTATCATGCCCTTAAACCGCCCAAAGTCCTCGACCTTTATGTCGGGATTCAGATCAAAGTTGAACGTGATTATCTTCTCAGGCGCCCTTGTCATGTTGATGAGCTTCTTCTTCCAGAGATCGCTGTTCAGGAATTTTATTTTTCCTCCGTTCTCGCCAATCAGAGATGTGCTTGTCAGTCCAAACTCATAAACTCTATAGTCCGTTCCGTCAATTATCACATCGTCGCCCACGTCAAACGGGTGTATGGTAAGCATCATGAAGTTGCGATACATGTCTGGAATTATCTTGCTTGCAACAAAGCTGAATGCGAGGGATCCGCTGAGCGTCAGCGTCAGCAATTCCTTAGGCGGAATTCCAAAAATTATGAGGTAGGTGAAGCAGAGGACCACCGCCACAACCGTGTTCAAGGTGTTTGTAACCACACCGATAAAGTCCTCGGTCCTCGCTATGCTCTTCTCGAGATTCACCCTTTCCATGTAAAAATGCATGATCGTGTCGTGGAACGTCTTCTTCGAGATCGTTCTGTCGTTGTTCGAGTCAAAGAAGGAAAATGCATTCGAGGCATCTTGCGGCGTCGGGAATATGCTGCTGAAGTCACTGAACGAAAGAAAGTCCTTTCCATTGCTTGCCTTGGTAAATACATCTCTTGCAAGAGTCTTGGCATCTATGATTCCGTGAATCTGAGGAGGATTTATCACAAGCCCTCCTACAAACAGATGGGCCCCTTCCTCCCCGCTCTCCTTCCTTATCTCTCGGTTTCTAATGCTTGCCGATGCTCTAAAGCAGAATATGTCCTTACATGAGCATTCAGGGGTTCTACTGCTCACAGACTCAGAGACATCATATCTGTAGTTCTTCATTGCATACACTATTCTCTCGGTCTCCTCCACATCGTTCATCTTGGTTTTAAGTGTCTTCTCCAGGAAGAAGCTTCCGAAGTATCCCATAGCAACCGTTATGACTGAATACGTCATGGACGTTATCATTCCAGATGCAAAGACCTTGCGGGCAATGTCGAAGTCGTATCCATACGACATCTTTACATAGTTCATCCAGTACATGCTTGTCCCAAACCAGGCAGAAACCGTCACAAGCCTTTGTAGCTTTGCATATGAATCAGAGTTTTCAACGATCCCAAGAGTTAATCCCATGAACGTTATGGTTTCTCTTGCTACTGAAAGGAGGATAAACAGCAAAGATATAACAATGGTGCTCAAAAGCACCAGGTTGATGTCCAAGGTAAGTACATGCGGGCTGAGCCCAAAGACATATGTGACGAGCCTTGCCACCAGGGAAATCACGAAGACAGAATAGAATATTCCTCCAATGGCATCTATCATGTAGTTTAATGAGGAACTCCTGGCGGGTGCTGGTGTGAACTCCTCGGCGTCTGTTTCTCCATCTCCCTCAAACCATCTAAAATCTTCTTTTTCCATAAGTCCTACATTGTATGCAAATTTATACGGCCTTTTGTTTCACACCGTTTTTCAAACCAATGTTTTAGGTCTGCCCTCTCCTGCCTTGGTAAACGACCAAGTGAGATTCAACCAGTGTCTAGGTGCTGTCTTCAATATAGTCCTCGCAGTCTACGACATTAATGAAGTTCCTCTTCTTTTCAGAGGATAGCTTCATTCTTAGAGAGACGGTGCTTTTTGACAAGTTCGGCCGGAAGTACCTAGAAATGCTTTCCTTTCTTATCCTCAGGCTGACAGTGCTTTTCAATGGGATATTTATAAGTGTTCCGTTCGGCGGAAGGAATGTCGGAATGCCGAACCTTTCTTCGATGCTTCTTTTGAGTTGCTTCATCCGAGATCTTTCTCCGTGGACAAGCATCACATTCCTTGGACTGCACTGCTCTATCACATTCAATATCCCCTGAGCATCTGCATGCGCACTGAATGACAGGTTCTTTATCTCTATTCTTATGTCCTTCTCCTCTCCAAGAATCTCCAGTCTCTTTGCACCGTTCAGAACCTTTTCTCCTATCGTTCCCCTGACACAGTATCCAGGTATTATTACAAGGTTCTTCTCATCCGAGCACCACTCCTTGAACATCCTGAGGGACATCCCAGAGTGGAGCATCCCCGGTGATGCAAACAGCACCATGGGCCCTTCGTTGTCCATGTAATACTTCTGAAAAGGCTTTATGTGCTTATACTCAAACACATTCCTTTCAAATATCTTCTTTTTGACAGTTTCATTTGTATAGCTGATAAACTTCTTGTAGATCTCGTTTGCCTTTTCCGTTAGTCCACTGGAGAAGTATACAGGTACTTTCAGCCCTGTTCTTTCCCAGTATCCATCCAACAGCAGGCACAACTCCTGAGCCCTCCCCAGTGCAAATATCGGAATCAGAACCCGTCCGCCCCTTGCTATGCAGTCGGAAATCGCCTTGAGGAATTCCCTTTCCTTGACTCTCCTGCAGTCCCTGGTTATTGAGCCATATGTTGATTCCGTGATCAGGAGGTCGGGCCTGACGCATTTGATCGATGCAGGCCCCAGGTGCTTGTCAGGCGTTGTGCTGTAGTCTCCCGTGTACACAACAGACTGGTCTCCAACAACAACATGGAACATTGCTGCCCCCAGAACATGCCCTGCATAGTACGGCGTGATGTAGAAGTCCTCGTCGTGCTTATATGTCTCGCTCATGCTGATCGTAGTGACTTTCTTCATGCAATTGACTATGTCCTGGTATGAGAATATGTTGTCTCCCTTCGCTCCGACTATTTTTCTGAAGTCATCCAACAAGACTGGGCAGACCTCCTTTGTCGGCAGGGTCATGTAAATTGGTCCGTTGTATCCACAAACCTCTGTGAAGTACGGGAGAGCCCCGCAATGGTCCAGATGGAAGTGTGAAATTATCACGCAATCTATGACCTTGTCAAAGCTCTTGGTTTTCGAGATGTATGAGAAGTCTGGGAATCTGCGCTCGTCATTGAACCCCATGTGCATTCCGCAATCAAACATTATTGTCCTCCCTCCAATGGTGACAAGGACACATGACCTCCCAACATCCTGCCCGGCGCCGAGCGGAACGACATTCATCCTGGGGCTTGGGCAAATGCAGTATTTGCAACTGCATGGATTATTATTTGGATGCTTCACCTATGCCCTGATGAAGGCCTTGCTTCTGCCCGGGGAGGATGTCCTGGAAAGCAATGGATACATAAGAGGCCACGGAACACAGCTCAAGGACGATCACATAGTATCAACGTACTTTGGGAGGGTAAGGATTACCAACAAGCTTGTGGCAATAGACCCTGTGTCTCCGATGAAGTACAGCCCGGAGGTTGGGAATGTTGTTATAGGCAGAGTTGTTGGTATCCACAACAAGAAGTGGAAGATGGAACTAAACAGCAAAGCAGATGTTTATCTTGGGCTGTCTGCCATCAACCTGCCCGGCGTGGCTCAACGCCGCAAGCAGGAATCTGACGAGATGTCCATGAGAGACTTCTTCGATATCAATGATCTTGTGGTGTCTGAGGTCCAGAAGGTCAACAGAAATGGCACTGCAGCATTGCACACAAGAAATGACAGATATGGAAAGCTGGGCGAGGGGCTTTTAGTATTTGTTCCCCACTTCCTACTTGAGCCGCTCAAAACTAGGTTTCTCTCCAATGGCAGCATCAGGGCTATTGTTGGATGCAACGGATACATATGGATAGGGAGGAAACACGAAGACCCCTCTACATTTGTGGAGGCAGCCAGGGTTGCTTCCAGAGTAAGAGAGATGGCATTCCAAAATAGATATATCAATATGGAGAGGTTACTTGAAAAGGAATTGCAGAATTAAATTTTTACAACAACGCTTAGGCTCTTAAGGGTTATTCCCCGATGATAAAAGTTTCTCCGCTCCAGAAAGGGAATGGTGTACTAGACTATCTTTCGAATGCAACTTGGCACTACGACAATTCGATAACGCCGGACTATGAGGTGAACGGCTCTGCTGCCTTGCTGTTTCTGTCTCTTCGCTTCCACTGCTGCAAGCCAGAGTATATATACAAAAGAATCAACAAGCTCAAGCCTTACAAAGTGCGGATATTGCTTGTCCATGTGGATGTTCCCAACCACAGCAAAATGATTCGGGAGCTCTTTGACACTGTTTCTCTGACGATGGTTCTCGGGTTTAGTGTGGAGGAGTGTTCGAGATATATCCAGGGATTTGATGCAGCGGGAAAAAGATCGATTGATGTGATAAGAAGAGGGAGCCGGGACGAGGAGGGGTTTCTGTGTGCTTTTCCAAAGGTAAACAAAAGCGATGTTCAACAGATACTTAAGGATTGCGGAACACTTCGGAGGTTCTTCGGAAGGTCTCCCGAGGAGATGGAAAGAATCCAGGGCCTAGGAAAAGGCAAAGCCGAGGAGATTACCAAATACCTTAATATGCAATTTGAATGAAGTGGGATATTTCCTAATATGGAAGGCGAGGAGAAAATTTTGGGAGAAGAAAGCCCTCAGATGAATGCAAAACTCCTGAAAAAATACAAAAACTTTATTGGCGACAATGAGTTTTTCAGGGCGTTTATACCAAACTACGAGGAGGTCATGAAGGGGGATGATGAACCTATCGAGCCCTATACATTTGTCAGCAGTCCCCGGTTTGTTCTGCACGAGCTTAAAGATTATCAGATTGAAGGATTAAACTGGCTGATTAATATGCATGAAAATTCTATAAATTGCATACTAGCAGATGAGATGGGGTTAGGAAAGACGCTCCAGACGATCGCATTTCTCGGGTACATCCGGTATGTGAAAAAGGAGAGGAAGAAGCACTTGATTGTACTTCCGAAGTCCACTCTTGCAAACTGGAAGAGGGAGTTTAAGAAGTTTATGCCTAACTACAAGGTCCGTGTGTTCTATTCCTCCCGGAAGGAGATGAGGAAGGAGGCAGAAGAGATTATGTCCTCGAAGTGGGATGCGTGCCTAACAACATATGAGATGTGTATAAACGCAAAGAACATCCTTAATACGGTTGATTGGTCATACATAATCATAGACGAGGCCCATAGAATAAAAAACGAGCACAGCCTGCTTAGTAAGATTGTCAGGATCTTCTCGTGCGACCACCGCCTCCTCATCACTGGGACGCCTCTCCAGAACAATGTCCATGAGCTGTGGGCATTATTAAACTTTATAGTTCCGGAGATTTTCAATGACGCCGAGAAGTTTGAGAAATATGTAATGAATATAGATGAGGGAGATGGAGAGGCCATAAAAAGAATCAGAAGCGTTCTCCAGCTCTTTTTTCTGAGAAGGGAGAAGGTAGATGTTGAGGAGGGGCTTCCTCCGAAAAAGGTCATCAACCTGTACTCGAAGCTGAGTCCCATGCAAAGAGAATGGTACAGGATGCTCCTGAAAAGAGATCTCTCTCCTCTTGGAAGCACAAGGGACCCAAAGGGGATGCTTATGAATGTTGTTATGCAGCTGAGGAAGTGCTGCAACCACCCATATCTGTTTCCTGATGCAGAGCCCGAGCCTTACACGAACGATAAGCACATAATTGAGAACTCTGGGAAGATGGTGATGCTTGATAAGCTGCTGGCCAATCTCAAGGCTAAGGGCTCCAGGGTTCTTATTTTCAGCCAGATGTCGATGATGCTGGATATACTTGAGGACTATGCGATGTTTAAGGGGTATGAGTATTGCAGAATTGACGGGTCTACATCCTACAGGGACAGGACCGAGGCGATTGACACGTTCAATGCAGAGGGAAGTGACAAGTTCATATTTCTTCTGACGACAAGAGCAGGAGGTCTTGGGATAAACCTGTCTACTGCAGACACAGTGATTCTGTTTGATTCTGACTGGAATCCGCAAATGGATCTTCAGGCACAGGACAGAGCCCACCGCATAGGACAGAAGAAGCAGGTTATGGTGTTCCGACTGATTAGCGAGAATACTGTTGAGGAGAGGATTGTCTATAGGTCGTTGCAGAAGCTCAAACTAGATGACATTTTGCTGCAGGGAAGCCAAAGAAACTCCACGGTCAGCCAGTCTGAGCTTATCGACATACTGGCAAACGGAATAGAGATTGCCGAGGACGACGGGGAAGACGAAAGCATTGATGATTTGATTAGAAGAGGAGAAGAAAAGACCCGGGAGATGAATATGAAGCTGTGTGACTTCAAAATCAGCGACACACTGAACACGAACATTGATTGCTACACATGGGAGGGGGAAGACTATAATGTCAAGAAGATTGAGAGCTTTATTGAGAACACCCAGAATGGCCAAGGAAGATCCTCAAGGGCAAGTGTCCTCTTCCGGGCAAGGCCTAGAGTTGTCGAATACCCTGAGTACCAGTTTTATCCCCGAGAGCTCAAGGACATACAGGAGAAGGAAGTCAGGCTCTATGAAGAGGGCAAAGGCCTTTCACAGGATGATGTGGCTAGAAAGAAGGAGCTTCTGTCACAGGGATTTGACTGGACAAAGAAGGATTTCCAGTCCTATGTGAAGGCAATGGAGAAGGTTGGTAAGGACGATGTCTCAAGAATAGCAATGCTGCTGAGCCACAAGGATGACGTGGAGGCATATCACAAGGTTTTCTGGGAAAGGATAGACGAGCTGAAAGATGCAGAAAAGATAGTAAACTCGATAAACAGAAGCCAACGGAGGCTGGAGAAGAGATCGAGGATTAGAGAAATAATTGAAAGGGATTTCGACGACGTTATCAGAAGGCTAGAGAAGACACGATCGAGGCTTGGGGATTACAATAAGCTCCTGCTGGGCCTCTATAGGAAATACATTGACTACCCGAACTGGGTGGAATACATCCGCAAGGATATCCTGGGGCTTTCAGAGTACAAGTTCGACTATTATCTTCTATCAAGAACAAGCACCGACATTCAGAAGCATATTAACCACCTTGCCGATATGCTAGTCAAGTCCTACAAAAAGACCGATCCATCCAGAGTATATACAAAAACTTGATTTGAACATCTTTAATTAGACAGTAAATTTGTTGTAATAAACATCTAGTTATTTCTATATTTGTCTCTAAGGTTCTCGACATCCACCCAGCTCTTCATAACTGAATTCTTCACCTTTTCGGCATATAGGGCCGGATTGGATGAAAATAAGGCTGCTGCCTCTGTATTGGCAGGAGACGCTGTGTTTGGATCGTTGAGCAGGGACTGTATGGATATCAAGACCCCCATTACATCATAGCTTGGGCTCCATCTATTATTCAGGATGTCCAGGCAGAGCTCTCCATTGGGGTAAATGTTTGGATGGAACATTTCTGAGACAAATCTTACGTTTGGAGGATCCTGGGGATATGTCTCTGGGAATGCTAGAACCAGGCTGAATGTCCCTCCCTCAAAGAGCGTCGATTCCGGGCCGAAGATCACTGCCACCCACGTCATTAAATCGTCCTCCAAAGGCTCTGCAAATATCGTCTTAAACGAGTTTCTCCTTACTCTTTTTAAGTCCTTCATCAGCCTTCGCTTTGCCGGAGTGGACATTTTATGGGGTGGGCCCTATCGATATTTACATACCTTTGCTGTGCGTCAAAGATCCCGGCGCTCTGTAATAATCCTCCTCATCCTTTAGCACTGGGATAGTTTCATGAAAAAATTGCTTCTCGGGGCTGCCCTTGGAAAGATGGTGAACATTCCAAAGACAAGAAACACATTCTGTAAGAAGTGCAGCGGCTATTCCATGCACAAGGTCTCTCAAGCCAAGAAGTCCAAGGACAATCCAAGGGCACAGGGAAACAGAAGATATGCCAGGAAGCAAAGGGGTTATGGTGGTCAGACAAAGCCGATTCTCCGAAGAAAAGCCAAGGTTACTAAAAAGCTTGTCTTAAAGCTGGAATGCACGAAATGCAAGTTTTCTCATCAGAAGCCTTTGAAGAGAGCCAAGCATGTGATATTTGGCGGAGAAAAGAAGACAAGAGGAGAAGCATTGACTTATTAAAATCTCTTTTGAAGCATTCCCCCGCAATCCATTTGTGCTTGCTCAGAACCCCTGTGCATGAACGAGTCTCCATTTATTGTTAGCTCACTAGAGAAAAGATATCCTTTTGAGATATCCAACGGAATGCTCCAGGAGGTCACTCCCCACACTGTCTTTGAGCTCATAAGGGACATAAGAGACCCCGAGCATCCTTATACTCTAGAGCAGCTCGGTGTTGTGTCCAAGGAGGGGATAAGCATAGGGGCTATCAATTCCGATGATTCGGTGCTCGGTATCGGGCTACCGATCAAGTATGTGAGGGTGATGTTCAAGCCCACAATACCTCACTGTTCGATGGCAGCAGTGATAGGGCTATGTATAAAAGCGCAATTGAACAAGTACGTAAGAAGCCATTTTATCCAAGTCCATATAGTAGATGGCGGGCATATAAACTTCAAGGCCTTAAACAAGCAGCTGGACGATAAGGACAGGGTCCTTGCAGCAATGGAGAATGAAACCTTGGCTGACCTTATGAAAGAATGCCTCCCAGATCTATAGTGCATTTGCGGATGCTTGAGAAGCCCACTCATCCACCAAAGAAATCGCATCTCATCGGGACTTCTTTGAATTGCTCTTCGCATCTATCAAACAATCTAAAATCATGGCCGCTCTCATCAATAGCCATAACACAGGCAATATTACCAGAAGAATAGCAGTAGTTCGGGGCTCCCCACACAGTGTACAGCCTCTCGCCGAAGTATGCTTTATAGCCATCACTAACCAGCTGATGAGATCGTACAAAACAGAGCATACCGTGTTCATCAAGAAACTTTTTCAGGACGTCTTCGCCAAATAAATATCCAGCACCTCTTTGGCTTTTCTGAAACCCAGGAGTTTCATCTGGATCACTCCACAAAATATCGTTTATCTCCGTGACCTCCCCCACCCTATCATGGTTCATTATGAAGTCTGAGGACATTCCAGGAATTAGCCCGCCGTGCACACAGAAGTATTTTCCCAGGACTATTGCTGCAACAGGGAGATACTGGAAGGCCTCACAGATCCTCCAGTACACAATAAGATCGTACTTACGAACACACTCCTCCTTGAATCCGTAAACCGAGGAGAGCATGCGTGTTTCATGATTCCCTCTTAAAAGATACAGATTGTTTTTATAGAGTCTTTTGTATGCAAACAGGAGGAGAATAAGGTCGACAGAGTTGTATCCTCTGTCAACGTAGTCTCCAAGAAATAGATATGGCTTTTCTGATGGGTCTTCCATTAGACTCAGCATGTTCAGCACATCGTAGAAGTGTCCGTGTACATCGCCAACAACGTTGACCGGGGTGTCTATATGTAGGATGTTTGGCTCCGACTCGAGGATCTTCCGAACCTCTCTGACCAGCAGCAGAGCCTCTTCTCTTGATGGCAGGATGGAGTTTTTTATATTCTCAAGCATGGCAAGGTGCTTTTCTTCGGCAGGGCCATTAGTCATTGGGGAGGAATTGAAACAAGTCTTATCCCCTCCCCTGCCGATGCCTTGGGTTCTTAAAATCCTAAGAGATTTCTGTGGCTGCTACAAGAAAGAGGTGCCTACCGAGGCCGAAAGAAAGGTTAAGGAGATGGATGGATGCAAGGGATCCCAAAGGCCAGCCCTACCAAGAAAGCATGATGCCAGGCCGACGCTTGTCCTGGATCTTGATAATACCCTGGTGCATTCAACCTTTGAGATGCCTGAGATCTACGACTTTTGTGTGGAAGTTCCAAAAAGCAAGGGCATGTCCATATATGTAAAGGTAAGACCGCACACTGCCGAGTTTATCGATGAGGTTGGAGCGATGTATGAGTTAGTCATATTCACAGCTGCAAAGAGAGAGTATGCCGGAAAGGTTGTCGAGATGATCGATGCGAACAAAAATATAAGCCACACGCTGTACAGGGAATCATGCACACTTACGAATGGAAGATATGTCAAGGACCTCTGTAAGCTCGGAAGGCCTTTAAACAAAGTGATTATGGTTGATGACAGCCCACACTCTTATGAGTTTCAGCCCCGGAACGGGATTCACATTCCTCCATACACTGGGGCAACAAATGACGATTCTCTTCTCAAGGTCATGAAGTATCTGAAGGAACTCTCAAAGGATGACCTGGTTGGAAGCATGGACCAAGTACCTTTCAGAGACGGATTGATGACAGGATTGAAGCATTGTGATTGAAACGTGTTTAGAAAAAAATATTTAGACCGAAAACATAGCTGAGGCGATGAGAGGGGTTTGGAACGCTATGCAGTTTCTAATAACAATGACAGTGTACTTGTTGTACGTTGTTGTGGGGCTTATAATTGTATCCGTAGCCAAACTTGTGTGCTACGGGGAAAAATCCCAAAGGGCTCTTAGGAGATCTGCAAAGATTGGATGGCTTCATCTCACGCGTGCTATGTTTTCTAGATATTTTCCTCATAGAGTGTTTATTAGGTACAACCCAACAATCCTTAAAAGGAACAGAAATGTTATTATTTCGAATCACCTGACGGAATATGACTGGCTATTTGTCTGCTGTGTCCTCCATTGCTTCGAGAGATTCGAAGACATTTGTATTATTCTCAAGATGTCCTTAAGGAGCATTCCATTGCTAGGCTATGGTATGAAGTTTTTCCAGTTTATTTTCCTAAATAGAAAGATAAGTAAGGACAGGGAGCTGATCATGTCTGGAGCGTCCAGGCTCAAGAGGGAGGGGAAGTACGATCTCCTTCTTTTCCCGGAGGGAACATACATAGACAAGTACTCGCATCCTAAGTCTCACAAGTGGTCAGTTGATGCAAGCATAGAGGTTGAAGGGAGGATCTTTGACCCTGAGGAGGTGCTCATTCCAAGAACTACTGGGTTCAAGATACTTAGAGAAAACATACGGGATGACATGGAAGGAATCATAGACATCACAATGATAGGAAATCCTCATATAAAGTATCCCAACGATGTTTTCTCCTACTGGGATGTGATAGTGAACAAGTCGCAGAAGGTCAATTTTATGTTCTTCCTGGACTATATTCCCAACAGCGACAGCATGGATGGCAACGATTTTCTTCTGAAGCTGTTTGAGAAGAAGGAGAAAATGATATCTGAGTTCAAGAGGGAGAATGGGGACAGGTGCATAAGGAGCATGGAGGAGTTTAAGGGTGTTGCCGATTCGCTTGTGTGCCCTCAATCAAGCCATAGAGATGTAGAGATTGATCTGTCTTCGCACTGGGGCCCTTTCTTCTATGTTATGTTTATTGCTAGCTCAGGGTTGGTACTGGGAGCTATTTCAAGGCTTTGTTGGAAATAAAACGGTTCTAAAAGGATGTTTTCCTGTTTGTTTTGCCATGAAACAAGAGGATGGCCATCGATTGGTGGTGTTTCACCTTTTTTATAACATTGTGCTTGAGGCCGAAGGAGATGGAAAGGGAGACTCTTGTGAGTGGTGCTAGGATCGACTCTGGGATTCTCGAGAAGATCCAGGCTCTTGTAAAGAATAGTGAGGGTGGAGACTTCCGATGTGTGAACTCGGAGAGATTGTCTCCTAGGCCGATTGGGGAGGCCAGAACAAAAGAGGTCGGGAGCCCAGTGGCCGGTGCCAGCCTTAATGTTTGGAGAATCAGCCATCGTGTGCTGGTATTTGGGCAATGCTGGGAGAACTCCACTGAAAACATAACGAAGAGAAACAATACCAAAGAGCTCATCAAGTTTTTTAACGACAACTACAAGGACAGATTTATGATATGGTGTTTTGGAGAGAGTCTCAGGGAGCATGCCAACGTCCAGAAAATACCGTCACTTGATTTTGACCTTGGGCTTGCCTACAGGGTGTCATGTGCCGTAAGATGCTGGCTGGAATTTAGCTCGAACAACATAGCTGCACTTGAGGTGAGAAACGGAGATGAAGACAAGTTGAGATTTCTGGTGGGGTGCATCCTAAGGCACTGCGGGCTTGTCGACAGGACAGAGACGGCGTGGGAGAGGTGCTTTGAAAGTGCCTTTGCATCAAGTCTATCCAACATCAACACTGTCCGAAGGTACATCAGGTACTTTGACTCTGCAAGCACTCTAAAGGGAGATGGGATCCATTCGGTCACTCTGAAGCAACTCATAGTAACCACCATTCCCTCTTCTCCTGCTGAAAACTTCGCGATTGGAATGAAGGTAATGAGGAGGGGAGAGGTGCTATCTATCATCAGAGAGCAGGATGGCAGTGGCAAAGTGTATAGAGATGAGGATTACGTTGTGTTTAGTGGGATCGACTGTGACATACTGGAAGACATACAGATTCTTATGTGCTACTACTTTGGAGGCACGGAAAGGAATGTGGTTCTTTTGAGAATCAACTCTCTTTTCTACAGGCAGGGTCTTTATAGGTTTGTCTTGGACGACATGGAGTGTTTTTTGTCGAAGAAGAAGTTTGATAAGGAGTTCACCATTGATCTTGTTATGATTGAGTCTGGGAAGCCTGTAGAGAAACCTTTGTGCATGCACAAGGCCGATCTTGTCCAAGGACTCAGACTGCTGAACGAGAGTTTCTGCGGAGAGCCTGACAGAGAGACTTACGAGAAGCTTGTCTCTGAGGGCCGAAACGAGATAGCTGCAAAGTTCTGTGCATTTATGAGATACTGTCCTGAGCAGGCCAGAGAGTTTATTGAGAGGTTGGAGGCCCAAGGACTCAAGGCCGGTAGCTTTGAGGCCAAGGCACTCAGGCATACAGATGAGGCATTTAGGAAGAAAGAGTGCAGTCGGAACGAAGGGGCCGAGCTAGAAGCATCCAGCAGCTTGAAGAAATTCGTGTCGAACGGACCAATTGTTGACAGGAGGGCCTTATATGCGATGGAAAGTGGGCAGCTGAGGCCGCTGGAGCTGATAGGAATGTCGCCCAGGATTGAGAAAAAAGCAGATCCAAAGCCAAAGAAGGTAATACTAAAGAAGAAGCAAGCCGAAAAGTGCGACACGCCTTCTGTCATTATCAAAAAGCCTCTCCACTGGATTCCATTGGTGAGGGCCGAGGAGACAATATTCGGAGAGATTTCTGGGATCAACACCGATATTGACTACAAGAAATTCGAGGAGATATTCTGCGAGCCTTTTTCTGAGCAGAAAAGCACAAGCAGGCAGATCCAGAAGAGCATCATAGAAGACAGTAGGCTGTTTCTGGTGTCTCTCTCGCTGAGGCACCTTGAGATGAGGGGCATAACGCCTGAAAATGTGTATTCCATGCTCAAATCACCCGACAACGATCTTGGGCTCCAGGATCTATTGAACATCGAAAAGATGTATCCGGACCATGAGGAGGTCATGAGCCTAATATCGGCATCTCCGGAATCCCTAAGTAAGGTGGAGAAAGCCATGCTGGCATACTCACAACTATTGGATGTTCGTAGGCTCACAGAGATATTGATCTTTGAAAGGAGGTTTTTCGACGAGATATTTCTTATAGAAGATGCCCTCTCGGGCATACTGGAGACTTGTAGTAGGATTCTGGACAGCAAGAACCTTAGGATTGTTCTCAGAATGATTCTTGAGATTGGAAACACAATGAACTTCCGGTACTCAATGAATAAGAAGAAGGCGAGCGGGTTCAAGCTGTCCAGCCTGTATGTGTTCAGCAACTACCGAGGAAAGAACAACGCCTCTCTCTTCCCGTTTTTATTCCAGATGCTGGAGACAAACTGCATAAAGCCAGAGCGTCTACTTGAGGAGTTCTCTCGCGTCCATGACTTGAAGAATGAGGAGCTGATAAAGATACGCGAGAAGATCAACTACTTCATAGAGCTGTATATGGAGAAGGTGGGGCTTCTGGATCTACTGGAGGAAAGCATCAAGGAGGAATACGGGAAGTTCTTCAGGTTTGCATGCAGCAAACTTGAGAGTGTAAGCTGTAACTTCAAGAAGTCCCATTTATATTCCAGCATGATTAAGCGCAAGTTTGGCGAGGAGGAGGCCAAAAGCCTGAAGGAGATATTGGTTACCCTATCCGATTTTCTCTGTAGTATGAGGCAGCAACTCGAACAATATAGAAGAGCTCAGAACCAGACCTTCTGGCCTTGTAGTAATGACGAAATTAAATGAAACATTTTAATTCAGGCATCATGTATTATCTTAGCATCTCCAGGACATGGCTGGCCTTCTTTCTATTCTTGTCGTCGCCACACTTCATCATTCCATACAAAAAGTCCTTTATCCATGGCTCATCCAGCCCAAAGTTCTTTCCATACATCCCAACAAGATCGTCAATAAGCCCAAGGATGTCGTTGCGGGCCTTGCCATTTTCGTCCTCAGTACCTATCTTGTGGGCTATTCCAATGATCCTGGGGAGAACACTTCTAACCTTTGAGCTGTCGCCAATGGCCACCAAAGAACAATTCACAAGCTGGACTGCATTCTTACGGAGACTGTCTACATACTCCTCATCGGAGTACCTTCCAAGCTCAGATATTTGCTGGAATAGCATGACAACCATGTCCAGGTACGACTCGAAATTTCTCTCTAGTGCCAGGGCAATGTCTCCAAACACAGACAGTATTGTTGGCTTGAGGTCTCGGTGAGTAGCTTCAGAGCTGAGGCACTGGACCAGAGACGATGTAAGAACAGTTGCAAGGATGTTGAAGTCTGTTCCCATTGTGTTTGCAAGTCTTCCAACCAGGTTTATCACTGAGCTCAGGACAAACCTATCCGTGCACCTCATATCCCTTGTCATGTAGGGGAGTATCCTGGATGCATGTGGAGAGAACTTTGAAGAAAGGTTTGAGATACTTGTGTAGACCTCCCCAAAGGCTATTGTTGGCGTTGACTCCAGGACTCGTATGAACAGCTCAAGAAGGTCTTCCACGTCCTTCCTCTCTCTTGCAGTTGCTATTGCCTCAATGAGTCCTATGTAGTTCGAAAGGACATCCTCAACAACAAGAAGCTGGTCTTGTGTAGCATATCCCAGCACACTTATGCACTCATCAATCTTCTTTGCCGTGTAGTCGTAGAACCCAACAAGAATGTTCGAAACAGTTTGCGGACATATCAGAATCAGCTCTCCAAGTGCAGAAAACAGTGCAACTCTTAGGCTTGAATCGTTCAGGCTCGCTAGTTCTGTCCCCTTGACCAGCACGTTAAGGACATCCAAGTATTGCTTTACTAGGAAGCTTTCGATAAAACCATCAGCTCTCTTCCTTGTGGCATTTGGTATGTGGCTTGCAAATCCATCCTTCCCCTTGCTGTCTGCTATGGAACGGAATACACAGTCCATCACCCACGAGGCACCAATAGAGGACTTAGAGCTTTCAAGGACAACAGAACCACACTTGCTTAGAATCATTGGAAGGTGGTCCGTCAGTGCATAGAAATTACACTCTGCCACCCTGGATAGTGCCCACAGGCAGGAGTCTTTTGACTCCTCGTATTCTATCCCAGTAACAAGATCCGGTATGATCTTCGTCAAACAGTCCTCACACCTCTCACACATAACACTTCCGAGTGCCACAGCACCTATGTCCACACTGGCCCTGGACCCAGACTTCAAGGATGTCTCTATGAACCCCCACACCATCCCATTCCTCATCATCTTGTCGCCCTTCAACTCGGTGTACATCTCGAGGCAAGAAGATGCAGCCTTGTGTGGCGACCATACGTCTCCATAGTAGTCAGGCCCCTTCTCAAGAAGACTGAGGATCTCCGGCAAGACAACAGGCATGTACTTGTTGATCATCTCTTCATCCTCCTTCTCGGCAAAAATACACCAGTACTCAATTGCCTGGATCTTGATCTCATCATGCCTTGACTTGAAGAACCTCCCCAAATACTGTGCCAGCATGTTCTCTAATACCCTCTTCTCAATAAACTTGTAGTTGAGCATCACAAGCCTGTTGAAGCATATCATCAGCTTGTGTATTAGCTCTTCATCATTTCCATTCCATATTCCTATTGTTGCATTAAGAAATATGTTTACATTCTCTTCGTAGCAGAATATCCCCTTGACCTCCATGCAGTTCATCAGGCACTTAAGCCCAGATAACTTAGTTCGGCTTGAAGTTCCATTTTTAAGAGGATGCATACATATCTCAAACACAATGGCATTATACATCTGAAGCAGATCCGGTGCCTCCTTCACAAGATGGCTACAGCATATTCCCACAGCCTCGCACACCCCGCACGCCGCTTCCTCATCGCAGACCATTCTTTTCATCTCCTCGAAGAACCCTTGATACAAATTGTTTGGAACCTCAATCCTAGCTATCTGGCCAAGGGCGGCCCCGGCCATGGTGCAGAACCTCGGCACAGGCCCTTTCATTGCTCCCTTAACCATGCTCTTCACATACTCCCGGGACTCGAACCTCATGCCTAACCATCTGCTTAGGCAGCCTTTCTGGAGCTCAGGGTCGTTTGCATGAAGACTGTTCTTAAGAATAATCCCAGAAACCATCCGGAGCTGATCATTACTCTTCAGGTCGCCAAAAACCTCCACAAGAATCGATATAAACCTTTCAAAGTCACTTGACTGAAGCTCCAGGATCTTTGCCTCGGCCCTCTTCCCAGCAGCGGGATCGGACTTCAGCACTTCATACAGACATGCTTCCAATCCTCTTCTATCCATGTTGGGGTGATTTTTTCCAATCCATGAAATCTCATATCCGTTCTGTTTAGTATATATTCCTGATTGGCTTTCTCTTTTATATTAGACATTGCTAACGGAACCAAGGCTTGGCGCCAGCTTTTCCCGCCCACACATATAAAAGAAGTTCAAGACCCTCCCGAAATGAAAATCAGAGGACACGGAAGATATTCCTACATGATGTCGCTGGTGACGAACTTCCTCGTCAAGGACAGGATGGTCCTTCTGGGGATTTCAGCAACCGTATTCTTTATAATGCTTTCAAGCAAGTTCCACTTTGAATTTCAAAAGCTGATAACAAAGGTGGAGCAGTATATTGTTGGGAAGGCAACCGATGGGACGGAATCCAGCAGGCTTCTGATTTCGTTCATGCTTCTTCCCATAAACCACTATGTGGCAAGCCTTATCTACAAGCTCATTTCAGCCTATGTCATCCAAATTCTCATGGGAAAGTCCTTTCAGCATTGCTTGAAAGAGTATCTCTTGATCAACTACCATGGATTCCACCATCTGGGATCGGGGCAAATACACTCACTGGTTGAGAGAAGATCCAATGCGATGGTGAGCTTTATGAGGATATTTTTTGCAGACATCTTCTTCAACGTGACATATGTCATGTGGGGGTTCCTGTACTTCTACCGCTGCTCTGTGGGCATTGTGGTACTGACCATTGTCCAAATTCTGGTGTATGCGGTTGTATCATGGCGAGGTACGATCATCAGAAACCACTTCAGAAGGAAGTACAATTCTGCATACAATACAGCCTCAAATAGGCTTTATGGGATCCTGCAAAACTACGACATAATCAAGTCATACAACAAGGAAGAAAAGGAGCTATCCAAGTATCTGGGGACCATTTGGGATGTTGGAAGACACTCCAGAAAGTACGACCAGGTCAACGCCTTTGTGGAGTTTTTCCAGAAAAGTCTTTTCTTCGTTCCAAATGCATTTCTTGTGTTTATGATCATCAACGGATACATGTTCAAGAGCATGACAGTGGGGAATAGATACATCGAGTACTCAAAGTTCTTTTCTGAGCTACGCAACGGGATAATGAAGCTGAAGGACAGCATCTTCACGATGAACGAAAATCTAACGGACATATTCGACTCGAAGATTGAAGACATGGCCGAGGAGGACGACGGCCTTGGGCTTACCATAGAGTCATTCAATGACTCAATAAGATTTTGTGATGTGTCGATTTGCATAGGAAACAAGCTTATAATGGAAGGCTTCAGCGGTGAGATTAAAAAGGGGGAGAAGATAGGCATCATAGGGAAAAACGGCTGTGGGAAGTCATCTCTCATCAATGCACTCCTCAGATTCCTCGAATACAGGGGAGAAATACACATTGACGGCATTGAGCTAAGAAGAATTAGAAAGTCATCCATCCGAAGCCTTATTTCGTTTGTTCCCCAGAACCACCATCTATTCAACGGGACTGTTCTTGAAAACATAGCTTATTCTTGCAACTCCGTTGAATACGAGGATGTTCTGAAGAAGTGCATGCACTTCAATACACACGAGATGTTTAGCAAGCTTGGAAAGGGCTATCAGACTGTTGTTGGGGAAAACGGGAAGTTCCTAAGCGGAGGGCAGAAGCAAAGAATCAGCTTTATGAGAGCTATGGTGAAGGACTCGGACATAATAGTTCTGGACGAGCCGACGTCTAATCTGGATGCAGACTCGGAGAGGGAGCTTGTGGAGATGATACTCAAAAGAATGAATGACAAGACTGTGTTTTTGGTTGTTCACGATCATGATCTTCTCCGAGGCTTCGATAAGATACTTGGGCTTCATGATAATGCAGTTAGAGTGTACGATTCTTTCGATGAATTTATTGTCGATAGATCAAAGTATTGAAAAAGGAGTCTACCTACGAGATATTATGAGATTTGCTTGACACCTACACTATTATAGTTGTTTCATAGATCGTCCTCTTGCCCAGAGAAATCGCCATTCTATTGTTTTCCAAAAGAAGCTTCAGGCCTATGTTGAACCTTTCATCTATTGCGAACACTAGATTTTTCAACACACACAGGTCATCGATGTCATCAAATAAATAAACCTTGCAGTCATACTCTTTGACACCCACACAGCCTAGAACATATCCAAGTATAAGTTCATATGCAAAGTCCACCTTCTTAGAATTAACAAAGACTTTGACGGATGTGTTATGACTGTTTCCCAACTGGTTTATCGAGAGCTTTCTAACTGACGATGGCTCTGTCTTTGTGTCGAGAACTATATGCACCAGGGAATGATCGTAGAGAAGAGCGTTTATCTGTGCGCCGTCATTTCTTTCAAGAACTTTGATATCTGTGCACATCCGGAAGCATGGGGTACTCGACTCATTTATTAACATCTAGGGTAGAAACATCACTTCAGGAAGTGCTTTGAAATCCTCCTGCAGAAATCATCGAAGGCAGGACTCGAGACCATTGCCCTTATCCTTTCTAGCTCATCCCAATGTCTCGCTCTTCTGAATGCACCGCCGCATCGGCAGAATTCTGATAGCCTTGTCTCGTTGATTCTCTCACATCTACTACAATATGAGTCTCCAGCAAGCTCCAGCCAGAGGAGATGCTTGGCTCGGGCCATGCATACATCCAGCACAGCATTCTTTGGGTATGGGTTATAGCACTTTACGCATCGCGACCTTAGCACATTCTCCATCCCACACGAAGGACATACAATATCAAGATCCACTTCTGCTCTTTCCTTCTCTTCAAACTCGCTTAAGTGCAAAAGCCTATAGCAATTGGATACCAGTGCTTGGGCATCTTGCCTGAAGGAAAGAAGCCTCATAACCATCCTGGAGCTTTCTAGAGGAATCCTGGTCACAAGGTTGTACACAAACTCAGAGTCCACCTGACCATCGTCGAAGTAAGCCTTCAGAAACGCTATGGGAACATTTTTCTCACTGAAACAAAAGTACTCCTGCCCATAGAGAAAGAAGTAGGTGCTTGGACTTACAAATGCAAGCCTCTCAAACTTCCTCCTAAGCTTCATCTTCATCATCTCATACCCACAGAGCTCCAGCCCCTTTTTGCATATGTGCTGAAAGAATTCCAGTGCAGACTTTTCGCTTGTCTTTCCCGTGTTGATTGAAATCATGTCCCCTGCCACGCAAATCACATCGTATCTTTCATCTCTCAGCCTCTTCGCAAGGTTCATCATATATCTTTTCTGCAGCATGCAGCAGATGTTCCGGAGATCCGGGCAGATAATCTCAGAGTCCCTTCTTATCCACGCACCTATGTTCCTTAGAAGAAGTCTGGTTCCCTCCTCTCCTCTCACAGAGTCCAGGACTATTCTTTTCAGAAAGTTCCGGAGGACATCGAAATCCTTTCTTGACACCCCACCAAATAGTGTATCCTCCCCCAGAAATGCCTTATACTCAATAATCGAGAGAACTGATGCCCCTGTACACTCAATCTCAATAGTGTATCCCTTGTAGAGCCCAGGCATGAATCTCTCTGTCTTCAGACACGAGAAGTGGTTCGTCACAGACTTCTGCCCCATACACACAACGTTATTCTTCCTTAACTCCCTGTAAAGCAGTACATCCATTAAATGCTCATCTACATTCAAAATAGGTATCCTTGTATATCTGCTAGTCTTGCATATTAGCTCCACTTCTTTTGCCATCAGCTGATGGATCTTCCTCTGTTCATCACAGAGCTCTGAGTATTCACCTAGGGGCAGGCCTCTTCTAAGAGGCATCTCAAGAACATGATACTTTCGTAGGATCTTTCGAAGTTCTGTCTTGCATGGGTCGGCAGAGCTGATAACCACAACCTTCCATTTCCCAAGGTTTTCAAGAAGATACCTCCCGAGATCGTAGAGCCCATCTTCGGCAGAAAATATAAGAACCTCGTCCTCCCCTGCTGCATACACACTTCTTCCTTGGAATATAAAGCTAGACACAACTGTAAACCTGACTTCATGTTCCCCACACTCCCTCATGTTACTATACAAAATCGGGATCTTGTCCTCAAAGACCCTTCTGATAGAAAAATGGCTTAGAAACTTCTTATACAGCGAACGGTTACGTATGAATTCATGCTCCTTCAACCTAATCATGCCCACCTCTACACTTTCAGAACCATCAGGAAGACATACCACCGTCTTCTCAATCTCCCCAGACTCCTCAAAGTATCTCCAGTCATTGACTTCAATGTAGATCCTCCTCTCCAGAGGAATCCTGTCCACAGCATCACCCCATCCACCATAGCATATGTTCATGTATCCATCGTCATCACATGCCACCTTAATAATATCTCCTCTATCCATAATCCTTTCTATAGTTTCCATCCATCCTGTCTCACCTCTAGGTGCGTTCCCCGCAGCTTCAATCAACTCCCTCGTTTCCTCTCGGTTGTTCACACAGTTTTCTTTGTCAACTTCATCATCCCTGCACTTCGCATCCTCAACCACCCCCTCTTTCACTTCTGGTATGCAAAAGACATCCTCAATGTCATTGGTCTTCTTTATGCTAAACCCCTTGAGCTCAGACTTGGTCTTTGCCCACTTGGGTACCTCTACTTCTTTTAATGGATTTTTGATTCCCTGAAATAGAGCAGGCAATATAACCATCCTCTGGACAATACACTCCAGCCTCAGTCTATAATAGTCCCAGTCAATAATGGCTCTGATGTCCCCAGAGTAGTCCCTTTGCAGCCATCTTTTGAGGAACTCCTCTTTCCGATCAGACCGGAAAGTCACCACCGGTATCGCCCTCTCGGCAACAGACCAATTCTCAGGATACGCTGCAATAATGTATTCACATTTTAGCTTTTCTTCAAGAATCCCCTCACCCAAAACCTCAGACATCCTGAGGGCAGTCACAGTAAGGTTCGACTTTCTTCCCCTATAATCACCAAGCCCTTTGGACATGCTTCTGCTTTCGGATAGCAACTCAAGGATCACATCGTCATCAAGATACTCTCCCTTGCTCTTCAGCATGTCCAGCCAATATCTACACACCCCAGCAAGTGACTCGTAGCACTCCTTTAGGTTTCTCCCGTCCAGAAAATGAAGAAATAGCTCCTCCTGAAATTTCTTAATAATCTCCAACTCTCCCCGCCTCTTCACTTCAAACCCTTTGAGCTCTGCAATCCTGTTGTTCCCGTCAATTATCACATACCTCTTTTTTAGCAGCTTGTTTTCCTCGGTCGACGCAGGAAGAAGCATCGCATTGTACGGGCCGTCGATCTCGAAAAATATCGAGTTCTCCGCCCGTGTGATGTACTCGCCGCCAACTCTTTCTTGATACTGGTAATTGGTGAACTTCTTGCACACAAAGTGGTTCAGAATGCTTGACAGAAACGAAAACTTCCTTCCAGAGGGAAGTACATAGGACGACACCAGCGACGAGGGAACTATGCACCATATACCGTCCGTATCCATCTCCAAGGAAATCCCTATCTTCTCTACGACCTCTCTTGCCTTCTTAATGATGTTTCCCCCAACATTGCAGACTATGGCTGCCATCTCCATGCTATACCATCGTGAGCTCTTCCTCATCACATATCCATAAAAGGAGTTCAGGACACACTTATGTGCAACCTGGAGTGAGGAGTACACAATGACAGACTTCATTGCATGCTTCTTTTCTTCCTCAGTCTCTGCCGCCTCAAAGGCCTTCTGGGCCTCAAAATACAGCCTCTTGTAGACATATCTCTGGTCCCTAAACTTCCTAACCGTCTCCACATAAAACGGAACCTCCCTCTGGCAAACAGTCGACCTTCGGGTGCAACTTTCCTTCCTCTTTGCCTTCCTGTATATTCCCTTCGAGTACCTCTTGACTCTTTGCCTCAGCTCTTCATCCTTGTCTCCCACAAAACCCTTCTCCTTCTTTATTTGCCTCCTAATTCTTTCCGTCTCTCCTCTGTTTGCTGCAATATACTCAACCTTCAGAGTCCACTCCATTCTTTTCTTACATCCGTTCAGTTCATCCGAAAAGTCACATCTTATGCAAGTGTCCTCGTCGACAATCGATACAGGCTGCAGCTTGTTAGTAAGGATGATGTTCGGATACATAGCCCCCACATCCAGGTGGTATATAAGCCCTTCCCTTCGGATCCTTCCTCTGTTCTCTTGGAGACTCTTGAGAATCTGAGACTTCATGTCCTCAAAACCCTTTTCCCCACTGTACTCCGAAATCACTTCGTCAAGCTTTAGAACTATCTCGTCAATAAATCCCTCGTCCATCTCAAAGTCGTACTCAAAGTCAGACCTGAAGATCCCAGACTTCAGACACTCAACATACCCCCCAACATATGTGATGCTTTCGGCTATGTGTCCGTTGTGCTCCTGTATCTTCCTTTCCCTTCTTTTCTCCGGAATTATCACCTTATATTCGCTGGCCTCCGAAATAAGTAAGGCCTCACATAGCGTCCCAGACCCTTGGCAAAGTGCCGATGCCGGAGGAAGAGGAATAAGAGAGCACATAGAAAAAATGTGAGGCTGAACATACTTTGTGTAGAGAAAATACGTGGCAACAGAATCAGAAACAGAATACGACGCCATCTTATCAGGGTCAGAGACCGCAAGCCCAACCATGTCCTCGGGATCAATCTCGTCGGGAAAGTATCCTAGCTTCGCTTTGGTAACTGCCTTGAGGCCTTGGCTTCCAGCAGGAAGATAGGAGTCCCTCTTGACCCACTTGTAGCAGTCAAGGTGCACAATAAACGCTGATATGTAGTACTCGTCCTTCTGAACAAACCCAGCAGTCTCTCTAAGACTTATTCCATATCTTGCCATCCTCTTCTCTAGAAATGGGAAGTCAAACAGCGCTCCGTTGAACGTTGTCACCAGATGAGGTCTATGCCTTTGAATCATCTCTATGAATCTGATCAACACCCCTTCCTCATCATCCTCGTTCACTACTTCAAAAACACACTGCATGTCTTCTTTTGGATTGTACTCAAACCTCCGAATGTCTTTCGAAACCAGCTTTCTGTTCACAATCAGCTCTCCACCGCATTCCGTCTTGGCAGATATCATCATCACCTCGTCAGACTCAGGATTCGGAAACTTCAACGGCTTCTTCGATGTTTCTATGTCAAAGGCAAGTATCCTAAGATCAGGAAACACAATCTTCTCGCTCTTCTCTATAACATACGTCTCTCCCGTATAGTAGAACCCATACCACTTCCCGCATCTGATCCTCAGGTCATTGGCAGTGCTTACCTCTGCAGGTATGTCGTGTTCGTGGACAGACTCTATGAGGCCTTCTGCATTGAATGCCCTGTCCTCTCCAAAGCAGTCATACTCATTACTCTTTTGCACTCTGTTCCTTGCTGCTATCCTCTTGATCTCTTTTAGGGCCTCAACAAACCCGGGCTCGGTTCTGAATCTTATCTTCAAAAACGTCCCGGGCTCCTTGTTCAGGTGGTTCTTCTCTTTGAAATCAATCCTCTGCGTCCTTTCCATATCCTGGATCTCCCCAGCATATTTCTTCCTGAGATACTCCTCAACAATATCGTAGTCAGAAGCCTTCACCAAAAGCGATGGGAAATAAGGAATCTTCACAAGAAACTCTCTTCCCTCTTCGTCAATCAGATAGAGCTTTGTTCTCATCCTTCCATCCCTGAGCGTAACCACCGTGTAGTTCAACACCCATCCCTCCCTTCTTCTGCTTTCGTAGTAAGATACAAAGCCATATTGCTCTTCCAGAAGCTCGTCTCTCATTACGGCCTGCGTGTCTTTTGAAAATTAATCAAAATTCTAGCCTGTCTTCCATATTAGGCATTTATTCAGTTGTCCTCGGAAAAAGAATCGTTATCGTCATGGGAGCATATCCGGAACCCGTAGATCCTCGGAACATACTCCTCACACACCCTAGAGGGAAAGTGGTATGAGTGTGCGAGGATCAGGAAGTGAGGGAACGACCTTCCCCATGCACATCCGTCCAACAGCCGGAGGCTGCCTCTGGGCTCATATACATTCGCACAGTTGTGGCAGTAAATCTTTGTGGATGACTTCCCCGGCCCATCGCTCAGTCCAACAGGAATCATCCCAACAGACCTGCATCCTATCTTCGGGCACATCCCATACTCCTTGCCCATCACCTTGTCCAAGATAGCCTCGAGACCAGGTTTTGTGAAGATGTATCTCTGGTGGATCAGGTAGTACAGCGAGGACTCTTCTTTGAAGCCTCTTCTCGGACCTTTATCGAGTATAGAGCTATAAACCTCTTCGAGGTTCTTTATGTATCTGTCCAGCCCAATAATGTTAAACCTGTCCTCCAGAAACTCATCCGGGACACGGACGATGGCATGGTTTTCCTTCCTATGCATGAAGTCTCCCACCCAATACTCGTCGGGGCTCATCCTCAGTAAATTCTCCGAATCGTCCTCTAACAAATTCTCCATCTCCAGGCCTATTTTTGCAGGACAAGAAAAACATTCGACTTTTGCCCACCAATGCTCTCGCCTCTTCCCAAGCAGCTCAGAGCGGGTACTGCCTCTCCCTGAGCCCCATGTCCTATCTGAAACAGATGTTTCACTCTTGGCCTAAAACGTTGAGGAACACAGAGATGAATGCACGCTATAGAGCTAAGGACGCTTTACAACTCGAGGAACTACGAGGAGATCTACAAAAGAATCCAGCAGGAGATGGAGAAGCTAGTTCTTCGAGACAAGCTGTGCACAGACGACTTGGAGGGGCTCCAGTCCTCTGTAGAGGAGGAAGTAAGGAAGTGCATCCATGAGCAGAGGGGAATCCCAAGGCCACTCGTAAACATCATTCTATTGCAAGGCGAGGACTTCGAGAGAAAGATGAGGTCTCTGGTGTGCTCGTATCTGGGATCGCTGTGCTCTGTAGGCTACCAGGAGTTTCTAAACTGCAACTTTCAGAAGCTGTCTTCACTGAAAGGCTGTTTGCCGTGGATAGAGGAGAATGTAGCCAGAATAGACCTTAGGTATTCCCACGTTCCTGACGACTGGAATTTGCCACAGGAGGTGCTGGTCAAATACTACTTTATGACAAAGCAGAGGGTATGCGATTACTTTTTTCATAACGAAGTTGACGAAGAGGACTTCATAGATGCTTTCAATGCAACTGTCAGGTATGAGAAGAGACTGGGGAGGCTGTTTGAGAAGTATGGGTGCAGTGCATGTACTTCCCGTGTGCCCCATGCAGATAGGGCACAGCCGGTGTCAGGCTTGCAAGAAAACATGTGCCCGCATAGAACAATGATATCATCACTATTTATTCCAAACATAGAGATATATTTGAGAAAGTCCCTCGGCCTTTTAGTGGAGCCTGATCTCAAGCAGGAAGATGTTAGAGTGTGCATTGTCTCGAGGTTTTTGGACTTTTTCCGTGGAGTAGAAAAAGTGCTCAAGAAAATTGAGTATCTCGATGACAAATCTGTATATAGGCAGTTTGTAAATCACTGCGATGAGTATTTGAGTCTTCTGATGAGGAAGGTAAGCCTTTCGAGGGACCTCTATGGGTCCATCATTGTACTAAACACACTTCTTTTCATAAGAGAAACAGCCCTAGACCTTCTGGACCGAATCATGGAGAAGTCTGGAGTCGAGGAGGACATCCCAAGAATCCATGCACAGATCAGGAGAATCGAAAGACTACAGAATGCATTTATAGACGACTTTCTTTCAAGCTATTTTTCAGGGCTGGACTTTGCAACGCCCGAGGGGCTTTCCAAAGAAATCATAGGATTCCTGGACGAGAACATAATGAGCGAAAGAACAAAGGGAATACATGAGGATGTTCAAATCACACTGCTAGAAGGGGTGATTTCCCATGCATTCTCAAGAATATACTCCACCAGAATCTCTCCTCAAATTTCGGAAGCTCTTTTGTTTGAAGTCTCAGAGGTAAAGAGGCACTTAAGAACAAAGGTAAGTGTCGTACCTCTCATGGATGTTGTCGAGAAGTATCTCAAGATCTTTCTGTGTCCTCCAGACAATGAGAAGTGCTTTGTGGAGAACTTCATGCTTATGTCAGAAGGTATTTTTTCGTTTGAACAAATTGTAGACAACGTTGGAAACGAGCACGAGGTAGATGCTCTATACTCTGCATATGAGGCTGCAGTAGGCTCCACTGCCACCCTGACCTGACCTCTCATCCTCGGGCAATAAACGACTATCGATCTGCTAGTTTAATTCGCCGGCCTGTACATGTACAGTCCAAGCTTCTTCATCTTAATTGGCTTTATATCGTGGGGTGAATCAATCACCTCAACGTACTTTGCGACCGTCCTCTCTCTCTCCATCTTGTCCTTGAATCCAATTGGCTCCAGAAAGTCAACAGCCAGATCTGTGTCCACGATGTATACTGCATTGCTTAGGGGCTCTATGTGTGCAACAGTGAATCTTATTGATCCAACCTCGTCAAATTGACACAGTATTTCATCTCCCTCAGACAAAACCTGATAGTTCCTCAGGCATGACTCCAATTCCAGCTTTGGATTCTCGATTTCAAGGAAGTCTACAGAATGTGGTATCAGTTTCACAAACCTCCCGAGAGGAAACGTCATGTATCTGAGCACAATCCTGTCTGCATCCTCCATGGAGAGCTGCTGATACATCCACGAGGGGACAACGATCTGGCCCTCCTCCCCGGTAAACTCTAGAACCCCGCAGTGTGTTTTGTAAACCCCATCGGAATGAGAGATTTCAAATGTAAATGGCGGCTGTATCTGGAATGACACAAGATCAACCAGCACCGACTGCGGGACTATCACCTTCCCCCCAAAGTTGTTCTGGTTCCCAGCCTCAAACTTAATTGGGCTCAAAGACCATGAAGGCTTCTCTCCAAAGAACCCAAACAAATCAAATAGCATCCGGGGGCTACGGGAGAGCGAATTATTCTTCGTAACCCACTAGGGGAGTTTTGGCTACACATCGGGAGAGTTTAAACGAAAAGCATGTGCCCTCTGCAGACATATGGAGGATGCTTTACGGGATGGAGGGTTTTTCCCTGAGAAAGAGAGCAGTGAGAAAGAAGCAAAGGAGGATGAGCCCATACTTCTTCCTGTCTCTCTGGACAAGAGATGCAAGTACTGCTCGCAAATCCCGCTTGATGACGAGATCAAGAAGACATTTGGGATTTCTGTCTGCAGGCCATGCCGTTATGATGTCCTCAAGTTTGTTACGAAGACATCCTGTCTATCTGACTATCTTCTGACAGGCGACGAGCTCAAGGAGTTCCGGTTTCTTGAGAGGCCAAATCCCCACAAGGGAACATGGTCGAACATGCACTTATATCTGCAAGAGGAGATTGAGGAGTTTGCAGTCCGCAAGTGGGGATCGCTTGAGAAGATTGAGGAAATGAAGAGAAGAAGGAAAAAGGAGACTGACGATCGAAAGATAAGGAGACTAAGGAAAAGAGTGAAGGCACTTAGAAGAAGGACCAGGATGGATATCCGGAGTGACGAGAGACATGTCCATGTATTCAAAGTGGATGGAGACGTATCTAGATGTGAGTGTGGGATGTCTGTCGAGCAGGAGGAGCTGTAAGCATCAAACAATGGCAGGGATCTATAAAACTTTAGTGGATGTGCCCTTTGATGGTAATCAGATGGAAGGACAAGGAAGCAGTGCTTGGAGGAAAAAGACTAATGTTTGAGGATGAGATTATCAATGCGGGGAGGTTTGGGAGATGGGCTGTTGTTTGTACCCGGACGGGGATCCATTTCTACGGGGAAGAGGACATGACTCTGAAACGGCCAATAAAGGCGGCTTTTGTAAAGAGGGAGGGGGTTTACTACCAGAACAGGGAGAACAGTCATGTGATGTTTGTTTCACACCCGCTTGAGCCCGAGGTGTTTGTATTCTTTGATCACGGGTTTTCCTTAAAGGAGGTTATATCGGGAGAGATGATCCTGGAGGGTGCGGGGGGATATCTCCTGAAGAACGTTGCAATTGAGAAGATTGATATCCAAGATGTGATGGGGTGGTCTTCCTGCTCTGATGCGGCCGATGAGATCAACAGGGCCCGAATGCTAATTGCGCATAAGGTAGGGAGGGGAATGAGGTGCCTTGTTGAGGATTACGAAGGGAATGGAAGGCACGAAAGGGGGATAGGCATGGACATTGTAGACTATGACAGCTTGATGGTGGGTGTGCACGGGAATACAGCGTTGTTTATCAGACCTGGAAGCAGCAGAGGGGGTGTGAAGAGAAGTAAGCTATTGTCTGAGACGAGTGTGAGGTTCGAAACGGAAGCTGGGTGTCCTATAAAGTATAGGATGAGAATCTCGAAGGACAAGTGGCTCGAGTTTTTGAGGATCAACGACACGTTGTTTCTCGGAAACGAAGTTGTATGCTCTCCAATCAGAAGGGATCTGTGGCCTAAATCGAGGCTTTCAAGAAGATGGAAGCAGGACTACTACAAGCCCTTTTGGAGGGGAATAAATGAGTTAGAAAGGAATGTGCTTTCGTGCTATCCAAAGGCCATGCAAAGAGTATTTATGAGCGCTTTTTTCCAAAGCAAGAAGAAGAGGTTTGATCTGCTGGAGCACACAGAGGATGTTGTGGCCGAGGTTGATAAGGTCCTGGAAGAGTGGCTTGCAAAGTGCAGAAGTGTGTGGGAGTTTTTGGACATGGGCATTCCGCAAATTGAGGGGCTGAAGACTGTATCTATGTGTAAGGAGCTGATTAGCTATACACATGCCTCATTTGCAGGCAGCAAGGATGTGCTGAAAATGAAGTACAGAAGGATCATAAGATGCAATCTGGATGCAATTGTAAATCTGAGGTACTCTGATGTGATGAGTCTTGGGTACAGAGTGATTTACATGGAGATGAAGAAAGGAGAAGTACTTAGGAGCACGAGGCCTGTAAGATCTGTCAGGAAGCTGTGTAAAATTGCCGAGAAACACTTTGGAGATCCCCGAGTGGAGGAAGTGCTTTCTTTGTTTGACGAGAAGCCGATAATCTTTGAGATTGATGAATATGATTTGGAGAACAAGAGAGAAAAAGGATACATCCTTCGAATGATATCAAACATAGGAAAGGCCTATCTATTCTGCGGTCTGGGTGCAATCAAAAATAGATATGGCTCTGAGCAGCTAAGGTTTCCGATCTACAAGAATGGAGAGCTGGGTGAGATTGAGATCAAGGAGAGCGGCTGGACGGATTGGCCCTCATTCAACTATTCTGTGTATAGGGGCTGTGGACTGAGTTCTCATGATGAGGCAACGCATGACTTTATAGAGTCAAGGATTCTTGAATTTACATCCACGGGAGTGGGAAATGAGTTTGAGGTGGCCGGGAGGGTATTTGCATTTGGGCTTCAAGGCCGGCTGGGAGAGATTCATCCCCAGGGTGTTGCAAGGCTTGTTATGCCGAAGCATCCCGTGATATCCATGGCTGTCCTGGCAGGGACTGGGATCAGCCACATTGGAAAAAGAGATGATATATTGGGAAAGATGTACTTACACTATCTTAAGTCTCCACAGCCCCTATACATTCACGTTGGATGCATTGTTGGGCTTGGAATGTTGTATGCAGGAAGCGGGAATGTACTTATCAAGAATGCCCTGCAAGAAGAAGCAAATAGGGAGGGCGTTTTCAAGAATGAGCAATACAACAGAGGAAACAAGATATGGTACGACTACACATACAGAGTCATGGCATCCCTTTCCATATCGATGCTGTATGTGAAGACCAGTCTCGACATCTTCAGGTTCATAGAGCTGAAAGACTCTTTCTGTGAACTTCTTGCGAATGGAATTATTCTGTTTGGCAGCAAGCAGATGAGGTTTCGAAATAGGCTCAGGAGGTCTGATGCAAACAGGCCTGAAGAGGTCTTGTACTCTGAGCTGTTTTCTCTTGGGCTAGAAATGAACGAGCACCTAGACTCGATTGTCAGGGAAGTGAGGACGAAAGCTGCGAATGCAAGCCTCCATGAACTTTACAGATTGTCTGGAAGGATGCTGTACATATCTGTTTATATGCTCTACAAGGGCATCTCCCCAGACTTCAACGGAAGTCTCTTTAAGGCCATTGTAGATGTATGTCTTCTTGCAGAAAGAGCCATGAAGAGTAATGATGAGACCAAGATACTTTTTGACACATCTCTTGTGGCACTTTCGCTGATATCAAACTCGTCTTGTAATCTCGATGTCATCAGAATCCTGAGGAGGCAGATCAAGGCAACAGAGACAGGAAAGTCTCTGTCCGAGAAAATGGACTTCTTCTTCACGTCTAGCACATGCAAGCAAGAGGTGCAGCTCTCCATGAGGTACGGAGATGTTGAAAGATACAAGCTGTGCCTTGGGATAGTGGCCTGCGGGATGGGAAATCTAAGGATTGTAACCTCCTACCACCTAGTCTTTGATGTGATATCCACGTTCTTTGTCTGCTTCCCGATTTCCCCCGTGGACCAGGAATACTTCAATATGGCAAGGTACTTCCTTCTCCTCTCACTAAAGGTGAACCCTGAAGGATTCAGAAACACAACGAGCTACCTTAAGCAAGGCAACAGAAGAAGTAAGAGGAAGTTGAGGGCAGACATGTCTAGAATCAATAAGACCTTCTTGAAAGAGTATTCAGAAGCATCAGATGCAGACAAGAAGTTCATCATCGACGTACTGACAGACTTTTACGAGCAGTATGGTGGCAGGGACAACCTCCTTGATGTTGAGATGCTGAAGAACATAGCCTGTAGAATCAACTAATTTATTCTTCGGGCCCTGGGTGGTAGCTATAGGAATAAATATGCACTGCATCCTATAATCACTAAAAGTAGCATAAATATTATCTTATTTCTTGGATCGTTGTTCATTCTTTTGATTGCCTCTTCAAACGCACGAATGTTCATGAGCAAAATCCTGTCGTTTCTTGCAGCTTCTGCTTCGATGGACTCGTATATCAGTCCCTGCTGATCTATTTTCTCCTGTATGATCTGAACGGTCGTCTTCATGTTTCTTGACGACTCTCTCAAAGCTCTTTCTTCATCTGCGTCCATGCCAAGCACTAAACAACGTGCTGCTTCCAAAAGTAAACATCACTGTAAGATCCTGAAACATCAGACAAGCACATGTTTATTTCACACATCAATCACCAACGGATTCTGGCCACCATCTCAATCATCTCCGACCTGTCCACTTTGAACGGCCCAAACATGGCCATAAACATCTTCAGTACAGGGATGATCGAGAGCTTGTCTTTTGCCCTGATTATAACCTCGAAGAAAGATGTAGCAAGCAAGGGGTTACTTGTCTGCAGGACAACCGTACCTAGGAGGCAGACCTTGTCCACAAATAACGCTCTGTGCAAGATCTCTATGTCTTCTATTCTAAAGAAAGTGTACATGTTTGTGCGCACGAAATACATTAGCAGGTAAAGGATGTCCTCTGCAGTGTAATCGGTGAAGGCCCTGTCCTCGAGCTCTTCAGTATCCAAGGCCTTTTCCAAGAACCCTATGATTTCATTTTCCTCGAGCCTGCAGCCATTGTCTCCGTCGAGAGGAAGCTGCTCCTTCGAAAACTTATTGCATCCCACATACGACAAAGACCTGGACAGGTATCCCACAATCCCTTTCATGACGTAAATCTTCTTGGTGACTGTGGCTGAATCACACCTAGAAAGCCTTCCATTGAATTCAATAACCGAGGAGTCTCCACACTCCTCCACGACTTCCCTAAGCTTTATCCTATACATTGCAAATAACTGGGGAGATCTCCAAGGAGTGTCCTTTGATGCGGCATACGCCCTTCTGGTTCTGACGATCTCCCCCACAGCATCTGCAAGCTGATGCTTCAGCTCTCTCTCTCTATAGTTTATGCATTGCTCCGTACCGTCAAGACCTCTGATCTCGAAAACACCATTCTCAATGTCTAGGTACCCACTGTCCGAAATTTGAGACGAATTGAACTCCTCTCTGTTTGTATACACCACCAGGTCTCTTCTTCTCAAGCTCCCTTTCCCTGCATCTCCACTCCTGAAAACTCTAGAAAATACATTTGTGGACGATATGTATAGCCCAGCCTCAGATTCAATTTCCGCCTTGTGGTACTCTTCAACAAAACATCTTACAGAATGTGGAGAGCCTTTCGCAAAGTACATTGCTCCAACGCAGACATCGTCATAAACCTCCGTCATCTCATACAGATCCTCCCTCCCCCCTAGACTTCCCTTTGTTGTTATCTTTATCCCGGAAATTCCAAAGGCACAAAGCCCTATATCCTTCAGCATTAGGGCATGCCGGAAAAAGTACCTCCCTGTGCTCGGGTCCTGAATAGATACCGAAGATCCCTCTCTGTCTGCAATAATTATCATCTCACGAAATAGAAATAGTGCCACAGGGTCTCCGCTTGAATCCTCACAGCTTAGCTGAGAAAGAAAGTCCGTGTTCCCCTTCGCAATCTCCTCAGGTATCCCCTCAACTCTCTTCTTCACCAATAATCCATAGAAGATGTTGTCGTGCCTTTCCTTCTTCTTATCGATGATGTTGATCAGCTTTACCATCCTTAGGTAGACTCTTCTTGCCCTCTTCATGTGTAGATCGTCTGTAAGGTTCCGAAGAATGTCTTCAATGAGAATAGGGTACCTTACAATCCTTTGCAGACAGTTGCAAAAGCAGTCGTCCACTATCCTGTGGCCCGGAACCCCAGAACGTTCCTTGGCCTTCTTCAAAAACTCAATAGACTCCTCGTAAGACAGCATCATATCCTCGTAGCATCTAAATCCATCGAGACTGTTTTCAAAAAACTGCAGGACCCTCTCCACAATCTCCTCATCATTCATCCCGACATCCCGAAACCCCTTGCCATTCATTTCAGAAGCAAAGTATTGAGGATCAGATAGAACCCTGTCCATCGCAAATCCTGCCTCCTCCACTATGTCCCTCATAGAGTTTATAAATCCAATCTCGAAATCGTAGACCTTCAAAAACCCTCTGAATACATCTTCGAGCACCGTATTCTCACACAATGTCTTCGTTACAACGTCCAGATAGAATGCATTCATTTGGCAAAAGTACTCAATCTCGTTAAAGACAAACCCAAGAAGTGCATGCCGCAGCCTCTTCTCTTCAGGGTTGGCCGCCGTCCTGACGTCTTCCAATTCGTCCGAAGACACGTCAAGGCTGTCCTCAGGGCTGATCTGCCTTCGGCCAAGAATCCCCCCGGGAATTCTTTTGTTGCTCTCCACAACCAAATCGACATAAACAGGTTGTCTGTAGAATTCATTGTCCACTTCCCAAGCATGCTCGGGCCTCACCTCAGCCATCCGCCCCATTATCTCTTCAACAGAAAACATCTCGGGACATCTCATCATTCCGCTCGATATCGTGTCATACATGTTCCTTCTACTCCCAGAAGACTCGTTTTTCAATGGCCAGCTTCCGAGAGAAAACAAAGAATTCAGCATTCCCATGAAGGAGGACTTCCGAGTGCCTGTAGCCTCCACATGCCTCCAGCTGTCTATGCTGTCCACAAAATACCTGGAGAGGCCGTTGCGGACAGAGAAGAAATACGGACATCCATTAATATGATTGTTGTAGAATCTATACTCTTTGAACCCCAGAATAGACCTTACCAATGCCCTTGAAACGTCCTTCCCAACCACCACAGACACAAGAATAGGCCCCAAGTGTACAAGCTCTGCAACAAAGTTCCTGGAAAGCTTGTAGTGTCTGTCGAAAGTTCCTATAGCTGCATTCCATGGCTCATCCTCAAGACAGGAATCATTTGCAAACATTTCTGTGTCCTTGGGGTGGCAAAAACAAGCGATTTGTTGATTCTGTATGGTTTTCTTTGAGCTGGAGCTAGGGAAAAAAGACATAACACAACCATGTTTATTCACTTCTATGGCCTTTGGATAACTTACTTACAGATGAAAGTCAGGCTTGGTTTCCGTATCGATTTTGTCCCCGACGTCTTCCTTTTCTGCATCAGGGACATCCTCGCTGCTTCTGTCCACATTGCCTTCATTTCTCTTGGCCCTTACTATCACCACATCCCTACCATCGGCCCTAACTCCTCCGTTCTTCATCATCTTGCGCTTCCCATTGAAGTAGAATTCAAAGTCCTTTTCAGAAGCAAGGTCGTACTTCTGCAGCATCTCAATGAGTCCCTCCACATCGTTCAGTAGTGAATATCCGCAGCTACAGCACAGCTCGGACCCATTCATCACCTTGTGCACTCTGGAGTAGAATATCTTGACAAAGTTGTTTGCCATCGCCTGATCTTTCAAGGTCAGAAGAAGGCCAAAGTTTCGGAGAAAAAACCTTGATAAAAGTGGAAGGCTCGAAGATAGGAGATTCACAATCCAGAGCGTGTAGTTGGTTATATCCCTGCTGGCCATTGCATCAGCCTTCTTTATCAAATATATCAGCCTCTTGTCCATTTCTTCTGCCCTAAACATATCCTCCTTCAGAGGACATCCAGACTTGTGGACCTGCCTTACCTTCGACTGATTCAGAACAGAGCCTGAAGACACGTAGAAGTGAAACAGGCTCGAGGGATCCGACAGACTCTTTTCGTATCTTTCCTCGATGGTGTAGCACTTCAATGTGTCCTTTGCAGAAAACTCGAGTTTGGACTGGTCGGGCTGCTCCCCGTCTTCTCCCTCGTGAGCATTGATTGCTCTACAAACAATACTTTCGTACTTCACTGTGGCAACAAAGTCGAACATGTCAAACCCGTTGTTCTGCAGAAGTAGAATGCAGCGGAATCCATCCTCGCTGCATGTAGAAATCCCCTTGAACACCTCGAGGATATCATTGTCTATGAACCCGGGGCTTTCTTCAAGGACATGTCTGAAAAGACCAAGCAGGCTTTCGTCTGTGCAGAATTTCGATATGTGGACGAACTTCCTCTTGTTTCCTGTGTCGACACACTTCCTTAGCAAAGAGATAATGCTTTCATCATCAAACATAGACACGTCTTCCACCTTTCCAATGTTTTTCTTAAGGATGTCTATGACCATGCTTTTCACAAACCCAATCGACTTCTGCTTTCTCTTCTGTAAGCCTGCATCTTCCTCACTGCAGCTGCCACTGGGCGTCTCTCTAGACAGGAAGATCCGAAGCCCATTGCACAAAAGGCTCACGTCACAGACCCCTGCATTCGAGAGCTTTTGGTATGCATCCCTGTACTGCTGCTGGATCCTGTCCTTTCCTGGAGAGCTCTTCAGAAACGAAATCCCAAGGTCAGAAAGCATGCCGTTGCTTCTCTGCTTATCGATCTTTGAAAGAACATCAAGCAGAGTGGCGTAAAGCCTTGCACTTCCTTCCATCTCGAAGTAGTGCACAAAGGACTCCATGAATTTCAATGTGTCTTCCTTATGTATCTCGAGATACTCTTCGAACGGCTGAACCATGCCAAGCTTGCTACACATCTCGTAGAATTGCTTTGGCTCCAGAAGAAAGAACCTCCTAAAGTTTGCTGAAAACAGTTTCCTGTAAACATCCATCTTGCATGGCGTGCAGATATTTACATCCCCTGGGAGCTCTGGGCCAAGAAAGATGCCGCTGTTCGTCATCAGCCCCTTTTTCTTGTCGCTTATCTCCTTGAGGCCCTTGCACATCCTCTTGAATGCCTTGTAGTGATCTTTTCCAGGCTTGTTCTTGACAGGGAACTCCAGAGGCTTTTTCTTAATGGACTGGTACATCGATTCAAGATACTCCATTCCAAACGAGGGAGGAATCTCTTCTGCCGTGAAGTCCTTCATATAGTCCTTGAATGTGGGCTTTACCTTTATATTAGGATTATGGAACTTTGTATTGAGAACAAGAAACGAAAACGAAAGATTGAATACAAACTCCTTTGTCTTATTGTCCTTGTCAATCTCCATGAATGTGCATGTCCCTGCATTGTCTAGATAGTACTTGTCGGCATAGGCCTCGACAACCCTGTGAATCACCTGGCCCTCTGCAGAAAGGTAAAAGGAAAGGAGAAATGTCCTGAGCCCATCAAGTACATCCACATCGGTGAAGTCAAATGTATCTGCAAATATCCTTAGGCAAGCCTCGTTCTTGAGCTTGCAAAGAAAGGCCCCCAGCTTCTTCAGGTCTGTCTCTTCAAAGTACCTCAAAATCTCGAAGCTCATCTGCTTTCCATAGCTTTCAAACATGTGATCTAGGCACCCTGTCTCATTGAACTTTCTTATGTCCTCTCTTACCCTGACAGCTCCCCCGTCTTGTATCACACCTTTGCACCCGTGGTTGCTTGTAAACATATCACAATCCTCAAAGAAAACCTCATTCCTCATGTCTTCATCTATGGCTTTCATTATCTCCTGTGCACTCAAACCATTGTATACCTCCTCACAAACATTCCTGTAGATTCCGACACCGTCAAACGCATAGTACAGGTATGGAATCAGTGAATCGTGCAGTCCAATCATATACCACTTGGGAAGGTCACGGTAGTATATTTGGAACAGGTACCTGCTCCGTGTTCTATTTATCACAAGTCCTCTGAGGGAAGTACACTCCAGTGCAACCCCAACCATTTCCTCGTCATTGAAAAGATCACAGAAGTTCAGAACCAAGTCTTCTGTGCACCCGATGTCTTTGTACATCTTTCTGTCTGCAAAGAGCCTTAGGAGCTCTTTCTTCTTTTCAAGAAATGCTCTGAACCTCGCAAGCACCTCGCCCTGCGCCCCCTTGCTTACGACATTATGGGAAAGTATAAACATGTATCTACTGAATACACTCCTCGAAGGCTCCTGTGGGATTTTTTCGGCCACCATGTTTATGACCTCAAAGTACTTGAGAATGGCAGAGTCCGTGTCCTTTTCAGAAGGCGTGAACTTGAGGTCTACTATCTTGCTCCCGACATCGCCTATATCCATATGGCACTCAAATATGAACCTTTGGAATGCGTCTAGGAAGCACAGCATCTCCCTGTTGCTGTACTTCGCTAGACTAAAGAGAAGTCTGAATACATCCAGAATGGAGGCCGGAGTTGGAGATGCAGGAAGCTCATCCAAGACCCTTCTTATCTCTTTGTTGGATGTCCCAAGCAGCCTGTGCAGGAGAATCTGGACTTCTCTGAGTTTTTGTTTGCCCTCGCCCATGGGCTACCGATGGAGAATTATGATACCTTGTGGGCAACAGATGCCAGAAGCCCATGGGAAAAAGTTCATTTCTATTCTTTTGCCATACCCGTACGGATGAGCTCGAGCTTGACCGATTTCCATCTAAGTTGCAAGAAGGAGTTCAATGTGCTTGTAAGATCTTTCAACATATTGTTCTATGGATACGGCTCGAAAAAGTCATTGCTGAAGAAAATGTTTCCAACTGCAATCTACGTCAACTGCAGGATCATGAGCCGGCACGAAATCCTTTCGGAAATAATGGACGCTGTGAGGCGTAGGTCCAGGCTGGAGGGCCTGAAGGCCTCTAAGACATTGACGATAAAGGATATAGACGAGGCCATAGGCACCAGAAGAGAGAAGTACAAGCTCATCATGGCAAACTTCGACTTTGGAATGGTGGAGTTCTCTGGATTGAGGAACTTTGCAATCCTAGGAACCATTGAGGAGGTTGACATAAGATTTAGTCTTGAGGATGTTGAGAGGTTCAACTTTATTTTCAGGGATCTCACCACCTTCGATCCATACGAAGAGGAGACAATAGGAATACATCTCGGGGGAACGAAGGTAGAGGCATCGTTCAGGGTTGTCAGGAGCGTTCCAAAAGGCTCCAGGGCTGTGCTGAAGGAGATCCTGCAATGCAATGCAGACACAATGAGCCTCAGCGACCTGTTTGAAAGGGTAAAAAGAAAGCTGTTTCTCACATCAAAGACATCTATTCTTTCGATGATCAGTGAGTTTATTGACCATGGGCTTCTAAAGATTAAAAACGGAACGGAGGTTGTTGTCTGCATGTCTCCCACAGAGAAAAGGGAAATAGCAAAAGAACTGGATCATCTGTAATAAGAAGAGGCTCCTGCGCCATGCATATTAAAGCTCGTCTGCCTTCAAAACCTGCTTTAGAAGCTCGGCAACCTTTGGGTTGTTGATTTCCCTGGCATAGTAGTCTGCCTTTGGCTTTATGACTGTCTCCACAACATGCTTGGATAGAGAGCTTAGGCAAAGAAGTGCGCCATACTGTGTGGACTCGGTCTTCTCTTTGTCCAGCCATGCCTTGCTGAGGGTGTTGATGATTCTTGGCGCAAGGGTCTTGTAAGACCCAGAAAAGTTGCTGAAGACATACTTGACAACATCCGAGGCTACTCTCCTAACCTCATCATCAACGCTCTTCCCAATCACGCATGTTATAAGCGAAGGAAGAACCTGGTGGAGATATGGATCAATGAAGATGTACTTGTTCCGAAGCAGTGAGTTGTAGACCATTATGACTGTCATGAGCTTCTCCTTGTTCTTTATGTTCTTCATTATCTGCTCATTGAAGTGGTGGACAAAGTACGGAACAAGCTGCTGAATCCCGCTTTCGTTATGCAAGCACTCCATGGCTATCTGCTCGTCGGTTTCCATTGCCTGGATGACCTTGTCAAAATACATGCTAAGCTCCTTAGTAAGCATGTGCCTGTTCTGGGACTTCAGCTCGGCCTCTTCCTGGTATGTTCCGAGTGTATCCTTCTTTGCAACAGGCTTCTCAAGAAGTATGGGGTTGTAAGGAATCTGCGGCTGGACTCCCTCAATCGCCAGCCAATGCGATTGAATGGAAGGCCGGAGAGGAATCTTTGGAAGAGGCCTATCGAGATACTCTTCCAGGTCAATCTCCTCGTCAGGAACATAGTATACATTAGACGGAAGGCCGCGGAAAACTAGGCTTTCCTGTGGGTCGTATCCAAAGAGAGGGTCTACGTTTCTACTGATCAGTGCATAGTTGATGTCGTCAATCGACAGCTTTGTCCTCTTAGATCCAACCATGAACTTGCTTCCCTCCTGGCACACCTCCTTGATCCTGTATTCCAGATCCTGTGATAGCACCCTCAGTGCATCGTCATCAATGTTGGAGATTCCTTTTGATTGTGCAAAAGACTTGAGAGTTTCCTTCGAAAACAGCATCTCTCCGGGACTAAAGTCCACCGAAATTATCCCTTCGGCCCAAAAAGAAGTGGAGGATCCGGGAATCGAACCCGGGCAATTCACATGCGAAGCAAACACTCTACCACTAAGATAATCCCCCTGCCGTCCCCATCAAATAGCGCCTCTCCTAGGGCTGGCTGCCCAAGAAAACAATGAACGTTAAAGGCTTTAATGTTTATAGTAAGACTTGGTCATTGGAATTATCATCTTCAATGACCGCCGCTATGTTCTTTGTCAGCACAAAGTTTACGTCGATCATGTCTCTGATCTCTTCCTCAGGCTTGTTGCGAAAAGCCTTTGTGACCTTGTTAGAAAACTCGGTCTCATTACTGACTCCAAAGCTTTTCCATTGGCTCTTGAATGATGGCGCCGCTGCGAGCACAAGACTATGCAACTTCTCAAGTTCGTTGCCATACGGTTTCACAGACCCGCTTCTGCTTCTCTCGCGCTTGAATCCATTGGATGCAAAGCTCGCCCCTTGGTTGTACATGTACGGAATCCCCGGCTTGTACCCAAGACCTCCAAACTCTTTTTCCTTCATCCTCTCAAGCTTGTTCTTGAAATAGGCAACTTGAAGCCTGTTGCCATCAAGATATATCTCGTTTCCTCTCTCCACAGCTATGCTTGCTTCCTCAGGCGTGGAGTAGCATATGTAGGCATATTGCTTCTGGTTGTTCGCCCCGTCAACCCCCACTGACATAGACGTGATGCTTCCAAACTCCTTGAATATGTTGCTAAGCTCCTCAGCACCAAAGCCCTCGGGGATGTTTGTTATGTAAAGATTCTTCTTGTAGTTCTGTCCTTGCATGCTAAGCTGCTCAAACATCTTCCTGAGCACCTCTGCCCTCTCCTCTCTTTTCTGTCCCTTCTGAATGTAAAAGGGCTCCCCTCCATCCTTGCCGTTATCAAAGGGAAACGTCCCATGGAGACCATTGATGGCATTGAGTGCAGACTCATGAGTCTCAAAGTTGGCAAATGCAAAGCCCTTCGGCTTCCCATCATCCTTTGTCGGAAAACACAGGGACGTCACCTTCCCATACTTCTCAAGGAGATCCAGCAGCTCCTTCTCCCCAACAGATCCAGGGAAGTTCTTGATGAAGCAATTCGTAAACATCGTCGATACCTTCTTGCTTTCCCCCTTCTTCATCTCGGGGTTGTACAGCTCCACAACAATCTTGTTTCCTCCAAGCATAAGCCCGTTGAGATTGTTGAAGTTCTTGATCACCTTTTTTGCAGACCGCTTCTCCTTAAACTGCACAAACCCATATCCCTTAGACTTCCCTTGCGGCGTAGTTGCAACCTTGCAGCTTACAATCTCCCCAAACATGGAAAACGCATCATCCAGGTCCTTGCTAGTAAAGCTCTCGGGGAGATTCTTTACAAAGATATTCCCAGTCTCGGGCGGCCTTTCGTCCTTCCTCATCACCCTTATTTGCCTGTCGTGCAGCTCGTAATGCTTGTATTCCCTCACAGCCTTTTCTGCATCTTCTTCATTCTCAAAAGTCACAAATGCGAAAGACGGTGCACTCTCCCCCCTCTTGATCAGCTTGATGTTCAAAATCTTTCCTACATTCGAAAAAATCCTGAAGAGATCAGAGTCAATGGTCTTTGGTGGCAGATCCCCTACATATATCGTTAATGAATCACTCTTTGCTCTCTTGCTTTCGTCTGTCTCCATGGACTACTCCTCTTGAAGGGTAAAATTTTTTCTTTTTTTGTAAGGCACTTACTGTCTTACAGCCTTTCAAGATCTTGCTGCTCTTTTTATTCTTCTCCATCTCTTCCCTCCTCTCCGTCTTTCCCCAGCAGCAGCTTCCATCCAAGTTCAAGTATCCCTAGATAAAAACCCCTCCATGAACTATTCAGAAGCAGCCAGATCCTGCTTGAGTAGGAAGGACTATGCTGGATACCTTGAAAACGCTCAGAAACAGTACGAGCTAACAGGATCTGCAGAGGATGCAAGGGAGGTCGAGAAGGCAAGGAAGGCCCTTTCACTGCACAAGGAGATCGAGAAGTTCCTCAGAAAGGACCCCTCAGACTATTACGACATTCTGGGTGTATCTAAAGATGCAACACAACCCGAAATAAAAAGAGCTTTCAACATGTTGATAATGAAGTTCCATCCAGACAGGACTGGAATTCATGAGTCCGGAGCTGTCTCGGGAATGATCCAGAGTGCATATGCAACTTTGGGAAACCCGGAAAAAAGAAGACGGTACGATATGGCCAGAGAGGCGCCTACATTCAGCAGAGCAGGCCCCAGATTTACCCACGGCGATGATATCATGCAGAATGTATTCTTCAATGTATTCCACACTCAGGGATATCAGGGGCCATTCACTTACTCTAATGACTTGTATGACCACTTATACTCACAGATGTACAGGAGATTCACCCACAGAAGACATAGCACAAACGATCCTGATGCCCAGAGGATATTTGTGTTTCTCATAGTCATCGTGTTAATACTCTTAACAATGTAAACTTGTTTGTCAATGCCTAGACAATTAAACACATCTTTTATTATACCGTGATGCTCAATCATTCAGTGCTGCTGCCTTCCTGCACTCAGGGCACGTCCAGGGTGCTCTTGGTGTGCTTGCAAGACCAACACACTCAAAATGAAACCATTTTCTGACACAATCCGGAGAGTCGCATGCTATCATACTCTTGAATGGTGGCCTCCCACATCTACAATACAGCTTCTCATTCTTTCCCATCTCTCCCAGGTTGACAACACAGTTCATGTCAGATATCGAAGGATGCTCAAGATCAAAAGATGCTTCCGCCCTTGAACAGAGCTCTTCACACCTCTTCTTGAGCCCCGTGACAACATCGCCAAATGTTTTTCCGCTGTCTCTGTTATTACGGAGAAGTTTCTTCACAGCCTTATGGCATTTTGCAATCCTTTTGGCATATCTTTCCAATGGCCTTTGGATAAACTTTTCCTTGTACCTCCTGCATTTCTTTCTCAGCTTCTCTATTCTTCCATCCATCCTAGATGTTAGCTTTGTGAAGTAGATTGCATCGAGCCGCAGCTGCTGGACTTCCTCTAGCATTTTGTCGAAAACCTCAAAGTGCGACTGCATGGCCGAGTATGGGCATGCCCTATTTATTTTCTGCTTTGTGCAAGACTCCACTTAGATGCCTAAACTCTATTGAGGGTTTCTTCTCTCCCAATGTCTCCGGAAGCCTTATGAAGCACACTACCTTCTCCGCCTCCCTCGTCGGTAGCCCCAGATTCACAACCACAGAAGGCCCTACACTTCTAGAAAAGTGCTTCAATCTCGATACAATAATATATATGTCCGGCGCGGTGTCCATGGACATGCTTTCTGGCACAGAGTATGAGACAATGTTCATCGATGGAAAGACCGGGAGAAAGGTTCTCTGGAAGACTAGGTGATACGATATCCTCTCAAGGCGGTCGTTTCCAAAAAGGAGCTTTCCACACACATCCTCGCCATAGTCCAATTTCGAGTCATAAAAGCACTCCTCTGAGCTTATCTCGAGAGCAGTGTCCAAAGAAGAGACTGCTACCAAAAACCCGTTCAAAAAAAAGGAACAAGGATTGCTTACACATATAATTCTCTCGTCATTGAGGTCAATTGGACCCTGAGGAAATACATTCAAGGATATCACGTCGCTAGTAGATGGAACAAGGACAACCTTCCTCTCCGGCCCCTTGGACAGCCACTCCCTTATCTTCGGAATAAATGCTCCCTCCATCATCGAGTATGGTGACTCAGACACCCCGCCTTCCACAGGATCTATAAAAGGCCCGGTCAGTATCAATACATCAGCATCTTCTGCGAGAATCCTGTCGAGAATCCCAAACTCTGGCCCAGCCCCATAGGGCCCCGAAAATGCAGATATAAACGGCTGTGCATGCCTCTCCTTCTCTGAAGGCTCAGCTGAGTTGACATCCACAACAGGTATGCAGTAAATGGCCTCTACCGTTATCTCGCTCCCTGTTCCGTTCTTCCCCTTGATTGCAACGACCTGGCCTGGAAAGACAGAGTATCTTTGTAGATACTCCAGGTTCAGCCGCACAACGACGTCGTTACTTCCATCAATGCTGGATGCAATGAATACATTTTTCGGATCTAGTTTGTGTCCAAACGGATTCATAACAATCCCGTATGTGTAGAACGAGGTGCTTGACACATGGTTCACAGGCTCAAAGCTCTCAACCCCAAGAAGCTCCAGAAAGTAAGGCCTCATCGAAGCCAGTCTATACCTTACATACTCATACTTATCTTTTTTCTTAAGATAGAAGTTTGAGACTCGGGGCCTTTGTGCTATCCTTATGCAGGACCTTGCAGAGTGCCCCTTACTCAGTGTTCTGAAGACTTGCCTGTCAAAGTCCATTTGAAGGGATCCGTGCAGGCCCAGGACCTTCCAATCCAGGCTCGTAAAGCAAATTTTTCACCGAAAAGTATAAAAGCAAAAGCAGAGGAGGGGCTACCAAACTTTGGGCTCGATATCGTTAAATTGCTTAAAGTAGAATGACACAAGAAAAGATGATAAACGATATGTACCCGCTAGCCACGCTGCTTATATATGCAACAAACCAGCAAGTGACCCGAGAGAAGATCGACGCCGTGTTCAAGTTCTTTGGGCTTGAGAGTCACCCGAAGATCTGCGAGTTTTTTGAGATGGATGCACTTGAGATTAAGAATCTGCTGATGAGTAGTACTCAGGAGTCAGCAGCACCTATGGAAGGAAAGGGCACGTCCTCTGCACCAGAAGAGGCAAAGAAGGAGGAGGAGCCTGAAGAGGAAGACATTGAGATTGATTTCGGAATGTTCTGATTAAATTTTTCTTCCAGCGAAAATTCTTTTGCCATGCTTTAAAAGGAGAAAGAGCGTTTATATTTATTATCTGCCAGGACCGACTTCCCAGTCATCTCCTCCGGCTTTGGAATTCCCATTATTTCCAGCACTGTCGGCGCTACATCTCTTAGTGAGTAATCAGAGTCTGCATACCCCCACAAAGAGGAGGAAGGCCTTTCCTGCCTCTCCTTACAGATTATCAGTGGAACCTTGCTTGTTGTATGCGTTTTGCAGCAATTTCCATCTTTGTCCACCATCTTCTCTGCATTCCCATGGTCGGCAGTCACAACAAGAACGTATCCGTTCGACTTGCAGGCCTTGTAGATCGATCCTATGCACTCGTCTGTAAACTCGACAGCCATCTTCGTTGCCTCCAGATTCCCCGTGTGGCCTACCATGTCAGGAGGCGCAAGATTGGCAACCACTAGGGGCACTCCATTCTCGATCTCAGAGATCACAGAAGATGTTACCTCTCCCGATGCCATTGACGGGACTGCATCAAACGACCCAACACTCGGGCTGTCACGTATTATTGTTCTTTGACTGGGAAACGGCTGCTCCTTGCCCCCGTTGAAGAAATATGTCACATGGGCCTCCTTCTCCTTCTCTGCTATATGGGAATGCTTTATCTTGCGGCTAGATAAGACTTCTGCCAAGGTGTTCTTCACACACACCTTCTTGAAAAGAACCTTTGATACAAGTCCTTTTTTATATTCCGTCATGGTTATTATGTTGTTCCCGTTTGAGGCAAATCTAGCGGCAATCTGTCTCATCCTATCTGCCCGAAAGTTAAAGAAGATGACAGTGTCCTCTGGCCCTATCCTCCCTTCACTGTCAACAAGAAGAGGCCTGAGAGTCTCATCACCCAAGCCTTCCTCATACATCTCAAGAATACGGTCCTTGACATCTCCACCCATCTCCTCTCCCTCTGTCATCATCAGAAAACTAAGCTCTGTTCTTTCGTTATTGCCTGCCCTATCCATTGTGTAGAACCTGCCGGCTACCGAGGCAATCTTTCCAACTCCAATCTCTTGACAGAAGCCCTTGACCTCTTCGAGATACCTCAAAAACACACGCGGCTCCGTATCCCTACCATCACTTACACAGTGAATAAACACCTCTTTGTAAAGGCCCTTAAGGCACTCCAAAACCCCCCTAAGATGCCTTATGTGCGAGTGAACCCCTCCATCACTAACCATCCCTACTAAGTGAATCCTTTTCCCTGCATCCAGAACCTCCTTGCTCAGCATACTCTTAAGCTGTCCAGACTCAATGGCTTTGTCTATCCTTAATATGTCTTGCTCAATGATCCGTCCGCTTCCTATGGTTAGATGTCCCACCTCGGAGTTCCCCATCTGACCATCGGGCAATCCAACATATCTTCCATGCGCATGAAGAAGAAAGCTACGGTAGTCTTGGCTTAGGGTCCTCATCCATTTGCATCTTGAATCATTCACTGCATTTCCTCCCGTACTCGTTTCGTCATGCCCCCATCCGTCTATCACAACTAGACACACATTGCTCATCAAGAGTTTCTGTTTACACCACCTTAAATAACATCAATCATTTATTCGATATCCAAAGTCTAGTCACTAGACTCCTTAAGCTCTTCGTAATACTTCTCATATTGTCTAAATAAATACAAGAGGCTCTTGTTTGACTCCTTCTCCACCACCTTCTGAACAGCATTGACAAAGCATCTGTTCAGCCCACTTATTCTATCGTTCTTTATCTTGGGCTGAAGAATGTTCACGGAACTCAACACCCCCTTCAGCGCATCAGAGTTTGCAATCGTTGCTAAATCCCCAACCCTTGCCTTCGCCCTCTTCCTGTTCGGCAGCGGAGAAGACTCAGCAACCGTGCTGTGCTGGTCATTCTCTTCAACGGGGTTTGAATATGGCGACAGTTGGTCCCTTGCTTTTCTTTTCCTTCCCTCTTCCATTTGGGGTTGGTCCTAGACTTTTTTAAATCCTGCCACAGAAAAGTCATAAGCCATAGATAAGAATTTATTGGATAACTTAGACTGCATCGAGCTGCACCACCTCATCCGTCCTTTTCTTTCGAAGAACTCTGTTTCCACACTCTGTGCATCTGATGGGGTCCTTGAGCTTTAGCTCTCTCAGCGACGGGCACTGTATGCACACGTATGTAAAGACCTTCTGCTCTTGGTTCATCCCGTTCATTAGGGCTTTGCAAACATCACTTTTTCACCCTCTTATACAAAATTACGCCCCTTCAAACAAGAAATTTAATGACTACTCGGCCCTGGTGGGTGTTGTAGAGTGGAACTCATCCAGTATGTCAGACGGAATCCTGTTGAGCATCTCTCTGGGGAAAATCTTAAGGAGATCCCATGCAATGTCTAACGACTGGCTCACAGTCCTCAGCTCATCATGCCTTTGGCTTATAAACTCTCTTTCAAACCTCTCTAGAAACTCTATAGAGATCTTGTCCTCGGGAGAGAGCGAATCCTCCCCGACAACAGCCTTCATTGCTTGGGCATCCTTGCCAATCGCATACTTTGCATAGAGTTGGTTCGACACATCTCCGTGGTCCTTCCTTGTCATCCCCTCTCCAATGGCGCTTTTCATCAGCCTGGAAAGAGACGGAAGTACATTGATTGGAGGATATATTTGCCTGTTATGCATCTGTCTATCAACATATATCTGCCCCTCGGTAATGTATCCCGTAAGATCCGGAATCGGGTGTGTTATGTCATCGTTTGGCATCGTGAGAATCGGGATCTGGGTTATAGACCCGTTTCTTCCTTCAAGCCTTCCAGCCCTTTCGTATATAGTACTAAGGTCTGTGTACATGTATCCAGGATATCCTCTCCTCCCCGGAACCTCTTCTCGAGCCGCACTCACCTCTCTCAGTGCATCTGCATAGGAACTCATGTCCGTCATAATCACAAGCACGTGCTTCTCCTTTTCGTATGCAAGGTACTCTGCTGCCGTTAGAGCAAGCCGTGGCGTAATTATCCTTTCGATGGTCGGGTCGTTTGCCAGGTTAAGAAACAATGCAGTCCTTCCTATCGATCCCGATGCCTCGAAGCTGTTTTTGAAGAAATTCGCTGTCTCCACATTCACTCCCATTGCTGCAAATACTATTGCAAAGTTGTCGTCGCTGCTGTCTATCGAGTCCTTCCTCTTCACAAGCCCTGCCTGCCTGCAGATCTGTGCTGCTATCTCATTGTGTGGCAGCCCAGACGCACTGAATATAGGGATCTTCTGCCCTCGTGCAATCGAGTTCATTATGTCAATCGATGATATTCCTGTCTGGATCATCTCCTCGGGATATATCCTAGCATAGGGGTTCAAGGGCTGCCCCTGAATGTCCAGGTAGTCCTCCGCAATAATGTTTGGCCCTCCGTCAATCACCTTCCCACTTCCATTGAATATCCTCCCGAGAATATCTTCAGACATCCCCATTTTCAAGGTCTCCCCAGTAAACGTGACCTGTGTTTCCTTGACATCTATCCCAGACGTCCCCTCAAACACTTGGACCACTGCCTTCTTCCCACACACCTCTAGAACCTGCCCCTGCCTGATGCTCCCGTCAGGCAGTGTTAGGCTAACTATCTCCGCATACTTCAGAAACCTTATGTTATCCATTATGACAAGAGGCCCGTTCACACCCACTATCTTTCTGTAGTTCATCTTCGGCTCTATCTTTATGCTCTCAAGCATGTCTTTGATCGGGGATCTTTGTTTTTTTTAGCAATCTAGGCAAGATTGCTTTTTTAGCTATAAAAAATAAACACTTGATCAAAAGAAAGGTAAAAAGGACTGGCACGGATGGCTGGCGACTCTGCCCTGCAGGAGGTACTCATTGCTGCGTTTCCGCCCTCATGCATTCCCCTCCGCTTTAATGACAGATGGACAACCCCTACAGGCTCTCCAGCTGCCCACAGGAAGATCACCAGGCCCATGCTTACTGCCCAGAAACGGTCGACTTCACATCCAACCACTAGTTCAGACTCAGAACAATTTAAACAAGTCCCCGCCACACTCCTGTTTTTTCTACGTTCTTTCGTCGCAAAATACAGAATACTAGAGTACTAGAGTAACTTAAATCTTTATTTTCTCGATCGTCCCTTATCTCTTGCGGAACACCCCCTTCTTGACCTCCACAAAGGAGTCCATCATCGTGAACTCCCCTGCATCCTCCTCTCCATATCCTCCATCATCATTGCTCCCATTCTTGCCAGAAAACACAGTCTCCTCTCCACTGCTTTCACTCAGCTCAAGAAGCCCTGCAAACCGGTTTCCCTTCATTATCTCAAGAGCCTTCTTGCGGTCTTTCCTTTTCTTCTCATTCTCCACCTCGCAGTCCATCGGAATGCTAGACTCACCAATAGAACCCTCGCAGTCCATCCACAGCTTAGAGCCAGAAGATCTTCCATCCTCCTCGCAATTTCTCTCGTTCTCCTCCCTTGTAGACTCCATTATGGTGTATTCTTTAAACGAATTCTCTATGTCTCGATCATTGGTAGCATTCTCATAGGGATTTTCAGAAGGTGCTGATGGGAAGCTTCGGCCATCCTCGCCCTGGCCATCCCCCTCGTTGATCGAGATGTTTGCTAAGCTCTTCGATAACTCTCCCACAGCCATCTCCGCACATGCCTCATTTCCATCGTCCAGGCTCTCAACCATCTCTTCAACAAAGCTTTCATCCTCAACAACAATCTTCTCTTTCTTGTTGTCCTCCTCTTTATCCACCCCACACTCATCCAGTTCCTTGCATTCAGTAGTCTCGTTCTTTCTCTCATCCACCTTCATACACTCTTCGCCCACCTCGGTATCCTTAACCTCAAACCCCATGCTAGTCTCGCTCTCCTTCTTGTGCCCAAGATTTCCATGCTCCTCGCGATACTTACTAAGATACCTATCCAGCTTCATAGGCGTGAGGTCCTCGTGGCTTATCACTTTCTTCGATGCCTCCCCAATCAACTCAGGATGGACAACCCCGCTCCTACCACTTTCTCCACAGACCATCTCTTTGATCTTATTTGCTATTCCTCCATACCTTCCACTTCTCTCAGTTCTCGCATCAGGCTTGATATCAGAAGCTATGTCCTTGACTTGCCTCGACAGCTCCTTGATCTTATCATAATCCCCATCCCCCGTCCTCGTTTGCTTTCGCATCGGAGAAAACCTCGGAACAAGCTCCTTCTTCTCAACACCTCTTCCCTCCATTTCGTTCATCATCATGTGCCCCACACGGATCGGCTTCCTAACCATCCTAACAGGCCCCTTCTTCATTCCATTCTCAAGGTTCTCTCCATCCGTCCTACAGACATTTCCTTTCTCTTTCCTCTCTCCCTCAAGCCCAAACTTCTCCGCCATTCTTTTGCACACATCCCGGACATCAGAAAATGCATCCTTTCTTCCCTTTGCCACAAGCCCTTCAAACAACTCGATCCCAGAAAACGCTTCGCCCCACGCCTCAATCCCTTTGAAAATCGCCACCCTGACATTCTTGTTGGCACAGCTAGAGTACTCATTGAAAAACCTTGCATGGGCCTTGATGTTCACGTTCTTGCATAGCTCAACAAGCACATCCTCTCCTCTTGAATAAAATACCCTGCTGCTCTTCCCACATACCTTGGCTAGCGGCCCCAGATATTGCCCTGCAGCTTCAAACTCACTTCCTAAAATGCTGATGCAGCTTTTAAGAAGCCCAAGCGCACTTCCAGCAAGCCTCGATCGGTCACTCTGCATCGACCTCACAATAAGCTCCTCCACACTCCCTAGCACCTTCCGAGCTTCCTCAGCACATCTAACCCCTGCAGCAAGCCTCAGGAGTGCGTCGTTGATCTTCGACCATGTATTCTCATCCTCCTTTCTTTGCTGCAGTCCTACAGCCTCTTTAATAATCTCATCTAGGCTCATTCCTTGGGGTTAGCCTCCTCAAACAATACTCTACAAAAATTCTCAAAAGCCTTTAATAAAACAGCTACCCAACAGAGGGCCTCCTTTCCCACTTGTCTCCAATCCCAAGCTCTGCAAACCCCTTCTGCTCGCTGATCAGCTTTCTGACATGCATATTGTTCAACCCAAAAAACTCAACTATGCTTGTAAACTCAATACCTTCAGGAAATAGGCTTCTGAATGCATTGAACACCTCCCCGGCCTTTCCCCTTATGCACAGATCCCCTTCGGTTATCTCAAATAAAGGCTTGCTACAAACATTCCTAACAGTACATGTATACAGAGCCATGTCCTTCCCCGTTGGAAACCCTCCTCCACCCCTATAATATGCCCTTTTACACATGTAGTCAACAGGATAAACATTCTTCTGACTATAGAATGGCTTCATGCTTGGCGTTGGAATCCTTCCAAGGCTGTATATCACTAGATAATGTCTTTCTCCAGGAACATGTATCAGCCCCTTCGAATCCCTGAGGTCTACCCTATAGGCCGGCCTGTATCTCCCGGCATCTATCTCCATCCTGCCATCATAGATCCTTAGCACGTCCACCAGCGCCCTTCGATGGGCTTCCAGCCTCCGGAGGGCTTGCCCAGTCTTCTCCATCTCCTCTCTGAGAAGATCTCTTCTCTTAAGAGCACTCATTAGCCTTTTTTGCTGCAGCGAGCACTCCTTCCCGCTCTCCTCGCAATTCATCCCTTGGGCTTTATGCTAGCCATTTTCTTCTTGCCCAAATACTACCTCTCCGGACTCCACACAATCCAAAAACACATAACATATACATTTATTACACTTCGCCCAGACATCTCATCAGCAGTAGTCCCTATATCTCAGGATCTTTATGCTTTGTATGAGCACAGGCAAAAACACAGGGAAAAAGATAGAGGTGTTATATACGCTCGAAAGCCTTAGGAAGACAGGGACACTGCATACCTTCAGCTTGCGGTAGGCCTCCCTAACCTCCTCCACAGATCCATCAAACGGGATGTCTCCGTCTCCGTGATGCCTTGCATTGTTTATCAATGTCTTCAGCATTCTAAGCTTCTCCCTGCTTTCTTTTCCCTCAGAAAGCATCAAGTTGAACCTTCTCCTCATGGTCTCTATCTTTCCACCTAGCCTCTTCTCTTCGACAATCGAAGGAAGAAAGTGAAACGCCATGATAACCACCATCGCCTTCATCAGCAGAATCGTCTTAATCTTCACCCCATCCATTTCTATGGGTAAAAGCTGTGTGCATATCATTTCCTTCCAACCATCTTCCTACGGAGATTGAATCTGTACTTCTCGAGTATAAATATCTCGTTCATCCTCCGAGACGGGTTCTTTCCAAGCAACTCCCCCACCATCCTCTCCAATAAATGTATTCTATCGTTATTGATTGCATTCAATTCTTCCATAAGCTCAATCTTGCATTGAAGATTCTCCATAATCATCGACCCAAAGGCGCCAAGCGTCCTGGATATAGAATCCTTTTCGTCACACACCTTATCGTCCCTAGCCCTTCCCTCCGGGCCTTTGACCCTCGGTGATTCATAAGGCCCAAGACATTTCTCAAGAGCCATGGACTCCATTCTCTCCAAAATGCTTCTTACATCTTTACCAGCCTCAGAGTGAAACCTATTGCAGCATCTGTGTTTCAGTCCGCGCCGGAAATCGTTTCCCGGCATGTCTCCGGCATACCTTGGATTCTCGTCGGGTATCAGTGTCTCCTCAATCTTCAGCTCAAGATTGCATAGCCTGGCTGCAAACTTTAGCGTGCTCACAGACTCCTCAATGCAATCCTCGTGAGGCGACAGAGTGCAGATTGCAACAAGATTCGTACGTCCGTCCAGCGACGGCTGAAGTACCCGTGTCAGCTTTGAGTCTCGAAACCCCAAGTACTTCCCATTCCCTATATTGTTGACAATCGTGCAGAGCGCAAGGAGACTTCTATTGATAAACGACCCCTCCTTCCTTCTGTCCGTCGACCTGCTTGCCCTTTCACTCCCAGCAAGGTCTATCATGTTCAGTGTCCTAACTCTGTTGTTACTGCTGTATGTGACCTGGACCACAGTATGCGACCTGCTGCTCTTTGTGTTGAACTCCGTCGTCCCAAACTTCCTATTCTTCTCGCACCGCTCAATAAAAGACACAACATCCTCCCACTTATCCACATACTCAACCCACAGGTTCGAAATCACATTCCTCTTCTCAACACTGAACATCTGGACCTCGTTGTTGTTTGAAAGATCAAAGAGCTTTTCGTTGTAGATCTCCAAGTACGATATCCCCACAGGCCTTCTATCCAGGATATCCCTTATGGCTAGCTTTATAATCCCTTCCTCGTCCCCTCCAAGCATTGTGTATGTTTTTCCTGAGCCAGTCTGCCCGTATGCAAACACCGTACAGTTCTCTTCGTTCAGAAACTTCTGGATCTCCTCCCTTACACACACCTTATAGACCTCTGCATTTGTCATGTTTGTCAGGATACTTCTGAATCCGTTGTACCTCACCTTTTTCTGTCCGTGGACATGCCACAGGCCGTCCTCAGATGTCTTCCATACCTCGCCGCCCCCTGCTGCAGGCCTTATCCTTATGCTGACCTTGATCTTCTTGTGTGTGGAGTGCATTCCCATCTACTCTTACACTGCTTTTGAACCCTGCTCAAACAGCAGTTTCACATCTTGCATCATGCACCAGCCTAGCGGTTGCATAGTAGCATTCAGCATGGCGAAAGCATCAGGCTGCTTATACTTGAGCAAGGAAAAATTTTATCCCTGAAATGGTAAGTGGTGTATGAGCTAATTTAAAGGCAGAGCATGTTAAAAAGACTAGGAAGCTGCGTGGTCATGTATCGCATGGATATGGGCGTGTGGGGAAGCACAGAAAGCACTCTGGGGGCCGTGGGCTTGCTGGAGGGTTCAGCCACATGAAGACTCTTTTCACAAGATTCCACCCGGACTACCATGGAAAGAGAGGAATGAGGGTCTACCACAGAAAGGAGAACTCTGAGTACGCGCGCCCGATCAGCTCTGCAAGGCTATGGGGGATGATCCCGAAGGAGCAGAGATACGAGTTCCTAGACAATGCCGATAAGGTACCTGTTATCGATGTCAGGGAGTTTGGATATCATGTTGTGGTTGGGGGAAAGTTGCCTTTGGAGAGGCCGATAGTTGTCAAGGCTAGATATTTCACACCATCAGCAAAGGAAGAGATCACACGGGTTGGAGGGAAGTGGATAATTACTTATTAAACTGTCTCCTTTTGACAAGTCGGTATGTTTCCGTTTTTTGATGTCTTCAGCCCTCAAAGTTTACTGTCATCTAAAACAAGTGAAAAATGACGAGTTTGATCGGTCCTATAAATTCTTTGTTTGGGATGGAGGAAATCGAAAGAGATAGAGAAATTGTAAGAAGGATGAAGAAGTTCGACAAGGAATCAATGGAGGCAGCATGCAAGGAGAGCCTCAAGAACAAAAGGATCTCCTATGTTCCAAATCTTGTTGCGATGGGCATCTCTGAGCCTATGAGGAGGAACACAAGGCCCGGGGTGCTTAGCTTGAAAATAAGAGGCATGAGCACAAGAAACATTCTGTTTGCAGTTTCTGAGTCGTTCAGGAACATCAACAAGAAAATAGTCAGGAAGCTCGAGAGGATCAAGGAGGAGCTTTCCAGGAGGAACGACCTCTTCGAGTGTATTGTAGACCATATAGAGAGCATGGATGTGATAGAGGATGAGCTCTTTTCATGGTATCCCGGGCTGAAGACGTCCGACATATTAAGCTTTTTTCTTGATCTTATGCCTGACCTTCTGGAGAAGTACAAGAGGTACTTTGTGAAGTCTCTGGTTCTCCAGCAGCCCCCAAAGAGGAAGATCCTGAAGGCGCTCAGAGATAGACTCCACAAGAATCTGCAGTGCTTTGACATTATTGAGAGGGATCTTGAGCTTTTTGAGGAGCTCTCGAAGAGCATTTCTCTGGAAGGGCGTATTATTACTTCCTCCTACTGGTGTGAGGACGAGGACAGGTGCGAGGATGCCCTAAGGCTCTTCCCTCAGCTCAAGGACAGGATATGCCTGAGCCCGGATGTATGCATAGAATTGTTTCATCCGCTTTCGCATGCCGAGATCCAGATAAATGGAAGAGATCTGGTTGTATCATTTGTGCAGCTTAATGATCTTTTGACGAGGAACGCCAGATCCCTTGATTTTTGGATGAAGGAAGGGATTGTGGACGGGAACTGGGAGTATTTATAGTGGGTAGATGTGTAAAATAAATACAAAGTTCTGGAGAATTTAGTGTCTTGGCAAGATTTTGAGGATGTCAGCTGATCCCCTGATGTCGAGATTTTTTGAGTCGGTTGATGAAGAGAGGGAGGAAAGCAATAAGACCAAGGTAAAGGAAAAGGTGTATGAGGAGTCGGAGAGGCAGAGCAAGAAGGAGAAAAGACTCTATGATCTGCAGTGCAGGGTGATGGAGCTTGAGGAGGAAGAGAACCAGAAGGTTTTTGACAAGCAGCTGAAGAAGATGCTTGCCGATGTAAGGAAGGTAGAGAATCATTTTGGCAAAGACCTTCCTCCATTTTTGAAGAAGTTTTTGACGTCTCCAAAAGCATACACCAAATCGCACAGGAAGGCCATTGATGAATTGCTGTCGAAGTACGAGTCTAAGGAGGAGATCCAGATGAGCCAGGAGAGCAAGAAGGATGAGGAGGAGATATCCAGGGATCTAAGCAAGATACTGGTGATCAAGGATACTGAGATGCGGAAGAAAGAGCTGAGGGAGTTTAAGGACAGTACAAGGGATGTAGCAATGAAGGCCAAGGCCTTGATAACTCTCCTGTCAGTTTACGTGAAGTCTAAGGACGGAGTGGAAATTATGAAGACAATAAACGAGCTGCTTGATTGTCTGACAGATGGAGAGGAGAATGCGGCGAGAAGTGTTCTCCTGGAGAACATTGATTTCTATCTCGAAGCTCTATATGAAACTCTTGATTCTTCCAAGATTGCACCCTACGGCAACTTGCTTAAGAGGCTCTCAGCTATTGACAGAGAGGCTGTTGAGGGGAGAGTCCTGCAGTTTGAGTTTTTTAAGCTGGGAAGGGCAGTGGAAACTGCCCACCCCCTATTCAGGCTTCTTTATATTGATAGGGTTCGGGGATACAAGGAGTCAAGGGAGTACTACAAATCGATAGAAGGCACTGTTGGGGAAGGGAAGGTTGAGCAAGAAGTGCTGCAGGAGTTCGGGATGTCTTCTTTCAGGAACGGAGACTTCGAGATGTCTTTTAAGATTCTTTCGAAGTTCTCAGGAGTAAAAGGCTTCAGCCATGAGATTCCAATGAAGCTTCTATGTGTAATACTCAACGACAGGATCAAGGGAACGCCGATACATAACGAGTTCCTCGAAGGGTTCAAGGGCTTTGGAAGAAACAGGCTTTGCCTTCCATCTGGAGACAGTGTGTTTGAGGTGTATAGATCTTTCTATCTCTTGAACATGCTTGATGCGAAGGGAGCCGGAAATATAGTGAGAAGGTTCTGCGAGGGGTTTGAAGAGGAGATCTGGTTCAAGGATTTTGTAGAATCAAGGATTAAAGGCTGAATTTATTTGATCGTCTCTAGACACCTCTTAATGAAGATTCTGGTTACTGGGACACCCGGCGTTGGAAAGACAACGTTTTCGTCGTGCATATCAGAGAGATTCAAGATTCCGCACATCGAGATGAGCAAGTACATAGAAGAAAACAACCTGTATGAGGAGTACAGCGAAGTATACAAGTCACTTCTGTTCGATGACGAGGTTGTGAGAGAGTCTCTAGAAAAAAATGTTTTTGGGAAGGAGGCGTATGTCATCGACACCCATAGCTGTACAGTGGTGGAGAAAACGACCTTTGACCTGATATTTTTGCTGACTGCACCTGTTGAGGTTCTCTACAGAAGGCTCAAGGAGAGGGGATACGACGAGGGCAAGATCAAGGAGAATGTGGAGTGTGAGATATTTGGGGTTGTAAGGGAGGAACTGGAGGACATCTTTGGAGAAGGATACTACACTGTTGGAGAAGAGGAAGGAGGAATCACACTTGAAGAGGCGATGAAGATTATTGGAGAGAAGATAAACGAAAGATCTAAATAAATGTTTGCATGGGCCGATTTATTAAATGATGCGCACAAGCCCGCTTCCAATCAAATGGGAAACAATGCTTTTCTTAATGAAATATATTCTGTCTTTTTTGAGCTCTATAAGGTTTCCTTCGTCCATCACTATTCCGCAATCTTCCAGCGTGACTATTTGCACGAAGAACTGTATCGGAGGCATTTCCATTGCGAAATCGATATGTCTGAAAGGCTCGAGGTACTCTCTAAGAATCCCATGGTATCTCTCCATGTATTCCTCCTCCTCGGAGGAAAGAGTGCCAGAGGTTTTCTTAGAAGAGAAGAAGTCCTCGAAAAGACATAGGGACCGGTGGAGCTTGTAGCTCCTGAGTATCCTTTCGTTTCGCTCCTTGAAGTATTTTATCATGACATAGTTCACAGAAAGCTCCTCGGATATTCCTTCTCCAGCTAGTCTTCTGACCTCCTCCATTTTTGAGTCCAGATACCCGTTCTCGCCTTGCAATGCCTTCACCTCCGCGTGCCTGTAAGGCTTGAGGAAACTCGACTTGAGATCCTCGAGGAGATATGACCCTGCCTCTCCGAAAATCATAGGGACGTTTTCAGGCAAAGATTTCTCCCCTTTCAATATAAGCACAAAGACGTACATGGAAGTAACCAGAACAATTTAATATAACAGAGCCATCTGTTCTATTAGGAACCCTCCTACTCCTCAGACTTGTGCTTGGAGGCATGAAGCCGTACCCACTCCTTGGCCTTCCTGTTATACTCTGCTCTGTTGTTTCGGTACAAATCTGCAGCTTCCTTGTTCAGAGGATCATCAGAGTTTGGATCTTGTAATAATGAAACTATGGACAAAAGGATCTTATCTATTGTTAGAGCCGGACTCCATTGATCTTTCAGGATATCCAGGCATATGTTCTTCTCAAATATGTTGCAATGGAATATCCTTGTCTTGAACGTCACCTTCGGTGGGCTGAATGGATAGAATGGGGGAAAGACTATCAGAAGCTCAAATATCCCGTCCTCGTATACAGACCCCGGCGGCCCAGTAATCACCGCAATCCACTTGTCTAGTTCGTTGGGGCTTATTGGGCTTGCACTGCATCCCGGTGGAGGGTCTTTTGCCATCGTCTCCATCTCAATTGCTAGCCTGCTATTCTTACCATTAGTTGTTGCCATCTTCTAAAATAGGGGGCTAAAACTTTTTGCAAACAAAATATACCCCTGCCCAGGGTAAACATCTCTCCGGCTCCGGCTCTTTTCCCCACTTTATTCTCCATCCATATCTACCTCTTTTCTTTGCTCTCGGTGGACACATTCTTTAGATCCTCATCATCTTCAGGAACCTCGATTCCGACTTCTGTCTTCAGCGCTAACTTGACATCACACAACTCGACAACGTCCTTCTTCCTGTGGTAGGCCAATGCACACGACATGTGGATGATATGGTCAACAAACCCATCGCAAAGCTCATAGATAAATGCCTTTACATCTTTGTCGATATCCTTACATCCAATTAACTCCTCTATTGTTTTCACATCGGAGCCTGCATTTCTATTTACATTACAGAGCTCGCCATTGGGGTCTCTCCCGTTGTTATTCTGCAAATCTTTTGGAAGCTCTATTTCGTTCTTTTCAATCCCATCACATCCCTGCTCTTTCTCTGGCCCTAGAAGTATATCCAGCCGCCAGAGGTCTTCCAGATTACAAGAATACATCTCACCTTTCTCCAGGCAGTCAGATCCCACCATTATCTCATCCAAGATCCTATCCTCAGGAACTTTTTCTACTGCTTCTCTCCCAACCTCCCCTCTATTCGTAGGGCTTTGGGGATGTTGTGCAGAACACCTCCTTTTTCCAGGCACCTCAGGATATAGCGAACACGTTGTTGCAAAGCTATTTCCTCTACATACTTCTGGCGCTATACCGTTTATATAGCTCAGATTCCCTGGAGAAACTGTGTGGTGCGACATCATGGCCTCTTCCTTCTTCCTACTTGTGCTATACAATTGGCCTCCCCCAACCCAATTCGTTGGCTGTCTCGCTCCACTCACTCCTCTTTCATCCGAGATATATGAAAACCCTGTCTTGGGAGACACAACCGTCTTTCCCGCCACTCTGTATCTTTCTCCAAACCTATTTCTTTCGCATCCACTGGGAAATCCACCGTACATGCCATAAACGTTACCCTCCTCCATGCCAAGCCCCACGTGTTGCCCATTGTCCCTCAATCTCGGCTCCATATACATCCCATAGCCGCCGTAAACTCCATTGAAGCCTCGGTACTCCACTCCATGAGGCTGGACCCCATGAAATCCCCCAACGCCTTCGCTCTGTCTAGGAAAAGGCATGGGATTCCATAAGGATGCCCTTTCCTGGCCTCTTATAATCGGCTGTCCCATAGGCCCCATCCATATAGGCATTCCTTGCTCCATAGGTACTCCCCACCTTCCATCAGGAATCACGCCCGGCATATATAGTGGCCCTCCTCCAGGCATCCCATAGTTCACGGCAACTCTGTCATTCATTCTGTTCCAGTCCATAGGCATCCCCACAGAAAATCCCATCCTAGCCCTCTCCTCCGTACCCAGTCCTTCCTTCGACGAAAGCATCACCGCCTCAGTCCTGGCTTTGACAAAATCGTCTATGGAAAATATCCCAACACTATTCTTCCTTGGCCTAATAAACCTAGAGTGCATTTTGAAAAAATGCGTCAGCCTCAATCTATTCTCCTCGTACTCCTGCACCATTTCCTTGCTTACATTCTTGTTATCAACAACCCTCCTCTTACTCTTCTTATGCTGCTTCACTAAGTTATCAAAAATCGCCTTCAATCTCTCTCCTTCCTTAAAAAAATTCATATATGGGTTGATCAGAGCTTCGTAATACATCTGCTAAAGACATAATCACCGCCCATCCATGTTAAAGCTAAATCAAGACAATAACGTTTAATCAAGAAGAGCACATCGAGCAAGGCTCATCGGCATCGTAGTTCATGGAGGATAGCGTTTTCTCTGCAAGCTTCTTGTCCACCGTAAACTTGATTGCCGACGTTATGGGCCTTGTCCTCAGATAGTACATCCCAGTCTTCAGTCCGCAGTGGTATCCATAAAAATGCATCGAGGTAAGCTGAGAGTATGTCGGCTTTGCTATAAATATATTCAGAGACTGAGATTGGTCGATAAACGCCTGTCTATCTGCTGCCAGATCTATCACAGACTTCATCTTTATTTCCCAGACAGTCTTATAGATTTCTCTAATCTTCGATGGAATCGAAGTGATATTCTGGATCGACCCTTCGTTCTCGACAATCAGGTTCTTCATTTCATAGGACCACAACCCTAGCTTCACAAGATCGTCAATTAGATATTGATTGACAATCTGGAACTCTCCTGCATGCGTTCTCCTTGTGTATATATTCGATGCATACGGCTCAAACGCCTCGTTGTTTCCAAATATCTGCGAGGTCCCAGAAGTTGGCATCAGTGCAATCAGAAGGCTGTTCCTCGTCCCATACCTTTTGATTCTTTCTCGAAGCCCCTCCCAATCCCATTTGTTAGATGCCTTCTTTCCAGCTAACTCAAAGTGGAAAATCCCTTTGCTTATCGACGATCCCTCGTAAGACTCAAATGGCCCTTCGGCTTCAGCCAGCTCACATGACGCTTCCAGTGCAGAGTAGTACATGGCCTCGAAAATTTCCTTGTTCAGCTTCCTTGCCTCATCACTTTCAAACGGAAATCTCAAAATCGCAAACAGGTCCGCTAGCCCTTGCACCCCTATCCCAATGGGTCTGTGCCTCATGTTTGATGTCTTTGCCTCCTCAATAGGATAGTAGCTCCAATCTATCACCCTATTCAGATTTATCGTTATTATCCGAACTATGCTCCTAAAAGACTCAAAGTCAAACACCCCATTCTTAACAAACTTGGGAAGGGAAATAGATGCAAGATTACACACAGAAGTCTCATCTCCTGAGGAATACTCAACTATCTCTGCACAAAGGTTCGACGACTTGATAGTCCCAAGATGTTGCATATTGCTGAGCCTATTGCATGCATCCTTGTAGCACATATATGGCGTCCCAGTCTCAATTTGCGCCTCTATTATAGCCTTCCACAGCTTCTGCGCCGGGACCACAGTCCTGCTGATGGTCTTTTCATATTTGCAATACAGTGCATTGAACTCCTCTCCCCACACCTCATCTAGCCCAACAGCCTGGCTCGGGCAGAACAGGGACCATTCCTCGTTGTTCTTGACCCTTTCCATAAACAGGTCATTGACCCACAGAGCAATAAACATGTCTCTTGCACGGAGATCTTCAGGCCCTGTGTTCTTTCTTATGTCCAAGAAGTCAAATATCTCCATATGCCACGGTTCAAGATAAATCGCTATCGACCCAGGCCTTCTCTCAGCCCCTTGGTTGATGTATCTCTTCGTTGCATTGAAAACTTGGATTAGTGGGACAATTCCGTTGCTTCTTCCCCCAGTGTTCTTTAGAGGGGACCCCTTCGACCTGATGCTATGGAGATTGAGTCCTATCCCTCCAGAGTACTTCGTTATAATCGCCGCTTGGTTCACCATGTGATACACACCCTCAATAGAGTCTTCCTTCGGCGATATAAGAAAGCAGCTTGCAAGCTGAGGATTCTTGAGGCATGAGTTGTAAAGAGTTGGCGTTGCATGTGTAAAGTAGTGCTCCGAAAGCATGTCATAGGTCTCCTTCACCCTCTCGAAGTCAGTCTTGTGGATCTGCAGAGCTGTTCTCATAAACACATCCTGGGGTCTCTCAACAATCTCGTCTCCCACCCTTATAAGATAGGACTTCATTAAGGTAAGTATTCCAAAATAACTGAACAGAAAATCGTTCTCGTAGTTTATCATGGCGTCAATGGTCTCCTTATTCTCCAGTATTATTTCATACATCTCTTCGGAAATCGTCCCTCGGTGCTTTTGTATGTACTTGATTTTCTCACTGAAGGAATCCATCGTGACCTCGTGGATGTACGAAACAACAATTCTCGACGAAATTCGCCCATACTCAGGATGCTTGGTAATCATGGATGCAGCCGTCTCACTGCAGTAGTCCATAACTTCCTTTCTGGTCATGTCTTCGCACCACCCAGAGATTATTTTGTCCATCAGCTCGTTAACATCCACATGTTTCAGATCAAGTATTCTAGCATACTCCTCTATTTGCCCCCTAACACCTTCTATTCCAAGCTTTTCAGTTCTGATCCTCTTGGTATTCAAAGAATTTTCCATTTCAGGGTTTGAAAGGTTAGCAAAAATTATGAAGACCAATAGTGGTTGAGTATAGATGGTGAAAGCTTTTCAAACACGGTCATTTAATTCCAAGTGCCTTGTTAATCTCTTTCTCAAAGAACTTCTCAATAACAGGCCTCCTCTTCTTCCCGGTCGGCGTAACAAACTCCCCAGAACAGAGGGCCTCAAGCCCCTGCCGCACAACAATAACACGCCACGGAATCTCAAGCTTCGTTATCTTCTTCTGCTTAAACAGCCTCTCCCCAGTTGAAAGAACATGCTGGAAAATCTCCTTGTCGCTCTTCTGCGTCCCAGGACACACAGCAATCGCAACAATCTTGTCACTGTCAGACCTCCGCGGAATGCACATGTCCTGCACAACCTCGCCGTCGCTGTAAAGCACCTCAAGCTTCTCGGGGTCAATGTACTCCCCCTGAGACGTCTTGAACCCGTCCTTCACACGCCCAATCACAGAAAACATCCCAGTCCTCGTGTCAAACATCCCAATGTCCCCAGTCCGGAGCCATCCGTCAGAAGTAAACAGCTCGCGCGTCTCCTCAGGCCTCTTGAAGTACCCCTGCGTCACATTGTCGCCCCGAAGCAGAATCTCCCCAACCCTGCACGACGGATACCGCCGCACATACTCAGACCTCAGCTCGTCGCTTATCTCCCCAAGCTTCACCTCGTTCGACGGAAACGGAATCCCAACATTGTCGTACACCTGGTTGTCGAGAGGCTGCACAATCCCCGCACCAACATTCTCAGTCTGCCCATACCCTTGGAAAATCCTGCACGAAAGCACAGCCTGCATGTACACCAGGACATCCTTCTTCAGAGGCGCAGACCCACACAGAATCTTCTCAATCCTCCCCCCAAACTCCCTCGATATCCGGTTGAACACAAGCCAGTCAAGGAACCGGTTCTTCAGCTCCCCCTTCACAGCTACACCCCACATCTTGTACCAGAGCGCCGCACGGAAAACCCCCCGCACAAAAATGTTCTTCTGCCGCACATTCTCCTCAATCTTCTCCTTAAATAGGTTCAGCACACGCGGAACAGAAATAATAAACGTCGGCTTCGCAACAAGGTAGTCCTCCTTGATCTCCCGAGGATTCCCCCGGTAGAACACTATCTTGCATCCATACGCCATCGAAATGTTGATGCATATCCTCTCCATCACATGTGCCAGAGGCAGGTACGACAGGTACACATCGTCCCGCGAAAGACGCACCATCTCCCCCTCGTTGGATCCGCGGAATATCCCTGCAACACCAGAAATAAAGTTCTTGTGCGTCAGCATCACTCCCTTCGGCTTCCCAGACGTCCCGCTCGTGTAGCATATCGTCGCAAGGTCGTCCCCGCTTGGATACCGGGTGCCGTCCACATCCACGTCAGTAGACACAACATCCCAAAAGTACTCCACCCGGACACCGACATTCTCAAGCATCTCCTTGACATTCTCGTCACGGTCCATCAGAATCACACACGAAAGCTTCCCCCTGCTCTCAAGAACACTCTCAAGCAGCAGCTTGGCCTTGTCCGCAGACGCAATACACACCTTCATCTCAGTCTCCTCAAGAATCAGCTGCACATTCTCGGGCGAAAACGTCGAGTACAGCGGGACATTCGTGCACCCGCACATGTACGACGCCATCTCCGCAACAATCCACTCGTACCTGTTCACAGAGTAGATTCCGACAATGTCCTTTGGCTCTGTCATCTTGCTGAGGAAGCTTGCAATGCCCTTGACATCTCTCAGGGTCTCGCTTGCAGACTTGTACACAACCTCTCCGCCGGATATTGTCCCAAAGAGGGGGTCGCTGCCCGCTGTGCTGCACCTGGTGAGGAAGATCTCCAAGACTGTCTTCGACCCGTCTGGTGCACACACAACACCCTGCTGGAAGTTGACGTGCTGCACAGACCCATCGTCCATAACTCTGATTCTCCCCATTATATCCCTGAGATTAGAAACAATAGCACTTTCATTGCTACCTGGGCTGCCTGCCTTCATAGAACCTTTCGGAGCATCAGGTACAAAACCCTTAATGCCCTTGCCATTAGTTACTTGAGCATAATCTGCGAACACAAGACTACTAAGTATCACAACACTGGCAAAAAACGATTTAACTGCAGTAAACCTAATCCCTCCCATTGCACCTTAGTCTATCCATTATTATATATTTTCAAATTATCCATATTTGGCATCTGCTCATTAATACTAGGTGGTTTTTTATGTTCGTCTTCGCCAAAAAGAAGAAGCGGCTGCATGAAATTCAATCTACTTCTGCTCCCCTAGAATGTTCTCCAATGAGAAGATAAAGATAATGCCTCTTGGGGCAGGAAATGAAGTTGGAAGGTCGTGTGTTATTGTTGAATGCGGGGGTAGGACTATAATGCTGGACTGCGGGGTACATCCTGCATATACCGGGGTGGCATCTCTTCCCTTTTTGGATCTTGTGGACCTCTCGAAGATCGATGCTATATTTATCACACACTTCCATCTCGACCATGCTGCTGCTCTACCATTTCTAACAGAAAAAACAAGCTTCAAAGGAAAGGTCTATATGACACATCCTACAAAGGCCATTCTTAAATGGCTTCTGAACGATTACATCAGGCTTATAAATGCAGCATCGGATGCAGACTTCTACACGGAAACCGATCTGGTCAAGTGTTACGATAGAATCATACCGATTGATTACCATCAAGAGGTTAATGTGAAAGGGATTAAAGTCAAGGCGCTGAATGCAGGGCATGTACTGGGGGCAGCAATGTTTCTGATTGAAATAGAGAAAAGCAAGGTTCTTTACACAGGAGACTTCAGCAGAGAAGAGGACAGGCACCTCAAAGCGGCCGAGTCACCTGGATGCAAAATAGACGCACTGATAACAGAATCCACATACGGAGTGCAATGCCACCTTCCAAGGGCTGAAAGAGAAGGAAGGTTTACAAGTATTGTCCAGAATGTTGTTCAGAGGGGTGGAAGGTGCCTGCTTCCTGTGTTTGCCCTTGGAAGAGCACAGGAGCTGCTTCTTATTCTTGAAGAGCATTGGGGCTCGAATGCTTCGTTGCAGAAGATTCCCATCTACTATGCATCTGCACTGGCAAAGAGGTGTATGGGGGTATACCAGACATACATAGGGATGATGAACGAGAGAATCCAGAAGCTGAGCCTTGTCAGGAATCCTTTTGCGTTTAAGTATGTCAAGAATCTTAAGGGCATAGACTCGTTTGACGACGAGGGGCCATGTGTGATAATGGCTAGTCCTGGGATGCTTCAAAGTGGGCTTTCAAGGGATCTTTTTGAGCGGTGGTGCTCTGACAGCAGGAATGCGGTGATAATACCTGGCTATTGTGTGGATGGAACACTTGCAAAGGAAATACTCAGCGAGCCGAAGGAGATAGAGGCGCTGAATGGAAAGAAGCTTCGGCTCAATATGTCTGTAGAATATATCTCGTTCAGTGCACATGTGGACTTCACGCAGAACAGCCAGTTTATTGAGGAGTGCCAGCCGAAGCATCTCTTTTTTGTGCATGGAGAGATGAATGAGATGCAAAGGCTTAGGAATGTTATTCAGCAAAGAAATGAGAAGAAGGGGGTTGAGATGGTGCTTTATACCCTCCGGAATGGGGAGGAGGCGGAGTTTGATCTTGTCAAGGACAATGAGGCGAAGATATTTACCAATGTTGAAGGAGAGTTTGAGGGGATTATCATAGGGACGGAGGACGACATAAGGATTTACAAGAGAGATGAGCTGGTTGAGGCCAAATACAAGGAGATGTGCATATATGAAAGGCAAAGGATACCGTACAATTCCACGGCGATGCTGCTGAAGCAAGTTCTTATGGATGGGTTTTCTGAACTTGTCGAGGTTGATTCTGGGTTTATGATAGGTAATGTCCATGTTAGGCTGGATGGACAAGAGGTTGTGCTTGAATGGAAGAGCAACTATGCAGACGATGTCCTGGCGATATCGATAAGCAGGATGATATCTGGGATTGGGTTGAAGACAAAGAGTGTTAAGCTGAGCAAGATGGGAAAGGATGAGCTTTTGATTAGTGTTCTAAAGAATTACTTTGTGATTGAGAAGGATGAGGGTGTTATAAGAGTTAAGAACGGGTGCAGAGAGGCATGTATTAGTGCTGAAGGAGCGACAGGCGACTCTTCTATAGTCGACAGAATAAATGAATGCATGCGAAAGATAGAGGTGATATATTCGGAAGTCTAAGGTTGAATGAAGCTGTTTGTGAGGTGTTTTCGATAGGATATTTTATTAAAATCTTAATTTCAATCCCTAGGGATATAATGGGGAGAATCAGAGTTATGGACGATGGGTCTGTGCAGCACGTCAACTTCCAGCAGGGTGTTGTGTGTGCACCAGACGGGTCGAAGACAGTCTTGGAGATCTTCCTCACCAGGTGCAGCACAGCGGGCAGCGACCCCCTCTTTGGGACAATATCCGGCGGAGAGGTTGTGTACAAGTCTGCAAGCGAGACCCTGAGAGATGTCAAGGGCATTGCAAGCTTCCTCAGCAAGATGACAGAGCCAAAGGACATTGTCGGAATCTACTCTGTGAACAGGTACGAGTGGATTGTTGCGGAGATGGCGTCGTACATGTGCGGGTGCACGAATGTCCCGCTGTACTCGACGTTTTCGCCCGAGAATGTGCAGCTGATTCTTGAGGAGACTGAGATGAAGGTGTGTATTGCGTCTGCGGACAAGGCCAAGCTGCTGCTTGAGAGTGTTCTTGAGAGCAGGGGGAAGCTTTCGTGTGTGATTCTGATGGACCGTGACGAGAATGTCAAGGAGATGCTTGAGAATGTCGGTGTCCGGGTGGAGTACTTTTGGGATGTTGTGTCTACTGACGTGGATGTGGACGGCACCCGGTATCCAAGCGGGGACGACCTTGCGACGATATGCTACACGAGCGGGACGTCTGGGAAGCCGAAGGGAGTGATGCTGACGCACAAGAACTTTATTTCTGGTGTTGCAGGGATATTCCGCGGATCCAACGAGGGGGAGATGGTGCGTCTTTCGCGGGACGATGTGTACCTGTCGTACCTGCCTCTGGCACATGTGATGGAGAGGATATGCATCAACATTTCGATGGCGTATGGATGCAAGATAGTGTTCTACCGGGGGAATCCTCGGGAGATCAAGGAGGACTACCTTGTTGCGAAGCCGACGTTTATTATTTCTGTTCCGCGTGTGCTGAACCTATTTAAGGAGAAGATTGAGGAGAATGTGCGGCAGAAGAACATTTTTGTGCGGGGGGTTTTCCGTGCGGCGCTCTGGTACAAGATGTGGGGTGTAGCTGTGAAGGGGGAGCTGAAGAACCGGTTCCTTGACTGGCTTGTGTTCAACCGGATATCGAGGGAGTTTGGGGGGAGGATTGAGAAGATTCTGTGTGGGTCTGCGCCTCTGAAGAAGGATGTCCTGGTGTACATGCAGGCTGTGCTTTCGTGCAGGATTTTCCAAGGGTATGGGCAGACTGAGAATGTTGGTGCGGGGATTGTGCAGCCTCTCGACAACCACGTGTACGACAATGTTGGGATTCCGTTTCCGTCGAACGAGGTGAAGCTTGGGGAGATAAGCGACGAGCTGAGGTCTGAGTATGTGCGGCGGTATCCGTCGTGCAGGGTTGGGGAGATTCTGCTTCGGGGCGACAATGTGACGCAGGGGTACTTCAAGAGGCCTGAGGAGACGCGCGAGCTGTTTACTTCTGACGGATGGCTCCGGACTGGGGACATTGGGATGTTTGACACGAGGACTGGGATGTTTTCTGTGATTGGGCGTGTGAAGGACGGGTTCAAGACGTCTCAGGGGGAGTACATTGACCCCGAGAAGCTTGAGGTGCTTTACAGCGACGGCGAGGTTGTGCAGGACATGTGCATTCCGCGGAGGTCTGACAGTGACAAGATTGTTGCGATTGCTGTGTGTCCTGGGACGCAGAAGAGCGACAAGGAGATTTTCCAGCATGTTCTTTCAACTGGGGAGAGGCTGTTTAAGCAGAAGAAGATAACGAAGCTTGAGATTCCGTGGCGTGTTATTGTTGTGCGGCAGGGGCTTGAGGCCCTCTGTTCTGGGGAGTTTGTTACGCCGACCGGGAAGAAGAGGAGGCCTGTTATTGAGAAGTTCTTTGAGAAAGAGATTAACAAGGCACTTGGAATTAAATGACCGTGTTTGAAAAGCTTTCACCATCTATACTCAACCACTATTGGTCTTCATAATCCGTAAACTCGTTTTCTTCATTAATAAAAATCAGGCAAGTGCTAGAAAAAAGACTTTATTCTCTCCTTGTTATTTTATACACAACAATCGCAGTGACTATGCTAATCACACTCCCTATCGCCACAATCTTCCTTTTCGAAAACCCAGGCCCTTTTCTTCCAATTCTCTTCTTCGCCTCAACAAACTCCTCTTCAAGCTTTACCACTTTTGTGAATAAGTCATCGTCAATATTCTCTACAAGCTTATTGTTGGCAATCTTACCATAGAACAATACCAAGAGGATAAATGGGCAAGTATTAGGACACGAAAGAATTATTCCAAACACCCTGTGAACATCCTCTGTTTTTGAAAGGTTCCTCAGGAAGAACGTCAGGATCGACCCCATGAACTTATAGCTTTCTAGCTCGGGAATCTTTATTCCTCTCTTCTTCATTATCTCCACAAATATCCCCATGTTCTCCTTATACATCTTGAAATCGTCGGCAACAAGCGGCTCCAGCTTCTTCCTAAACACGTTTGTGAGCACAACACCAACCTTGGCTATCACGTCCTTGTGCCTCGAAACAAATCTCTTAAGCTCTGCATTTTCTTCCTCAGATACCTCAATAAAATTCTCAGAGGCATCTTCTTCCGAAGACTCTAAAGATTCTCCTCCAATAATCTCCTTGGCTATTTCCTCCTCAACAATCTCCTGCAGATAGTAGAGAACAAACACAGATGCAACCTCACTCATGCCCTGTGTGTATCTGATTGGGATCTTATCAAGCTCCACAAAAAGCAACTTCTTCAGAAACTTGGCCGCCTTGTGATTCTTCTTGTCCATGCCCAGCAGCTCAGTGCGTCTCACATCGTTTTCTATCACTCTCCTCTCGTTGTAGTCTCTCTCCACACTCACGTACTCCTCTCCCTCTGCTTTCTTCTCGAACGACTGCAGTATGTCAGCAAACCCAGCTCCCTCCATCTGTAAAGGCCTCAGGAATTTTTTTATTTGCAGTAAAAGGGTTCGAGACCAATAGGATGTGCAGCTATCAACTAAATTACAGAATCCCTATTCGGTCTATTTGTCTGCTGGCTGTCAACTAGCAATTGGACATAGCAAGTATAAGAAGTATGGAGGGAAAACATTGCCATGCTGGTTGCACTGGTGTTTTTGTTCCTTTCTGTAGTTATGGCTTCCCGGTATCTCTACAAAAAGATATTCGTGATGGGAAGGCTCAAGCACATCAAGAAGCCCTCTGAGGATTGGGAGGCACCTTCTAGGAAGGCTATGATGGAGAGGCTTGAATCCGAAGTGTTCGACTTGGTGATAGTTGGTGGGGGAAGCACGGGCGCGGGGTGTGCGCTCGATGCTGCAACAAGGGGACTGAATGTAGCATTGGTGGAGGCCCTTGACTTTGGGTCAGGAACCAGCTCAAAATCAACCAAGCTTGTGCACGGCGGGGTAAGGTACCTTGCAAGTGCTGTTAGCAACCTGGACTTGTCACAATACAGGCTGGTATGGCAAGCACTGGATGAGAGAAGTACGATGTTCAAGATATCTCCGTACCTTACAAACAGCATTAAGATACTGGTTCCCATATACAGCAAGATTCTCGTTCCCTACTTCTACCTTGGACTGAAGCTTTATGATTGGATTTCTGGACTGAAGTCATTAGGGAAAAGCTATTTCATTAGTAGAAAGGAGGCTATAGATGCATTCCCTCATGTCAACAAGAAAAACCTTTGCGGGGCGATGGTTTATTTTGATGGGCAGCAAGACGATGTCCGAAACAATGTGATGCTGGTGATGACTGCTGTCTACCATGGGGCTGTAGCTGTGAATTACCTATCTGCAAAGTCTTTAGTGATGAAAGAGGGGAAGATTGCCGGGGTCCGATGCAAAGACTTGATTTCGGGGTCCGAAGTTGAGATCAGGAGTGCGGGTGTCATAAACAGCACAGGAAACTTTGCAGACGACCTGAGGAGAATGAACGATGGAGATGCAAGGGAGATCATGGTCCAAAGCTCTGGAACACACATTGTCATCCCAAAGGAGTATGCTCCTAAGGAGATGGGGTTTCTGGATCCTCTTACGGGCGATAACAGAATAGCTTTCTTCATGCCATGGATGGGAAAGACACTTGTAGGGTCTACCGACATCAAGGCAAAGAACGAGGCGTCTCCCTCTCCAACGAAGGAGGATCTGGAGTTCCTGATTCACGAGGTCAGGGCCTACACGTCTCAGAATCCAAAGCTAACGAAAGACGAAGTCTCGGCAATATGGACTGGAATAAGGCCTCTTGTCAAGGACATCGAGGTTTCCGAAACAAGCTCGATTGTCAGAAAGCATTTTGTGCAGGTTGAGAAGAATGGACTCCTGACAGTCACTGGAGGCAAGTGGACGATATACAGAAAGATAGCGGAGGATGCCATAGATTTGGCTGTCAGTGCGTTTTACTTGAAGCCGAAGGGGCCATGCGTGACGAAGTATGTGCAGATACTCGGGGCTGATGAGTACAGCGAAGACACTTGGATCTGTGTGCAAAAGAAGTTGAATGTGACAAAGGATGTTGCAAAAAGGCTTGTAAGATTCTATGGAACTGGTGCCTTAAGGCTTGCGAACTACATTAAAAAAGGCAAGAAGAGCCTTCTGTCGGAGAAGTATTCCTACTTCTGTGAGGAGGTGGAGTACTGCATAGACAATGAAATGGCTGTCAGGATATGCGATGTGCTCTGCAACAGGCTGATGATTGGGCTGGTGGACGTGAAGGAGGCCTATGGATGCATTAGGAAAGTTCTTGAGATTTTCAAGAGAAAGCATCGATGGGATGCAGACAGATGCAACGACGAAGAGATAAATGCGATAAGGATGCTCAATACATATGGACTAAAGATCTTGAGAGAAGATATTCAGGACGAGTCTTCCCTGGAGGCTGGATGCCCTGGAGAGGAGGAGCATAGGAGTGGGAACAAATCTTTGATCACAAAATAAATTCATCGATTTTAATTCAGCGCAGATCTATCTCATAAGTCTTTCTAACTTTCCAAACACCAAGCTTCTCAGAACGCTTCTAAACGTAGGAATGCTATCTCTTAAAAGCAAGAACAGGCCCAGAATCTCCAAAAGAAAGCCAAATGCCAAAAACCTGTAAACCAGAAACAGTATGCCCATTGTAAAGATCGCCATGCCTTGTATTTTCTCGGGGCGTAGCAAGGTAAGCATCCTGGACCTTGCCAGAAGAGAAATGCCTATGATTATCAGGAGATTACCAGATATCATCAGTGCTCTGTCCATCAGAAGGACGGCACCTGCAAGAAAAACAAACATGCCTATCGACATGACCACCACGCTGGATTCTTTTAGATTCATTCTTCCTCAGGGGAGAGAGAAGAATACTGAAATATGCTGGTGAGGAGATCCCTTGGAGCATGAGAAGAATAGCCGACCTCAAGGTTAGAAGCAAGAAATTCCTGGCACAAAGGACTATCTCCGGCCCCGTGCTTCGTATTGCCTGGGATTTAGTGTATTGGATGGCAAGATATGACAGGCGTCTAAGGGTTTTCTGTAAATGCACGTCTCCAAGGGAGATATCTGTTCTTGCTCCCTGGAGGAAACCATATGAGAGAAGGGGATACTACGAGTCCAGGGCCTCCTTCGACATCGACCTCCATCCCTTTATCAACCTTAGGGTCTTAAAGGTCATTGACTCGTCTGCCTTTGATATGTCTTCCATTAGCAATACCTGTGTCAAGAAACTAAAGCTTCTTAAAGTCTCTAGCGTGAGAATGAAAGGCCCTGTGAATACCGTGCTCCAGGAAATAGCCCTAAAGGACGTTAGAATACCATATGAAGACATGGCAAACATTCTTGGGATAGAGTCACTAGTAAGTGTGTCGCTGACGAACGTCGACATCTTAGGATGCAATGATTGGCAGGAAAGGCTTCTAGAGAGGCTTAGAGAGATGCCAGGCCTAAAAAAGATAGTGTTGGCCAGCATGGGTGTTAGTGTTCAGCGGTTTGCTGACTTATGCATTGAAAGGGGCCTGGGATGGTTCAGAATTGCCGAAGAAGGCATGTGTCTAGATGTAAGGCTGTGCTCCTTTTCAAGCGTCGTTCGATGTGTGGGTATCCTGAGGTGCCTTTCAAAGCTTGATCTGGAGATGGTGGAAGCGATACATGTTGGAGGAAGTGACTTGAAGTATATGAGAGAGACCCTTCCCAATCTGAAAGCACTCCATGTGACCCAGGCAGAGATAGATAGCAAGGCATTCAAGGCAATATATCTTAGATATCCAAATCTGATTAGACTTGGGTTTTCCGAATGCATCTTTAGCGGAACTTCTTTCTACGAGATCATCATGCACTTCAAGAGGATGCTGAGGCATCTAGACCTCACTTCATCAATGCTTCCTCACGACTACATCTCTTTTCTGGAAAAGACCTTATGCTCGTGCTCTGTAAGACTAAAGAGTGGGGAGCTAATTACGATTGACAATCCCACCTCCGGTACGCTCGGTAGATAGCTAATTATTGGTAATCTTGGAGCCTCTTGCAGTTGCTTCCTGGTAAGAGTGTCGGTATCCTGAAGATGGTGAATAAAGCTATGGAAGCCCTACTTACACTCATAGTATTGTGCCTGCAAACTAAGCTACTTACATTTTGAGTATCCTGTCCCTTATTTCAATGACGGATAGGGCGAGGGAGGTTCTCGACATGCTTCTTGGGCCGGACAGAGATGTTTACGATCCCAGCAGGACGTCTTCAGCGAGGACGAATGTGTGCACATACATGCTTGTCTCGTTCTGTCCATTTGAGCTGTTCAGAAATACCAGAAGGAGTATTGGAAGGTGTAAATACAGCAACCACGAGGAATACTACAAGGCCGAGTACAATAGAAGCGGAAGAGAGAGACATGAAGAATACGAGTGGGAGTTTCTCCGGTTGCTTGTCGAGATTGTTTTACGTGTCCAGGATGAGATCCGAGAATGCGGTGCAGAGGAGGTGGCAGACATTTCCTTGCTTGGAAAAATCAAGGAGAAAGAAGAAGCATTCAATAGGATGTACCAGAGCATAGAGAGGCTTGGGATGGAAGGAAATGTGGAAGAGGCATGGCACATCTTCAATGAGTGTGAAAAGGCAAAGGAGGAGCTGGAGAAGATGAAGGAGGCATACTATGTGAAGAATAGTGGTGCAGGGATGGGGAAGTGTAGCATATGCGGGGTCAACCTAATTCTAAGCGACACAAATGTGAAAATTAACAGGCATCTGGGGGGAAAGCTTCATAGAGGATACCTTCAGGTTAGGAGTAAGCTAGGGGAGCTTTTGGAGAAGTTCGGGATCTCCAGCGTGGCAGAGATATTTCCAGAGGGCTTTTCGTTCAAGTATTTGAGAAGGTAGCCCTTGCAATGGCTGTCCCCTTAGTGCCGACTAAGGAGGTCAGATTTAAGTCTATATTCGGTTAATATTTGCACTGGTAAGTACCCACGATAGATGTCTGACGAAAGCATATGGAGGAATATTGGTGGAGATGGATATTGCTCGTTTAAGATGAAGACCGAGGAGGATACATTATGCAGGAACCAAAACAATGTGACTGGGATATGCAACCGGTTTTCGTGCCCGCTGGCCAATTCGAAGTATGCAACGGTCCGTGCAGTGGGAGAGGAGCTTTTTTTGTTTGTGAAGGAGCCTGAGCGTGTTCATGTTCCTCGAGATGTCTATGAGGAAATAAAGCTGTCTTCGAACTACGAAGAAGCTCTTAAGCAGATAGAAGAAAACCTTGAGTTCTGGGACGAAAAGATTATTCACAAATGTAAGCAGAAACTTTCGAAGCTCACACAGTATCTCAGAAGACTAGAGTATTTCAAAGAGCACGGAAGGACAGAATATATGGTGAGGAAGAAGAGAATGAACAGAAGGGAAAAGCTTAGAGCACTCAAGACTCTGAACAAGATCAACTTTGAGAAGAACATTGGGGACGAGCTAATGCTAAGGCTTGAAAGCGGAATCTACGGAACAGAGCTTAGAGACAGGTTCTATTTGGCCAACAAGGAGGCATTAGAAAGAGAAAGGAAGCAGAGTAGAAAGAAAAGATATGTTGCAGACCTTGAAGAAAGCGACGCGATGTTTGAAACTGACACCGAGCACCAAGACATTAAGAAGAAGACAAAGAAGAAGGCTACAATGAAATGGTAAGATGTGGTGTCCTTTAAACCGTTTATTTAGTCGAAAATAAAGATCTTGATATGAAGACTTAATTCCATCTTCACCATACTTCTCTCTTGAGCCTTTCATCGGAGAGGCTATTTCTTTTCTCCAGACTTCGCTAATACAAACTTTCCAACAATCAGAGCATGATCCTTTTCAAATGGCTCAAGAGTTACTTGCTCTCTTGGCTTGATATTGCTCTTTCTGAGGATGTTCACTTCGTCTGCAAAGACGGTCTCGGCGGGAATAGATGAATTGACACAGTTTGCCTTGATGGAGACATCCACTCCCCCTCCTTCCTTCAAAAAGTACTGAGCATTCAGCGCAACAATCCTTGTCTGGTCTGGTTGGGAAACATCCGAAAAAATACAGTCGACAATGGGTACAAGCATTCTGTATCTCGATGGATGTCTAGCATCCTCTATTATGGGAACAATGTTCGGCCGCTTCATAGACATGTTGATCAGATCTCTTCCAGACCTCTCGCTAACCTCAACCGCATATACCATCCCGTCCTTCCCAACTATGTCAGACACATGAGAAACCGTTGTGCCAGACGAGGCTCCTAGGTACAGCACTTTACTTCCAGGCCCTATGTGGATGTTCTCGACACCGCACACAATCCCGGCTGCAAGCTTGCTTCTGTAGACATTCCAAACACGGTACTCAACTTTCTCCCCTTCAACGTCGACACTGACCCTCCTCTCCCCATACACGCTGGTTCCAGGCGCTAGACTTTTTGTAAGCAGCAGATCCTCCTTCCCCCTTCCAACATACACCCCTGGAAACCTCTTGTGCGGCTCAACCAGGATCTTCTTGTCCAGTCCAGCCTTCACGCTTCCCTTCTTCTTATTATTCATCCTTCCTCTTCCCTCATTCTTACCGCCCCTAGGTGGCCTCCCTCCCTTCTGGAACTTTCCTCTGTTGGGCTTCTTATCAATCCTCTTCATACCTTCTTTCAAAGGGCAAAAAATTGCAGAATAAAACTCCGCTACCATGCTTGCACCAAGAAACATTACTTTATTGATAACAGCAGTCCTCATCTATTAAGCAACGCCCGAAGGTCGCCTATCTGTGACTGGATCGATGCATGCACATCAACAACGGCATTGTAGAAGCTGAATATCATCTTATTGATCTCCTCTCTTTCATAGTTTATCGAATTGAGCGTTCTGTCGAGAACTATCTTAGCCTTCTGCAGCTTTTGCTCGCTCATCAGCAAAGACGTGTTGGACTCCAGGTTAAGCTTCAAGAGCTCATTCTCAAGCTGCTCCATCTCAGTCTTGCTCTTCCTCTGCTCACTCTCAGATATCTCCTTCTTCTCCAGATATAGCTTCCCAGCCATCACAAGCTTGTCACTGCAGTACTTGAGCCTGCTGTTCAGATCATTCGATACACTCTCCCTCTCAGATCTTCCCTCCTCAAGCATGCTTTTATTCATCTCGGCCGCCACAAGAACATCGTTTTTGCCATTCAGCTCCTCTTCAAGCCCCATAACCACATCAGATATCCCACTTTCAAACATCTCTCCGCTCACCTCATTCATCACCCTTGCTCCTCCCTTCACATCCCTCACAATCCTTAGTGAAATCTCGTCCCGAAGGCCTTTAAGATCAAAGAAAAGCTTCTCCAACTCTTCAACCCTTTCCTGCGCTTCTCTTTCCTGCTCCCCCACCTCCTTCATAAGCCCCTCCTTCTCAGGCTTCATCCTTTCAAGCTCCTTGAACAGTTCCATCTTCTCCTCGTTCATCTCCCTCACATCCTCGGGATTGATTTTCTGCCTTGTTATTTGTGCCCTCAGCCCATCTTCTTGGACCTTCAGGCCCTCAATCTCCTCCTCAATCTTTATAATGTCCTCAGTTAACCTATTTATAGCCCCCAGATACTTCCTCTTCTTCCCCTCAAGCTGCTTCTCAGAGGCTATCAACATGTTCAGATCATCGGTCAGCTCTCTCTTCTTTCTTTCCAACTCCCCTCTGCTTTCAGAAACCTTCTTCGCCTCGCCTATCATCTCCTCAATTCTGCTAAGCTCGTCCTTCTTCCGATCAATCTCCCTAAACATCCCAGTGTATATTTCGGTAACCTTCCTTTCAAACTCCTCCTCAAGACATCCGTCCTCCTCGTCTCCCTCCATAAACCTCATATATCCATCACACACATACTCAAAGAAGCAGCTTTCGACATTCCTTTCTTCCTCCTGCTCAAGGAGAGAGGCCCCGTGGCTTATCAGCTCCACAAGCCAGCTGCACATGCTTAAAATCACAGGCCACGTGTGTGGAGTTATCGCACTCAGCTGGCTCTTTGTAATCTCTCCACAGTACGGATACCTTAGGTTCTTCATAACCATCACAACCTCGTCCTCAAACCTTGAGGAAAACACAAAGTCATCGATAAATCCATACAGAAACTTGAATATACTCTGGAAATCCTTTGAAGACGGATTGTGCAAAATCTTCTGCGATACCTGCCCATCGTATCCGTTCTCCACCAGAAACTTAAAAATGCCATCGACACACTGCTGCTTGTATCCCTTTTCCCTGACCATCCTCATGTCTCGCCTTCTGACCTCATCTGCTGCCATCGAGTGCCTTGGAAATGGCACAGCCTTTATCCCAGAAATAGGCGTCTTTATGGAGTTCCTGGAGTTCGGCGTCATGGTAAACCTTCGTGTCATAGGGATCCTGGAAATATTTTTTACTTCATTTCGCCACAGACACTCGGCAGTTGTCCATTTCAAAGATGCCTCCCTTCGGTTAGGCCTCGAAGATATCCCTTCATACGTCTCGTCAACAAACCAATCAGACTGAAGCCCCTAACAATGCTCGTCAAAGACAAACTGGAAATGGTAAGTGCTCCATACTAATTCAAAGATCACAACGCTCTTTGCACTGATCTTCACAATATTCATGGCTCAGAGATACTTCTATGCAGGGCAGGTTCTTATGTCAATAGTCACATACTCAGCACTCGTGTCTCTTACAAAGCCAATGGCAAGAAAGGGAAAACTATACTTCAGAATCATTAATGGTAAGTGATCATTTTAATTTAAGTCCTTCATGTCGCTGCAAAGATCATGACCCTTATAGCATTCTTCATAGTCATGAACAATGTGTTTGTAATGAGGAGGGGATACAAAAATTGCAGCGAGTGCTCCACCATGTCAGTCTCAGCCATCTCGGCATCAATCCTGTTTTTCATATACTATTCGGTGTATTCAACAGCCTTTGTTTTCTTCTTCAGCGTTTCCAACAAGTGACCCAGCTCAATAAACAGCCCCAGTACCATGCCTATCTTTTTTTGTACAACCATGACATCAGCTTAATCTGGGGAAGCCTCTTTGGGCTCTTGTCAAGAACCTTCTTCAAGACAAATATAACAAACTGTGCGTTCGACACATCAACTTGCTTGGTCTCAAACCCAAACGTTTCAAACTTCTTCTCTAGGTGCCTTATGCTAGGTATCCTACTCTTGACCTCGGCCACGTACCAGTATCCATTTTCTTTTAGTATCCGATTGACCTCTTTTGTAGGAACCGCAATGTTCTCGACCATCATACTTAGGCAGCAGACTGCAATATCCACGCTCTTGTCATCCAACGGGATCCTTCGGCTCATGTCGCACTTCACTATCCCTTTCTTCGAAGGATGGAGGTCCAGGGAAATCACATCCTCAAACTCCTCGGCAATCCTTGCCTCTCCGCATCCTATGTCTGCTATCGTCATCCCCCCTCCCCTCTCCTTTATCTTCTCAATTATTATATCAAGCGGGTTAGCAGGCCATCGCCTCACCTGCTCCTCATATAGCTCGTGGTAGAGCTTCAAGTCCTTCTTCTTTAGCCCCTTCCCATGATACATTCTGTCGTTCAGCATTCTAAACTTCCCTCCCTCAAGTCTTTTCATGAGCTTTTTCTCTAAACTCATCCCGGGGTTCCTGTAGACACCGAGTTTTCCTTTCCCAGCCCCCATCCATTCTCATGAGAAGTAGTCATACGGCATTATTCCATGTCTACGGCAGTCCACATTCTCTTCAGGATCAAACAGGTCTTCATAGCTCCTGTAGTCGTCCTCTAGCACAGAAACATCCTTGAACAGCTCTATAAATTCGCTACGCTTTTCCAAAATCTCTCTAATTTTTTCCTTCTCTCCATCCTTCCTTTTCTTCTTTCCTTTCTTCTTCAAAAGCAGTCTCTCCATCTCAGAGTCAATGGATCTGAGCACCATCCAATATCCCTGATAGGCCAGTCTCTCCCTCAGCTTCTTCTCGAGAATCTCCTTTCTTTTGTTGTTAATATTAACCTGCTTCTTGTATAGCCCAACGAGATCCTCCACATTCCCAGAGGAAAAGGACTCCAAGGCTTCTTCCACCTCAAGATAGTCCTCTACATCAAACTCCACAGCTCCCTCCCCGTCGACAGTTTCAGAATGCTCCTCAGGAGCGTCTTCATCATCTATAAGACATCCGATAAGCCTTCTTATCATAGACTCCCTGGCACATCGCTTCTCGTGCTCAACTATATCTCTAAGCCATTCCTCATCTATTATTGTTTTCGAAACAACCTTGGCAAATCTCTCTTCATTTACCTCTGGAAAGTAATTTTCGACAAAGGCTTCAAACTCACCATACGGTATCTGGTAGACCGTATTCTGCACCGGCCCGCCTTCTCCATCTGAAGTTTCCGCTCCCTTGCGTCTTCCATCATCGCACACAACGTGCTCCATGGCCTTTTAATTTTACTGTGTAGAAATCTAGAGCAGCGGTTGGAGAGTGGATATCAAGGAGATGTGTACTGCCTACTCTAGAAACGGTATGGTGCTTGGCTCGAATAAAAGCCCGTTGGTACCGGCACCCTGGATGATATGGATCGAAAAGTACAGGCCAAAATCATTTGACCGTGTAGTCGGGCGGGAGGAGATTTCAAGCGTCCTGAAGAGCTACACTCTTGAAACAATCCCTCATATGATACTGCATGGAAGGTCCGGGTGCGGGAAGAAAACAACACTCCTGTGCCTAGTTAACCATCTGTACGGAGGAAGCCCTGAGACGAAGGTCAGGACAGTGGAGGTTGTGAGCGGAACGAAGAGGATAGAGGTGTCATACATGGAGTCTGACGAGTATGTTGAGATATCACCGTCTCAATACGGTCATCACGACAAGGCTGTCATACAAAGCATAATCAAGGAGATGGGGCAGACAAAACCAATACTGTCAATGCTCGGAGGAGCCAAGAAGGCGCCGATCAAGCTTATTGCCATAACCTCTGCAGAAGAGCTGACCCTGGAAGCACAGGCAGCACTGAGAAGGACGATCGAAATGTACAGCTCTGTCCTCCGCGTTGTACTTATATGCAACGAACTCTCAAGACTGATAGAACCAATAAGAAGTAGGTGCTTCTTTCTGAGGATCCCGAGCTTTTCCGACGGAGATATAATGTCGAACATGTGCATGATATCGGAAAAGGAAAACTATGCCGTACCAAAAGAAAGACTTGAGGAGATATGCAGGGCGTCGGAGGGAAATATGAGAAGGGCCCTGTGCATTCTTGAGCTACTCTGCTTCAATATGAATGACAAGGAGACAAAAAGGCTAAAGGATAATGGCAAAGATTTGAGACTTGATTGGGAACTAGCCGTCACTGGAATTACAAGCATAATCAAGTCCAACCAGACGCCCGAGGGACTGATTGAAATAAGAAAAAGCCTCTACACGCTTCTGAATTCATGCATATCGCCGAGAACTATCCTTATTGAGCTTCTGCGCAACCTCATTCTCGGAGAGGATTTCAAGATGTTTCTTTCGCTTTCGCGTAGCGCCTTGAAGTATGAGGAGAGAATAAGATTTGGAATGAAAAGCATATATCATTTGGAAGGATTTATCACATCGTCGATGTGTGCGTTCAGCGAGAAGAAATACAGCTAAGGATTTAATCTCCTGCAGACATTGGGGTTTCGGCACGGTTGGACTTCTCCTCCAGCTCCTCGTACTCCATTGCATCAGAAAGATAATCCTCGCTTATCGATGAGGAGTAGTCAATAGAATTTGTCATGTCTTGTGGTACCATACTCTTTAGTGCACAGTAAACCTTTTCTCTGAGTCTTTCTTGGTTGCTCAGCAGTCTCAACCTGCCTATGCTTATCAAGATATCGAGGACCCTTGGATCATCTGCGTTTCTTCTGAGGGCCTCTTCCCTTTCTGGGACATTGCTGTCTATAAGCTTCATTCCTTCATCGAGCAGCTTTTCTATCTGGCACTCAACTATGGCCTTGATTTTAATGGTTTGCTCGGCCTTGAGTATTCTACTATTGATCCCAAGGGGAATGAACTTGGGTTGCATCTGCTGCAAAGCGTTGAGCCGAAGCTTGACCTCTGGATCGAGAGACTGACTCCCAGAGTATTCCTTCATGTATGCAAACGGGTTTTCGTTGCTGATATACTCCTGAGGAATGTCTCCCTGGCTAGATGTGCTCATGGGGGCCTAGTGAAAAAACATCTTGTCCTACCAATTCGGAATTGGAAGGCGACCAAGCCCCAAACATTTGGGGATGCAAAGAGAATTAGACGATTGCTCGAGCAGGACAGAGCCGGATGAGGGAGAAGTCTTGCTGGAAGAAGAAGATGGGCTTTCGGAAGCAAAGGGAACAAGCGTAAGATTTTTGGACTTGCTTGTGATTGAGAAGTCCTATGAATACAAGCTTAGGAAGTACAAGGGGAGAAAGGTTCCCAATGAGTCGATGAGCTATGAGGTGGATGACCAAGCCAAGTTCAGGAACAGCATGACATACGCAAGGGACAATAGCACAACACTCCAGGCACTTTCTGGATCCACAAGGAGTACTGGGCTGAGGCAGTATCTCAAAAGGAAGCAGCTTGAGAAGGAGATATCAAGGCGGAAGGTCTTCAGGGACTCACTGGAGGAGGTTGAGGAGATCAAGTATCCATTTGACCTTGTTGAGTGGGAAAACAATATTGTGTACGACACCGACAGAATTGGATCTGCAGGGGCTCTAGACACTGTAACGACTGAATTGGTAGACAGCATCTTGGAGGATGACTGGGAGAAGTATGTGGTTGTGGATGAGAGTGACCTGAAGAACCACAAGTCGTTTCTCACTCTCTATCTGGAGGATCCCAATCTGATTTTCGAGAAGATTGATGAGAAGAAGCAGGCAAGGCCCAAGAAGAAGCAGAAAGAGGTTTTCTCTGTGGACAAGCCTCTGAAGGGAAAGTACAACATATCGCTTGACAAGTACTATGGGCAGGAATCGAAGGCAAAGAACAGTCTTGGGACGTTTGGTGTCCAGCACTCTCTCCCTGCACTACGACTGGACCCGATGTTTTACAAGAACAATCACACGAAGGAGGAGCTTAGAAACTTCCATAGGCCAAGGTTTGTGCTGAGTGGAAGTGGGATAAGATTCAAGGCGATGGAGAGCACACGAAACAAAGCCCAAAGCATTATAAAGAAGTCTGGGGAGTTAACTATCAAGGATGGCAGTCCATTCTCGCTGTTTGAGTATTCCGAGGAGGATCCGTTCTTCCTTGTGAACTCTGGAATGGTGAGTCTACTCAATATATATTACAGAAAAAGCAATGCAAGGGACGAGTATGCGCCCGACCAGTCGCAATACACGGTTCTGGACCCGGAGGATCCTTCACCCTTCTTTGGATTTGGGGATGTTGCGCCTGGGACGTCTATACAGGCACTCACCAACAACTTGTTTATTGCACCTGTTTTCAAGCACAGCTCTGGAGACTACCTATGCATAGTGGAGTCATCACCTGATGGAGAGTTCTTAGTATACAGGGGGATTGATAATCTTTATTGCGTCGGACAACAGTTTCCACTAGAAGAGGTCTATGCTCCCCATTCCAGGAAGCTAAATATATTCTGCAAGAACAGACTCAAGGTTGCTGCATTCCGACTATTCAACAGCAAGGAGGGGGGAAACAAGGAGCTTAGAATTTCACAACTGGATGAGATGTTTCCCTATTTCAGCGAGGGGAGTAAGAGAAAGTGGCTGAAGGAGTATGCAGACTGTGTGAAGAAGGGAAGGGACAATGTGTGGGTGTTGAGGCCGAGCTCTGCATTGCTGGGAGAGGAGGATCTCAGAAAGCTTGTCACGCCGGAAAACATATGCCAATACGAGAGCATGTTGGCGGGAGAAAGAAAACTTCAGGATTCTGGATACAAGATGGTGGTTGAAAGTGACGACGAGGAAAACGAGGAGGAAATGGTTCCGCCGCCGTGGTGCCTTAGCAGGAACTTTGTGAATGCATGCAATGGAAGAGGGCTCCTTGAGCTGAATGGGCCTGGAGACCCCACCGGCATAGGAGAGGGATTTAGTTTTAGAAAGATCAGGCTGAAGAGAGGAAATGAGGTTGAAAACAGGAAGATAATCAATGAACACCAGCTGAGATACAAGGAGGAGATAGATAGAATATGGAACAAGCAACTTGCATCTCTGAGCTCTGTTGAGGAAATTCCATTTGATGAGTCGTTCCTTGTTCGGAGACATAAAGAAGAGAAGAGGAATCCCGATCTGCTAAGTGAAGCGACAATGCTGTCTGACGAGACCTGTATAACTATCAAGCGTACCTACAACGAGGGGGATTCAACGCGTGTGGAGATTGAAAAGATATCTGACCCCCGTGTCATAAAGGCATATCTGAAGGCTCGAAAGAAAAGGATATCGGAGGAGAGGAAGGGAGTGCTGACATGTGGAAACTGCGGACAGGTTGGGCACATGAAAACAAACAAGGCTTGCCCAAAGTTTGCATCTGCAACAAAGATGACCAAGAAGAAGATTGAAGCAGAAAAGAGAAAGGCCAGGGTTTATCTTCAAGAGATTATGCTTGATCTTCTTGCCCAATTCTTCCAAATTCCATATTCTGTTGCATTCCATAGGCCTGTATCCACCAAGAAATTCCCCGACTACCCCTTGATTGTATCCAATCCGATTGACCTGACAACAATAAAGACGAAGGTGAGGCACAACAAGTACAGGAAGTTCAGCGAGTTCTTGGAAGACTTGGAGCTCATGCAGAAAAACTGTCGCAAGTACAATGGGGAAGACCATTCCTTAACCAGGATTGCAGATACTATTGTAGAGACGGGATATAAGAGATACAACGAGAAGCTAGGAGAGGTCCTAGAGGCCGAGAGGGTCTTGAACGGGCTTTTTGATGAATAAATTAATATGTTTCTACATTCAAGGAGACCCATCCCGAGAAAGAGTGGCCAGTTCTACTGCCATGGCTTCACTGGAGTTGATGTCTAATGATCTGTCTGATAAGTGGATAATCTTCGAATTTGAGACCCCATAGAATGAAGTTTATTCTAATGAACCAGGCTGCAGAGCTTCCCATCGAATTCCTACCAAGGGACGGTGCTTACAGAAAAGGGAGGTTGCTTGACTCCAAGAATGCTGAGGTAGAGAACACAACAGAGTCCGACATCCTGCAAGATGCTCGCCGGGCTGCCGAAGCACACAGAAGGGTGCGATACAAGGTCCAGAGTATCATAAAGCCTGGAATGACGCTCCTGGAGATTGTGAAGTCCATAGAGGATTCCACAAGAATACTCCTGTCAGGTGAAAGAAACAACGGAATAGGGTTTCCTGCAGGGATGTCAATGAACTCTTGTGCTGCACACTACTCAGTCAATCCAGGTGAGAAGGATATTATCTTAACCGAAAACGATGTCTTGAAAATCGACTTTGGGACGCATTCCAATGGTCGGATAATGGACTCTGCATTCACGATTGCATTCAAGGAGGAGTTCGAGCCTCTGCTGATGGCTGCCAAAGAAGGTACAGAAACCGGAATTAGGTCATTGGGAATAGATGCAAGGGTCTGTGACATAGGCAGAGATATCAATGAGGTCATCTCGAGCTATGAAATGGAGGTGGATGGGAAGAAATGGGCGATCAGGCCGGTATCAGATCTCCATGGGCACTCCATATCTCAGTTCAAGATTCATGGAGGGATTTCTATACCAGCCGTGAATAATAGGGACCCAACTAGAATCACAGGAGACACATTTTATGCAGTGGAGACATTTGCAACAACTGGAGAGGGTTTCATAAACGACAGGTCTCCATGCTCGCACTTTATGATAAATACACACAAGAGCAGAAAGCTTTACAACAAGGATTTGATAAAGGTTTACGAGTTCGTCAGGGATTCGTTTGGAACTCTCCCCTTCAGCCCCAGGCATTTGGACTATTACAATCTAGTGGAAGGAAGTGCACTCAAGAGTGTGAATCTGCTCACAATGATGGGGCTCTTCACTCCGTATCCTCCCCTTAACGACATCGACGGCAGCAAGGTTGCCCAGTTCGAGCATACAGTGTACCTGAGTGAAAGCGGGAAAGAAATCCTTACAAGAGGCGATGACTATTAAAGCATTTTGTCTATGAGAAGACTCCATGTTCCAGGAAAGAAATGTTAAGTTCAAAGCGCCTCAGAGACATCTTTTGTTCTCATCATATGGACATTGCAGAGGGTGGGTTTTGTCCCTGCTGGCAAGCCTAAGCTAAGAGCTCTCATCATCGGCAATTTTAAGCGCAAGATCTAAAACATCAGACGCAGGGGTCCTGTGAATTATTTTTTATAAAGCTTCGTTCTGTTCTTCCAATATCTGAGGCCCAATCTCCATGGTCACTCAAACAACTTATCGCTATAGACTCTTGCAACAACCTTATTCCCTTCATACTCATACATCACTCTGTGGCTAACCATCATCTTCCATCTTTGTCCAAGCCTGGGCACAAATTTAACACCGCCCATGCTGCTAACAATCTTGTAATGATTCGATACAACAATAGTGGCATCGTTCTCGTATATCAACATCCACAAGACGTTATAGACCCTCTGAAGGTTCGTCACAGACTTGTCTGCAAGAAACGAAATGGAGTCCATGAAAAGCACAAATCCCCTCCTCGACCTTAGTGACAGAAGTGCCTTTATGAGCTTTCTATAGCTCAAAATGTATAGGGCGTCAGCCACGAATCTAAGATTTCCAACTGTGTCAAAGAACACAGGCTTGCTCACTTGCCTACTTAAATCAACCATTCTGCTGTGGACGTTCATGTCTGGAAGTACACACAGCTCTATAATCGAGTTCATTCTCAGACGCATCCCATCTACAATCAACATCATCAGTTAGGGGAGCCTTTCTATAGACCTTCAAGTCCCAGGGCACTCCAAAGAGAAAGGATGCTCTTAGTCCCCAAGGAAGTTAAAGCAGAAGTCTAGATTCTTTCCAAGCTTCATGAGGAAGGATGCATCTCTGTGCAACCCCCCATCGGCATACACGGCAAGGTCCTTCTGCACAAGTACCTCTGAGTATTTCCCCACTGCTCCTTTCCAGTAAAAGTCTCCAGGAGGAAGCGCCCTGAACACTTCCCGGCTAAAGGCCTCAGGACCAAAGTACCTTGCCAGATTTAGGCTTACTCTTGCATTTACCTCCCTTCCGTTTGCATTCTCTCCCACTAGAGAAGTACATCCCTCATCTTCCGGCAGGGCATTCGTAGGAATGGGGAGGATAAACTCCTTTGTGTACAAATGATATTCAAACCTGTGTCTATATATATTGTATATTCCATCAGCACTTGCCACAACCACGTCCTTGAACGACGGGTTTATGCAATACTTCCCGTCAAAAACACAGTGGCAAATATCTGTGGTGTCCTTTTCAAGAATCCCTCCATGCCCTGTCTCCATTCGGACAAACATCCTGAGGTAAAAGTAGAAGTCAACCATCTTGCTTTTTTCAAGGTGCTGGGACAGCAAGAACTCAACATACCTAAAGCATCTTGAGAAGCTTTCGTCAACAAAGGTTATCCTTGCACTTGATTCAGATATGTCTATGACGAACGACGGACTCGCAAAGGTGTGTGACAGAACGCTGCTTTCTTCGGAGAAGTACTGGAGGCCAAGAACAGAGCACATGGAAGAAAAAAGCTCCCTCTCCTCGGTGCTTTTATGTTCCAGGGCCTTCAGAAGAGTCTTTTCATCATGTATCATAGGGTTTTGAGAATATCTTTTTATTAGCCTCTCGGCCACTCCTCGCAGAGCTGCAGCATTCCTCACCTCCAGGATGTTATATTTGCCTGCTTTGTTTATTTTATGGACGATGAGGAAATCAAGGCTGCCTTGATGGCAAACAACACAGGGTCCCTGGAGGCTGTTCCAAACAATTATAGGTTTTCTGATGGAACAGGCTTAATCCACTGGGCATCTATGTACAACAATCTGGACATTTGCCGAAGGCTGGTAGAAGACCGCAATGTCGTCAATAGTGTTGGAGGTGTACTGGACAGCACCCCCCTGTATTATGCACTCTACAACTCAAACTATAAGGTTATGAAGCTCCTCATAGAGAACGGTGCGGACATCGCATATGTCAATAAAAGTGGCCTGGGGCTTTTGCATACATGCGCCAGGTTTGATGATGTTCTTGGGATGGCTCTACTCTTGAGCTATGGTGCTGATGTGAATGCCAAGGACACCAAGAATAGAACATTGTGGATGTATGCGAAGACAAAAGGTGCAAGATGCGTCCAAAGATTTTTAGAAGCAAATGTAGTGCAAAGAGAGCATAATGAATGGGTGCTCGAGGGGCTGTCTATGGGGGTCCATGGGATGTCTCTTTTCCTTGGGAAGATGTATCAGATTGGGGTGGTTGGAATGTTCCTGATCTTCTGGGGGAGAATAGCCCGCACAAGGTTTCCTATGTACCTTAATTTATTCTATTCCTTTTACATTGGCTGCAATGCGGTTGAGGAAAGCTGCGAACATATCGTCTATGCGTTCAATTACTTCTTCACCCTCTCTCGTCTGTTTCTGTCTGTCCCGGCATTTGGTACCGTGAGAACATACAGCGAGATAAGGGAGCTAGTGTCTACGATGGTAGATCAGGATGAGTATGAGATAGAAAACTTCTGCTACACATGCTTGGAAAGGAAGGCTAGCGGGACGAAGCACTGTTCTATTTGCAGCAGATGTGTCCTGGCGTTTGATCATCACTGCCCATGCATAAACAGCTGTGTCGGTAAGGATACCATGGGGCTGTTCAGGGAGCATCTGCTCTCCACCCTTACTGTAATTGTAAATGTGCTTTTGTCTGGACATGCTTCTGGAATGAGTTTTGAGTTAATGTCTATAGCTATCTTTATCGTGCTTATCCTAGTTGCAAGTGTGATTGGAAGGAGCCCTAGGCCTTTATAAATTTTCGATAGCAAAAGACCGCGAATGAAGGGGAGGAAGACGTTGTTTGACTACTTTGAAGTTTCAAAGGAGAAAAAAGAATGTTCTAATGAGGCTTCAAAGAAAGAATTTGAGGCTGAAAATGCCGGAAACGATGCAGGGGCCATGCACCACCATGGTACCAAAAGGATGTGCAAAGCTTTAGGTCCTGAAAGCTGGAGTGAAAGAAGTATTGGAGAGGAATGGGCAAGCACAAGTGACATGGAAGCTCCACAGGGAAGCAATGGCAAAACAGACGATAGAGAGGAAGGAGGCGAGAGGAGGGGAGTAGATAAGGAGAGGAGATACGGGTTTATGGAGAACATTAGAGATAAGAATGGAAGGAAAAGAGGGGACGAAGGATACGATCCCTCGACTCTTTTTATACCGCATGACGAGTATAGCAGGTTTACGCCCTTTGAAAAGCAGTTCTGGGACATAAAGAAGGATCACTTTGACACCATTGTATTCTTTAAGAAGGGAAAGTTTTATGAGCTATATGAGAACGATGCACTTATCGGTGCAAAACTGTTTGACCTGAGGATAACAGACAGGGTTAACATGAAGATGGCTGGGTTTCCTGAGAGCAGCCTTGACTACTGGGCCAGGAGATTTCTGGAGCATGGATACAAGATTGCCAGAGTTGATCAAAGCGAGAACATGATTGGGAAGCAAATAAGAGAGAGAGATGAGATGAGCAAGAGTAAAAAGGGAGGAATAATGAAGGATAAGATAATAAAGCGGGAACTCAAGGAGATTATCACCCAGGGAACGATATACAACATAGATTACATAAAATCTGCAATTCCCATGTACCTGATGAGTGTTGCAACGGACGATGTTTGCTATTCCGAGGTGTGCCAGGGAGAGATCCATACCTCTGTCTTGCTATATGATGCAAGTATTGGGGAGATATACTTTTCATCTTTCTGCGATGACAGATCTAGACATGAGATCAGGACGATTCTTTCGCAGCACGATGTCAAGGAGATGATTGCAGACTTTTGCATTGAAGGGATTCCGCGGATTGTGCCTGACAAAACTGGGTGTGTGTCGAATAAGAAGTACGAGTTTTCGAACGAAAGGGAGTATGTGTGCTTCCAATATCTGATGAAGTACATGGAAAGGCTTCGAAGAGGCAATGCTCTAGAGAATGTGAAGATCTCGAAACTTCAAGACAAATCACGTGTTATGATTATCGATGACATTACGCTTCGGAACATGGAAATATTCAAAAACAACTACAACGGGACTGGCGAGAAGACGCTTTTCAGGGCTGTTGACTTTACTAGTACGCCTGGAGGGCAGAGGCTGCTGAGGAAATGGGTAATGGCACCTTTGGTGAAGAAAGATGATATTGTGCGGAGGCAGGAGATGGGGCAAATGTTCAAGGGGATGGAGACTTCAAGGCTAAGGGATACACTTCAAAGGATAGGGGATGGAGAACGTCTTTTGTCAAAGCTCTACAATGGAAATCCCTTAGCGAAAGACCTAAGTAAGTTTATTGTATGTGTTGATACTTGTAGAGAGGCATTTGACACTTTAGGGCAGATGATGAGAGAAAGCGAATGCGTCAATGCCAAGGCGGTGGCTGAAAGGTCTGAGGAATGCTCCCGAAAAATAAACGAAATACTTGGATGGCATCGCAAGGTCTATGATGTAACTGATGCGGAGATATCTCCTGGAGAGCATAACGAGGACGAGCTGTGCCACCTCCTATGCGAGAAAGAAAGGATCGAAAATGACCTGAATGAATACCTACAAAAGCAAAGGGACAGGCTGAAGCTCGGATCAATTAGGTTCAAAGACATAGGAAAGGAGATATTCCAAATAGAGGTGCCCAAGGAGATCAAGGCTCCCTCTGATTACTATATAATGTCATCAACCAAAACCACCAACAGATACTACTCTAGAGATCTGAAGAAGCTCGTCGAAAGATATGTGGAATGTGAGGAGAGGATATTCCAGTCCAAGGGGTCGCTACTTAGGAGGGCCATCGATATGCTTCTCCCACATGCCATTTTCTTCCGTCAAATGTTCTGCGAGCTTGCCAGCATAGATTGCTATCTTTCGTTTGCAATATTTTCTCAGCGGAACAGGGCATCGACGCCTGTCTTTTCTGAGAAGCTGTGCCTTTCTGGGATGTCGAGTCCGATACATTCCAACTTTGTGGCAAACGATTACGATGCACAGAAAAGGATACTTGTGCTTACTGGCGCCAACATGGGAGGGAAGTCGACACTGCTGAGGACGATATGCCTCAACGTGATTCTCAGTCAGGTTGGGATGGATGTGTGCTGCGAGAGAATGGAAACGCCTCTCTTCGACAGGATTTTCACAAGAATAGGGGCCCGAGACAATCTGGCGAAGGGGGAGTCGACCTTCATGGTTGAGCTGGCGGAGACGGCCACCATACTGAAGCATTCGACAAGAGACTCGCTTGTGATGATGGACGAGCTTGGGCGGGGGACCTCAACTAAGGATGGAGAATGTATTGCTAGGGCGGTTCTTGAGTACCTCAAGCAGAAGGAGTGCCATGTCCTGTTTTCAACGCACTACCATGGAATAATTGAGGAGGTCGAGGGAGTCAGCAATGGGTACATGGGCTCTGTAGTCAAAGGAAAGGACATTGTGTTTCTGTACAAACTCATGAGCGGCATATCCCGGGACTCCCATGGGCTATATGTTGCAAGGATGGCCGGGGTTCCTGAGGCTGTTGTCAGGAAGGCAGAAAAGGTCAGAGAAAGGTTGAAGGGCCCATAGGCTGAGAGGAAAAGGGTAGAGTTTGAGAGGATTGACTTATTAGGAAAATATGTCTGTGGCTGGAAAGATGCTGTCCTTTTGTGGCATGTAGGGCGGCCTTGCTTGATGCAATGTCAGAAAGACCGAGGTGCAAATGGAGTGATTGAATGTGTAACTGATTTGAATGGACTGCAGGCCAATGGCACGTTTAGGCGATAAACAAAAAGCAACCCTCAGGCCCTTCAATTTGATGGAAACTAGGAACATTAAAAACTTTATAAGAGAAAACAGAGAGATAGTACTTCTGATATGCGACTTCTATGAAACAAAGCACATTCCAGAGGAGATGACGAATCTCAAGAAAAACCTGTCTTTGTTTCCTGTTGCAAACATACCTCTGATTGAGTATGTTTTGTCGAGTCTTTGTGACCAGAAATTTCTCAATGTGATTCTTGCTGGGAACGACTGTGAGGAAGTTGTGGATTACGTCAGAAGGACTGAGCTTGATGAGAGGATGAACATTATTTCTCTTGGGTGTGATGGGAAGTCTTTAGGGGATTTGATGAGGCACATTGATGACAATGGGTTTGAGTTTGATGACTTGCTAGTTATATATGCAAACCACTACACAAATTATCCGCTCCGAAGCATTGTTAATAAGCATAGAGAGGACAAGAGCTTTGCCATGACTCTTTTTCTACACCCCAACGAAAGTAATAGCAAGGTATCTCATTTGTATGGATTCAAAGGCAGCGAGGTTATTTTCTATAACAAGTGCATCAATGAGAAGTATGACAGCGAGAAGGTCAAAGGCGCAATAGAAAACGACGGGACCATTGAGTTTACGGCCAGCCTGTCGTCTCCAACAATAGCAGTGGTGTCGTCGGCAATATTCCCATTATTTACTGAGAACTTCGACTTTAGAACTCTTGGGGATCTTGTCGGGGGGATTCTTGGGTTCAATGCCTACAATCTCAAGATAATGTGCTGCCGGCAGGGCGACATGGATATCTCTGGAGGACTGGAGCATCTCAGCATTGAAAGGATGAATGGATTCTATAGCAGAGAGATTATTACACTGTACGATTACTTTAAGTTCAATGAGGATGTCAGGGAGGGCAAGGCCGTGGACCTGCTTAGGTTCAAGTGCCATAACTCCAGGGATCTCAGAAACTTTGTGCAGGTTGAGAGCAACTTCTTCTTCGATATCCCTGATATGGAACTCCACGAGCCCATATCTAACACAGTTATTGGATGTGACCTGAAGTTTAAGATGAATCACTTCATCAAGAACTCTGTTGTAGGACACGGGTGCTTTATTGGAGGAAATATAGACAGATGTATTATATGGGACGATGTCTCGATAAAGGAAGACTTCATTGATCACATAGTCTTCTCTGAGGGGAGGGTCTTCCACTACAACCATCTAGAGGAGGAGGTTGACGAGGACGTGTATGAGGAAAAGGAGCCCAAGAGAGGGACGTCGTTCTTTGACGATGTAGTGGTATATCTGCTGTCCATAGTTGAGCGAGAGGATTTGGACAGATTAGACATGGATGATGTAGTGAAGCAAATAACCCTCCTTAGAATAGTGCGGAATGCCTCGGATCTTGATCTTATAGAGGCATTTTCGATGTTTTTGGTAGAAATGATAGACTTTAACGATATAGACGGATCAGCAATAAGGGCTTCTATGTTCTTTGGCATTCTCGACGGCCACATGAGGGAGGTTGAAAAGCAGGAGATGCTCATGGACCTTATTGCACAAGGGTTTGGGGAATGCCCTCCGAGCATTAGGATGGACATAGTGTTCAAGTACGGCTATTTATTGGTCGAGGACGGAATTATCTCCCGCTCTGTTTTTAAGAAATACAACTCGATACTGAAGAAATGGGCCAACTCTGCAGCTGGCTAGTGGTAATAAAGGTTTTAAGAAGAGAGTTATGAATTTCTGGGGCTCTATTTTTGAATCCGTTGAGGCCCGTCCCAGTTTTTATGTACACCAAGGGAATTGGGGATATTTGCATTAACAGCAGGCTGAGGGAGAAAGTTGAGGCAAACGGGTTTGGGGAGATGACTGATGTTCAACGGATGTGTGTTCCAGAGATGCTAAAAGGAAAGGATGTGGTGGTTCAGTCCCCGACAGGTACAGGGAAGACCATGGCGTTTCTTGTTCCGATACTTAGCTGCATATATGATGTAAGAGAGGATGCAAGGGCAGGCGTTGCTGCAGTGGTTATTACGCCCACCAGGGAGCTTGCTTTACAGATCAAGGAAGTGGCAGAGCTATTTGACGTGAGTTGCGAGTGCTTTATAGGTGGAATGAGCATAGAAAAGGACTATGAGAAGATGGAGGGAGAGTTCCACATTGCTGTTGGAACGCCTGGAAGGCTTTTGGAGATTGTCAGCAAAGACATAAAGAAGTTCTCCAGGATCGGGCATCTTATTCTCGACGAGGCCGACAAGCTACTAGGATTTGGGTTTGAAGAAAAACTGATGCAGTTGATCAAGAAATTTCCAAAGAACAGAGTTACGGGACTGTTTTCTGCAACGATTAACGACTCGGTGGATAAACTCTCGAGGGCTTCTCTGAGGAATCCTGTCAGCATTAAAGTGGGGAACAATGCAATGCCTGTTCTTCTTGAGTACATTGTTTTGAGTCCCATGGAAAAGCTATTTGCTCTGATGGACATTGTGAGCGGTAGAAGATGTATTGTTTTCTTTGCAACATGCAATGAGGTTGACTTTTTCTTTGGATTACTTTCGAGGATTGGGCTTGGGAGCGTATGCAAGATACATGGGAAGATGTCCCAAGATGAAAGAAACAATGTCTATAAGGAGTTTTGCCAGGGAAACGGCCTTCTTTTTTGTACGGATGTTGCTGCAAGGGGAATAGACTTCAAGGATGTGGATTTGGTTGTACACTTCGACATTCCGAAGGAGTACAGCAGCATAGTTCATAGAAGTGGTAGAACGGCCAGGAACGGGTGCAAGGGAGAGTCCATTCTCTTTGTGATGCCAAACGAAAAGGCTTATACGGAATTCCTGAAGATTAAAGGCATTCCTGTGATGGAGGGCAGCTACAAGGTGAAGCCTACCATTTCTCATGATGATATGAAGGGCAAGATTGACCCCGACCTTCTGAAGCTTTCTGTCAAGGCGTTTGTTTCATATATAAGGTCTTACAAGGAGCACTTCGTGTCATACATACTGGACTACAGGGGCTTGGACTTCAACTCGCTGGCAGAGCTCTTCTTCTTGGAAAAAATACCTGGGATGTCCGAGTTAAGGAACGTTAAGTTCGAGAAGTTTGCCAAACCTCTAGAAAGTGGAAAGAAAGGAGATAAGCCCAGAAAGAAACACAAGCGTAAGTAGTAATAAACTAAGTGTTTAAGTATGAGTGCGGAGCTTGGAGGAAAACCCTTCAGAACCAGGTTTTCTCGACAACTGTGACATTTTTCATATATAGCTTGCCTTTGGTGGAAACTAGCGTGTCAAATACGACGAAGTCGTCGTTGTTAACAGAGATACTGTCTCTTGATGGGACAACTTCTTCCTTGTGGAAGAAATGTGATCCAGACAGCGGGATTGCTAGATGATCAGCAAAGCTCCTGTATATCATATTCCTCATTTTCAGGCACACATCCTGTGATAGATCTAGGGATACATCCTTATCTGCCGGCCATCCAGCCATTCTTAGCAGATGCTTCATCATCTTCATCGTTTCAACTGCAGTGGTGTAGTTCAGGCCCATCTCTACACAGAATGCTCTTCTGCTTTTACTTCCTAAAAAGTCTTTGTATATACTCAGCTGGACAAGAAAGTCGCTCTTCGAGCCTTCAAAATACTTCTTGTTGTTGCTGTTTCTTTTTATCTCGGCTCCAGAAGAAATCAGGCTGACAAGAGCAAGGATCTCAGCAAATATATCCTCAAGGCCTTGTGTGCAAAGCAACCTTGCAAGCCTGGGCTCTATGGGATATCTTGACATCTTCTTTCCCATATCCGTTAGATGTAAGTTCTTGTCGACAGCACCTAGGCCCTGAAGACGGGTGATGGCATTGGCTATGCTTGCCCTTCTTGGCTTGGATAAAAATGGAAATGCTTGCACATTTCCAATTCCTAAGGACATGAGACTCAAAACAATGCTGTCAAGAGGCTCTTTTAAAATCTGTGGCTCCGGAGATTCATAGAACCTCTCGTAGGCCTCTCCAGAATACAGTCTGTAGCATATCCCCGGCCCAGTCCTTCCTGCCCTCCCCATTCGCTGAATCGCACTGGACTTTGTGATGAAGTCCACGGAATACCTCGTAACTCCCTCGGAATCCACTATCTTGTTCTTGACCTTTCCAGAATCAATCACAAAGACAACGTCCGGTATGGTGATGCTTGTCTCTGCAATGTTAGTGGCAAGAACCACCTTTCTGTTCTGCGTCTTGTTGAACACAACCTCCTGCTCTGCTTTCGAAAGAGACGAGTGAAGGGGAAGTACTGTTATGTCCATCCCGGAACCTTCTAACCTACTTTTGAGCTGATATATCTCCTGCTTGCTGGTGAGAAAAACAAGGATCGAGGCAGATGCGTCGTTGGAGACCCCAGACCCTATCATATCAATCTTTCCTCCATTCACTCTCCTTTTCTTCCTGGCCCCAGATCCAGAAAGAACTATTTTCCTTACTCTTTCATATGCTGCATTCAGGTAATCCTCCGGCGTCTTCTCTTCATAGAACGTGCTTACTTGGAATCTCTTCTCAGGGCACACAAAGACCGTAATATCTCCGAGAAATCCCCTGAGCTCGTCCACATCCCCGGTGGCACTCATCAAAACCAGCTTAAGCTCGCACCCTCTTTCCTTTCTAACCTTCATGATCCTTGGAATAATCGAAATCAAAAGATCAATGTTAGCACTTCTCTCATGGATCTCGTCGATGATTATGACAGAGTACTTCGACAGAAGAAAGTCCTCCTGTATCTCCCTAAGCAGGACCCCATCCGTCATCATCTTAATCTTTGTTTCCGGAGTAACAGTCGATTCATATCTAATCTTATATCCACAAAGATTTTCGTTTGCTTCCTCATTGATCCTGGCACATATCGAGATTGCCGATATTCTCCTTGGCTGCGTAACACCTATCATCCCCTCCGTTCCAAGCCCTCCCTCATAGAGAAACTGGGGAATCTGTGTTGTTTTCCCACATCCTGCCGCCCCGGTAACAAAAACCACAGGCGATGCCCGGACAGCACATATAATCTCGGCCTTCTCATAATAAATGGGTAAGGCCTTTCTTGATTCTTCGATGTCCTCTCTTCTATTTTCAAGGGTTTTTGTATCATATCTCCTCACAACTTTCCTTGCATCCTCCGCAATGCAGGCATTTCCGTCCTCAGTAATAGAGAATTCAGAAATGTCCTTGCACTCCACCACTCCCTCATATTCAGGAGAAGTGGCGGCGTCTGCATATTCCTCATGGACATTCCTCACGTGAGAGTCCCATAGGTACATGGAGATAGCATCCTCCCTGTCCAAGTCCTCTGTGGCTTCGCATGCAGTAGGCACTTCCATCACTACAGATGGAGGATCTTCATTCTCTAAGTTTTGCGGAAGATCTTCTGTTGTTGAGGTCGATACATCACTCATATCGTACTGGACTTCTTCAAACACCCCTGGGCCTTCCCCACCAGGCTTTTTCTCACCATCACCATGCTCCTTGGGCCTGCTCAGTGCAGCTATCTGCGCATACAGATCGTCTCTGCTTCTTTGCTTTTTTTTCTTTTCCAAGTATTTCTTCAAAAGCTTTTCTTTCTTGGAAGACATCGCGCCAGGATTATTCCATTGCAAATACAAATAACGGCAAATGTAGATAAGGCCTTTGTGACCACAGGACCAAGAAGTAAAAGTAGCTTTAGTAAAGGAAACGTTTATATATATCACACCTTTCCCTCGTTGCGGACATATTCCCCTGTGTCAGATTGCCTCAGTAGCACAAGTGCATGTCCTTTTGCGTTGGTGTAGCCTTGGGGAGTCAAAGCAGTGATCCCAAACCCAAGAGGAACATCGTTCTGGTTGAATACAAAGACACCTGCATTTATAGGAATCCCTTCTGAGCTCCGGAATATGTGGGACTTTAGCGAGTTGTTTCCGTACACATAGTTCATCTCTGCACTGTTTTTGATCCATATCTTATATATTGCCCATCGGGAGAGGAAATTAAGTGACGATATCCCTAGTCTGAAGCTCCCACTCTTGGTGAACTTACCTATCACAGTCCCTGCTATGACAAGATTCTTTCTAGATATCATCGATGTTGCAGCCCTCATCTTCTCTGGAAGAAGCATAACACGTTGGTTGTGGAGGAACAGCTTGTCTTCCCCAGAAAGGATCTTGTGTACGTTATCGCCAATAAAGAATTTAAGCTTCTTGAGAACCTCCTTCTCCTCCTCTTGTTTTAGATCCCTCATCTGGAGGGAAGAACCGATTTCCTAAAAATTTGCATGCAGACATCTAGCCTATGAGGCTTGAGGATATTCATGTAGGATTCAAGGTTCCTGTTAAGAAGATTGTAAATGCGACGGAAGAGATATATAAAGCGGAGATTCTGGGGAGAAGAGAAGGCCAGTCTGGGCTTGAGTTCTATGTACACTATATGGAGCTAAACAGAAGGCTTGACGAATGGGTCGATGGATCCATGGTAGATCTGAGCGATCCAAGCCAGATAGAGATTCCAAAGAAGAAGAAGACGGAAAAAACGAAGGCAGAGAAGTCGAGAAGAGCCTCTGAAAAGGAGGACGGGATGAAAGAGGAGGAGCCCAAGCTGGAGAGGCCGCCGCAAGATGAGGAGTTCAGAATGAAGAATGTCAAGAAGATCATGCTTCGAAATCACCTTGTTGATGCCTGGTACTTCTCGCCGTATCCAAAGGCAATAGCAGAGAGTGACATTGTTTACATATGCGAGTTTTGCTTGTATTACTTCAACACAATGGATAACCTAGTTCTGCATGCAAAGCAATGCAAACTCCGCCATCCACCAGGCAGGGAAATCTATCGGGATGGAAACCTGAGCTTTTTTGAGTGCGATGGGCACATACAAAAGAATTACTGTAGAAACCTATCGTTGTTGTCAAAGTTGTTTCTGGACCATAAGTCTCTTTACTATGACGTAGATGTGTTTATGTTCTATGTGCTTTGTAGACTTGAAGACAACGGGTACCAGATAGTGGGATACTTTTCAAAGGAGAAGATGTCGGAGCAAGGATACAACCTTGCATGCATTCTGACACTCCCCTTTGAGCAAAGAAAAGGATATGGAAAGATTCTGATAGACTTTTCCTATCTTCTTAGCAAAAGAGATAATATGATTTCCGGACCGGAAAAGCCTTTGAGCGATCTCGGGCTGCTCAGCTACAGAACATATTGGATGGAGGTGATTGTCGAGTACTTATCAAGACATAGCAAAGCAAGCATTGCAGAGATTTCTAAGGAAACCCACATATCCGAGGATGACATAGTAGGAACTCTTTCTGCATATAAGATGCTGAGGATAGACGGGAACGAGTTTATTTTCACATATGACGAGAGGCAGCTCCAAAAGGCCCAAAGGTCCAGAAGCAAGTGTGTGAACGGATCTCTTCTTAAGTTATGCTGACGTCATGTACTAGCTTGTATTTATATTTTGAGTAAAGGTATTGGTTTCGAACTTTCTCCACTCCAGCATGTATGCTTCCTTTTTACCATCGAAGTAGCTTAGGTCGAGGTCGGACCCAATCCCTCCAAACATCACAAGCAGATAATTGATAAGAAGTGCTTTCTTTTCGTCAGAAAACTCTTTTTCAATTATGCCAGCCATTTCCTTCTCGATCTTGGCTCTTACTTTTTCTAGGAGGTCATGCGACGCTCCATCTTTCTTAGCAAGTATGGGAATTCCCTTTTCTTTGTAGTGCTTATAGGAAGACAATGCTTTCAAAGTATCCAAAGGCTTTTCATAGAGGCCCCTGAACATTTCCAGCCCCATCTCTAGCTTCACATTGAGTGTATACGACAGCATCAGCTCCTTAGAAACCTTCATGTGAAATGCCTCGGAAAACAGATTTTCCAGCGATCTATAAATGACTTTATCTGCACCAACTACGACCCTTTGGAACCTGTCGCTCTTTATATCAACAACCCCATTTCTTGTATCTATGTATACATCTGCATCTAGCACAGGGCACTCAGCAGGATCATTTGCCAGAATCCTTTTGCAGCAGTATTCTGCAGCCAGAATGTCTTCAAGACACTCGCAGTCCATCCCCTTCCCAATTAGACCGCTGAGAATCTCTATCTTTTTGTCTCTTATTGACCTCACCAGCCTAGAGACTCTCCAGGAGATAAACATTAGAAGCTCTTCCGAAGATATCTTGTTAGCCGTAACATCTTCCATTGTTAGCGCCTCTCTTATCTCTTCTAAGTGGTCGACAATGAAGGAATCCATCTCATCCGCAAGCAAGCCCCTTTCTTTGATGCAGGCCTCTCTCTCCTTCCTTAATCCTTGGACATCCATTCTCGGGGGCGCATCTATCAATTCTTAAGGTCCTCATATCTGGTCATCACACACCCTCCAATGGACATAAACAATACACTTTACAAGGAAATCAATAGAATTGGAGAGAAGTTGAAGTCTCTTGAAAGCCCGTGCGAATGTGTAATCGACATCAACGGTCGAGCAAGCTTGTATAGAGGTGAGGTTCCAGGTGATGCTGATTGCATGATTAAGCATCGGGAAGATGGCTTTCTAATTTTCAAGGGCTCGCATGAGTTCATGATAGACGCAATGTCTAGCTTCATAATACCATCAATAATATCTAGGGCCAAGAAAGAGGCAATGCCCATTTCGATGGGCGGGACGCTTAGGCTGCTAGGGCATCATGCCAGCCACTTGGCCAGAGCGCTAAACAAGAAAGCTAGCAGTGCAAGACCATGTCTGAACATGGAAACGCAGGATGTTTCCAAGATCTATGAGAAGTATGCCAACGATCTTAAGAATGGGCTTGATCCAGAAAAACTACTTTCGAAGTGTGAAATGGACCTTATCCATAGGAGTGGAGAGCAATGGGTTAGCTGCATAAGAAGGCTGTATGAGTCTACAGGGTCTACTCGAGACGGCTTTTGTGAAGAAAAGGATTTCTGGTGCAGATTCTATATGTCTATGTGCTATATAAGAGAATTCCGAGAGTATGAAGTATTTAGATTTGCTCATGATGTCTTGAGGAAAAGTGGGAGGTTTGTTATTGTAACAACATTGGACAGCTTATTGTCTTCAGACAAGTACTTTGAGCTTGGGAAAAGGCTCTACGGGTTCTATGAAGACATAGACTTCAGCGGGATCTACTTTCCAAAGAGTTTATACGAATTTAAGGATTGTACTATAAATGCTATAGAGATGATCAGCAAGAGTATTGGGAAGCAATCAAAAATGGCTAGAAAGCTAATTTTGGTCCAAATGGACCGCTTGGTCGGGTTAATAATGGACCATGTGAACGAGCACATGTCTATAGGGCTAATAGAATGTTTTGATGAGCTACTTATACGTTGCATAGAGGGGATGTCCTCACTTTCAACCTCTATGGAGGAAGAAGAGTCCGAAGTAGGATCCTTTGAATCGTCATTATTCTACGAGTTCCGAGGAAGAGAGCGCCTAGAACGGTTCTATGCCGAATTTGAGGGCATCAAACGAGTTGTTCTCTTTACCTGGTCATTCAAGAGACTTGGTAAGGTCCTTTTTGACTTGCCTGAAGGTCTTAAGGACAAGGATTGTGAAGCAGAGCACAGAGTGTTACTACAGGAGACTGTACTAGAAGTGGGGGATCCAAGTGACGAGCCTGTGGTAGCGTGGATGGCAAAAGATATTTTTGATCCCGAAATCAGATCGCAGATTTCGTTCCACAGCCAGGAGATATTTGCTTCGGACGTCCTCAATGCAGTTTTTGAAAGGGTGAATGAGGCTGGGCTAGCTCTTTTAGGGGAAAGTGATAGTGAAGTTTTGTCTGTACTACTTGGGGAGGAGGATGGAGAAAGGTTTTCAAAATTGTGCAAGATCATGGAGATGTTCCGTTTCTTCAATTCCTTTGACACATTTTCGAGAAGAACGCTCAACAGTAGAATGATGATTATCAGGTACTTGAACTCCATTGTAAATGTAGGCTTTTCATCTCTTTGTGAAGACTGCTGCAGCAAAGTGCCAAATATCCTCATACTCCGTGACTTGCTTACGGAAGTAGATAGGGTTTTGAGGCTGTTTTTTGGAGAGGTGAACGACGGAATGGTGCATCTATCTGAGATTAGAAAGACAAGGAACTACGTGGAAAGGCAAACAGATGATGTAATAGACGAATGGAGTAGCTGGGTACTTTCGGACGGGTTTTTCTCTGAGAGAGTGGTAAGAATTCATAGGGTAGGTGGTGGCAGAAAGTTCAAGGTTTCACTTGGACCCACTGTTCTAAAGAGGTTAGAAGAGTATCTAGTGATTGTGGAGCTGGAAGATAGTACACATAGGATTACTCAGGAAGTGCGGGAAGCAGCGTTCTTAGCATCCAAAATCAAATCTGCCTACGCAAAGCTTTACGATGGGTGCAATACGATCAACATGATATTAGAGGATATGTACAGCGATATGGATCTGTTCTACGGAGAAGTAGATGCGGTGTTTGCATCCATGGAAAATATCTTAGAGCTTAGGTGGAAGGATGTGAAAGAAACAAGAGAGATAGATGCGCTCATGAATAAAATAGGAGAGCTTGAGAGCAGAGTATATTCCTACAGATTCTTTGTGATGAAGGTAGCAAGAGAGGAGATGAGGGCAGTGTTTTCGAAGCAGATCCAGAAAAGAATGGTGTTTTCGCTTGAATCGAAGGCTTACCTGGAATTCTTCAAGTTTTACGAGAAGAGTATTGTAATACGGGGGATAAACAGATCGATGGGTAGAGTGTTCTTGCAGTATCTCGAGTCTGTGCTTGAGGCACTTAAGGCGGATGACAGCAACTTCTTTATCTCGAGACATCGAATTAAGGGAGGGCGGATAAAGAGCACTGGAGAGTGTTGTGACTTGGTGGGCTTGTTCGAGCCGCCTCTTTCCGAGTACTTTAAGATTCTAGATAGAATATTTCCCTCTGAGAGCGGATACTTCTTTGATGAGATTCTTCTGAGGTTCAATCCTGATGACGAGGCAAAGGCACGGGTGGAAAGCATAATTGAAGCCGTTAGGACGAAGTACAGCACTTGTTTAGAAACCCTAGAGGCTGTTTTTGTTTCTGAGCTTCCCTCAGGGTTGTACGAAAGATTCACGAAGATTAAAGACTCCTGCAGAAGTGTCGAGATGCTAGTGAAGAACATGATTCCCTTCTTTGTTTTTGAGCACTGCATGGATGCTTCTGAGCATATAAAGCTGTTGGAAGCGGCATGCGACGAGGTTCAGAGGTTTGTAGACATAGAAAACTCCAGAGTCTACGAAATGCTGACATCAAGGAAGACCAGTGCTGATGACGCTATGTGGCCAAAAAGAGGCGTTGAGGAATGCGATCTAGTAAGCGAAGTATCTCAGATGATAGAGGTTAGTGAGTATTTGAACTCTAATGAATTCAAAACTCTTGAAGAGCTAAATAAAGCTGTATCTGAACATGGAATGAGAAAGCCAGGGATATCAATTGAACTTCTCAGGAAAGAAAAAGATGCATCTTTGAAAGCAAGCAAGGAGGTTTTGAATGCCTTTTTGAATGAAGTTCCATTTGATTCTCTGAAGCTGATGCGGAAATCTTTGGTTGAGGAGGCAAGGATTCTTGAAGAAAAGATAGACGACATAACCAGAGAGAAGGATGAGCTTATGTTCTGGCCTGTGTTTAAGTCACTCAAAGCCAAGCAAAGGGAGCTTGATGAGAGGATTGGAAGCTTCAACAAGGTCCTTAAGATTGTGGAGCTTCCAATGATTTCCAGCAACCTTAGTGAGAAGATAGATGTGCTAGATAACGAATGGAGCAACTTCACTAAACTTGGGGCATCTCTTAAGGAATATGAGTCCCAGAGGGTATGCAATGTAGACATTCACGAGATCACCTCATTTCTAAAATCTATTGATGTGGACAAGTCTTGTGCAGGATACTACAAAGAGTTTTTGAACAAGATAAGGCATTATGTGCTGGCGTCGAGTTATTTGCAGCATGTAAGAAGTTTCTATGTAAAGAAAAAGTACTTTGACGTGGAGATGGAAATGAAACAGTTCTTCTTTCTGTTCAACAAGGAGGAAATAGAAGAGAAGCTTATGGATTCGAGGATGGAATATGAGGTTGAGAGATACATAGAGAAGGTTAGGGCAGAGGTATCTTTAATGAGGCTTGAGACACGGATTGCTGTTGGGGAGCAGCTGGTTGTATCAAACGTGGACGATGCTATGGATAAGGTCAACAAGCTTTTAGTGGAGCATGATTCAATATCAAGATTCAACAAGAAACACTTTCTCTTTGAAGAGCTTAATGGTGTTAAGCTACTAATGAGCAGATGCCTTGACCTTCTGTCCTGCATTGAAGAGGTACAGAAAGGAATACTAGGGTTTGCAAACGTCTTCTCTGCTGAAATGCTAGAGTTTGAGTCTAAGAGATACTCAATGATAAGACAAAAGTTCTCTGATAGCTTATTTGGGCCGAGATCTTCAGGAGTTGCCCAAAATGAGTATGTTGAGCTAGAGACACTCCTGGCCCACGAAGACAAGTTCCTAGACATTAAGAAGAACCTTGACGACACGACAAGAGGACTCAAGGCATTTCTCAAAAGATGCAGAGAGGAAACACCCAGGCTTTACCTTGTTTCTGATGACGATCTTATCAAGGCATTGAACAGTAGGTCTTACTATAAAGAGATAGTGAGGATGATGTTTAATATAGGGTCTGTCATAGACAAGAACGGGAATGTTATAGGGTTTGAAAGCTGCGGAGAACGGGTAATGCTGCGGAAGCAGATCCCGATTGACCAAAGCATTGGAGGCTTTGTTAGGATGCTTTCGGAAGAGATTAGGAATACCCTTAAGTCTTGGTTCTATGAAAGCCTGGAAGACATAAAGGAGGGATGTCCATCAATTATTTTGGACCTGGTTACTGAATTCAAGTACTTCAGCATGAAGGACTGCAAGATGACGCCGAAGCTTAGGATGCTTGAGAGAGAAATGAAGAAGCATCCCAATGGAGTGAGCCGGCTGTATCCAAAGCCGGTTATGGTAGATGGGGTGGTTTACATGGATTCCATTGAAAAGACAGAATATGGCTTTGAGTATTATCCGCCGACAGACATTGTATTTACATCCTTAGTGTGCCGTGTGATTTCAAGCATAGTTGTCTCACTAAGGAGTTTGTGTGGCGTGATTCTGTATGGAAGAAGCGGGACAGGAAAGACGGAGTCGGTGAAGTACTACTGTAGACTTGTTGGAAGGCCTGTTTTTGTATTCTGTTGCAATGAGGGATGTGAGCTAGTGACGCTTCGGAATGTTATTGAGGCTGGGGTTCTAACCGGATCCTACCTATGCTTTGACGAGTTTAACAGGCTAAGCTCGGAGATAATGAGCGGAGCCACAGAGCTTATTCTTTCGAATAGGAACAAGACGAAGTTCTTCCTCACAATGAACATAGGGTATAAGGGGCGATACCAACTTCCCATAAGTCTAAGGGGAGTGTTTGGGGAAATAAGGATTGACGTGCCTGACACGAAGGATATCATCGATCACTACTGTGGGGAGATTTCTGAAAAGATATACCAACTAATGTGCAAAGTGGAGGCAAGTGCAAGTAAGCAAGAGCATTATGACTTTGGGCTAAGAGCAATCCGAGTGATTGCAAGGAAAAGTGGAGAGTTTGAGATTATGAAGTCGATTGTCTACTTCTACATGGCATGTCTTCTAAGGAAAGATAAGGCCGTGTTTGTTAAGGAGATGAAGAAGGCCTTTGGAACGGAGGTAGGTGTAAATCTTTCGTACAAGGACATGGCGATGTACGGATTTGAAAGCGGAAGAGGTGTTCTTATTGTGGGGAGAAACGGTGTTGGGAAAAGCAGATTGATAAGAATGGTCCGAGATGTAAGGAAGGCCATATGTTTCTATTACAACCCAAAGAACATGGGAAGAGTGTTTGGGTGGCGTGACGACCTCACTGGGGAGTGGAGGGACAGCAAGTTCGTCCGAGACCTAAGGAGAAACATGCACAGAAAGGAGGAGTGCTGGTTTGTATTTGACGGGATTGTGGAGTCTTTTTGGATTGAGGATTTCAATTCGATACTGGATGAAAACAGACTGCTGTGCTTAAGCTCTGGAGAAAGAATCATGATTCCAGATCACTATAGGTTTGTGTTTGAAAGCACGTCCACGGAGAAGCTAACGCCTGCAACATTGACTAGGGTATTTCTTATATACATGGAGGAGGGCGAGCCTTCCTCTGCATTAAGTGAACGAGACGCTAGCGATTCCGAGAAAGACATAAAGTATGATGGGAGTAAGGTTCAGGGATTTCCATTTAGGAAACTGACTTCAACGGAGGAGCAAAGCTTTTATGCAGGGAGTATTGAGGCACTATCAAGCGATGGAAGAAGGGCTTTCTTCATAAGAGGAGAGGAGGGTGTTGGAAAAAGATCTTTGGTTGAAGAGGTTTTTTCCGATGACGTCACTGTGATTGAAGGAAAGGTGCTGGAGGCCTCGAGAATGGAAAGAATTCTAGGGGAAGATAAGATAAAGAGGATGAACGGAGAGAAGGTGCACGATGTAAGATCTGTGGTTTACATTGAAGGATTTGACTGTACAAATGAAAACCTAGTAGAGGTGGTTAGGGAATATAATGAGTATGGAAGAGTCGGGGAGCTGGAAATAAAAAACATGGTTCTGATCTGTGGGATTGATGAGAAGAGAGGGGAGGATGCAGTTTGCAATACAGCGGCAGAAAGATTGAAAAGGAATATGAGATCCATATTTGTAGAGGCGCCAAGGAACATATCATTTTTATTTGGGGAAGAGATCAGAAAGAGATTCAGAGATACAAGGCATTTTGGGGACACTATGAAGATTTTAGAAACTGTGCTGTTTGCCTACAGAAGTCTTGGGGTCTCTCTCGGGAAGGCTATAGGGTTCATTAGGACATTAAGAGACTTGTGCATTGGAGAAGAAGACATTGCGAGCCTAATGTACTTTGAATCGAAGATTTACTTTGGAGAGTGTGTGCGCCTACGGGATGAGATACAGAGGATATTTGGAAGAAAGGTTGATGAGATTGAGTTTGATCTTGAGACAGGGAAGTTTAGGAAGGCTGGGGAGAGTAGTGATGTCTCATATATAGGGTCGATTCTTCATAGAGGATACAACGTTGTGATTGAAGGACCTAAGATGTCTGGAAAGCACTGGGTGATAAAAGAATGTATGAGGCGGATGAAGATAAACGTAAAAGTAGTTGGGAGCTCGGATGAAAAGAAGATTGATGGGCAAACAGCATTCCTCGTAGAAAATGGACATTCTCTTGGAAGAAGTATACTTAGCCGGTGCATGGTGTTTAAGTTGGCAAGGGCTACCTATTATTCTGTAGACCTACTCAAAGTTTATAATATGGTTGCCAATGAGAACATATCTCTGGAAGATGTATGGAGAAGATGTCTTGTTCCTGAGGTTGGGATCTGCATTGATTCTGAAAGCATTGGAGCATTGATTGAGACATCTCCTTTGATAATGAATGTTGAGGAAGACGGGCATCCCCCTTCGTGTCTTCACCCGAATGTTATAACAACAAGCTTTTTCTGCAAGTCTATTGGATTTGTAGAGAGCTTTGTCCGGATTTGCAAGGTGCTCCGAGAAAAGGAAGCTAAAAGGAAGGAGTTTCTGATTGGAGGATTAGGAAAGATTGAAGAGTTCAGAAAAGAGGCATGGGCATTGGGATCTGAGTCATCTCGGAAGAAGAAGGATCTGGAGGAGCTTGACTTGAAGCTGGACAAGCAGCTTGAGAAGATCATTAGCTCTCAGAAACAATTAGAAGATGAGAAGAATGTTGTTGGAAATAGGAAAAAAGAAATGGAAGAAGCACTGAAGATAAACCAGAAGAAGCAAGAGATGATAGATAAAAGGCTAGAGATAGCCAAAGCACTGCTGGAAGAGTCAAGGAGAAGCATTGAGGAGCTTCCTAAAAGCAGTCTGTCTGAGATAAAGGTGATGATAAATCCTCCTGAAATAATCAGAAATACTATTGAGGCGGTGTTCTGGTTGGTGGAAGGAGCGGCCAAGGGAAACGCAGAAAGGATTGAATGGAGGCGACTGATCCAGTTTATGAAGAGAGAAGACTTTGTCTCGAAGGTTCTGAACTGCAGAAGCACTGCCATTCCCAGTGCCCTCGAAGAGCTGATATCTGATCCGCTGTTTACTTACGAGAAAGCACAGAATGCAAGCAAGGCTTGTGGGTCTCTTTTTATGTGGGTGATAGCAAGGTGCAAATATGCCAAGATTGTGGAGGAGATATTGCCGATGGAGGAGGAGATAGCAGTGCTTGGTGGTAGCATCTTGAGAAACAGAGAGAAGATTGAGGAAGAAGAAAAGAAGCTTAGTGACATTGAGGGCAGAATCGAGGACATGAAGAACGAGTATAATGCATCTGTGCTCAGGCTTGAGTCCATAAAAATAGAAATATCAACTGCTGACGAAAAGGCTTCTCTCGTCAGTAGGATTATAGAGGAACTATCTGACGAGATTGAAAAGTGGAAGAGAATGAAGTACATGTGCCCTATAAGACATATGCTTACGAGCACAGACTGGGTTCTTCGTCACAACAAGAACGGCTTTGCCCATGGAGGCAATGTCTCTGAGCTTCTTAAGGCAAGAAGGTTTATTTGCACAAGTCTCGAAGATAAGAACTACCAACAGATTCTGTCAAATTGCAACTATTATGGAAATGATGTTATTGTTTACGGATGCGACCGGTTTGATAAGGACGTATATAGAGCCTTAAAGCAGCAGATGGACAGTGCTGCATACTCGATCATACTAGTGTCAAATTCAGGAACAAACTTTTACAAGGAGTACACATTCAACTGCGAGTTTACAGAGAAGTTTGAGGCTGAGGAATCTAGGAGTCTAGAAAGGTCTGAGGAGAGGCTTCTTGAATTGATAGTTGGGCATGCACCACTTGATGAGATATGCAGGCATAAGAAGGCGCTAGAGGAAGAAAGAAGCATTGACAGGCGGCATGCAAGGAAAAGGGAGATCTATGAATTTCTCAACACGGTGTTTAATAAGAAAAGTAAGGTCTTCTTTGATATATATGGAGTGCATCTTTCTTTTAGGATCTACAAGGAATATGTGGAGAATGTGTTGTTCCCGATTTTGTATGGCAAGACATGTAATGATAGCACTAAGGATATGTGGAGCAGTATAATGGACACAGACATAGGCCTTTTAAAAGACATGATTTCAAGCGATGTAGACTTGTTCTACTCGAATTCGCTTCCAGACACTAAAAGTGGATATGCAGACATCCTGTGCGAAATAGCCAGATACCCATTCGACTATACACTTGTAATTGCCTGTGACGATGCAATACATATGATTGAAGAGAAGATAGAGATAACTTCTGTGATATCGGCTGGACCTAAGGAAAATAATGAGAAGATCCGCGAGATGCTATCTGAGAAGTCCCAAGAAAGCAGAACCTATCTAATCAAAAATATCCACTTCCTAAGGAATATTAAGAAGACAGGGAACAGCAGGCTAATACTTACGATTGAGGAGGGTAAGAAGCACTCTCTGATGGAGGACACCAAGGTTGTTTACTGTAAAAGATGCGTGGCTCGGGAGGCAGCTGACCTTGCTCTAATTTCCGAAGGAGATTCTGAGCTGGTAAGGTTCCATATGGAAATGGCAAGTAGGAGTAGCCAGTTTGGGCTGAAGGATCTGCTTCTCTGCACTGAGAATATGAGATATTGCGATAGAGAATATCTGAAGACCATTGTATATGGCAGCAGAATCGATATGTGAACCTGTAAATAAAAGCACTTTGTATAGAAAGTCTCACCTGATGAATCTATTGAGAAATCTGGAAAATGTAAAGTACTCCCTTTCCTCCATGACTTTTGGGAGATCGATTCTGAAAAGAGAGCCGCGTCTTCTAGGTGCTATGAGAGAGATCTGCTCACACGTTTCTTTCCTAGCTCTTTTAGGATATGTCCTGGGCTCGTAGTTGGTGAGGTACTTTTCTTCTGAACCTTTATCGAGCATAAAAATTTTAGGCCCAGATATGAACCAGCTTTTTGTACAGACAGAGAAGATAGCGGATCCTCGGGAGGGAAAGCTTCAGGTGGTATCGAACATAGACGTGTGCACTAAGATAGCCGAGTTCCTGGAAAGCACGCTAGGGCCCTATGGGATGGACAAACTGTTCGCAGGGAAGGAAATTGTGGTAACGAATGACGGGGCAACGATACTCAAACACATGAAAGTAAAGCATCCTGTAGGGAAGCTTCTAGTTGGGCTGTCTGAGTCGCAGGACAGCGAGGTTGGGGACGGGACGACCAGTGTTGTGGTTCTAACTGCAGAGATATTAAGCTGTCTGAAGTCGCTTATCAAGGACAATTTTGATCTTGAATCCATCAGAGAGTGTCTTTCTGAGCTTAGGGCGGTGTGTATTGGGCATGTGGAGAAAATAAGTATGGAGGTTGATGACGAAATGCTTTACAAGATGGCTGAGACTTGTGTTACCTCCAAGAATATCAGGCATGAAAAGAAGTACTTTTCACGGATGATAGTTGATACAGTAAGGCAGGCAAAGACAGATAACATGGAGTCTATTGGAATAAAGAAGGTGCAAGGAGGAAGCATAGGGGATTCGATTGCTGTGAACGGTATTGCATTTGAGAAGTGCTTTACTTATGCAGGATATGAGCAACAGCCAAAAAGAATTGAAAACCCAAAGATTGTGTGTTTGAATGTGGAACTTGAGTGGAAAAGTGAGCGTGATAATGCAGAGATAAGGGTTGGCGGTGTTGAGGAATATCAAAAGGTTGTTGACGCAGAATGGGCTATTATCAGGCGGAAGCTAGATGAGATAATAGACAGTGGGGCGAATGTGGTTTTGAGCTCGCTATCTATAGGGGACTATGCTACACAATACTTTGCAAGGCATGGAATATTCTGTGCAGGAAGAGTTTCGAAGGATGATCTCAGCAGGGTGGTTGGATCGTGTGGAGGAAGAATACTTGGATCTACGGATTACTTGGAAGGCAGTCTGGGGTCGTGTGAGCTCTTTGAGGAAAGACAGCTGGGAAAGCTCAGATACAACTATTTTGAAGGGGGAGGGATGCAGGCATGCACCATAATACTTCGGGGGCCTGGGCAAGAGGTTCTTGAGGAGATTGAAAGGGCTGTCCACGATGCAATATGTGTTGTCAGGACTGCCCTAAAGACTAGAAAGGCTGTTTGTGGGGGAGGATCTGTTGAAATGGAACTATCCAAAGCCGTTAGAGAGAAGTCGATGGAATATGGAAACAAGAAGGTGTTTGTTGCAAAGGCCGTGGGACAGGCGTTTGAGAAGATTCCTCTCCTTTTGGCCAGGAACTTTGGGTTTGACACCATCAGCGTAATTCAGGACCTCCGAAAAAGACATGCCAATGGATCTGCCTATCAAGGAGTCAGCATTGGAGGAGTCCAAGACATGAGGGATCTTGGTATATACGAGCCCCTTGAGGTCAAGAAGAATATGATCAAGGCGTCCCTCGACGGAGCAGCCTCGATTATCATGATTGATTCGACCATCATGGCTGAGAAGAGTCAATAAAGATATTTCGAATAGCTGTGAATCTTCTTTTTGTATGGAGACTGGGAAGAGAGATTCCAAAAATTTTTCAAAAAATATCTGGGATGCCCTCATGAGAGAAGAAACACGCCAAATATTTCTGCAGACGATTGATATTGATCTTGGAAAGAGAAATGCGGCGGAGTCTATGCTGATGAATTTAGAGAGGGATCCGGAGTTTGTGATGTCTCTTCCGCACACATGCATGAAAGATTCTGATGCCATACTGAAGAGAATAGCAACGATCTACTTCAAGAATGCAATAATCAAGCAATGGAAGGACAGCACGTATTCTGAAGTTCGGAAATATCTTATAGAAAACATACTGGATTTGTTTTTGTATGGAGACGAGATAACAAGAGTGGCATACGATGCAATTATTGTGCATATCTTCAATACGGAGAAGTTGAATGAGTTGAATGGGCTATTCCAGAAGGCGTCCGAGCTTATGAAAAGCGCTGACACAAACAGCGTTTTTACTGCGTTGAATATGTACGAGAAGATATTCGATGCAGAGAAGATAAAGTATAATCTTGAACAAGTTCTGGGGTTGATGTACAATACTGCAGGAAAGGATGTCCTTGAGAAGGTGTACGAGTTTCTAGAGGCGGGGAACTATGGGATGGTTAAGATTGGGATGGTTGTGCTAGCGAAATCCTACTGTTACTACTCGATTCCCGACTTCCTTTCCGCAATAGGCACTTTTTCATATGCATTCAACTTGTCGCTCCGGATTTTGAATCTGAGAGGTACTGATGAGAATCTACTTGAAAGCAGAAAATGGGCAGCATACTTTATGTACAAGGCCTGCAGCAAGGGAATCAAGAGATTCTACAAAAACAACGAACTCACCGAGTACATTACCGACATCAACAGATTCCAGATGATATACACAACATTCATCAAGATCATCCAAGAAAGATCGGAGGAGACCACGGACATTGAGCTGTATGCCATAGACTTTTTTGTACTTCTAACATCGAACTCAGAGTTTTTTCGTTACATGGAGCCTGATCTGTTTTATCTTATTTCTGGATACATTCTGCCAGTGTACTCTCTGTCTGATTCGGAAGAGGACGACATTGAGAACGATCCCGATAAATACTTGAGGGAGAAATACAGCTTCTTTGGAAATGACCTAAGAAACAGCCTTAGTATACTGTTTTGCGATATCATATCGAAGGTCAAGCAGAAGGAAGAGACCTTCCAGGGTATCATTAACTACCTTGTCTCTGTTCTCGGGAAGTGCAAAGAAAGCCCGACGCCTGACAATATAAGGTTAGCATATGGATCTCTCTTCCTGTTAGCAAAGATAAAGTCGACACTGCTGAGGAAGGCTAGGAGCGTGGTTGTGTATGTTATGGTGAACCATGTGATTCCCTCCCTCTGTGGAAACTCGCTGGCCCTAAAGTCTCAGGCCTGCTACTTCCTGTCGGAAATACAAGAGGACCTTCCCATCAACACCATAGTATTCGAGGCATTGGACAGTGTACACAAACTTATGAAGTCTGATCACAAGGTGCTCAAGGTGGAAGGCACTCTTGCCATGTCATTCTTCTTGTTTAACGAAATGGCCTCTGAGAAATTCAAGGAGCTGATCCCAGAAACAGTAGAGTCCATACTAAGCCTCTCAAACATATATGACTTTGAGTCTCTTACAATATTGCTCGACTCGATTATCGGATACTATCCTGACGAAATATCGAAGTATGCACCGGAACTTGTCCGCTCAATATCAAGAATCACCCTGTCGCATCTGATGAATGAAAGCGATGAGGGGGAAAACAAGCTGTTGGTCGTTTCAGGCTTCCTTAGAAGCATGGAGAATCTTGTTCTATCGCTCAATCAAAGATCACCCACACTTAGACATTCATACATGAACTCATATGATGTACTGTCCTTCATTCTAAAGGAGGAAAAATCAGACTTCTACCACGAGGCCCTGGACATACTCAATGCCTATGTCTTCATGATCAAGGAGATAGAAGGATCCATGTGGGGCCTTCTGCAGATGATATTGAATCTCCCTGCAGACGAGGTAGGAATATATTCCGAAGAAGTGGCTAACCTGATTGACAACTTCATAACATATGGAAAAACAAGCATTATTGATTCAAACATACTGGGAAGCATCTACTCTTTAATTTCAAACTTCTGTTTATGCAACGAGGAGAATCTTTCTGACGAGGAGTTTATAAGTGGATGCCGAATTATCGAATCGATAATTTTGAACATAGGAAACGAAGTTCTTTGCAAGGACCCTTCAAGGTTGTCTTTCTTCATTTCTGTTGCAATGTCTAGCGACAGTATTGACGAGAGTAGCGCAGCAATGGTATATGCACTTGAAGTTGTAATGAATTGTTTTATTCTGAGGCCAAGTGAAACCATCCAAATTCTTAGAATGCAGAAGTACTTCCAAACGTTCTTTGAAAAATTCTTTGAGCAGAAAAGCAGGTTCAAGAGGGTTCATGACAAGAAGATATGCACCCTGTTCGTGGGCACGATTTGCAGACTTCAGGACGGAACTCTTCCGGAGCTCGACATCCACAACCTCAACAAGGTTCTTGTGTCAACAATCACCACACTCCCTGCAGCTATAAAGCTCAGAAATCAGATGAAGGAAAACGAAGACGCTGCCATGTCTTCGGTAGATTCAGAAGAAGAAGATTATCTTGATGCAAGCGATGATCTTGATACCATGGATATCTTAGAAGAGGATATTTACTTTGAGTCGGCCCTGGACCACTTCGAGCCATTTGGGTACATCTCTTCCATACTCTCTTCCCCTGTAGCTGGGTCCTATGGAGAGAAAATTATTTCTGCAATGACCAACCACCAGAAAGAGTCCATCTCTACTGTCCTCAATGGAGAGAGAGTTGTCCAGAAAATATGAAGCCATATTAAACCACCTACTCCAACTGCATCGACGCAATAAAAACTTAAAGAGAATCACTCAGGAAGTTCTGTTGGCCCCGCCTAGATGAACATTGAATATCCTATTTTTGTTGAGCAAATCGTCAGCAAGGACATCAAGATACATGAATGTCCTATTGTTCTGGCTGTCAATGACAGGTATCTTTCTGAAGTCCATAAGAAATGATTTCGTCAGAGACCTGTAATCGTCAAACCTCTTGGAAAGCCTCAGGTACAAGAGAGAGGCTGCTATGAGACAGACATTGCCACGAAACTTCTTCATCGAAGAATCCTCAATCCTGGGTTCAGTAGGCCTTAGATTCTCTAGACTTATGGCAATAGCCTCCTCCTTCATGGAAATTGCGCCCATTTTCTGGACAAGACATAGAAATCTGTGGGGCACACCCCTGACCAGACCTCCTATGGAATCCAAGGTGCAGATACTCTCAACCACATCTGATTCTGTAAACGATCTCATGCTCTTGAACTCCTCCGAGCTAAGTATCTTTTCTCTTGTCATTCTATTGATGCCTTTGTATTGCATATGGGACAGCTATACACAGACTAAAATATGTTTGAGCTCCAACATGATTTTATTTTCATACTATGCCTTCTCAATCACATCGAGAAGCCTCTTTGACTCCTTCAAAATATCCAAGGCACTCACGCTCAATCCACTGTACCTCATTCTAAGCTCATCGTTATAGTTATCCTGCTTCGACTTGATTCTGAACAAACATTCTCTGAAGCACATCCTCCTAATTAGTGCCTGTAGCTCAGCAGGAGACTCCTCGCTCATCTCTTTCATCTCCTTAGCAGATATTCCGAAGAATCCCGTTGCAGCCTCGTCAAAGAGACTCACCCATATCTGCCCAGTAAAGTCTCCAAGATGCATTGTGACCATGTACCTGTAGTTACAATCCTCGTATGTCATGTTGCATCTCTCGCACCTGTAGTTTCCACCCTCCTCTATCATGACCTTCTTATTGCATCCCTCGCCTTTGCATGACGCATACCATAGAGCATCTTCCTTTAAGAACATTACAGTCCCTTGGATGGTCGAATAGGCCAGCTCATTTTCCTTGACTTCCTGTACTAGCCTCCTTTTTTCTTCTTTTCGCGGGAGAGTCACCTGCATGTTCTTTCCAATCGACTGATACCATCCAGCAAGCTCGTGTGCTTCAGAAATATCGGGATTTACCACAACCTGCGACCCTCCTGTGGTTGATATCGAGATCCCATTAAATTCGCTGACCTTGATAGACTTCAGCCCAATAACTACCCCCTCCTCGATATCGATCTCAGCCTTCTGCCCCCACAGGGTTAATCTTACACTCCCGCTTTCATCAACAAGAACAACATCTCTCTTAAGAAGCTCGTTTTGCGTGCTTCTGACCATCACGGTCGAAGGGCCATATGCTTCCTTAACAACTCCAATTACATCGCAGTAGGCACTTCCAAGCGATATATCAGAGATTTTAGTAAAATTGAAAAAGTATCGAGGCGATCCATCATCGGCTGCACACCTAACCTCAGAATTCTTGTCCAAAATTATTTCATAATCAAACGGGTTTGTGGAGTACTGCTTGTTTGCCATCTTTACTGTCCCCTTTGTGACAGTGTACACTTTCCCAACCTCCACTATCGGAAAAAATATATCAACACAATCAGAAAAGCATATTATCTTCACTTGCGCAGTCCCATCTGAAAGCTCAAAGTTGAATACTTTTCCTTCGCCTTTCTGGTTAGTGAATCTTCTTATATCGCCCTTCACCACTACCCTTCCCTTTATAACCCACTTGTTGTGGAACGGATTCAGCATGTTTATTGCTGTAAATTCCCCATCGCAATTGGAATCCCTCTTTACTCTTTTTTTATCTTCCTCATCAGCCTGCTTCCAATGCTGCTGATTTACTTCTACTCGTTTTAGATTCCCGGGGCTGGGTTGGTTGTCGCTGAAAGACGCATTGCCGGTGCTTATGTTTACGGGCTTTCCTATCTCGACATTACAGTCCTCATACTCCTGAATCTCCTGGATGTATATGTATACACTGCCGTCTTTTGACCTTACGCTGAATCTTCCAGGCCTGATCAGGCTATATTTACTCACAAGCCCCTTCTCAAAGTGAGGTGTGAGCTCACTGGAGAAAATCCCCTTCATGTAGTTCACACCGTCAGACAGATTGACTCGATATCTTTGCTTATCTCCAATAGCGACAGATAACTTTCCTAGAGATGTGATCTGGAGGATTGGACTCTTGTACAGCGGATTGCTGGTCTGGCTGTTGTAAAGAGCTTCGACTGTTCCCGGCTCAAGTTTCATGGGGGACTTAGGCCAATAATTGAAATAGTCGTACCCAACGGATATTGTTTCAGATACTGATATATACTAAAGGTACCAAAACACTCTGGAAATACAAAGCAATGAGAGAACGGCGTTGCAACACTTTCAGACCCAAAATGGAGGAAGAACGTGTCTCTTCGTTTGCTGAAAGCGTCTCAAAGCTTTTGGAAGGCAAGGATAAGGAGACAGAAAATATGGCTGCAAGATATTTGTGCTTGCAGGAAGTAGACAGCTTATACATGTACTTTCCTTCTTTTGAAGGGGCAGATCTAGAAGGAAAGCTGTCTGCCGATCACCAGATAAGTAGGTTCTGGAAGACTAGGTTTGAACTTCGCGAGGGATGTGCCAGAACAAGGGACAGGTATGAAGACGTTGTAGACAGCTTCTTAGTGCTTGATGCTAAATATGGAATGCTGGGAATGCTGGAGGAGCAAATGGCCCTGATTGATGAGATAAGAAGAATTTATGGCATGACGTCGCACAAATCGTCAAGGAAAAGAAAAGTAAGAGAATATAAGCTGCATGGTACGTTGTGCCTTCATCCAAGGATAAGGAGCACAAAATACACTTCGCTGTTCGACCCAAGAGTGGTAGTGAAAGAAATAGTCTTCGAAGAAATTAAGATATTCCCATCATCAACGTTTCCAATTCTTGTGCCTATGGATACGGATAAGGGCATTTCTCGGATCATATACAAGAAGGGGGATGACCTTACTAAAGACCTATTTGTGCTTGAAACAATAAGGTACATATCAAGATTGATAGGAATGGACCTGGTTACATATAAAGTTATACCGCTGAGTAGAGAGGAAGGGATTGTAGAGGTGGTGGATGGAACAGACTTTACAAAAATCAGAAAAAGAGGAGATCTGGAACGATATATAGAAGAAGAGGAGTGCTCTGGCGGTGTCCAGGGTCCCGAAAAGAAAAAGGTGTTTGTAGACACTGTCTGTGGGTACTCAGTTGCGTGTTATGTAATGGGAGTTGGAGACAGAAACCCGGGTAATATGATGATTTCCAGGGATGGAAGGTTCTTTCATGTTGATTTCAGCTATGTGTTTGGCAATGATCCGAAGTATATCTCACCTAGAATAACGATTGCAAGTCCCATATGCGATTATCTAGCAAATGACGAGATGGCCTACCAGAACTTTCTTGCAAAGTCACAGGAGGTATTTCTCCAGATAAGGAGGTCGTCGAAAAAGATCTTTGTGTTGTGGTGTATTCTGGCCCGGAACAAGATATTTCAACTTGACCTCGACAAGACCATTTCGTTTGCAAGAGCTAGGCTAAAGCTGGAGATGACCGAAAAAGAGGCATTGAGGCATTTTGAAAGGGAAATCAAAGGCGCCGTTGGGAGCTTCAAGACGTCCTTGGTGCATTTCATGAATAGAGTGGGGATACTCTTCAGAAGATGATTGTGAAGGTTACAAGCCCTTGATGGCGTTAAAGAAGTTTCTTCAGGAACTCAAGAGTAAAATGGAAGAACGAAGGTTTCCTTACATAACATCATCGATCTTGTCTCTGGGGGCGGCAGTAGCCATTCTTGGAAGGCCAGATGGTTCGAAGGACCAGAGTATCGTAGGGTATATTAGACGGTTCAAGAAAAAAGTATACAGCTTTGCAAGAGAAAAAGACACGGGTATCCCCATTCTACCGCCACAGGAGCAGCCTAAACCAACCATTATATTTGATTGCGAGGATTTTCTTGTGAAAAAGAAGTTTTCGTTTTTTAGCTTTGATTTCCTGGTGACCAAAAGAGCATTTACAGATCTCTTTCTTTTCCACTCTGCCCATCTATACGAGCTAGTCCATGCCTCAGAATCACCAGTCAGCTTTAGTAGACATCTACTGCATAGAATAGATCCCTATGGGTGCATCTCCTACAAGGTCTATTGTAAAGATAAGAAAATGTTTAGCAGCAAGCACCTAAACAGGCCCCTGGAAAAAGTTGTGGTAATTTCAACAAGGGAGGACGAGTACCATGAGGACTTTGACGACAACATTCTGAAGCTCGATAAATGGCCAGGAAGCCCTGAAAGAGGGCTGTTGGACCTTCTGAACTTTCTCCACAACCTTTACTTTACCAGAATAGAAGATTTTAGGGGCACGTTAAAATCGTATCTTGGAAAGGACTTTTACAGTGCTTACGAAAGAGTTCAAAAGAAAATATTTGTACAAAGAAATCTCTTCTCTTGGAATGTAGAGAAAAGATATAGAGAAAGGATCAACCGGATCGATGAGAAGAGGCAAAAAGACTTTGAGAGGGCAAAGGAGATAATGGACAGGGATCTTCAGGGCAAAGATGTGAAGGAGGAAGGCTCTATCCTTGGATATGTATTTGGTTTGGGCATTAAGGCACTTATTTAGGAGCGTTAAAGTATAAAATAAAAATCTTTATTTTCTGGAGACTCAGGGCCCTGAGGATGTCCATAGGCCAGCTTTCCAAATCCTAATATCTTCAAAATCGACATACATACCCATCAAAATGATAGAAAAGGAGGATATAATGTGCATTGAAAAGACAGGTCTTGGACCGTTTTGGGAAGAGTTTCTTGTGTTTATAGAGGTTGGGAAAAGCGTTGGGAGACTCTATAGCCTTCGTGTAATGAAGAAAAAGAAGATAATAGACTACGGTGAGTGCGACATGGTACATAACGAGTATTACGTCAGATCTCGGATAAGACATCCTTTTCTCATCAACACCATATGCGGATTTCAGGACTATGAGCATCTGTTCCTGGTTTCTGAGCAATCCCAAAACCACCTTTCTAGCCTGATCAGTTCCGAGGGGAGATTTTCAGCAAAAGTGTCTAGGTTCTATATGGCAGAAATACTTCTGGCAATACAACATCTACATTCGAAGGGGCTCACCTATGGATTTCTATCTCCAAAGAACATGATGATAGGAGATGACGGACATATAAAACTGAAATACGACTTTTTGAACAAGATAGACTGTGTGGTTGGGGATATTGAGCATAACATAGAGTATGCATCGATGGATTATGCAGACAATGGAGAGCTAGAGCCGGTATCAGACTACTGGTCCATGGGGATAGTGTTATACCACATGCTTGGAGGCATAACACCATTTGCAGCACCAGATATGGACTCTGTCATTGCAAGAATTAGGATGAATAGGATTAGATTTCCGGAGTTCTTTGACAAGCATGCCAGAGACTTGATATCAAAGCTGCTGGTTGCATCTCCTAGAAACAGGCTTGGATATGTGGAAGAAGATGCAGAGGCTATCAGAAAGCATCCATTTTTTGAGGGGATAAGCTGGGAGGATGTCCTGAAGAAAAGGACAAAACCTCCGTTTCTGTTCAACATCACAAGAAAGGAGCACACCTCAAAGTCAGCAAGCCTCAGGATTCTCTACACAACAGATTACCTTCCTGATCAAAAGGATGGATATGGACAAACATTCAGAGGATATGGGGCCATATATTCTCCAGACACTCATAGAAAAATATGGAGGTACGGCTATATTTGACTTTAAAGCTTTTACAGTGGCCGTTGGTGTATTGAATGAAAACACAGTTTACTTATTCTTTTTTTCTGGGCTGTAAAATACTCTCTTCACAAGGCTGGAAAGAGCATCTTGAACAAACATAGGAACCATCTTTGATAGCAAGGTAATGGGCTTGAATATCCAGGGTACAAAGTCCTCTCTAACACCGTTTTCTATGTCATTCAAAAGCCTCACAGCCACATAGTTTGCATCGAGTGTCCAGACGTCTCTGACTTCTCTGAACAATGAGGTGTTTATCTTGTAAGGATAGATGATCATTGTGTCTTTTCCTTCTCTCCTCAGCGATTGGTTCAGTGTGTGGATGAATGACTTGGATGCACAGTACATGGAGTATCCTGGGAGGCCTTGCTGTGACAGTATGGAGTTCACAAAAACAAACTTCTTGTACCTAGTGTTCTTGAGCAGCCATAGGTGTAGCTCCACATTCAACTTCAGCATGTCCACCACCTCAGTGTACTCCATGTCGTCAAATGTCTTGTTTCCAACACTTGTTCCAAGATTGGATATTACAATGTCGAATGGAATTGCAATATCGGGCTTTTCCCTTAGGAGATCTATTTGGTAATACCTTATGTTTTCATGGTCAAAGGACTGGGGAGACCTTCCGATCACATGAACGTAGGAGCCCCTTTTTGCAAGCTCCTTTACAATCTCTAGGCCAAGGCCTCTACTCCCGCCAGTGACACAAACGGCTTTCCCAGCAAGGTTTATTTTGCTCATGATAAGGTCTATAGAATTATGAAATATATGGAATCCCTAAATGACAACACAGGAGGAGATTTCAAACATCTTCAATAGTGATGGGAAATTGCTGCAAATCGAGTATGGCTTGGAGGCGGTGAACAATGCCCTGCCTGTTGTGACTGTTAAATCTAAGAGCATGATAGTCTGCGCATCGAAGAAAGCCCCCCGCGACAAGCTTGAGGAATCGGACTCCACAAGCTTCTACAAGGTGTCTGAGAAGTGCTACGTGGCGATTACCGGGCTTCCTGGAGACATTGACTATGTTGTGAAGAGGATCAAGATGGTTGCAAACAGGAAGACCTTCTCATTTGGAACGGAGGTGACGCCCGATATCCTGTGCAGGTCTTTTGCAGATAAGATCCAGAAGCTTATTCAGAGCTCTGAAGAAAGGTCGGCTGCATTCAATGCATCAATATTTGGCTTCGATGGAGAGAAAGCAACTATCTATCAAACAGATATGTCAGGGATTTCGTATCCTTGCTATGGAACTGCGGCAGGAGAAAGGCATGGAAAGATGACTAAGTTTATTGAAAAGAGCTATCGTAGGGACATAGAGGACAAAGAACTCTTCGAGATAGCCATTGGGGCGCTGCTTGAATCCATTGGGGCAGACACTGGATGCTCTGAAATTGAGGTGGGGTACTTGAGAGCAGGAAAAGATCTATGCTACTTGTCTGCAAAAGAAATTGATAAGATTCTACAGGACATAGCGGAGAAATAAAGCGTTTCTTGTAATATTTGAATTCTGCATGTTTGATTTGGAAGAGATAGGCCTAGTATGGCATATTAGATAGATGGCCGTAAATTTTGCTAGATGGTGTAATGTACAATTTGCTAGTATGGGGAAACTGTGGTTACGCAATGGAAAGGGATGCGCGGCTTTTAGGAGCATCCTCTATTTTAATGGAGCCCAGAGGAGAGTTGCTAGGGTCTGCAAATTTTTACACCCCTATATAAAAAAAGAAAATCTCACCCCCAAAGGAATGAGTGAAGTTGGATCTTCTGTTTCAGTAGACGGGAATAGACCTCTTCTTACAGAGGATGAGGTTGAGGCACAAGCAAATTCGTCCACAGTGTGGCCACTAAGCAGAATTAGAATAGCAAGGTGCGAATGGAAGCTTTGGATTTCCTTGGCATTTATTTTTGGAGCTTCGGCCTACATATACTCGTTCTCAAGAGTGATGAAGGATTCCTTTGTCCTATCTCGGCAACTACCAGTTGCCATTTCATTTCTCAAGACATGCTTTGTTCTTCCCATGTCCATTCTAGCTACGGGTGTTGTGCAAAAGCTTCTAATGACCAGGACGATATCGAAGGTCTTTGACTACACATTGCTTGCATTTGCGCTTTTGTACACCCTAACGGGGGCTGTGCTTCTTCCGTTTTCAAGGAGCATCCAACCAGAGTTTTACTTTTCAAGAGACATCTTTGCAGATGAAAAGATGGCATACAAAGGATTTGAATTTCTCTTTGCGATTTTCCTGATATTTAACGAATGGACAACAAGTTTTATCTATGTATGTGCAGAATTATTTGGATCTTTGGTTGTGCAGTTCATGTTCCTCTCGTTTGCAAACGAGGCGCTTACTGTCAGACAGTCGACCAGAATGGTGCCACTGTTTTATGTTATTTCGAACATTCTTCTCCTTCTGTCATCGGAGTCAACGTCATTCTATTCAAGGAAGGTAAAAGAGTGGGACTATGCCACTACAAGCTGGGTCACAAACTCCTTCTTTGTTATATTTGGAGTCATGATAGCCATCACATACTTGGTGAAGAAATACGCAGAAAACACTATTCTTAAGAAGCAGCTGTTTATAAGGACCGAGGGAGTTAAGAAGAAGGGCAAGAAGTCTTCTGCTGGGTTCTCTGAAAGTCTGAAGCTTATGGCACAGTCTAAGTTCCTGGTTGCCATGGTCCTAAATGCTCTTTTCTACTATGCAGGTACAAATCTCATTGAGTCTTCATGGAAGAACGGCATAAGCGTTGCTGCAGATGCCTATAACATGGAGAAGAGAGCATACTCTGCCTCCATTGTGTCTGGAGAGCAGCGGGTTGTAGGTGCCCTAGTTGCAATAATATTGCTGACACCCATATCTACCCTTGTTCAGACACACGGATGGATAACTATGGCCATTGTACCGCCACTGGTTACATTAGTGTCTTCTGTAGTGATATTTGGATCGGCTTTCTTCAACTATCCAAACTATCCGGCTGGAAGAACAAGTGTGATTCTTTCATCTCTAGTCAAAGGATATACCCCGAACTTCTATCTGGAATGCAATATAGGGATTTACTGCGTAAGCGGAATGAAAATAGCCAAATATGCCTTCTACGACATTTCAAAAGAGGCGATTTCACTTCAAATTGATCCGCTATACAGGCCTAAGCTGAAGGCTGTCTATGATGGGCTTTGTGGGAAGCTTGGAAAGTCAATAGGGTCTCTCTATGCAATGTTTTGGTCTTTGATGGGATACAACGATGTAAGGGCTGCAGCACCCATTACTCTGGGTATGTGGCTGATAATATCGCCTGTCTGGATACTCTCGGTTCTATATCTAAACCGAAAATACAACCAATCTATTCAGACTTCATCTCCAATTGATCTTGATCTTTTCTCCGGGAAGAAAGATCTTGAATAAATTAATTAGTCTATCTTGCTATTGCTAGCCTCCCTGAAGCTTCCTTATGCCACACCCTGCCTTACCACTAGAATGAATTGAAAAGCTTACTTTATTTATTCAATTCTCGGTCCTATACCTGCCATTCGATAGGAGACTTGCCGTGATCCTTAAGATACTTATTGGCCTTGGAAAAATGCTTGCACCCAAAAAAATGGTTGGAACTGAGAGGGCTTGGATGCCCGCAAGCTAGTACCAAGTGCCTGTTCCTGTTGATGAACTTGCCCTTTGCCTGTGCATGCCTTCCCCACAACATAAATACAACATTAGTACACTTTTCATTTATAGTTTGGAGAATCCTACTTGTGAATTCTCTCCACCCAATCCCTGCATGAGAGTTTGGTCTGTTCTTTGTAACAGTAAGAACATCATTCAACAGCAGCACGCCTCTCTTGGCCCACTTGGACAGGTCTCCATGTGAGGGAATTTCAAATCCTTCGATATCAGAGTTTATCTCCAAGTATATGTTCTTGAGGCTAGGCGGAACAGGCACGCCCATGGGAACAGAGAAAGATAGTCCCATCGCTTGATTGTCGTTGTGGTAGGGATCCTGGCCCATTATAACAACCTTTGTAGCCTCCAACGGGAAGAAGCTCGAAAAAGTAAATATCTTGTCGATCGGTGGCAAATGATTTCTGTTCTCATGGAGAAACCTCTTGATTCCCCTGAAATAATCCTTTCCAAATTCATGTCTTAGATGGCTTCTCCATCTTGGATCAATCTTCTCTTCTAGCCTGCAATATTCACACGGCTTAGCACATCCTTCACAAACCCAATCTGACTCCTGGGATTTACTCGCCACCGCAGCCGTTACGATCTTCTTTTTGGAAAACATGTCATCCAGGCTCATCTGTCTTTTTCCAATCCCATCCTTACTGTTGAAAACAGAAGAGGTTTTCCCAGGCCCATTCCCCTTGCACTCCTCCGTGTTTGATAGATTTTCATTGATGCAAATGCCCTGCACCTCTTTTTGTTGCTCCACTGTCATTTTGTAGGATAGGTATTTCATAAATTTAAATGGCTTTGCCTTCTGGGTATAAGCACACAAGCTGTAAATTTAACAGTATTCTTAGAAGCTCATGGTCTTGCCTTGTAAATGCACTGTAGAGGTGGGTAGAAGGCCAGCTACAAATGAAATCGTTAAAACTGTCATCCTTATTCAAAAGACAAATTAAATTACCACGTATGTAATTCCGGAGAAACGGCCCTTCCCTTATAAAAATATAAGTCCCGTTCTTTATCAGCAGTTTTCTGTTTTTAATCAATTTTTATCACCAACTTGCACAACCCTAAATGAGCGTACTTCAGCCGCTGGAGTTCCCTAAGGATTCTTGCCTTTTCAAAACAGAAGAGGAGTTGGAAGAAGAGGTCTACAAGAAGACCGGCATTTTCAAGCACATAAGAATAGCGAAAAATGAATGGTCCAGAGTCTTGCACTTATCATTTCTGTTTGGAGCCATAACAGTTGTTCATACAGTGATGGGAAATCTAAGAGAAATGGTACTCATGGGGAGGCAGGACCCTATGTCCATGTTTTTCATCAAGTCGATCTTTCTTCCGCCGTGCTCTTTGTTTTTTGTTTGGGCAATCCAGCGGGGATTGAACTTCTTTACGCCGTCCAAAATGTTCGACATCACTTTAATACTATTTTCTGCATGCTACATCCTCTTTGGACTAGTCATGTGGCCGTTTAAATCATACATACAAAAGGACTTCTATTGGGCAAGAGACATCTTTGGGGATGGAAAAATGGAGTCGCTTAGAATTCACTTCTTGTATCCTGTGTTCCTTGTTTTCAACGAGTGGACGTCTTCATTCCTCTTTCTGTGCTCAGAAATGTGGGGCGCCTTGGTAGTGTCCTATTTCTTCAACCTTTTTACCAACGAGGTGTCGACAAGAAGGCAGTCCCAGAGGTACATATCGGTTTACAACATATCAAATGCCATATCGATTTTCATCTCGGCGATTTTCACGCTGATATTTAACAGGTGGAGAGATAGTGTTGTCTTCGAGACGAAAGAGTCGGGATTTCGGGTACTAGTACTGGCGTTGGCCTTTACTGTTCTTGGCGTTCTGGGACTGAAGAAGTATATAGAGAGAAAAATCCTTCCTATACCTGTATTTCTCATCAAAAAGACAAAGGCGCCGGATGAAGACAAAAGGGAGATTAAGATGAAGGAAGTCGGCAAGGCCTTATCTCGATCAAAGCTACTACTGGCGATATCTTTGAATGTGCTGCTTTACGGAGTATCCTCTACACTGGTAGAGGCAACATTTAAGAGCGGGGTAGCTGCAGGAGCCAAATACACGAATAACTCAAAAGAAACATTCTCGAACTTTTATAATGGGATAGAACAGATAATAATTGCCATATCTTTATTGATTGTTGTCAACACCCCATATTCTGCACTGATCAAAAAAGGTGGATGGAAGTACGTGGCATCTCTCCCCATAATAGTGGTTGTGTTCTCATTCTTCTCTGTGTTCCTGGTTGCTTTCTACAATGTAGGAGCGTGTGGCGGAGGAAATGTGCTATTTAAGTCACTCTTCAAAGGCTGGGAGCCAATGTTCTTTCTCGAAAACACTCTTGGGCTTGTGACGAATGCATTTCTGAAGATAGGGAAGTATCTTGGGGCTGATGCCTCGAAGGAAGCCATTTCCATGCAGATAGATCCCTTATACAGAGCAAAGTACAAGGCAGTCTATGATGGGCTCTGTGGAAAGCTTGGGAAGTCCTTGGGGTCTGTGATGTGTACAGTGATGACTGGAATATGGGATATAACAGACATCCGTATGGTCTCGAGTGTATCAGGAATCCTGGTTGCCATTATAATTATATTGTGGCTCTACGTCCTAAAATACCTAAGCAGAAAATTCCAGACGGCAGTGGAAAATAATGCCTACATTGAATTAGACGAGTTCTAAGGGAATATGCTTGGGCTCTACCTGCCGGGCATATAAAGTATGAGTTGGAGGTGGAGCCCATACAAAGTTTATGAAATTTCTTGCTACCTTATTAAAATATTTCATAGCAAATCCTTATTGGCCTATCAGCCCTTTTCAATTGCCATTCCTTGGACAAGGATAATGGAAGAAAACCTTGATGAAATACATGATGTTTTTACCCTGGAGATGCCTGCAAAGAATATGCTCGGAATTATTGGACTTGAATATCAGCTTCCCTCTCTCTACATCAATCAGGAAGAGGTTGCCAACAACATTGATTTTGAGGTTGATAAGATAAAAATAGGATTAGGACTAGAGCAGATGGGAGTCCCATCTAGAAGAGAAGATGCCATTTCGCTTGCACTGAATGCCGTAAGTAGGCTGATAAAAAAGTACAAGATCAATCCTCTAGACGTTGGGAGGTTGGAGGTTGGCACGGAAAGCAATCCTGACGGATCCAAATCCATTAAGTCGTATCTCACGGATCTGTTTCCAGGAAATACTTCCATATGTGGCTGTGACAGCGTGCATGCTTGCTACAGCGGAACAAATGCATTGCTGAATGCGGTTGCATGGATGGAATCGCCTTTGTGGGACGGAAGACTGGCGATTGTTGTTGCCACTGATGTAGCAATGTATAAAGACAAGAACTGCCAGCCAACTGGCGGGGCCGGTGCAGTTGCGATTCTGCTGGGCCCAAACTGCATCTACAGAATTGTTCCATCGAGCATCATCCATTACTTTACAAACCAGTTTGACTTTATGAAGCCCAAGGGCCTCCATCCATTCCCGATTGTCAAAGGAAAAGAGTCAATAGAAAACTACAGGACTGCATTTGAAGTATGCTATGAGGAATTCAAGAAGAAAGTAGGTGGCATGGAGACATTTGATTATATTGCACTCCATTCTCCATATACAAGGCTTCCAGAAAAGATATGTGTCGCAAACCACATAGACAGAAAGAAGTTTTTAAAGTCTTTAGAAGCATCGAGGAAAAACGGGAATGCATACTCAGCCTCTTTATATCTGTCGCTGATCTCTCTGCTTGATGGGCATGATGGGGAAATTGGAGAGAAAATCCTTCTATTCTCATATGGATCTGGGACATCCAGCTCGATGTTTTGTCTGGAAAGGGTTTCAAAAGGGTGCATGGTCACCGGATTTAAAGAAAGGCTGTCTGAAAGAAAAAAGATATCGTACCAGGAGTTTATAAAGCTTGTCGAGGATCCTGTGCCACAGGACAACTACGAGCCCCAAGAGAAAGTATATTCTCCTGGATACTATCTAAAGAGGATAGACTCTTTTGGAAGATATTATGAGTGCTTAACGGAATAAATTCTTTTCCTCGGGCAAGCTCTAAACGGTGTTATTATTTTATATGGAAAACCCTCATGTCACTGAAAGACCAGCTATTGAAGCTCAAGAAATGCAGAAGGGCCATCCATTCGGGACATAAGGGAAGAGTGAGATTTGGAGACACAGAGGATATGGATGATGAGATGATTCTTGATCTTGTTCCGATTCAGACTCCATACACGGGGGCTAGGAGCCTATCTTTTGATCGACAGAGGCAAACGGAGGAAAAGGAAGAAAGATTTAACAGGAAGTTTTCGAAATTCCTAAAGGAACTAGTGAGGCATGGAAACACGAACGACATCGAATACTTGTTCGACTATCTTGTGAGGAGATACCAATGTGACACATTCAACTCAAAAGAGATGATTTTTTTCCTGCTTCCATTCACAAAATACTACGAGCATGTTTTGCACCTGAGCAGAATATCCGACTTCAACTACTTTTCTGTGCAGCCGACATACTCATACCAATTCATCGGAAATCTCTGCCTGAGGGAAAAGTACTTTTTCGACTTTTTTGTGGAGTACTTTGAGCACTTCAAGTACATACGGGAGTTCTGCCTTAATGTGCTTGGATATGTAATCTCCGGGATGAAAAATGCAGACAAGGATTTTTCGATGCAATTCTTTGAGATAATATCTCACCTAGTTAGGTTAGAGGAAAATGATACAGCGGTAAAAGTCTTTTTTGATATAAGAGACCATGTTGAAGAAGTCATTGATGAGTTTGTTGAGTTACTCGAGCCGCATTTCAGTAAGGAATATCTCATATCAAGAAGGCCCAAAAATGTGGAACATAAGATAAGCATTCCGCGCGAGGAAGCTGTACTTTTCAGAAATATGTATGACAGCGAGGATGACAGAAGGATTCTGGGAGATAGTAGTAGATACAAGAACTACGTTATATGGTTGCATAGAGAAGGTCTGGCCTTGAAGTCGTTCAGTGAACCGGAATTCGAAGCCTTGAAAGTTCTGTGTGGAATTGAAGATAAAAGGATCGATGGAGACATCTCTATCTATGCTAATCTGTTCAAGGAGTTGAGAGACAGGAGAGGGCTTATTGAGCTATTGAACTATAGCTTTCGCGAGGACATTCTCGCACTTACTCCGTACATGGGGGATGATGACAAGGCATATCTATCACAGCTGTCACCACGGTTATGGGAAAGTGTGATAACCGAGAACAACTATGCTATGGTTCTGACGAACATGCCAAGAAGAGCCATCAAAGAGGATTTAAGGAAGATTATGAAAGTTTGCTTAGGATATGTAAAGTACGAAGGATCTGTGTTTACGGAGTACCTGGATGAGAATGTACTTTTTGCGCTAATGGAAGAGTGCCTAGAGGATATCCCTGCAAAAAATATTATCGACACAGCCAGGTTTATGGGCATAGATTTAACATCCATAATTGTTGAGAAGGGATTTTATACCAATCCAATATATCTGAACCATCTCTCTGAAGAGCCAAGAAGCTTGAAAGTAGAAATGAGTAGAAAGATATTCGAAGACATTATGAAACTCCCTTCAAAAGCATGTATAGATGCACTGTGTAGATATGTGCGTCAAATAGATGACAGAAAGCTTATAAATGATGTCTTGGGATGTCTAATAGAGAAAGGATTCTCCAATCCATCATTCTACTCTGCGCTGGCATCCCACATAGAAGTACTGAGTGAGGAAAACTGCGAAAGGATTTTAGATCTAAGGGGATTCTCAAAGGAAAATCATTGCATTGTGGATAGGCTGTACAGGTATCGGGAAAGTGTGGCTGCTGAATGTCTTGCAGAAAAACATTACGATGCCCTCCTGTTTTTATGTAAAGGATACGGGTTCTCTAAAGTTCTTGGAAATAGAAGTGATGAGAATATGATAGACTTCATTGAGGTGCTGTCGAAGCAGAATTTACCTCTAGAGGAAGCGGAGGAGTTCATCCGCTATTCTTTCTCTCTGATCAAATTTGGAGGAGAGAGAATAGTCAAAGCATTGTTTCAAGATAGATATGTCCCACACCTTATCAAGTGCAGCATGCTGAGGGAGTGGAAAACGATAAAAGCCATGGCAATCGAGTTGATTGTCGAACACAATCAGCACAGGCAATTCTGCTTTGATTACTTCCTTGATAACTACCATGACTTCAAGAACGATTTTGACCTTCTGGACGTGATTGCAAGAGACGGAATTACCATAGATTATGGGAAGCTTTTAGAAGTCCTGAAGGGCTCTGAGAGTTATTTCAAAAGTAGTTTTTCGGACATTCTTTTGAGAAACCTTTCATTCGATTCCCTGAGATTTGTACCTGTGATTGTTCCAAGCATGATAGAGCACAAGAAGGAATCTGTTAGAATACTCTTTAAGGAGCATGGGAACATCATGAGTCCTTATGTTAAAGACATTCTTCTAAAATTCCCGGAGATAGAAGAATGTATGTTTGAGATCGATTCTCGGCATCTTCTTATAGGATCCATAAAGGCATACACAGACGCACCGAACGATCATCATCTTGACTTCATGTGTAGGGCACTTGATTTATCAGACACATCGTTATCTTTGCCTATACTTAAGAGAGTTGCGGGGTTCCTTGACGCAAATGTCTCAAGAGTAAAAGATAAACTCTTTACAAAGTTCTTCGGAACCTATCTAAAAGCATGTCCTGAGGCAGACGAAAGCATCCGGTCTCTTTTAAAGACACTCTATGAAAGTAATAGAGACGTCTTTTTCGAGGTATCTAAGGTATCTCTTCCCCTGTGCTACAAAATCTTCAGGCCATATGCAGACTTTATGATCGGAATGGTCAAAGAAAAAGACAGAAATGCAATAACGTTTATAACTGAATATTTACATTGGGATCTGGAATATTGTATTCCTCACCGAAAATTGTTCGAGATGCTTTTTGGGTTCTATTGTAACGAGCCCGACATTCTGTATGCAAAATGCATCAGTAGTATTCTCAGACACAATCCAAAAGAAATTGAAGATGCTAACGACCTAATACTCAGTAAGATGAAAGGAGACAAGGCTGTCATGATTTTGGAGCTACTTCAGGTATTATACCAGAAGGTGCACCACTTTAAGAAATGCCTTGTAAAAAGCTCGCCATACTTTGCTTTGGTTGTGGACAGCACAAGAAAAGATATCTCAAGCGCTGCTAGGAAGTTGCTTAATATAATTGAAAGAAAGCACAATAAGGGTGGATATCAACTACTCCAACTATAATTTTCGGCCTCACCTCCAAATGGTGACTGCAGGGAACAGATGATTCCAAGCAACTGATTTAATAATAAATCAAAGGTACTAGCCTCTATTTTTCTCCACAAGCGAGATCTTATATCCCAGTGCGGTTGTTCCAACCATGCCCGACATCACGATATCATATGTTATTTTTGAGTAGAATTCATTTATATTCTCGTTTTTCTCAATTGGCTTTTCTGTTTCCTTGATGCCTACCTTCATTGCCTTTCTCTTGACCAAGGCCTTATTTTCAACAGTCATCACCATTGCTTTGTAGAAATGTCTGATCTCATATCTTCTTTGGTTTACCTCAAGAAGAAGAACAGGAGTGTTCCGGAAGTAAAAGTCTAGATAGGAGTATGCCAAAGCCTCATGGGTACATCCTTGCAGAAGAACCTCATTATAAAATAGTTTCCTGACGGAGGAGTTGTTCTTTCTACAGCATCTGGGGAGGTCTGAATCATTTATGAGGAGAAAAAAGTCGGAGAGAAGCAATCCCCCCTTTCTTGGTCGGGGTGAAAGATCCAGCATCGTTTTGAACTCACAATTGTGGCATGACCAGCAGTCTATCAGCTCCTCCCATCCCTCTTGAGGTAGTCTGTTCAACGACTTATGAATCACTTCATTTCCATGCAAACATCTAAATGCATTTGGAAGTGTACTTTCTTCCTCAAGATCTTCCGACCACAAGAGGCTGTTTTCTGATACATTGACAGCAGCAACCTTCACCCTCTCTTGGCTCTCCATATAAAGAAAGTCAAGGTCCATATGGTCCTTGAATGTGTTCAAGACTTCGTCATTCATTAGATACAAAAAACCTTTTCTAGTGTCTGGTGGTAGTTCCAGCATCCATGGGCAGAGGTAAAAAATTGCTTTATTAATGTGAAAAGATGCGTCACTCGAAAGTCTTTTGGTAATACAAGCCCTCTTCGTCAAATGCTTTTCCAATTATTTCCTTAAGCTCCTCAGCCTCTCTTTTCATCTCGTCATATTTCCTTGCAGGCCTGCCCACAGAATCTAAGGCCCCTTTTTCATATATTTCATCATTTCTCTTGAGATCTCCGGATACTCTCGGGACTATGTGGATGTGAACATGGAATACTGTCTGCCCGGCACAGGGTCCATCCTGGACACCCAGTGTAAATCCATCACACAAGCCTTTGAGTCCTTTCATCGCAATCCTTGCAGTGTTGAACAAGTCGAATGTCTCCTCACTTGTCAATTCGTATATCCTTTGCTTCTTGGATATGGGAGATACCAGTATGTGTAAGGGGAGGAACGGCCTAAGGTTTGTGAAAACAAATGAATGCCGTGTTCTCACTATCACGTGGTCATAAGGAATTGTGTTGTCTCCGAATTCCATTTGCCAGGGTAATAAGGGACACAAAAATCCTCAAAGCTTGGATGTCTGTTTTATAGGCACATAAGACGAGTAGCAACAAGCAAAAGAATAGACTTGTAACAAAAGCAAAATCTCTGGGCGCCACCGAGAATCGAACTCGGGTCACATGCACCCGAAGCACGTATCGTACCACTGGACCATGGCGCCTCTCACCTTAAAGTTCATTCCAGCCAATCACCTTTGAAACCTATAATCCAACCCTGCATAAACTAGTAAGAATATTTTATTATTAAAACTAATCGCTAAATGTATATGAATTTCGATATTCTATTTTTTGAGCTTTCATCTCTCTTTCTAATATATTTACAATTTCAACTCTTCTATCATGTTTCTTCTTGATATCTTGGAAGTTGGTCTGATGTTGAATGGCAAAAACAATTTTGACATTGTCTCCTTCCGCCTTAAATTCCCGAATATAAATTTCTCCAGAAAATGACTTTGTGGACTCGGAAATTGCCTTTGTAATTCCGTCCTTGAGCTTAAGAGCTGTATCAAACGAGGTCATCTTGCTCACCAGAATCCCAACCTCCGAGAACTGCTTTCCTGATCTCCTTATGTTATGGATTTTTGTCCTGAATAGGGTAGACGTCGGTATAAACACCTGTCTTCCATTCACTCCGGTAAATGTTGAAGACAACAGATCAACAGAGGACACATAAAGCTCCTCTCCATCTATCACAACTCTATCTCCACAATCGTAAGGATGATTTACCAGAAGAAATATAAAGCAGTTGTATATCTCCTTGATAGTATCGGAAAATATCCAACTGAAAGTGACTATAGATGGAAGGATAGTTGCAAGTATTCCCGAGTAGTTAATTCCTAAAAGAATCATTACTAGTATAGCTCCAAAGTACATGGCAATTGCAACCAATATTATGTCCAGCTTGTTGATGACAATGTCCCTAGACTGAAGCGTTCTTGATATATCCGTTCTCTCCTTATACAAAGCAACAGCCTTGGCCTTAAGGTCTTCAAATGTTATTGGAGGAGGGTTGTTCTTTTCCTTAGTTTCCGAACTTTCTGCTAGGTATGCATACACCTCATCGTGGTTGTCTGGAAAGAATTTCTCCAGGTCCTGATATATAATCGATCGAACCTCCAGAAACCCAAATATAGACTCTGCAACGGTCTCTGCACCCTTCATCGAATTCAGTTTCAGGTCGTTATACTTCAGGTAGAATCCTGGATCAAACTCCGGCTGAATAGTCTCTGCAAGCTCCTTTCTCTCACTAGGACTTGCTTCTGAGATCGCCGCTAGTTTTTTGAATACAAACGTTTTATAATTAATATCCCATATTCTGTTTCTGTACTCCTTCCTCCTTATCTCGGAAATCATAAAGCACATGAAAAACTTCTCTATAAACACCACAGATATAAATACCGAGTACATAAGTATCATGGTAATGATTTTGTACTTATAGCTCCCGTCATTTTGCCCGAAGCTATACGGCTGAGAGGTGATAGACGCAGAAAAAAAGACTAGAAGTGCTATGAGAGATTGCTTCCAGCACCAGGATGTTGAATTTATCACCTGGATAATCTCTATAGCGTATTCGTCAAGCTCGTAGTTGAAGAGGTTTAGAACCCAAATTATGATATAAAGAATATTGCTGGCGAATAAAGAGACTGCCACGTAGATAACATAGCACATTGATATGAAGAGGTTAATCCGAAAGAACAAGTATGTCGGACCCGTCCCTGTATTCTGAATAACCTGAACTGGAAGGTATATTGCATCTTCTCCATTCTCTAGGAATGCAAGAATTATAGGAAACATCATGAATAAAATCACCACAATGGTTATCTCTATGAGCCTTCGGGCAGTTTCAGGAATATAGCTGAATCTGCTATGCAGATAACTATCTATGTTCCAAAACGAAAGCTCCTCCTCTTCAAATACTTTCGCTTTTGTAAACATTATCTCCTCCTGAGGCTCAACAGGAGGGGCGTCTACAGCATTGTTGGCAATGATATCATCAATTACGCCGTCATCTTTCTTCTCTTCTTTTTTCTTTTCCCCTTCCACCTTTTCTTCCTGTGACGATTCCTTCTTCTCTTCTTCCTTTCCGTCTTTACTGCCCTCCTTCTTCTCTTCTTGTGGTACTTCCTTTTTTGGGTCAGTACCTCCTGGTGGCATTACAGCTGAGTTCTAATCCAAGTAAATACTTTCAACATCTGCAAGCTCTGACATACTGATACTTGTGTCTGATGTGGTTTCATTTCTGTTTTAGCTTTCTCAGTTTTTGTAAAGAAATAACCATCTCTGTCCACTCAACACTTTTCAAGAATCAAAGATTTGTGGATTGCAGGAATACTTCTAGACGTTCATGGTTTAATAAGTCATATGCATTGCTATCTTCTATTGCTTCTTTTTTCTTCTTTGAGAATCTCCTGTGCAGATTCAATGGCCTCCTCAATCTTCCTGTACGTCGATTTGAAGTCCTTTTTTATGTGCCCGAACTCCTCTAGGCTTTTCTTTAGTGCAAACTCAACTCTCTGGAGTTGCTCAATGTCGTACTGGGTCACAAGTGTGATGGCGGTTCCAGACCTCCCTGCCCTTGCTGTCCTTCCAACACGATGGACATAATCCTTTCCACTCTTCGGAACATCAAAGTTTATTACAAGATCTACATGACTTATGTCCAATCCTCTACTTCCAACATCGGTGCAAACAAGAATGCTGAACTTGTTCTCCTTGAACATTCTCATGGTCTCCTCCCTTTTCTCCTGAATAAGCTCTCCATGCAATGCTTCTGAGTGAAATCCAAGCCTACTTAGTGCTAGAGACATTACTCGGGCAGTTACACACATAGACACAAACACAATCACAGATACTCCCGGATTCATTTCAAGCAACTCAACCAGTGCAGAATTCTTCCATTTCATGGCTATAAATAGGTAGTACTCCTTCAGAGTAGGAACAGTTTCATACTTCTCTACAACACGGATGGTCTTGGGACTTCTTAATATCGAATTGGACAGCTTGGATATCTCGTCGGACATTGTTGCCGTAAAAAGGAGAGTCTGTCTTTTCTCTCTTAGACTTCGAATAATCGTTTCCAAGTCTTCTACAAAGTCCTGCTCAAAAAATCTATCCGCCTCGTCAAGAACAAGCTTTCTTACTCTTTCTATTTTGAATGACTTTGTTTTCAGAATGTGCTCGGCAATTCTCCCCGGCGTCCCAACAATAACATGCGGATGCTTAGAAAGTTGGTTCGCCTGAACATTGAAGCTAGTTCCACCCACCAGCAGGCAGACCCGGAGCCCTGTATTTTCAAACATGCTAAAGCACTCGGCTATTTGGGAGGATAGCTCTCTTGTAGGTGCAATAACTAGGCAATAAAAGGATCTGTTTTTCGACAATAGACATGAAACTATCGGGAGAACAAATGCAAGGGTCTTCCCAGATCCAGTTTGGGAAACCGCAATGATATCACTTCCACCAACAATCGCAGGAATCACCTGCTCTTGGATTTCTGTGGGCTCTGCAATGCCATTCTCTTCACATACCTCTATCAAAGACTTATCAACTCTGAGCTCGTCAAATTTCATTTCAGACTATAGAATCAAGGCTACAGTTTGCAAAAATTTTATTTTCAAGTGCGGCAGGGCCCTTTTCTAGGCAAACATGTGTCAGAAAAAACCCTCTTCGTTCTTTTCCTCCGTAAGCTCGTCTTCATCTTCATAGAAATTATCCACATAGTCATTTTCAATTTCGCCGCTATTCTCAATCTCTTCTGACACGGTAATCTCCTCTTCAGCCGAGCTTTCAATCTCTCCAATGTCCTCCATCTTCTTTTCTCTCCTTTCTCCAAATATTCTTGAAATCTCCGGCGGCATCAGCTCTCCATCCACTATCTCTTTTATCATGTCTTCAGAGAGGCGGCTTTTGAAATATCTGTCGGAGTATCTCTCAATCTCATTTTCAGTTTCCAAGTTTAGTGAATTCTGCCTTATGTGCTGCTTTATAATCTTTTCCCACTCAATAATTCGTTCGTGACTCAAATCGTGCTCAATCCTGAGGCTCTTCCACTCGCCACCCATGATCTGGGATTGCGAAGGTGGAATTTAATTCTCTTCGAGTGTGCCATGGCCGAGCTCAATTTAAACTTGAAGAACTCCTTGTCTTAACATAAATATGTCGCATAGAGAATCAATCAAGTTTAACAACAAACCCATTTAATTTTCTCAAGGCCAATACCCCGAAATGTCGGAAAATGAACGCATTGATGAAACAGACCGGAGAGACAGCACACTTAAAAACGGAGGGCGCACTGCTTATGTTCACACAAGAATAATTAAGAAACTAAAATCTATCAATAGCGATACTAAGTTCACCTTGTTATTTGGCATGCTTTATGGCCTACTTTCATACATAGATGCATTCCTATATATTCTAGGCGATATGGTCATGATGAATAGCCAAATACCTAGCTCAATATTATTCATAAAGTCTGTGTTGGTCTTACCGGTGACATTCTTTTTCATCGTTATTGTGCAGAAAGGGCTAAAATTCCTTAGCCAACCAAGAATGCTCGAAGTTATCCTTATCATCTTATCCATGTTTTTTTTATTTTTTGGGTTTGTGATTTGGCCCTATCGCGGGAGACTTCAACCGGACTTTTTCTGGTCAAGAGACATATTTAGTGATGGAAAAATGAAGGCTAGACATATGGACTTTTTCTTCCCAATATTCCTCGTCTTTAGCGAATGGTCCTCGACCATACTCTATCTTGTAGCAGAGCTGTGGGGGTCCTTAATAATTTCCTTCATGTTCTTCTCAAGAGCAATTCACCAGTGCACAGAGGCCCAAGTAAAGAAGTTTTTGCCCACAGTGTCTCTGATATCAGGGATTGTCATGCTGTCCTCGGGCTTGCTTACAAAGAGTCTAAACAGTTACAGGGACGGGCTTCCATATCACCTAAAGGAAAGGCTATTCTCTTACGTATTTGTTGCAACTTCAATGCTTACAGTAGTGACTGCAATGACAAGCTTCTTTATAGACAAGGTTACTACAAAAGAAGATTCGGACTACGAAGGCAAAAAGGTACAGAATGCCCGCAAGATGGGGTTTGTTAAATCATTAGGAATAATGAAGAGATCTAGGTTCCTTATGGCAATGACCGAAACGGTGGTGGCATCTTCTGTATGTTCCAACATATTTGAAGCAACGTACAGAGGAGGAATAATACTTGGGGCAGCACAAGCATCTTCGCCTAGGTCCTCATACATGAACAAACTAAATGCCATGGCACAGATAATAACTTCTGTCTTTCTGCTTGTGATGTTCTTTAGGCCAGCAACTCATCTTATAGAGAGAAGAGGGTGGATTTCGGTGGCAATAGTTGCACCTGCCGTCGCCATTATCGCATTACTCTTATTTTTCCCTATGGTCTTCTTCAACAACATCGCCGAGGACGATCAAGTTCTTCCCAGAGAAGGGTATATGGGAAGTTTTGTCCTTGAAAACTATGCTGGGATGTTTTTGACAACGGTCATAAGAATATCCAAGTACTGCTTCTTCGACGTTGCAAAGGAAGCAGCTTCCATAAGAGTAAGCCCCATTCACAGGCATTCCTTCAGAGGAATACATGACGGACTGGGAATAAACATTGGAAAGACAATAGGCTCTGTATATTGCACCCTAATAACAGTTGTCTTTGATGTCAGGGATGTTAGAAACATGGTTTCTATATCTACTGTGTTTGTAGGTGTGTTTTGTATAATATGGATAAGATCTGTTTTTTACATAAGCAGAAAGTACAGAGAATCTATTGAAAGAAATGACTTCATTAATGTAGAACTGGCAGAATGCCGAGACAATCAATAAATTGCAGTTTATGGCTGATATATCGAGCAAGATGTCCTGTTTGAATCTGCTTTCCAGGCGTCTTTCCAAGGCTTTCGCCCTAAATTCGCGGAACGAGGCACCCCCAGAATGCCTGAGACTATTGTTGTATTGTTTGATAATGGAATGGCTTCTCAGAATCAAGACTATCTCCCAAGTAGGTTTATGGTGCAAAAGGAAACGGTGGAGTCTCTTATATCAAGAAAGTTCGAAGACAACCAGGAAAATACAGTAGGAATAATTCCTCTAGTTCAAGCACAGTCCAATGATATAATCACGCCAACAAAGCAGAGGTCCTACATAAAGACCTTCCTCAACGAAATAAAGCTGGAAAGAAATGGAGACATTATGAGGTGTCTTTCTCAGTCCCTTTATATTTTCAACCAGAAGGATTCTCCAGGATGCATGCTAGTGATTTTTCTTGGCTCTGAACCTCAGGAAACAGAAAAAGATGAACTGTTTGCAAGGATATATCAACTTCTAACATTCGGGATCATGGTAAAGATGGTTTTCTTTGGCGAGGCTATGGAAATGGCAGAAGCTTACAAAAAGATCGACTTCACAAATTTCTCATGTATAGTGGTTAATCCTAACGAGGAGTTTGTCGATCGGGTCTTGCCGTTTGTAACCGGAGGTGAGCTTCTCGAGGAAGACGACCCGGAATTGGCAGAGGCCATCAGGCTGTCCCTTGAGGAACAGAAGAAGCAGCAAAAATAAACTCTTTTGATATGGAAGAAAACAGCCATTAGACTTTAATATTACCTTGAAGGCTTCTCCTTCTTCCCTGTAAATATAGCGTGCAGAGACACGTTTTGCACCTTGCATACTTTGAATCTAATTCCAGGAATATCTCCAAAACTTCTCCCCTTCTTACCAAATCCTTCTACAGTCACTTCGTCATTGCTCTCAATGTATGTGACTGACCCGTCATAAGGGACAAATGCAGTTATCCTCTTTCCAGTTGCAATTAGCTGGCATCTAACAGCCTTTCTTATGGCAGAGTTTGGCTGTTTGGCCTCCACACCAATTTTCTCCAATACGATTGCCTTTGCCTGAGGAGCCCTTCCGAGTACACTGTGCTTGTATTTTGTTCCAAGTGCCCGCTTCCTGTAGGTGGTGTCTGCCAATCTCTTGGCCTTCCTGCTCTTTATCAGATTGTTGGCAGAAAACAGCCCTGACATGTGGGGGACACCATTTGTTTTTTTCTAATGCAAGGTGATAAAATTTTTCTATAGTCCATAGCTATGGACACAGAGGTCTACCAAACAAAGGGCCCAGGAAAAGATTTCAATGCCACAGACGTGATAAACAAGACATATGCCAACTCCACCGAGTATGATCTGAACGATGCATTAATATTTCTGACAAAGGTGATAAATAAAACAAAGGTCAAAAACAAGCAGCTCGTAAAGCAGCACTTCGGGAAATTTGTGCAGTGCAGAGCGGTTCTGGAGGAGATTTGGATAGACATCAAACAAAAGGGATATGACAAAGAGTTTACCTCTGATCTCGAAAGCAATATTAAGGTGATTGAGGAGAAGTTCAGAGCCATTACCTCTGGAATATCTGATGATAATAGGGGCGAGGTTAGCGAGGGCAGGAGAGAGTACTACATCAAGAAATATGGCCTTCTGTTCAATGTGAAATCCAGCCTAAGAATAAACATCCACAATCTTGAGCGGTTTGTCGATATATACAGGGGTGCAATGAAGATGTATGAAGAGTTAAAGAACTCTGCATATGTGCAAAAGATCTGGAATTCCATCCACGATGAAAGGTGCGAGTTCCTGGAAATCCTATATAAAAACATCCAAAGGCCTAGATGCTCTTTCCATGAGGCACTCTATTACTTTGATCTATACTTTCAGGTTTGCGAGCATAAGTCTGAGCATAAGATTATGAATACTCTGCTAGTCAATTTTAAAGAAAATAGCGTAAAAAGCTTGGAGTTGTCTTACCTAAATGAGCAGGAATGCCTGAAAGAAATAACTAGGCATTACCTGAAGATCATGGGGAGAGTCAATGGGAAAATCCAAATCCAGGGAACCAATCATTACTTTCAATGCATTGAGAAGATTCTGTATGGAAAGGGACTACTCTTTGCTAAGATCTGGATAAGGAAACTAAAGCAAAATATCAAGATCGTTCAATTTTGCACTGACGCAAAAATGGCCTATCTCTCCTATCTCAAAAATGTAAAAACTAGGGTGATTGATAACGAGTTCGGGAAGATACCTGCAGTGACAATAGATACATTTGAAAATGCGATGAGGCATTTGGAGAATATCTTCTGCTCTTTTACCGATATTACCTCTAAAGAAGAAAAGAGCTATCTTAAGAACAAGGCTTTAGAATATGTAGGCAGGTGCTATGAATCAGTGGAACTAAGGAAATTCTCTGACCTCGAGACCGTGATAAAAAGTATCTATGGAATAAGGCATCTGTTGGGGTCGCCTGAGTCTGAAGATGTTAAAGACCTATACAAAATGATAAACAACTACATGGAAAACCATGCCACAAAAGTAGTTGGAGTTGTAAAAGAAATGATCGAAAGAAGAGCACCCGATGAGCAAGTTCTCATGGAAATTGTAAGAATCATAGAGGAGATGCCAATGGAGTATTTGCGCATAATAAAACGCATGAGGCCATTGCTAGAAGGCCGCCCTGTAGTTATCCATTACTTATCTAACATCCTCGGAACTGAACCGCCAAGAGTATCCAATGACCTTAGAAAGAAAATAGACGGGATTCGTGATCAATTCGAGTTTTTATTAGACACTTAGTCTTCGCTTTTGTCTAGCTTCTGAAAGACCATGATTTCATAGGTTCCAACAACTTCCGCCTCTTCTTTCCCCAGCCGTCTAACTCTCATCCGTCTAAGTAGTTCTTGGTTCCTTTTGCTTTCTTCCTCAAAAAAGTCAATAAACCCTTTCCTTTCAACCAGCACAATCCCAAGCTTCTTAAACCCATCAATCATCTTTATGAAATCAACAAGGTACTCCACGCAGTTGTTTACGGAATCCACCAGTGTGAATCGATATTCTCTGATGCTTTCAATTGGATCATTCTCCTCCTTATCAATTTCTATTTTATAGAAGTCGTTTGACATTCTGCCTTGCCTGTATCTATCAAGGATAACTTCCTTGGAAGGAACTGTTATGATAAAATACCCCCTGGGCTTCAAATGCTCCGCAACGTTTCTCAAAGAAATGTCCAAGGACTCATCGCTCGAAAAGGCATAATGAAAGCTAAACTGTGAAGACACTATTTCGAACATTTTCCCAAGTGAAATGTGCTGATTATATACATCCTGTGCCTTAAATGAAACCTTGAACCTTCTCTTCATATTTTCTGCTCTGGCACAGGCATCTCTTATAGACACTTCTGCAATGTCAATCCCATAGTACTCGTCGATCCCTGCTCTTTCATATTTCAATAGATCTCCTCCCTTACCGCATCCAAGATCTAAAACAGAATCTCCTTTCTTTGTATACAATCTTATAAGGCAAGCCTTAATGAAATTATTTGCGTTCCTAATATTTATAGCCCTGCTTCTCTGCCTAACTTCTCTCCCTTTCTCTTTGATGCTGTTATAGTGCTTTCTGATCTCTTCTTTGTTATTCTCCATGGATCGGCGTTCTTTATGAAAAGTTTTAAAATGATCTGGCCTCGCAATGAGAAGCAAATCATTCAGTCATGAAGTTAATCTCTTGCACATCCTCTAGAAAACGAGTATACATGTCTTTTTTGCTCAGAAACATCATTAAAGGCCCGATCAAACATTTCTCTCCTCTTCATCATAGTGTCCCGGCTCAAGGATTCGATGGAGCTTATACTGGATCTAGACCCCGATGTCTTTTGCGATGCTTTTCCTTCTAAACTGTTGAAAGTCTTTAGAAGATCTTTGAAAGAAAACATCCTTTCGCTGCTTGAGACACTGAATGCCTTTGTATCATTTTTGGAGAATGATACCTCTTTATCAGCCTCTATTTTGCATTCATGCCGGTGTGATTGTGCCTCTCTGTCTGCTTTTATTATCTGGGCACTATCAAAGAAAATAACCTGGGTTTTACTTCTTGTGTGCCTTCTCAGTCCTCTAGTAGATCTTATGTTTGTTTCCTGACCCATATCTTTTGTAATATAGATGGAAATATTTAAAAACCAACAATAGCCAGGACTGTGGCTAGTCTCATAAAGTATAATAATAAAACATTTATTTCATTCGTGATGCTGCACACTTCTCGGCAATATCGTCAAAGATGAAGTCAGATTTCTTTTTTATGGGAATATGAACAGAGATATCCAACAGGTCCTTAAGATTTAAGACATTGGTGGAATATGCAACTTTTTCAAGTGGCATGAGATGCTCGGGGATGTAAGAAATCAAACAAAGCGTGTTCTTCTGAATTCCATCATTATCAAAGTGTATAAAATCGTATACTACAAGGCAAGGGTCCTTCTCGTTGATGCCTCCCAAAAACTCATCGAACGTTTCACGAAGCTCCTCTATGGTATATTTCCTCTTGTAGTCAAAATTCTTGGTCCTCCCTCCACTCTTGACTACAGAAAGCGATATGGGCTCCTTTATCGACAGATAAGCAATTGTGTAACGAAGGTTCCCGCTTCTTATCTCCGAGATTTCGCTCCTTATAAGGTCTAATCCAGGTATGCTCAAGTTCATTCGGAGGGGTTAATGTTTATAGGGATTAATGGTAAAACCTATACGTTCTGGAAACTTAATCTTGTATCGGGAATGCCCTACCGATGCCAAGAAAAGTGTCGAAAGAGCTTCAAGAATGCATGAGAGAGATAGAGAATGTCATAGAAAACAGCAAAACACCCAGAGAAAGAATTAACTCAAAGAAGAGGAAGATGGTGAAGCTTGGTGGCCATGTAAAGAAGCGCAGCGTTCCACTCAACCATATAATGAAAAGGATAGAAAAAAGAAAGGCAGATGCCATTGCCGAGAGGGAAAGACTGGAGTCTATGGGTGTTTTCAAGAAAAAGAAGAATCGTGATAGATAAGACTAAATGCAGGAGGCTTGTTTGCTCCAGGAGTCTTTGAAGGTTGAACACCACCCCTATCATGGCGGCTGAAATAATGTGGTTTCTAACCCCATTACTCAAAAAAGGCAAACCAATTACATGTCATCAGACTACCAGTAATATAGGTAGAAAAAAAATGAAGGCTTAACGAATTGGTATCTCCTTTAAGCTTCGTATAAAAAAAAAGAAGGAAGCAAGAAGCCAAATAATGAACAGCAAAACACATAAGTCTGGAAAAGTTGTTGTTGTAGGAGATGGGGCATGCGGGAAAACGTGTCTACTTGAAGTGTTTAGAAGAAACCAATTCCCCGAAACATATATCCCAACTGTTGTTGATAATTTTGTTAAAGAAGTAAAGATTGCTGATGACAAATATGTTTCTTTGGCCTTATGGGATACAGCAGGGCAGGAAGATTACGACACAATTAGGCCTCTTTCATACAAAGAAACGGATCTTGTTTTGCTGTGCTACACCATAGAGAATAAGAAGAAGATCCCGAACATTTCGAGAAAATGGCTAATGGAGATAAAGAACTATTGTCCCACATCACAGTTCTTTCTCGTTGGATTAAAAAAGGACATGAGAGATATGGATGACCCGACCATTGATAAATCTTCGATGGTCACAGAGGATGAAGGAAAGAAGATTGCAGACAACATCAGTGCAACCAGATTTTTTGAATGCTCCTCACGTACCAGAGAAAATGTGAATCTTGTATTCTTAGAGGCTGCAAAGCACATATGGGATACAAAGCAAGCAGTCTCTGAGTCTGGGCCATGTAGCCTCTTCTCATGCATGAGCTGCTGCCGCTATGGATAGACCAGAGTAAGTGTTTCGTAGAATTAAATATCTTTTAGTACTCCCGCCTAGGACTTTAGCAACATAAATAGCCATCAAAGTTTATTGGAATTCCAAGGGACATCAATACTTTTTTAATCACAGCCTCGCCATCCGCTCCCTCATCTGTAAATTTATCAGTGCATGCAGACAGAAATGATGCAGAAACTGCAGCAGCCATTGATAGAATCTCCTTTGCGCCTTTTGTACACCTGATGTTGGTCTTTGAAATTATCTCATCAGCCAAAGTATCTAAAAGCCTCAATCTTTCTGGACCTGCCATTAAGGGCGCTGATGATTTCGATCTTTTGAGGAAAAAAAAGTATGATGAAATTAGTTCGTCATTTAATGAACTCAAATTGATTAATATACTCAGGAGCCTCTTCGTCAGACAGCTCTTCATGAGAAATGGCTGGGGGATCAATCTTGTCGATCAGAGTAGAGTTTTCCTTGCAAATGGAATCATTGCCTTTGGAATTCACCATCCCACACCAATTTTCGTAGGCACTTTTGATAATATTTACGGTGAACTCCTTATTCATGTACTTTCCATCCAGAGCAAAACTGTTTTTGGGTTTTCCATCGGGAACCTTATAGTTTTCAAACCAAGTGATTGTCTGTTCAAGTAACCCGCCATAGACCTTCCGAACATCCTCGATGTCATTAATCTCTTTAGCCTTCTCGTCATTGACATCAATAACTACTATCTTCCAATCGCATTCATCTTCATCAACCAATGCAATGCTTCCAAGAACCTTTGCCTGGTAGACCTCTCCAATATCTTTTCTCTTCGTTCCTATCTCAATCACATCCAGGGGATCATTGTCGCCTTTTGCCCCAACATGCTTGTCAACTTCATGAGGATTCTCCCATGTTTGTGGCAAGGCGCCGTAATTCCACAAGTATCCCTTCATAGGAAAGACATTCTTTACAAACCTTGGCCATCCGTTCTTAGAATCCTGCTTTATTGGATTAAATCTCTCCTCCTTATTGATTTCAAACTTCCCATTTTCGAACCTTGGAATCTCATTGACCACAGACACAACATCCTTGTTCTCCGACATGTATAGGGGAATGTCGTGGAATGGAGAAACAATCTTTCCATTCTGTGCTACATATACCTTAAATGAGGGTGAATACTTCTTTCCCACCCTTATTGTTGAATAGCTCACCATTTGTGGGCTAAGGTCACAAACATTTTTAAATAATATTTGAAACACAATTGATAATAGCACAATAACTTGTCATCCAAAACACTCTCCTCATGATATCATTGCATCCAGTCTGGCCTATATCGTGGTTGGTAATTCATTGAAAGTGAAATCTTTAGCTGGTTCTTGCTTCTCATAATGGCTTTCTTGTCCTCCTTTATTGGATTCTTCATTAGGACAATCCTGCTTGCCCCTTCAGATCTCTGTATGGGCTCTTCCTCCCTAGGCTTAGCGCGAGCTCTTCCCTGAATGACTTTTCCATTTTCCAGTATGAGATTCACCCCATCAGTCACTACATTTCTATGTTTCCCAGAAGAAATATGTCTCCGGAGGCAGCCATAGTCGCTGAAGGCTTCATAACATACATAGCAGACCCTGCTGTTGATATACGCAATTTCCTCGTCGGACAGCCCATGACTCTTATAATGAACTGCACTTTCTGGGAAGTCACAGAACAAGCACACTGATTCCGGAATGGAGGTCTCCCGCTTGGAAGAGCTTCTTTTTTTAGACCTTCTTTTGGAACTTCTTTCTCCGGCATCAAGACCATTAATCTCCAAAGACACATCGTCGCTCGGCTGGTCTGCATTGATTTCTTCGATTGTTATTGGTGGTGCGTTGTAGATCTGTCTCTTGACATTTATTTTGTGCACTTCAGAGGCGTAGTGGTCTCTGATGTTTCCATCCACTTCTACTTGGCATGCAGAGCACTTCATCCTAGGGCCAAAAAAGAACGATATATGATTCTAAAGAAATAGAAACTGTTGGGCAAGGCCATACGCCATTGGGCAGGCTACGCTTGAAGTATATTGTTTCAAGCAGACTACTGGGCTGTAAGACGTCAAAATCATGGCAGCCTATGAAAATAGCCTTATACAGCCTGAAATATGTTAGGATACATAACAGTCCCGTGAGGACAAACTTAATGCATATGCCTTTGTGCCCTTTGAATGGTGAGGCCTGGAGTCCAGCATAGAATAGACGAAATAAAAGAGGTGCTCAGTGAGATCAAGGAAAACATTAACAAGGAGCCATCAAACAGAATCAGGAAAGATTCTGTCCTGCTGGAGATATGCACTCCTGGGACCTGTGGGTACAATGGATGCATTAGATCTACAAAAAACAGAGAGTCCGAGCTTCTTGGAAGAATAGAGGAGTTGGAATCCGTAATAACAAAGCTGAACCAAGCCTCAAGCGGAGACGATAATGCAGGACAACCATGCATGGATGATTTCAATGTTATATTGCAAGAAAAAAACAATGAAATACAGAGACTAAGTGAGGAGCTCTCTAAGGCTGTGTCTACGAACGGGCATCTCCAAAAGATCAATTCTGAGATGCAATTCCATCTAAACAAGTACGAGGAGAGAACTAGCAAACTAGAGGAAATTGAGAAGGAGTGCTTGGAACACAAAGAAACCATATTGAGGCTTAGAAATGAAATAATGGTTCTCAAAGGCTCCATCCAGATAATTTGCCGAATAAGACCCAAAACACCAAGCCAGCTCGGATCAAGGATGGAAATTACAGACGGGGATCTAAGAATCAGTGCAGACAACAAAGAGCATGAGTTTTCATTTGATAAGGTGTTTGGTCCGAATGCAACTCAAAGCTGTATATATAGGGAGATAGAAACAACTCTTCGGTCTGTGTTAGAAGGGTATAGTGTATGTGTATTCGCATATGGACAAACCGGAAGTGGGAAGACATATACTATGGAGGGTTTTGATAGGGATCCGGGACTAATTATTCGGGCACTAAAAGACATATACAGTGCTATCGAAGAATTGAAAGGAGGCGGCTGGTCCTTGGACATCACGTGCAGCTATGTAGAGATATATAATGAAGACATAGTGGATCTGTTTTCTGAAGATATGAAAAAAGTCACAATTGTCCATAAGGATGCAAGCATAAGCATGAGCTGTACCAGTATGCCCATCCATAATGTGTTGGATGCCATTAGATTGTTTCAAACTGGGGCAAGGAGGAAGAGAGTTGGAAGCACAAACTGCAATGAGAAGTCAAGCAGAAGTCATGCTGTTTATATCCTAAAGATAAAAATGAATAACGAAGCATTGAAGCAGCAGAAGGAAGGTTCTATGGTTCTTGTAGACCTAGCAGGGTCAGAAAGATTAAGTGTCTCCAAGGCTGAGGGAATTAGACTAAAGGAGACACAAAGCATAAACAAAAGTCTATCGGCCTTGGGAGATGTCTTCAATTCCATTCTCAGAAAGGACAGTCACATTCCTTTTAGAAACTCAAAGCTTACACATCTCCTGCAAAACTTTTTATCTGGAAACTCCAGGACCATCATGCTTGTCAACATTTCACCAGATGCAGAGCACCTCAATGAAACTATATGCTCTCTTAGATTTGCAGATAAGGTTGGCCAATGCAAACTCGGCTCTGTAAGACGTAAAGTGACAAGTTTTGTCTCTGGATAACCGCAAGATAATCATCAACTTATTTTATTGTGACATAGAGTAAATGCTCAGCCAAGGCCATGACTTGCATAACTTTCATACTTACAAGACATAAGCGGGTTCCTCTGCTTTCTTAAGGAATTTATCTTTTGGCCTTTCCTAGGCTTGCAGTTGCAGAATGCTCCCCTTTCAGAATTACCGAGGGATTCCTCCTTGCTTTTGTGGTTGGCCAGCAAGAACTTTAGCTCTTCTTGGGGAAGCTCCTTGAGCCTTAAATACTCCTTCAAAACTTCATTCTGGAATTTCTTGTAGGGTATCATGGATTCGAAGTAGAAATGGGCTCTTGACGATGAGAAGTCAATGCTGCTATCGCATAAGTAGAATCTGTTTTGCTCCATGTCAAGAGCGTTGATTCTGTCCAGCATGTTTGACGCAACCCTTTCATAAGTTATTAAATAAGACTCTCTCAATATCTCTCTATCTTTGATGGCCGGACTACTCTTGAGGAATCCATTCCATAGCGTATTCCTCAGCCCGGCTTCCTTAGATATCATGGTTTTGACTCTATGAGAAAACTGAGTAGGAGATTCATCCTTCATTATGCTTACAGGCTTCATCCACACAACCTCCGCTTCAAGTCTCCACCTAGTCATGAGATAGAATATATGCATGGCAAACCCGTGGCATCTTCTATTCCAGTAGGGGTCAAACAACCTTCTTCTAAACCTTATGGCTACTGGGCATATCGTCACTCCAAGCTCAAAAGCTCCCTTCTGAAAAAGTACAGAAAACTTGTTATTTACACATGTCCCCTCTGGAAAAATTAGCATAGGTGCTCCACCGGAACGCACATGTTCTTTGACCTTTTCTACGACAAGCTGTCTATCAACCTTCTCACTCCTTTTGAACGCAATAGACCCGTTCCTTATCAAAATCGATTTGAACAAAAGCCCAAACAGCCCGCCATGCCTTTCAGAAACGCAGGCATGAGGAAACTTATAGCTGCTGAGAAGAAAGAAGTCCACAAATGATGTATGGTTTGAAACATATACATGCGGCTCTCTACGCCTCTTCTTTTCTCCCATATGGTTTATTCTTGCATTCATCACAAGCATCAGAGATTTGGCCCCAAACATTAATGCATCTTCTAGATGTTTATTCTTCTTGGTAAGTGTTGCTCTGAGTATCATCAGTAGGAAAATTGCCATGCACAGAGCAAGGAGTATCATTCTTATCGGAAACAGAACAAAATATCTTATTACAAAGGAGAATGTGTAGAATATCCCGCTTGAATCCATTTCTATTGGAGACGCGGGCAGAAAGCATCTTGTAAAGTCGTCGTTTTCAAGCGTGTGACTGCCCATAGACACCATGTCTATTGCATCGTGTAAAAATGTTCTTTTTCTCGATATCACTTCCTTCATTTTTAGGCCCATTTATTTATTTTTTATAGATCTGATTACCTCCAAAATAAACACCATAATGTTAATTCATGTTTCTATGCACTACATTCTTTTAAGGCCTTGTAGCCCAGAAGAAATACAAAAAATTGGATTATGATAAAAAAAGCAAAACAAACAAGAAATGCTGCTACCATTAGAAAAGCCGTGATGCAGAGAATTAGAAGCGTTATTTTTATCGGGAGCAAAATGAAATATCTTACTATAAGCAAGAGGATAGACAATATCAAGGATGGATTCCTTTCCTCTGGAAATGTTGCCCGGAACCATAAGTCTTCATCATCACGCTCACGGTTCCTTATCGACGCAATATCTATTATATCGCATAAAAATGCTACTTTTCTCCATATCGTTTCTTTCATACTTAGGCCAATTTATTTATTATTTTTTATAAGTCCGGTATCTTCAGAGTAGATACTATGATAATTCAAGTCAAAGTATTTATACCTCATATTTCTATGCATGACACTCTTTCAAGTACAAAGATCTGTAGTACAGAAGCAGTACAGAAGGCTGGCCGATGACACAAAAAGCACCCCAGAAAAAGAAGTTTCCCAGACCAGGAAATCGCTTTCTAAATGACTCTGTGACATGAATAAGAGGAACCTGGAGAAGCATTGTTATAAAAAACCATCCCGTGACCTTTTTTATCGAGATGGATGCAACGTATTCATGGATCAGCCCAGATATCGTGAATACAATCACGCCAGCCCTCTCTTTGGGCATTCCCCTAATGACCAGTGGAGCGTATATATGTCTTTTGAACCACAGATACACAGGTCTGTTCCATAGGGCCCAGAACTCCCTTGCAGAAGATGCATTCCACCACTCTTGATAGAAACACGAGTCATAGAATAATGTTATATCTGCAACGGCGTCCAGAAAACAATAAAAAACAGTGTAGAAAAATATCAGAAATAGAATTATGGTACTTATCGAAAAGTTGATTATGTTTTCAATCACAACAGTGATGTCCTCGAAATCAACAATTCGATATATACTAGGTATTGCATACTGATCCATGACAAGAACAAAGAGAAGAAAGCCCATCAGAAGCTGGATGGCCTTCAAGAAAATGCCTTTAATGCTTCTTTTAGCTCTCATGGGAAAGTCCAATTGAAAACAAAGAGTGGGAACAACCAGAAAGTACAGAAAGTGCCTGATCTTCAATCCCCTTGTTATATTGACTTTCTTGTCCTTCCTGAGCTCCCTTATAGCCAAATGAAACGAAATTAGCTTAGCCGTATAAACAACATTGAGTATCATGGACCATCCTGAAGAATAGATGTGGTTTATATAGTTTAGATTCAAGTACACAATGAATGCCTCAAAGGCACCTAAGTTCAAGTATATGCATGGAACCCCAAGCCTTCTCACTTCTATATAGAATCCAAGGAGCGATCGAACAAAGCTCATTAAGACCGTCAGGAGGAAGCAAGAGCATTCCGTTATGGAAAGTGTTTGGAGAGGCAATGACATAAGAAGCCCAAATTCTCTGTTGTTGTCTATTATGAATCTTCCCACACTCAAAAACGCAATTATTACAGCCAGATTTTTCAACCCATACATCTCACCCCTACCTCTGTTAACCCCCTCCATAGTGTGCACAGACAACGAATGAGAAGAAGTGCTTCTTGGTAATTCCCGGATGTTGTTTCTCATGAGGAATATAACAAGGGGTTTTGTTTGTTGGACTACTTGATGAGCATACTCGGTATACATTGCCGCAAAAACACGACTTCGGCGAGATTCGAACTCGCGCTCCCAGAGGGAAATAGATTAGCAATCTACCGCGTTAACCACTTTGCTACGAAGTCCTGACTGCCCCTTCATTCCCCATTGAATACACACCCCTAAGGCGCCCTTGACAAAGTATCATCAAAGACCTCCCATCTTCTCATATGCCAAAGTATTTTTGCGAATTCTGCAATAAAACACTTTTGAACGATAAACTGAGAAGTAGAAGAACACACTTCCAAGGTGCAAAGCACAAGCTGATGAGAAAAGCCTATTACATGGAGGTGTTCGAGAAACCAGAAGTGGCTGCTGAAATGGCATCTATTCTGAGAGATATAAAAGCTGAGGATAAAAGAATCGAGCATCAGCATTTAGAAAAACAACAGGACTCTTATTTTTCTCTTCCGCCAGGAGATTTTTACCTAGGCCTTGCTCTTCCAGAAGAGCCATTGGGTTTTAGGCTTCCACCTGGATTTGATTTCCAGGACAAAAGAAACTTTCCTGAAAACATTGCTGAGGCAATAAAGAAGTACACATAACCAGACCACACCAAAAGTGATGTGATTCCTTGTTTGGATTCTGTCTAAATAAATTCGTTAGAAATAATCCTTCATTAATGACGCTTCCATGTGACGGGAGGATTCAAAGCTTTTTTGAGGTGAATGGAAGGAGAAATCATAGATCTTTTGTTGTTTTGTTGGGAGAGCATGGAAAGTCTCGGCTTCCGGCGATCCACAGAATGTTACAAGGACACACAAATGGCTCGGTAGAAACAGTGGTTTGGTGCCATAAGAACGACGTAACAAGAAAAGCTGGAAGGAAAGCCTCTAGCAAAAGGCAGAAGAACGATATGGAAAAAGAGGAGTCAGAGGATGACCTGGCACTGTTCATAAGAAGCAACGAGATAGAATTCATCGAATATAAAGAAAGTGAAAGGATTTTGGGTAGGACTGTTGACATGCTGGTACTGCAGGATTTTGAGGCCTTGTCTCCTAATCTAATAGCAACAAGCATGGAAACTGTGAGGGGAGGAGGAGCCATAATATTACTTCTGGATAGCACTTACTCCATAGAAGCTCTTACATCCCGTAAAACCGATATTCATGAGAAGATCGGTGAGTTTGAGCCGAGATACAACAAAAGATTGTTCAAATCACTTCTGAATTCGAACTTCGCGCTGTTTCTAGATGATAAGCTTAATGTACTGGACAGTATATCCAAGGTGGATGTCCAAGGCCTTAGAGTCGATGAAAAAAAGGTGGTCTCTGAATCGCTAGATGATTCGACTGATGTTCTAAAAAGCTTAGGGAAAACTAAAGACCAGATGCACATCATCGAAGAGGTTTTTAAAGCCTTGGAGACAAGAGAAAGCAGGACAATCTTCTCCATCACTGCATCAAGAGGAAGGGGAAAGTCTGCAGCATTGGGGATATCAATAGCTCAAGCTGTGAATCTTGGGCTTCTTTCCATATATATTGCATCCCCGGCAATAGAGAATGTCAAGACTGTCTTCCTATTTCTCATTACTGGGCTTGAAAGATTAGGATACAAGAAGTACGTCGACTTCAAGATCATATATCAATTTAGAGGAAATAAGAGGTTTATGCAAAAGATTGAGTTTATTGGCGGAAGAAAGCAGGTCATAGAATATTTCAATCCCATGAACGAACTCAAATACTATCCCGATTTGATGATTATTGATGAGGCTGCGGCCATTCCTCTTACATACATTACGGGGCTGATATTCCCGAACTTCGTAATAATGGCTACGACGATAAACGGATACGAAGGGACGGGAAGGGCATTTTCTGTGAAGTTATCAGAAACACTTAGGAAAAGCAGTGCTGAAACGAATTCCCTTATATATAAGGAGATGACAATGAAAGAGTCTATCAGATATGGGCAAAATGACCCTGTGGAAAACTGGCTATACAGGGTATTATTACTGGACACATCTGTTCCAAAGATCGAGGGATGCCCGAGTCCATCTGAATGCAAGCTTTTTTATGTAGACAAGAGCGTTCTTTTTTCGGGAAAGCCTCCAACAGAAAAGTTCTTGAACGAAATGTTCTCTCTGTTTATCTCTTCGCATTATAGGAACAGTCCTAATGATCTTCAGATACTAGCAGACTCTCCAAGGCATGAGGTGTTTGCCCTTGTTACCCCTACAGAAGATAATGGAAAAGACATTCCAAAGGTCATCTGCTCTCTTCAGATTTCGTTTGAAGGCAGGTGTGCAAGAACAGAGCATCTGAGAGAAGGCAACCTGATTCCTTGGGTTTTATCTGAAGAGCATCTAGACCCATCGTTTTTGGACACGTATGGTGTCAGAATAGTCAGAATAGCTGTCCATCCTGAATACACTTCTATGGGGTATGGAACGATGTCTCTAAATCTACTAATAAGGTATCTTTCTAACCATAGTAAAGACATTAGTCTGATGCAGAAGAAAAATGAGGAGAAAAATGTCCTTTTATACAGCTTGGATGATATTGCGATTCCGCAGGTAGAGTGGATTGGTGCCTCATTTGGAATAACCGAAGCTCTGTGCAGGTTCTGGCAAAAGAATCAGTTTGTTCCTGTAGGAATAAAACAAATGATTACACAAGAAACAGGAGAGCACTCTGGAATTTTCATTAGGTCTCTGAGCCGTTCCTCAGATGATAGAATATGTGAGTACAACCAAAATTTCATGGTGAGATTTGTTGGACAGCTTTCAAGCAGCTTCCAAAAGCTCATGCCATCCTTGTGCTTATCTCTCCTAAACAACTCCGTTGTAGGAAGGGGAAGAAAGACATATTTCTCATCCAACGACATTTCCAGGATCAGAATGGCAGCTACAGGAAAGATAGATCTGAATCTTGTAACGGATGTTATTCCAGACATATCTAGAATGTACTTCCATGGAAAATTTAGTCAAGATCTGTCAGTGCTCAGAAAGTCGGTTTTGCTAATGATGGGATGTCAGAACAAAAGTATCGATACAGTTGCTGAGCTTCTTACCCTCAAACCATTTCAGATTAGCAACATTCTAACTAAAATACTATCAATTCTTCTTGAAGACATCGAGAGAAACTATGTAATGGACTAAGAATGTGAGATTTCTCAAACTAGTATCTGCATCGTACAAACAGAAAGAATAAAAGAGAGACAATTTATTTTAACATGTCTTTGCCGAGGATAGGATAATCTTCAATCTAACATATATCAACAAACAATTAGACAATAGGAAAAGGAAATTTGGACCTCAAAGTATAAACCTGCACTTCCTTAACGTATTTAAGGAAGTCCTTTGCGCTGTCTATGTTCTCTCCTGAAATAGCTTCGAATGCGTGACTATCCACTATATTCCCTTCACCGTCAAAAATAATAACTTCCTCTTCGTGCATAAATGAACTGCTAGCATAAAACATGGACTTTAGCGGGATACCTCCATCTGCAAGGGCCAAAAGCGCTGCATTCACAGCACAAAACAAGGCATTCCTTGTTTCTCCCACAACATTAAAGCCTACTTGTATTGTCCTGCATGCATCCAGCTCCAAAATAATGTTCTTAGAAAGAACTCTTTCAATCACTTTTGAGAAGTATTTGTCATAGATTCTTCCATTTATGAGTATCATGTCCTTCCATCTCACATCTAGGAAAGCCTTTTCTGGATCTTCTTGCCTAGACGTGGCATCTGATGGTCCATGAACAGTGCAGAACACAGTTGTATTGTTGTAAGAAAACCTTGAAGACCCGGTGCAGTGAGGAATCACACTTATCATTGACCTTATTCCACTCATTTCTAATGGGCTAGCGGGCAATGAATAAATCCTCTCTGCTAATATAAAAACAATCGGCTTTAATTGATCTATTTAAAAATTTCATACTATGACTACTGCTTCCCATAGTCAAAGCCCCTCGAATACTTCCTAACCCTCTCATTTTTAGCAAGCTCTCTATACTGAATATAATACTTTCTTGCAAGCTCTGCATAGTAGGGCATGTCTAGCTCGTCCATTGCTCTTATTAGATCCTCACCAGTAACAGTTTTACGGGCCTCAGACTCACATATTTCCTTTGCCCTACATGTTATTATGGCTATAAACTCCCCTGCAGACTTTTGCATTATCTCTTTTGCATCCTTTGCAACCTTTGCCTCTTTGGGAATGGGCTTCTTCATAATCTTTGATATGTTAGCTATCGGCAAAGACCTGTCCGTAGGCCTCAGCCCTCCGGTAAATTCATCCATCATCTCAGGATCCACATTCATTTTTATAAATCTACTTTGTTTTGAGATCTTTAGTTTCAAAAAGGTCGTTTCATAAAGAAACTGCTTAGATACATGAAACTTACAAACGCCACCCAGCATCCATAACAACGAAAACAGTTTTATTCTTCAAAGCGAATCCTGGGTGCAATATTCATTCCCATTAGTTCCTGAATCAAGAGTTTGAATGCATACGGAATCTCCACTATACTAACATTTGTAGTGTTGCTGCATCCTTTACATTCATTCACCTTACTTCCCCCCATTGCAAGAAGTCCGCAAATATTACAAACATAGCAAGAATATGCATCGCTCACATCCATCAACCTTTCCTTTAGAAAGGCGGAGGCACCGTGAGAAATTATACAGTCTCTCTCCATTTCTCCAAATCGAAGCCCTCCGTCCCTGGATCTTCCTTCAACAGGCTGCCTCGTGAGTATCTGAAGAGGCCCACGCGCTCTTGCATGTATCTTATCATCAACCATGTGCTTAAGTCTCTGGTAATACGTTGGGCCAAAGAATATTTGGGCTCGGAGCTTCCTCCCTGTCATTCCATTATACATGACTTCCAGCCCTCTTTGCTGAAAACCGTAAGATTTCAGCCTTGCAGATATCTCGTTAACACTCATTCCGCTAAATGGTGTTGCATCACCTTCCTCCCCACTCATTGCACTAACCTTACCGAGCAGGCACTCAATCAAGTGTCCGATGGTCATACGACTAGGAATAGCATGAGGATTTATAATTATATCTGGAACTATTCCATCAGAGGTGAACGGCATATCCTCTTGCCTCAAAGTGATTCCAATAGTTCCCTTTTGAGCATGCCTGGATGCAAACTTGTCTCCCATCTGAGGAATCCTTCCTGATCTTACCTTGACCTTGGAGAACTTGTAACCATCCTTGTTTGTGACAATAACCGTATCAACAATCCCCGTTTCTGTCCTACGCATTGCAGTGCTGCTATCTTTGTAGACATAGACAGGCGTCTCCTTAGTACTCCTCTCGGGATCCAATATAGGCGTTATCTTTCCAATAAGAACATCATCTCCGGTGACCCTCGTCCCTGGGTTTATGAGCCCGTCATCATCCAGTTTATTATAATTAAGATTCTTCATCCTTAGAACACTTCCCCGGTTAGGCTTGCAAAACTCTTCATTGACCCCCGGCCTTGACATAGATTCTTGATCGGTGTATGTTCTGTAGAAAAAGCTTCTAAACAAACCTCTATCAATGGCACTTTGGTTCATAATAACACTATCCTCCTGGTTATATCCAGAATAGCATGCAATCGCAACCAGGGCATTCTGTCCAGACGGTAGCTCCTTGAACCTGAGATACTCCATGCTTTTTGTTGTCACAAGAGGCTTCTGAGGATAGAACAGAATGTTACTCAAAGTGTCCATTCTTAATAGGAAATTCGTTGCATAGATTCCCATCGCTTGCTTGCCCATAGCACTTTGATAAGTATTACGGGGACTTTGGTTATGATCAGGAAACGGAATAGTAGAAGCACAGATTCCAAGTATTAGTGCGGGATGAATCTCACAGTGTGTATACGATATCTTCACATCAGAGGAGCTCTTGCGTTCATCATCAAGGACCTTTGTGCTCATCGCTATCATGGACATCTCTTCCTCCTCAACATCCAGAAACTCAATAAACCCTTCTCCAATCAAGTTGTCCCATTTGATTTCCCCTCTTCTTAGCCTCCCGATATCCTCTTCTGTAATCACAAGCTTGTTGTCCTTAACAACCATCAAAGGCCTGCAAGGCCTTCCAGCGTCTGATTGTATTCTGATTTCCTTTTCTCTGATGTCTCTGACAATGCTAACCTCCTTATCCATTTCAAGACTTCTTCTCAACAGCTTAAGCGACTTTACTAGATATACAGGGTCAGAGTGAATCCCAATCCATACACCGTTAACAAAAACTTTAGTTGCCGTATTGAGCTGAAAATTAGATATCTCCTCAAGCGACTCAACTCCACACTCCTCCAAAAACTCTATCAATGGCCCAGAGGAAGATCCAACAGAAATATATGCCATTAGAGATAAGTTCTTCACAAGCCCACATGCTTGTCCCTCCGGCGTCTCAGCTGGGCAAACCATACCCCAATGCGTGTTATGAAGTTGTCGCGGCGCCGCCAACTTCCCTTCCTTTTCAATTGGCGTGTTGACTCTTCTCAAATGACTAAGCGTCGATACAAAGTTGTATCTATTCAGGACCTGGGCAACTCCAGCTCTGGTCTGCATAGCCTTTGCTTGGTCTCCCCAGTTTCCCGTTGCTAAGGCATATCGAAATCCCTGTGTAATTATGCTTGCTTTCAGCCCAAGGGCTATATTAAACTCTCGCCCATTCTCTATACACTTCTGCATGTGTCTTGTTGTATCTGCACACAGCTTTTTAAATAGAGTCCTGAATAGAGATGCAAGCAATGGTCCGCTCAGGTCCATTCTCTTTTTTCCGTAATGGTCTCTGTCGTCAGGATTCCTTCTCCCCAATGCCACAAGCAGTAGTCTTTGAACAATGTATCCAATAAAATATGCCTTCTTGGTTTCACAGAATTCCTGTGTTCCAATGTGGGGAAGAACCTCCTTTGCTAGAAGATCCTTTGCCATCATTATTCTTTTTTCCTGAGGTGTCCCCACAGGCGCAGTCCTCTTCCCTATATAGTCCAACGCCACATTTTGATCCTGCACAACCATCCCCTCCTCAATGCTTTCCTTCAGAAGCTCAAACATCTCGTCGTCATCTTCATAGAGAATATGATCAATAATCTCTTTGTCAGACAAGAACCCTAGCGCTCTATACAAGACAAAGAGAGGAACATCTTGCTTGACCAATGGAAGCGAAACCCTTATTGCCACAGGTGATCTACATAGCTTCATAGATAAGGTACTTGGATTTCTAGAGCTCTTTTCAGGAACAGAACGGATTTCCGCATAGTGTGTATACGTTGCAGGCTGTGCCTTCTTGAACACATAAACAGTGTTGCTAGCCATTCGTTCTTGGGCCACAATAACCTTCTCAGATCCATTTACAATGAAGTATCCTCCCTGGTCATATGGGCATTCTCCAAGGTCAATAAGATCTTTGTCTCCCAATCCATGGAGAACACAGTACGAAGATCTCAACATCACAGGCAGCGACCCAAAAGGTACCCTTGAGTACTTGTGCTTGTCAACAACGCCTAGCTCAGATACTGTCTCCTTTATGACATCGATAAATAGTGGAGATGCATAGGTTAGGTCCCTCGTACGTGCCTCGTTGGGAAACACAGTGATTGTTCTCCCATCGGATTCAGTATAAATGGGTGGCTTTGAAACATATATTTGCCCAAATCTAACAGTTATCCTCTTTTGGGTTTCTGTCCCTGCCGTGGGTGCAGACTGAACAATTATTGCAGGGCTCTCATCAATAACTTCCTGCATCTTTGTCTTAACGAACTGATCAAAGGAATCTAGCTGCTGTCTAACAAGCCCTTTCTGCTCGAAGAACGAGGATATTATCGACCAGCTATGCTCCTTTGTGAACATGGACTCCATTGAGGGATTTGAACATTCAAAAAATAAATTCAAAGAAATATGAAAACACTCCTTTGTAATCCGTATCCATTTTTTCCAAAAGACATTAGTTTGCAGAGTGATTTCGAATTATTGCTGTAAATCAGCGGCTACTTCATGCAGTCTGGGAAACTGGAACAATTTTTTAGGAGAATCTGCAGAGCCCCCAAAATGCAGAAACCAGTTCCGAGAAAGATGTACATCCTTGTACCTGACAAGCCTGCTCAGATCCAGAACGAGAGTGCGATGGCAGCCAAAACCATATCTTCTGTGATAAGAACCTGTCTTGGGCCTCGGGCAATGCAGAAAATGGTACTGACAAAAATAAATTCGATAGAACTTACCAATGACGGAAATGCCATTCTTAGGGAGCTCGATGTTGCACATCCATCGGCAAGATCTCTCATAGAACTAGCAAAGACGCAGGATGATGAGGTGGGTGACGGAACAACATCTGTCGTACTTCTTGCAGCTGAGATTCTGAATGAAATGACCTACATATTAGACAAGGATGTTCATCCAATAAGAATATGCAATGCATTGAACAAGGCGCTCTTGGCCTGTATCAGGGTGATTGACGAAGTATCTATATCTCTAGACTCTAGTGAGGAAGCAAGGATCAAAATAATCGATGGGAGCGTAGCATCCAAGGTTTGTAGCATGTTTAAAGTCCCCATTGGAAAGATTGCTCTGGAAACTGTGAAAAAGATTTATATAAAGGAAGAGAATAAGTGCGACCTCAAGAACAATGTGAAGGTAGAAAAAATACTTGGAGGGAGCCTTATGGAGTCTGAGGTGATGGATGGAATACTCATCAATAAGGACATTATACACCCACAGATGAGAAGAGTCATTGAGAACCCAAGAATTGTTATAATCGAGTCTCCTCTTGAATACAAAAAGGGAGAGAGCCAGACAAGCTATGAGTTTTCCAAGGAAAATGATTTTACTAGAGCGCTTGAGATTGAAGAAGAGCAAGTTCGTGAGATGTGCGAAAAAATAGTTGCAGTAAAGCCGGACATTGTAATATGTGAGAAGGGTATTAGTGATCTTGCTCTGTCAATTTTCTTCGAAAACAATATTACAGGGCTCAGAAGATTGAAGAAAACCGATATTTCTAGGCTGAGCAAGGCATGCGGAGCACGATCGGTGAACAGGCCGGAGGATCTTGAAGAAAAGCACATTGGGGTATCCTGTGGGCTGTTTGAATATGTTAAGTACGGAGAGGAATATTATTGCAAGTTCAGCAAATGCAAAAATCCAAAAGCTTGCAGTGTCATAATACGTGGCCCAACAAAAGATATTCTCGATGAGCTTGAGAGAAACTTCATGGATGCAGTCAAGGTTGCAAAGAGCATATTTATCAGTCCTAAACTCTGCCCGGGAGGCGGAGCTGTGGAGATGGCAATGTCACGCGAGCTAATGCGGCATCCTGGAAACGATGAGATAGAAGCCGAAGTTTTTTCAAGAGTGGCTTCTGCGTTGACAATTATTCCCTCGATACTCCTTGAAAACTCAGGGGTCTTCAATCCTCTGGAGGCCATTACTCTCCTAGAGAAAAAGCATGAGGAATGCTCTTTTTATGGGGTCAATGGAATAACCGGGGAGATTGTCGATACAAGAAATGTTGTGCTTGAGCCATATGCAGTGAAGAGCCAATGTATCAAATCCGCCATTGAGGCAGTATCGCAGCTTCTAAGGATTGATGGGATAATCGAAAGTAAGCGTTGAATAAAACACCTAAGTTTGAAGGCAGGTAACCTTTTCCAAAGCAAAGGCTCTCTTACTACATCTGTGGTTTTTTTCTTCGCATATCCTTGAACCTCGTGTAATCATCATTGCCCATACAAGTACAAAATGACCTTCATGCAAGAAAACATAAAAGAAAAGATTGACTCTATTGATGCATTAATGAAGCGGCTAGAAGAAAACAAAAACATCTCGGTCGTTGATATACTCAAGGAGGAGGTTCTTAAACTCAAGAAGCTCAATGAGGAATATAGAAAAGCACTGGAAGACAAAAGAGTTATGCATAAGGACCAGCTCCAAAACAAGACGAGGTATTATCTTAAAGACGGGTCCACATATGTTGTTAAGAGTAATCAATACAGATACTTGTACGATGCAAAGACCAAGGTGATTACTTATGAGTTTTCAAATGGACAAATTGAAAAGACATTCCCTTCAGGATTAAGGGAAATTAGATATCCAGACGGGAGCATTGCAATAAAAAACGGTCCTAGAGATCACGAGTACATTAAATAGCTTTCGTATACTATTTAATTGAAGACAGTAAAATTGGCTCTGAAGAAGTCCTGCCCAAATGCTAGGACACTAACAGTCCCCTCCTCACCTCCAGAGCAGTAAAGCCTTCCAGAAGGATGGACATCTACAGAGTTTATTGTTCCAAAGTGTGTGCTATACGACCCAATCTTCTCACATGTCACTACATCAAAGAAGTTTGCATCGAAGGATGATTTTCCCTTGGTTGTAGTTACATCTCTTGCATTGATTCCCCCAACACAAATAGCCTTATCATTTGTGTTGAATACGGATGCACAATTTACAGGCTCCTCACACACAAATGTTTTTTGAATAGATAGATCAAGAAAGTCGATGATCTTCGATTGTGAATCCATGGAGCCTGTGATGAAGAATGTCCTGCACCTACTTGGCCTGATGTTGTTTATCTTGGAAGTGTGGGCCTTTACACTCTTTATAACCTGTGAGTTTCTAAGATCTACAGAGCTAACACCCCCTTTGGAATCGCAGTATACCAGGAAGTCCTCGGATATGTCCAATAAAATCTTTGTAGGAGATGAAGCCGGTGTGTGCACCTTCTTAAAATCCTTGCATCGTGTGTCAAGTATTCCGATTAGAGGCGTCTTTCCCATAGTTTCGTCACTGCATGCCAAACATAGTGTCCCATCACGATAGAAATCCAAGCCCTTGACCACAACTCCAAGATCGGTTTGAGATTTCATCTTTCCAGTAGGAACATCCCACAGAATGATGGATTGATCTGCACTCCCAGTCATTAAGGCATCACTTCTATTATCTATGGCAATAGAGAAGATTGATCCTCGGTGTCCCTTATATTCTCCAACCACTGAACCGTCGGCACGGAGAAGCGTGGCTATGGAATCCTTCCCTGCCGTGAATATCAGATCTCCGTCGTGATTGAATTTAACTTCCGTTATAGGTCTCTCGTGACACTTTATACTCAGAAAATATCCTTCGTCTTCTATCGAAAGCCCTCCATCCATTTATCCCCATCAAGAGAAATTGAAAATAAGCAAAAATTTCGGGATAGGACAGGCGCCTTTATTTTAATCTAAGGTGTTTATTTAGTGTTTCGCTCAAGGGCTCTATATCTAGTTGTTGCCCCCGAGTGAAGTTTTTCCACTTTCCCATCAAATACAAGTATGTCCACTAATGTTTTAAGGTCCTCTATTCTTAGAGGAACAGACAGAATATTGAGGTTTTTAACGTAATTCATTATTTCTTCCAGAGTCGGGTTATCTTCATATTCTGGAAGCCCTGGTTTTCCGCTCAAACTCTTTTGTAAAAACAGTTGTATGATTTCCAACACTCGAATCACACACTCTGCATCTACGTCGTTGTCCTGAAACCACATGCCTCCTGTGATTTCTTCAGAAGGAACTTGATCGTACAAAACATAAACCTTTCTATTGTTCTTGAGACACTTAACAGACTTGATAATCCTCTTGCTTTCCATGGTTCTAAGGACCTTTCCAATCAAGTTGTGCGGCATATTCGTTTTGTCCTTTATCACCTTCAACCAAACGCCTTCATTCCCACTCTGGCTCACTAGGTTGTATATCGTAAGCTCATAATTGTCTACATTGACTGGAGATGGTTTGTAGTATAGAACCCCCTTGTCTCTAAACAGACTTATCTCTTGCCGCTTAAGACATTCGTTCAACTCCTTTGCGACATCTACCTTTGACATGTGAGGAAATTCCAGGGAGAGATCTTCCTCCACCACTCCCTCCGGACGACTTCTTATGAAATCTAGAATACTTTTCATCATGGGATGAAAATTTCTTTGATCATGACTCATCGTCTCCATTGGGATCAAGTTTCAAAAACCTTCTTTTTTTCTGTGGCAAAGACCCGCTTCTCTTTCGTCTTGCCTTTATCCCACCACGCCTTGTTTCCTTTCTTGCAAGTGGCACCTTCAGAATAGATCCCTCTTGCTTTGTATTGTTCTCAAGATTGTTGAAAATCCTTTCCATTTGTTCAGAAAAATCTATTTCAAAGTTACTTTCGCAGAAATCCAGCTTGGCTGCAATTGTAACCTTGCAGCAAAGCTTCCTGAGAAGCTTTTCTTGGTTTTTTGGTGATGCCTTGGTAACTAATGGATGCTGAGATAGTAATGGTGACCCATACGTATTAATGCCGTACTTCATTACTTCTGATGGAATTGCCTTTGTTAAGAGAAAAAGACTTCCTGTTTCCACAAGAAGCTTGAAGAGAAGTTCATCGCCTAGCAGGCTCTGGAGATATCTGAATCTAGTCCTGAAAATGTTCTTGGTTTTGTCTACCTCAACAGTAGTAGCTTTAATCTTTTCGAGTTTTGAAATAAGGTCTTTTCTTTCCTCTGAGGCCAGTGATCTTCCTATAGTGATTATCATTTCGATTTCCATAGCATGTGGGAGCTCTTCTATATCCTCCACTTTCCTTCCCTCATTCAGTGATGTAATTACACAGCATACCGACAAAAAGTTATCTAAGCACTCCAAATCATCTTCAAGAAAAAGCATGGTTTTTATTTCATCCTTGATCCTGTGTATCTCTTTTAGATTTTCTTTATATGTTTGAATTACATCATCCATTAAGGGATTTAAGCTTTTAGCAGATATAATGGGCGTAATCGAGTACAGGTGGTGTTCCGGCTCCGAGAGAGCAAGCTTTTGTAGTGTAGTGGTTATCACGTATCCTTCACACGGATGAGGTCCTCGGTTCGAACCCGAGCAAAAGCACTTTTGTTTTTATATGCCATTGGTGTTTGTATTAAAATCGATATTGGCCGCATACCCATGGACTTTAACTTCAAGGAGCCAACACTACTCATCCACGACCTGATACATGAGACAAAGCTAGGTAAGCCTGAGGCCAAGAAAGAGCTCGAGAGGCTTCTTGTTGATAAGTGCATGTACGACCTCTACAAGTTTCTCGTGGAGAAAAAAGTGCTGGAGCCTGACCACGAGCGAATGGAATCGCTACTTAACCTCAAGAATAAGAAAGTTGAAGAGCTTGAGGAACTTCGAAGGGAAGAGACAGATAACGAGACGTATAGAGGTGAAGTCGATCGAAGGATTGCAGAGTTATACTGCCAGATAATGGATACAAAAAGCGGATTTGAGTGGATGCGAAAGCTTATAAGAGATGACATGTCACTATCGTTGAAGATGGACATTTTTCTTTGCAAGGCAAGAATGGGACTGATTATAGGAGACAAGAAGGTCGTTGAGGAGAGTATTGATATGGCAGATGATACGTATGAAAGAGGATGCGATTGGGATAGGAGAAATAGGTACAAGGTATATAAAGGAGTATTCCGGATGATGGCGAGACAATTCAAGGAAGCAGGTGTTTTGTTTAGTGAAGTGTTGCCATCATTTGAATCAAGTGAAGTGGTGAGCTATTCGCGAGCTGTGCGGTATATGATATTCTGCGGCCTCCTTGGATTCGAAAGAAAGGAAATTGAGACACGAATTCTCAAGTGTAGTGATGTGATGGGAAGCTCTGAGAAACTTGGTGTGCAGCTAGCGACTTCTCTGTTTGAATGCAACTATGGGGGTTTTATGAATGATTTGTATCTGTTCTGTAAATCTCTCCAAGACGATGTATTTGTTGGGAGATTTGTAAATCTATTTTGTCGGGAGATGCGGCTACGTGTGTACGGACAGGTCCTCGAAAGTTACCGGTTGATGCTGCTTGAAAATATGGCACAAACATTTGGAGTGAGTGTGGAATACATTGAGAAAGATCTTGGAGAGTTTATAGTTGAAGGTCGACTGTGGGGTAAGATAGACCGAATTTCTGGAGTTATTGAAGTAACTCCTCGAGAGGGCTTGGATGCATCAAGCATTGTTGGATATGGTTGTGATGTTGTACGTCGAATCAAGAAGTGTGTTAAATAAATCACGTTTTTTGGCTATCCTATGTTCACTGATGTTCTACCAATAAGTGTTAGAAATGTATTAAGGTTGACAGAAATGTCTATTATGCATAATCACAGGTGTCTATTATTGGCAGTCTCTCCTTTTACTGCTTATAGTTCTGATTTTCTGTAATCGCATGGAGCAAGAATTCTCTAAGGGCAGGATAGCAGTTGGTATTGGAACTGGAACTACTATCGAGAGATACATAGAGGCACTGTATGATGATATCGTATACGTTCCTTCAAGCATCCAGACGGCATTGGTTCTTAGTGAAAAGGGCTTTGTGGTGTCAAATCCCTTGGCTCATGAAGCCTTGGACTTGTACATAGACGGAGCGGACTATTTTGACAAAAATGGAAACGTGATTAAAGGAGGAGGAGGAGCCTTGACTACAGAAAAGCTACTTCACTCCATGGCCAAGGAGACCATCATAATAGTTCAGAGACATAAGTACAAAGAAAGATTCGATGGCTGCCTTGTTCCTATTGAAATTATTCCAACATCTATTATGAAGTTTATTTCAGTTCTCAGAGAATACAGACTAAAATACTGGCTGAGGAGATCCACCGGGAAGGTGGGGCCACTAATTACTGACTTGGGAAATTGCATAGTTGATGTAGAGTACGACTTAGACTTTATATCCGAATGTAAGGGCATCTGCGGTGTTGTTGAGCACGGATTGTTTATGTCTAATGGAAGTACAATGATTGTAGAGGAATATAGAGAATAGGTAAGCCTAAGAAATGCTAATGGTCTTAAAAAGTCTCCAGGATCATGCCCTTAAATGGGGTACTTTTGCGTATTCAACAAAAGAGGCTTAGTTATTCATGAAGAAGGAAGAGCACCTGAGCATCTTAACCAGATAATAACGTCTCTGGATACATCTAAACTTATCGGATCAAGGAAAATCCGAAATCAGATCATGGAATATGAGATCAGAGGCCCGACTGTATATCTGAGCCTATCAAGAACTCCTAATCTAAAGGCAACCATTGATGATTATCTGAGTAAAAATGAGCAAAGAACAACCGAAAGCAAAAAGAAATTGGGAAATGGCGCGAAAGGAAGAAAATGGGAAGAAGTAGGAAATGAAGAGGAGCTAGATTACTCCACATCTTCAAGCAGAATAAGCAATCTTGTTGAAGTCATCAGGAAAGCAACAGTCCAAAAGGCATTCGGATTATTTAGAGACAAAATACAGGTAAGCGAGCTTAAGGACAGGATGACCACACATTTAATAGGTAAGAATGTGAGCTATCAAATAACCAAAACACTTGTGGAGAATATCACGATGGAGTTGGAAGAGGAGGGATTAGAAAGTGTTTCTGAAAAAATATTTAAAGAGAAGATGTCAGGAGTTCTTAGTAGGCTTATTCCATCAGTAGATCACGAGAAGATGCTTGATAGAATAAAAAAGCACAAAGGTGTGTTTTCTATTTGTTTTGTGGGGGTTAATGGAGTTGGAAAAAGCACATCATTGGCTAAGATATGCTATTGGCTACTACAAAACAAACTCAAGGTATATATAGCTGCATGCGATACATTTAGGGCAGGAGCTATCGAACAACTCAAGATTCATGTGGAAAGATTCAAACTTGGGGGCCATCTGGTTGGGTTCTACGAAAAGGGATATGGAAAAGATGATGCATCTGTGGCAAGATGTGCCATCCAGGAAGCCCAGCACGAAGGATATGACGTTATTCTGATTGATACAGCAGGGAGAATGCACAACAAAAAGAATCTAATGGCATCTCTTACTAAGCTGATAAGGATCAATGGTCCCGACCATATCATATATGTAGGAGAGGCCTTAGTTGGATCCGACAGCTTGGACCATATTAGGGAGTTTAACAAGGCTATTGGGGATGCGGGCCAGTCAAAAAGAATTGACAGTATACTTCTTACTAAAGTTGATACAGTAGATAACAAAATAGGGCAGATTTTGAACATGGCCTTTTCTTCTCACGCACCCATCTTGTTCCTAGGTGTTGGGCAATCAAACTCAGATTTGTCAAGCATAGGATCAGAAGATATTGTGAACAGCCTCATGTCCTCTTGAATTTTTTTTACTTAAGAGGAAAAATAAATTTACTCTTCTGAGTGAGAATGTAAAACTGAAAAATAAATTTAATTCAGATTGCACCTATTTTGCTAGCGATTTCAAGAGCAGCGCCCTCTTCAACAAATCGGACGTATGCCTTCTTCCCATGCTTGTTGATCAGGGTGTTGACCTTCTTGACCTTGAATCCGTAGAGCTTAGTAACAGCATCTCTGATCTCAGGCTTAGTAGATGTCTTCTCGACGTAGAAGACCAGGGTGTTGAACTGCTCCATGCACCTTGCAGCCTTTTCTGTTGTAAGGGCGTAGAGTATTATGTCATGGGGAGTGTTCCTTTGGAGTTTTGGGATGAGGACTCTAGAGTGGTTAGAGTTCTTTTCGAGTGTATCCATTAGGGGGGATGGCGGAAGGGTTTTTTGTTTTGGATATGTGTGTGTGAGTGTTAGGCAGTTTGGACGGTGTGCTGCGGATAGTAGCCTTTGTAGCGCAGTGGTTAACGCGTTCGGCTGTTAACCGAAAGATCGAGAGTTCGAGTCTCTCCAAAGGCGTTTTGTCTTATTGCCCAAGAAAAATAAGTCTAGCTAATGGCCGAAACCCTTGTTGTGAAAATGGACTCAAGGCAAAACCTGGTCGATAAAATTGACATATTCTTCTTACTGAAGCAGCAGAAACTTGTCACCAAAGAAGAATTGAGGGTTCTTCTACCTACTCAGTCATACGAGGATTATAATGTAAATTACTATAGAAGAAGGATTCCTGAGGTGTTTGATAGAAACATCAAAAAAGAATGGTTCATATATAGGTATTTGGACGACTCCTTTTACGATGAAAAAAGGAAAGCCATTCAAAATATCTACACATTCAAGGTCGACGGTCCATGCATAATAGCAAGAAATCTACCAGAAGACATGCCTGGCTCGGTCATATGCTCTACGCTCCTTAAATGTGAAGATCTGGAGAGGTTTTGGATTCAACAGCAGTCATCACAAAATGGATTTTCTAGGACGTGCTACATCATTCTAAAGAAGGAGGCAAGTGTAGAAGATTCTATAAAATTCATGAAATCTATTTTTGACAGAGGACTGGGAATAGAAATCGAAGAATTTGACGTTTCTGGGGTAAAGGAACCCGAAATATTGCCTGGAGGCGGTGATTACTCAATGGCAAGGTCAATATTCGATTCCATGTGTAAGATTTTTGACATAAATGAAGAAGAAGTACTCAAAAAATATTCATTAACACTAGGAAATACCTCTGTAAATCAGAATACCGCAGAATTCATTTGTGGAGCACTTAGAAACATATTTCTCTATTGCTACACATGTGCACATCAGTATGATGATCCTCTCGAGATGATGATGGGATGCAGAAACCACAAAGAAACAGATGCAGCATCAAGAAGAAGAGAATTTTTGTGCAATTATAGAGGATTCGGGTATCTCAGTGCAAAAACCAAGGAAGAAGAGCTTAACAACATGACTACAATTGTTAACGAAAACCATTATAAATGCGGATTCTGTGGAAAGTCATTTGAAAGTGAAAAGTTTATATTTAATCACTTTAACAACAAACACGAGAGTGAGATTAAGAGAATCGAAAAAAACATAGAGGACTTTAAGAAGTTCCTCTCCAGAATCGACTGTTTCATGCTGAGCATTGTCGAAGGTACAGATGATGATAGAGTCCCAAGGTTTCTACTTCCAAACATTAAGGATGATAGAATAGTATATGATATGGGATCGGTCTTCAGTGGGGAAATATCTATCGGTAAATAAGATTGAAAATTCTCAAATTGTTTGTTTTTACATATTTCTGCTTACCTTTTCTACTTCTTTAGATGACAATTAGAGCCCACAAAATGTCGGGTCAAAGGTTACCTGTGTTTCCTACAAGAATGAACCTAAGAACAATAGAAACAAAAAAGAAAAGTGCCGAAAAAGGACATTCGCTACTGAAGAGAAAAAGCGATGCATTGAAAGTAAGATACAGGGCAATAGAGGAAGAATACAACAAAAAAGAATTGGGAATTAATCAAAAGATAAAAGACGCATTTTTTAAGCTTACAGAAGCAGAGTTCCTCGGTGCCAATCTCAAAATGTTTTTGTATGAATGCCAAAAACAAAATGTTTATATAAAGTCCCAGGTGGAGCAGGTGTCAGGAGTAAGCCTTCCACTTTTCACTCTTCAGAAAGAAAATGTAAAGCCTATTTTGTTTCTTGATAGAAGTGGGCAATCACTGAATGAATGCAGGGAGAAGTTTTTGGAAGTTCTAGAGATGCTAGTGGATTTGTGCGCACTAAAGAACTCGTTTAGGGTCCTCAATTCTATACTAATGAGTACCAATAGAAGAGTCAATGCCTTGGAATTCAATATTATCCCAAGATTAGAAAATACCATTTCTTACATCGCCTCCGAACTTGATGAGCAAGATAGAGGGGACTTCTTTAGACTTAAGAAAATACAAAACTTAAAAGCTAAGGAGAAAAATGATTAAATGACCTTTCCTACTTGTTGTACCACATGTGAAGCTCGATGCCCCAGGCAATCCGATAGAAAAACACAAACTATTTAATTATAGAATGCAGGCTGTGTGTCGCTTCTTTCAACAACCTTCGAGTATGCCTCCTCAAAGTCTCTCTGTGTAACCATGTACCGGCTGGCGCGGACAGCAAGCATCCCTGCCTCCTGGCAGATCGAGTTGATGTCTGCACAGCTTATCCTCTCGGGCCTGCACACAAGACTCTCAATGTCCACATCGTCCTTCAGACTCATCTTCGATGTAATTGCATTAAACACAAGCCTCTTCTGCCTTCTATCCGGGAGCGGAAACTCTATCTTCCTGTCCAAGCGCCCAGGCCTGAGCAGTGCAGGGTCAATCGTGTCCGCCCTGTTCGTCGCCATAATCACCTTGACATTCGTTGCCTGGTCAAACCCGTCCATCTGGTTCAGAAGCTCTATGAGCACTCGCTGGACCTCTCTGTCTGCAGATGTCGATGCATCAAATCGCTTTGTTGCAATGGAGTCCACTTCGTCGATAAACACAATCGACGGCGCCTTCTCCCTTGCCAGCCGGAACACATCCCTCACCATCCGAGGCCCTTCCCCAAGATACTTCTGCACAAACTCAGACCCATTGACCTTTATGAACGTGGCCTTCGTGTGGTTTGCCACAGCCTTCACAAGCATGGTCTTCCCAGTTCCAGGCGGCCCGTAGAGCAGCACACCCTGCGGCGGGTCAATCCCTATCTGCTTGTAGAGCTCAGACTGTAGCAGCGGAAGCTCAACAGTCTCCCTTATCTCCTGCTTCTGCACATCAAGCCCCCCTACATCTGCATACGTCACATCCGGCTTCTCCTCCTCCCCCATCACAGGAATCGTGCTGTCAACCTCAGGCGGAAGCACATCCACAATTGCGCTTGAGTGTCTGTGCAGCGCAACAGTAGTGTTTGGCCTCAGAAGCTCCCGGTCGACAGTAGACAGTATCCTGACAACAAAGTTGCTTCCCGCAGTCGACCCCACAATCGCAGTCGAGTTGTCAATGGGCTCCAGAAACTGCCCCATTATCAGCGGAACACTCTTCACCCTGTCCAGCTCCTCTTTCCCATGCCTCTCCTCCCTTTTCAGGGTCTCAATCTCCTTGCGCACATAGGCCTCTCTTATCTCCAGGAGCCTGAGCTTTCTTTCCATTTGTTTGTACCTAACAAACAGATCCGCCTTCAGCCCTCCACACATTAAAGGGCTACCCACCCCATCATTTATCACCATTTCTTTTCATCCTCCATGGCGTCCTGGCATCGTCTAGGCACTGCACAGGACTCGTCTTAAAATAAAAAACCCAGAAAGGGTGAATGGAGGAGGAGAGGATCCTGGAATCTGATCTCAAGCACATATCCTTCATCATGCAGAGGTACACTCCCATGGAGAAGATAGGAGAGGGGTCGTTCAGCATTGTGTACAAAGCCTTGGACGCAGAGTCCGGCAGGTATGTGGCCCTGAAGGCAATAACAAGAACTAGCTCGCCTTCCAGGGTCTTGGAGGAGCTGACGTTTCTGAAGGCCCTTGGAGGAAAGCGAAACTGCATGGGGCTTCTCGGAGTCTTCCGGAACGAGGACCAGGTGGTTGCTGTGCTGCCATACTTCAAGCCCATCGACTTCAGAGAGTTCATCTCAAATGCAAGCATAAAAGATGTCAAGCAATACCTGTACAACCTGCTGGTGGCAGTGGAGCATGTGCACAGCAACGGAATAATACACAGAGACCTGAAGCCCGGCAACTTCCTCTATAACAAAGAGGCTGGAAAAGGAATGCTCATAGACTTCGGGCTGGCGCAGTATGAAGAGTGCAAGGAAGAGCAGGGAAGAGAGGACAGCAGCAAGCCCTCGACGCCGCTGCTTTTTTTCAATTCCATCGTGTCGAAGACCAAACCTCCGGGATACTACGAGAGAGACGGAAGGCCACAGATGAAGGCGCCGAGGGCCGGGACACGAGGGTTTAGAGCACCCGAGGTCCTGTTCCGCCACCAGAGGCAAACAAGGGCCATAGACATGTGGTCGGTCGGCGTGATCTTCCTAACAATTCTGACTGCACAGTATCCGTTCTTCTACTCGTCGGACGACGTCGATTCCATTGTCGAGATTGCAACGATCTTTGGACATGCAGAAATGAGAAAGGCCGCAAGATTCTACGGAAGAATATGGAGGTCAAACATAGACACAATTCCGGAGGAAAGGATTCCGTTTGAAAGGATTGTGGAGTCGCTCAACCCGTGGGCAGAGGTGGGTGCAGAAGGATACGACCTGCTCTACAGAATGCTTGACCTTTGCTCCTCGTCTAGAATCACTGCACCAGATGCCCTAAGCCACCAGTTCTTCGACGATCTGAGGCCGCATAGAGATGACACATAGAAAACATGTCTTTAATAACAACACGGGTTGCCCATCATCTCCCCAATAGATCACTGAGATATATAATTTCATCGTCACTGTCAAAGTCGTTCTTGTAGATAACAGCATCACCTATGTCCGGCTCCCTCTCAGAATTCTCTGCATTACACTCAGATGGATTCCCCCTCAAGTAGCAATCAATAAACGAATCTCTCTTCTTCGGCCTCCTTCTCCCAAGCCTCCCTGTTTTCAGCATGTACAGCGGCTTCTCCTTCTCAGAGGACGAGGAGCTTTCCCGTGAGCTGTCGCTTTCCTCCGAATCCGCCTTCCGAGACTTGGTATTCTTATGGGCCTTATCGCTCTTGCGGGATTCAGCCTTCTTAGCAGGCTCAACACTTCTGCTGGACTTGGCAGCCTTATTGCCATCCCTGATGCTCTGCGGAGGAGTCACACAGATCGTACTAGTGGATCCGGGTGCTTCCAGACCCTTCACTGTTTGGAGAGGCTGTGGGGCAGGCTTCGCCGGAGTAACTATTGTTGCAGGCTGCGCAATGACAGGAATGGTAGGTATTTGAGGTGGTGTTATGGACACTGTTTTGAGCACAGTCATCGTTGTGACAGGTGCAACCACCACAATCCTCTGCGGCCTCTGCGGAGCCATCTGCAGGTATTTTTGCTTTAGTGTGGTTAGCATCGTGTAGATCAGATTTATCCTCTTCCCTATCCTGTTGATTGCTTCCGTCCCAGCTCCCTGCTGCTGCACAGGGAGGCGTGGGGGAGAAGGCCTTGCACTCTGCCTGGGCGCCCCACCCACACTCATTGGGCTTAGAGCCACGGGAACAGGCTGCATCACATATCTAGGTTGCATCACCACAATAGGTGGCTGTAGACTCCGAGGCATCTCCGCAGAGACAGTCTTCAGAACAGTGGTTGTCACAGTTGTTCTTATGACATTGGGAATCCTTGCAGCACGAGCAGAGGTGCTTTTTTTTGGAATGTCAGGGCTTCTCACAGTGGACTTGACAACCATGGGGGCCCTTGGCGGTGCAGAGCTCTTGGAAGAAACATATACAGGAGATATGGCCATGGGCCCTGAGTAATATGACGCCAACAGCCTTCCCTTCATGCACGTGGGATCGCACTTTGGAACAAGCCTTATCACATCACATACGGCCCTGGAGGCAATAAACAATGCTGACATTGCACCTCTCATACGGCGTCTCTGCCTGCCTCTCTTATATTGATTCCTTGTTTCATTCCGAGAATCTGTGTTGAATTTGTTTGATCTTTCCTCTGTGGCTAGCCTTGGGGTGCCACGGAATACAGCATTGCCGGAGCTGAAACAGGGTATATAAAAAACAAAAACACCAGGGGGTAAACAATGGGAGGAGTGATTTCCAAAGTAAACAATATACTGTATACAAAGCTGCGAGGGATATTTTCTGGAGGAACGGAGCGATCGATAACGATGATAGGGCTTGACGGGGCAGGGAAGACGACACTCCTGCTGTATCTGCAAACTGGAGAGGTGCACCAAACAGTTCCGACGCTCGGATTCAACTGTGAAAACGTCAACCTCGGGAATATGAAGTTCCAAGTGTGGGACATCGGAGGACAGAACTCGTTCATGAGATTCTGGCACCAGTACATAAACGATGGAAGCGGAATCATATACATGGTGGACTGTGCAGACCCACAAAGATTCGGAAAGTCAAGCGAAGAGCTGTGGAGGATACTGAACATCCTGAGCAGCCCAAGGCCGCTGCTGGTACTTGCAAACAAGATTGACCTGCTCAGAGAGCACGAGAGAGGCGAGGTGATAAAGAACATCAGAAACGAGTTCAACCTCGAGAAGTACAGCGGACCGTCGCTGATTGTGCCCATCAGCGTTCTCCAAGCAGGGTCGATGACGTCTGCCAACGACGAGAATGGAAGAGAGATAATCGATGCATTCAGATGGCTGAACAAGGAGCTTGAGAAAATGCCAAGAGCAGAAGTCCTCAGAACAGAGACTCTATAAGATTAAAGCCTGTCAAACTTAAAAAGACATGCTTGAATTTCACAAATAGAATTATTTTTTACAGATTATAAGAATGCACAAGCAGAAATAAAATAATATTATAAAATAGTATAAAGTGAGATATCAGAAAGTTACTACGTAAATAATGAAGTTTCCTTTGAAATAGTTATTTAATCATATGTCTTAGCACTACTGCAGTTCGATGCATTATTTTCTCTATGAAGATCCTATCGAGGCCAAAGCTAAGTTTATTTAATTTTTGACTCTGTCTTGGTAAACGACTTGTCTATCCTCTCCTCCACCGTTCCGTCGCTCCTGGCCTTCCTTCCGCTCATCAGCCTTGGGAAGGTTTTTACCGCTGCGATCACAACCACAGAGACCAGGAGGCCTATCGAAAGCGTGTGGAGAGCCGTGATCATGCTGCTTCCGTCAATGCTGGGGAAAAGCACCATTCTGTAGGATGGATGCCGGGATGCACTTAATAGCTTGTTTGATGTGTGCTGCAGAGGCTCATTGGACACCTGCTGGCGCTTCTGACCACTCGTTCTGCGGCCCGGGCCTGTCAGGCGAGTGGTTTAGTGGCGCGGAGGGGTGGGCCCTAGAAATGGGACGACTGTGGAGGGCGGCAAGGAGCTGGGCCTCAGTGTTTGGGCGGAATCTCTGGAGAGAGTTTGATGGGAGCGAGGAGCTGAAGGGGGCCTGTGAGAGGATGGCAAGGGGGTGGATGGGATGCAGGGATGCTGTTGAAGACACGCGTCTGTTCAGGGTTGGAAGGAGGATGATGGAGGTGTCGAGCAGCGTGATGAGGGCCTCTGATGCCTCGATTGGGATTGCGCTTAGGGCCGGAGGAGGCCTACTGTGCCGGCGAAGGGAGTTCCAGAGGAGATTGGACATGGTGTTCAGGATTCCGCAGTACTACGGAGGGGTGAGGAGTTCTGGGCCGTCTGTGGCAGCCAAGGATGGGAGTGGGGAGTGTTTGAGGAAGAGAGGGGGGCTGGTTGAGTACAGGGGAAGTGTGATGAAGAGGATATGGAGGCTCTGCTCTGTGGTTAAGTCCCGTCTGTCCTCTGACGAGAGGGCCATAGAGGAGATTGAGAACAGGTGTGTGGGGGAGATACTTAGAGGTCTGGGGTCCGAGCCGGTGAGTGGGCTGTGCACAGAAGAAGGGATGGAGGACTTGAAGAATCTGGCCCTTGAGGTGGGAGGAGGAAGAGATGTGTGGACGACGGACATCAGGAATACCTCGACGTCTGGGAGTGTGGCAAAGGGGATGTTTGAGTGCGAGTTTGAGGCTGAGATTGCAACTGGGGATAGGATGTGTGTCGGGGGCGATAGACATGTGTTTCTCATTCGGGGGAGGTTTGTGAATGGTGCGGGGTGTGAGGATGGAGGGTGGTATCTCTCTTCACTTGCCTGGACTCGGATAGGATGAGACGTAGAACAGTATAATTTATTCGTTGTAAGCAAATATAACCTTTGGGAACTTACTTTCTCTTGCTCTTTGCCTCCCTGTCTTTCTTTTGAGCTGGTCCTTTGTGAGGGCCTGTCTCTTGGCCCTGTTGAGCTTGGGCCTAAGGACCTTCGGAAGCTTGTGGACCGGGGTTCCCCTGTACTTCTCGACGACCTCCTGGAGAATCTTCTCGCGTCTGACGGTGAGGATGCGTGCCAAGTTCTTCCTGGCTGTCCTGATGTCGTCCTTGCCGACGTCTCCGCTGTTCTTCTTCTGGCGGAGGCGCGCCAGCTCTGCCTTGACCTCGTTAGCCTTCTCCTCAAGCTGCTCAACATCCAGCTGCCTGAGATCTGATGCCTCGATCTTCATTAGGGCTTCTGATGCAAAAAGATTTGAACGCAAAAATCGTGCTTGGGGAGCGAGGGGTGGAATATGCGTGTCTGGCAAAGGACATTTATTGGCTTGGGTCAGGGAGGGGCGGCGACAAAGAGGATGTTTTCCCCCCTCAGAAAGAGGACCTTGCTGTGGGAGCCCTCTACGGACGAGTGTGTCAGCATGAGGTTTATGTGCTCGTCGAACCCCTCGAGGATTCCTGCATAGACCTCTCCGCTCTTTGTCTTTATTTCGACCCTCTCGTTCAAGTACATCTTCAGGAAGCAGAACGGGTCGAGCATGGAAGTCGTGGGGCCTCTGGAAAATTTTGTTATTGGGGATGTGTGAGGAGGCTGTGGACGGAGGTTTCTGGATTTATGGGGGGAGTGTGCAGCCCTTTATGAGGTATTTGGAGTTGAGCTGCATATCGAAAACAAACAAACTCTTCCAGAAGCTTCAGGACCTCAACCCTCTTCTGAACATCGAGATGGAGGCATACTCCTGCAAGTCGAGCAGGAAGCAGAGGATGGAGATGCATGTGGAGAAGCCGCTCAGGTATCTTGTGTCTGCACTTGAGCTGCGGTTTCCGGACTATGACTTCTCTGGGGAGTCGTGGAGGTCTTTTTCGCGGAAGTCGATGGGGGAGGTTGTGAACGAGGTTGCGTACTCGATAAGCACTGTGCACAAGAACAACTCTGATGTGAAGGAGTTTGTGGGGTTTCTTGAGGTGATTCTCCACAAGTCTGTTGACCTGAGTGAGTGCATGATATTTTCGTATGAGAACAGGATGGGGCCCTTTGAGGACTGCTTCTGGTACTTTTCGTTTCTGTTTTTCAACAAGAGGCAGAAGAGGGTGGTGATGCTGAATGCGTTTATGAACAGGAACTAGTGTAAATATGGATGTATTAAATAGTTTGAGTCTAGATGTGTGTGTGTGAATAGGTTTCTGTGCACAATTTATGTGGCGGGATGCAAATATGTATGTATGATAGATGCCCATAGGATATGAATAGAGCCGACAGAGGGAGTGTGTTAGAGTGCAGCACAGTTTTTAGTTCTAAGAGGAAAGCGAAGGATGGGGAGGGATACGATGTGGGCTCTGAGTGCCCACATGGTTTTAGCCTAGAGCTGGAGTCTGAGTCGTCTGAGGCAACGGATGTGGGGATTCTGCTATTTTTTATGACTGTTCTTGTAACGCTCTTCAAGAATCCATTAGCAGATTTGTTTGGAGGCTTTGCGATTGAGGCTGTTGGGGTTGTGAATCTGGGGTACCTGGTTCATTCGACGTTTCTGAAGCTATGTGCTAGGGCTGTGGATTTGAGGGAAGATTCGTGGAAGAGCAGTCTAATGGTTGTGCACTTGTCCTTGCATCTGGTGGCGATTGAGGCGATTGGAGTTAGTATCTTTAGTTCTAGAGGAGGATCAAGGATGCTTATGAATAACCTTTGTAGGAATCCGCTGGGGATTTTTGTTGCCTTGATACATATTCTTCATGGGCAGGATGCCATGGAGCTTAAGTATAGCAATTATGTCTGCGGGAGTATACTGAGTGCTGCTTGGACTGTGGTGTTTGTTGCGAGCTATAACTATGAGCACGATATGAGTGATAGTCTAGTGAGACATATTTTCCTGTTTATGTTCCTTCATGTGGTACTGTATAGCATGGAGAATGAGATTGTCAAGAGTTTAAGGATTTCGAAGAAGAAGTTGAGGAAGATCCAAGGGTTTGCAAGGATAATACCGTGCATAGTGTGCAGTGTAGCAGGGTACTATATGCTGGGCAGGATACTCACGAAGCGACTCTCGTACATGGAGATGGGCAACTCTGATTTATCATTCTCATTCTTATTTTGAGATATTGGGGTGTGTGCTGTGGAAGTAGTTGAATAAATTGATGGAGTGCTTGTGTTTTTTGGGCGAGTATGCAGGTGTTTGCTTGTGAGATGGAGTGTGGGATGCGATGAAGGCTGCATGCATCTTTGTATGAGGAGAGTGGATGCCTGGTGTTCTTTGGATACCTCTTTTAGGCAGTTGAATGATTGGAACCCGATGGACACATGGCGATGAGTGGAGGGTCAGGAGATTAACTGAAAGGTTTGCTTTAGAAGGGAAGCGAGCGATGGGGTTAGGAAGTTCATAAGATGGTTGAAAAGGTTTAATGGCAAGGACATTGTAGGAGGTGGAGTGATTAGTGTGTGACATCGATAGTCTGGGTTTATTGTATGACTGGGATCGGTTGTAAGAAGGTACGGTGTGTGTTTGCATATTATCTGGATTGATGAGGTTGTAAACGATGTGTATAGCCAATGATGTTTGGGGGAATGGAGGAAAGGAGAAGGCACTAAGGCGAGTAAAGGAGTGTGGCCCATGAAGCTTGGAGTGCTACAAGCAATGATTCTACTTGGGTGGATGATCTGTTCTTCGTCGATAGAAAGCCATAAGGTTGTCAAACTAAGAGGGTCTGAAGGATGTATACTGTTTCCGATAATTTTTTCTGGAACCAATGCGATTGCACTACCGACCACGAGGCTCAAGGATGTTCGGAGGGGCGGAGACGAAGAGATGTATGTTAAAGAGTTTATCGGTTGTATTGGGGACATGGTGCTGTCATTTACTGCTTTTGATATATGTTGTGAAGGGGACGGGGTGTTTGAGGCTGTGTTTGTAAGGGAGATGAAGAAGCACCTGCAGAAGGTGTCGAATGATGCATTGAGTGTATATGCAAGAGGAAAAAGCACTCTTAGCGAGGTGCTATTGATGGTGTACGATAGATTGTTTGAATGCGATGTTCGGGATGAGGGAAAGAGAAGGATGACGGTGTTTGGAAAGTGCCTTATTTCTGAGGCTGATAGAATGATTCGTGAGATAGGCGATGATGTAGATGAGAAGGAAAGGGAGGAGAGAGAGAATTTTTGTAATGTGATCAAGAAACGTGGAGAGAAGTGTTGCAATTTAAAGATGTGGAAGCGTATAGTTTATGCTGAAAGTGTAGTGTGCAATGCGTCTGTGAGTCTGTATAATAAGCTTTCTGGTGAGGAGCTTTTGGGGTTGTTGGCTGAAGGATGCATGAGAAAGGATTTTAAGGAGGAAGGAGTTAGCGAGGAGGAGCTTAACGATAGAGGATATATGGAATACAGTATTGTTGACATTAAATTATTTCTAGATACATATATTAAGCACGGGTGTGAAGTTGTGGAAGAGATAGTTAGGCAGATGATGCTGGGGAAGGATGGAAGGGAGATAGATTCTAAGTATGTTGAAAA